TGTCCTATATGTTCTGAGATTAGATACAGCTTCTTCATAACACTGGAGACTTACTCCTGCAGTTCTCTAGTGTTTCTTTTCAGCTGTTAGTACCTCAGGCACTCCAAAGGCATCATCCACCTCACATGCAGGGTCAAAGTATTCTGTCTCATTCCAAGGATCATTGTCAGTGTGTGCAGTAGGGTCAGCACCAGTGGGCACAGTGCGTGCAGGTATATTTTTGTCTTCCCTTTCAGGCAAGCTAGTAGAGATAGGGGAAGTCAGAGTTGGTGATTTACGCTTGATCCAAATTGTGATTCAGAGGCCAATTCAAAATTTTAGATCGTCCTTGAATCATAGTTAACTTTGACCACCCCCAATTCAACTACACGATTCTGCTCCCTTTAAACACATTTATTATGTAATTATATTCAACTTGTCTACTACTGTTCTCCGTCTCAGGCTTCAAATACACTGGCGATAATGCCCTGTTTCACACCTAGACAGTGATGGGTTGAAAAATTACTCAGTGCCTTTATCAGGTATTGCATTGCTCAATTTAAATGTGCTAGATGTCATGCTGTGTGAAGCCGGCGTACTTTGCTAGCTGTGTTAGGATCTCATCAAGCTCCCTCTCTACCATGTCAATCAAGCTCTGAGTCAGAAAGCCTACCATCGTTCTTGTTGTCTGACTCAAACACCGACTCATGTCAATTGTTGAGCTCCAAGTCAGAAAGCCTACCATTATTCTCATTGTCCGACTCAAACGCTGACTCAGGCACCTCCATATCCAAAGCTCCACCTCTGAAGATGAAGACAATAGTGGTAACTCATCCAGTGATGAAGGTTCAACAATACAGTGAGGCACGAACAAGACTCCTGACTGTATCTATAAATGTTGTAAGGTCACGCATTGCCTAGTCTGCTATACTTGAGACAACAAGTGTGTTCAACCCTAAAGGGGAAGTGAGTGCAGCAAGGATCTAGAAGTATGCACTGAAGGCGCTACTGGTTGGCCAATGCAAGGTGCGAGAAAGTGCAGGTGCGCGAAGCGCAGGAAAGTGCGTGCATATATGCAGAAATGAGAGAGACTAAGAGCGAGTTTGCTTAAATGATGATATGATGCAAGACAAGAGATGTGAGTACAAGGTGAGATAGATGGATGTCAGAGAATAGATTGCTACTGCAACTTTCTAGAGAACTGGGTAGTGAGTACTTGGGGGTTCAGTCAGTTTCTAATAGTATGTACTGCTGGCGCTTACATATGATGCCTAAGCACTGTCATGTGGAGCCGAAGCGCTACCGAATAAGGTATGTAAAGATATATGTAAGTAAGGGTCCATGATAAAATAAAGGTGGAACAATATGCAAATAAGAGAAATGGAAATATATGCACTAGAGAGCTTGGTGGACAGTGGATGGATGTTTCTGGATGGCTGGCACTATACTAGGGCGCTCAAGTGCAGGAAAGTGCACGTGCATATACATTGTGAAGCACAGGAATGTGTGCGCATGTTGCGCGGAGAATTTGTCTGGGCAGACTCTGCATATCTGGTAAGTTGTCTGTTGATGTGGTGTACTTAGTGTTGTGGGCAGAATTCTGTGGGCAGAATCTGGCAGAATGACAAACCACTGGGGATCACAGTGAAAGATGTTTCAATAACTTTCACCACCTTATTTGGCCATAGTAACCTTTTCTGATCAGTCAGAGCAACTGAACTTCATTACCTGTAGATTTAAGAAATTTTTTGTTGTACAGCCTGTACTAGTACATAGACAATCATCACGACAGAATATTGACGACAATCTTGCAGGTCCTGAATCCATATCACTCAATGAGATTGATGCAGCATTTGCACTACTGGAATGTGAGAAAGACATGTTTGAACGAGAGCTGATTGATGGAAATGAGGTGTTGGAGGGCCAGGTTTATGATTTCGCGTCATTGGAGCATGTTGATCAAGGTCTTGCACCAAAATCTGTTGATGATGAGATCATGGTAATTGAACACACCTCACACAATGACGGACAGTGGGATGCGGATGTGCTGATGTCGTCAAACGGTGTTTCCTAGTAACATATTGTCATAGAATAGCTTGTAGTGCTTTGAAAATTTTGCCAAGTGGCAGAAGTGGTGGTTCTGCCGCTTCTGCCGGTTATGCCAACACAAATGCCCGCAAACAATTCTTCCTCCAGCACTAGGTGTACTACAGCAGAAACTTACATCAGTCAGTTACATACATGGGTCATTGCTCCATACAAGAAACCCAAGAAAGACCTCACACAAAAACAAAACAAAATGTTCAACAATCATGTGTCGATGGTGCAGATTTGGTCAAAGCATGCTATTGGGTTTCTGAAGGGACATTTTCAGTTGCTAAAAGGTCTTCGGGTAAGAATCAAGGACAAGAAATCTCACCAGTTTGCTACATACTGGGTTGCCGCTTGTGTTGGCCTTCATGCATTTGCAATGCAATGCGAGGCTGATGAGCGCAAAAGGGATAATTCCAATAGTGAAGATCCTTTCATAGCACTAGGCCTTTCATCAGACTCTGATTCCGACAGTCATGAAAACCTTCCTAGTATCTTGCAAGGCCTGGCCAGTGGGTTACCACCCTTGGCACCACTTGGAAAAGGTACTGAAGGCCTTTCAGGGTAGGTTTCATTGTAGGCAGTAACCTGCCTGAAAGCCCACCTCCACAGGGAGGCCTCCCCTTAGTTCCTGTTCAGGACTGTTGTAGAGCCTCCAGCGAGAAGGAGCTTATTCAAGAGGACCGTGGTGTGTTTCATAGAACCTCCAGCTAGGAGTTCATTTGATCAGTGACAATGTTTTATTTAGGTGTGTTTCAGTTGCTTCGCACATGTTTTAGAGGTGCTGCAGCTTGGTCTCACACCCCATGAGCTGTTTGTATTTGACCTCGACATGGAACACAGCAAGAACTTTGTATTTAATATTAGGAATACAAGAATATAAGTCTGTAGGACATTCTACGAGCATCACAGAAGTCCCTCCCCTGGTAGATCTAGGACCATGCAAGACGTTGAGACCTCTTTGCAGTGCATCATGGGAGACATTAAGACTTCCTTGCAATGCATCCTGGAAGGTGTTAGAACCTCCTGGTGCCTCTCGAGAATGCTAGTTCCCTGACGGTGGAGTCTCATACTTGGGATATGTGGAACATGTGAGGATGTTGCTGATGTTGGCATCGTACAGTAACAATTTGAGCATAGACAAGAGGACTACATGAACGGCCGGTTGATGGTCTGCAAGTAGAAACTGGTCAGATATTGCAGGGTTTGATGGGAGCTATAATATATTGATGCTCGAGTTGAAGATTGCCCAAAAGCTGTGGCTTTGGCCTGGCTTCAGACAGCTCTGGCCTGCAAAAAAATCCAAGCTGGGCCAAAGCTGCAAATGATGGCTGGCTTTGGCCCGGCTCTGGCCTGAGCCGCAGCTTGAGTAGGGAATCTGCAAAGTGAGCATGAGCAGGTCATTGTGAAACCAGGATCAACCTCATGACTCACCTGCGTGCCTCAGAATGCAGTTTTGACCTACGTGTATGTTTCATGAATGTATTTTGATGATGGATCGCGGCAGTCGAGAATGAGGTTGAGAATGTAACAATGCTCAAGTGAACATGTGACCATGTATCAGCAGCTCAGCTAGTACCCTTGGGCCTCAATGAGCCTGAGAAACCCCAATTGCAAGATCTGCATGGTACCACCAAGTCAGGCCATTTGATATTGAAAGAAGCAAAGTACTGAAGTTCTGCTCTAGTCAGCTCATCTCACTTGATTACACTGGCAGTCACAATGGTGAAACGAGTCCATTCCTGATACGTCCTTAGTCATTATGGCAGCACCTTCCACCAGTCATTCTCTTTTCTAGATGCTGATGTTGTGCTGGGTGCCAAAGATCATACTCTGTTCCATATCCACTCATGGATGCTCAAGATGACATCAGGCTGGTTCCAATCCCTCCTCAACAAAACCCTCTTCCAAATCACCCTGAGGTCATCAATCTAGATGAGGACTCACACACACTAGAGTCCTCTACTTATAATTTGCAGTCTGCCAACCAATCCGCTCATATTGCATGATGAGGTTGATGCACTGTTATTCGCCGCAGAAAAATATGATATGCCAGGGCCTATGCCGCTCATACGCCTGCTTATTATGTCACCCCCGCTCTAGACCAGCCTCTGTGTCTATACGCAGCTGCGACTCATTGTGGATGGAAAGAGGAGGCCAGACATGCATCCACACAGTTGCTTGCTCTCAACATCCACACACAGGAACATCAACCCATCCTCCAAAAGCTGCACACAGGCGCTGTGCTTGACCTGATGAACTTACATCACAATGGACACCAGGGCATTCAGCAATGACTTGATGAGCAGCCATTCGTGACAGGAAGCATGACAGCATCTCACTGCGAGTATGGAACTTGAAGAGTGGGAAACAGATAAGAGACGGCTGGCAGGAGTTGCAGGATGGAGAAATTAAAGTGTGGACCATAGTGTTGTCTACCAACAGAAAGAAGGTGGTCAGCTGGAGCCTGGAGTGAAGTGCATGGCCAACAAGGCTGCATGAGATAGCATGTGTGTTGCAATGTACATCAGTAAATTCGCACAATGCTTAACATGCTTTAATGTGCTTTTTCGTCACTTGTCATGAAAATGTTTGACATGCCGCTGTTTAGTTGTGCTTAGTCACTTGTCACTATTTTTTTCCAAGCACTTACAAGTGCAGTCAAGCAGTTAAGTAGTGAAAGCGAGAAAAAGTGAAAACATTGTATACAATTGAATTAAGTAGCTACAAATGAGTAATGATACTAAGTTCCTCGCTGTGCTCGACAACGAGCAGCGTGACAAAAGTTCAGCGGCTGAAAAAAGTCTATCTTCAGCCCACTGGTATCATTCACTAGTAGCAAACACTTACTCTGATCATCAAACAATGAACCTCACACAAATGGTGAGTGCTGCGTCTTGTGTGCGAATGGATGCAATCGCTCGTAACACTTAGTCCAGTTTGGAGAAGATCAGAGACGCGTTGTAGTAGACACTAATGTCTACTACACGCGAGGAAGACGCAACAAAGCAAGGGGACCAGGAGTTGAAGGGAGAGGCCTGGGAGTGATCAGGAGTTTGGGGGTTGGGATTTGGAGGGCGATGAGGGCACTTTGTGGGTGCCTGGATGAAAAGACGCTTGCAAGTGTTCATGACTTGGCGTGAAGCTGTGTGCCGGTGGACTGGAGGTGAGTCAATATATTTTGATAAACAAATGACTAACTCACATTGGTATTAGAATCATTCAAACGAGAATGGATGGATGGAATTTGTGAGGCTGGGAACGGATCAGGAGTGGATGGCTGTAGTTGTTGTTGCTGCTGCTGACGAGAGTCGCTAGTTAGTATCTCTTGTTGTATTCGTCGTAGCGCATGGCGACATCACCTTCCGTATCATCTGGTTGTGCAATGGGAGTGTTGGCTATTTCTTCATTCTTGCCATTATTATATTCATCACACCGCATGACGACGTCACCCGTCATCCGTTTCTTCATTCTCGCCATTGTTATATTTGTCGTACCACATGACGACGTCACCCATTGTATCGTCTGGTTGTGCAGTGGGGGCGTCGGCCGTTAGTAGTCTTTGTCTTTGTCTCAATCTCCTCGAAGTTTGGCGATCACGACGCGATCTCGAAGGCATGGTGATCAGCAAATTTATTAACATAGAATGAGCGAAATGCATCATAAGAATGAAAGTACTTGATGTCATCAGCGATGAAGTCGGGACCATAGACAGGGATTAAGTGTGCTGCATGGTAAACTGTGTCGATATGGATGATGGCGAAGTTTGGGGTGCCGTCGTCATAAACACTTGGACAGACTATCCACATGCCAGTATCCTCGTCTGCACAGTCACTGACCTTGTCGAACCACTGAACAAGGGCACATGGATATGTGACCCAATCAAACTTGAAAGAACAAAAACATTTGGCTCTTGCAACTTTGAGCCCTTTCATCCCTTCAAGGTCTGAATTGGTGTTGACAAACACACAATCATTATGGGGAGAGACGTTCCGCCAGAGTGGACAAGCTTGGATCTGTTCGTGTTGCATGCCGCCGATGCCACTGGGATCACTTGGGGCATAGAATGTTGCGGCTGCAGAATTGAAGACATAAAGTCCACCTTCATGCCGAGGACAGCTAGCAGCAGGGACATCCTCCGGGTTGCGGGGATCGTTCAGGAAGAGTTGAGAGAACAGAAAGTACCGGATAAAGTGTCGCAGGTGAGGTACGTCGACCTCATCCGCTAGTTCTGCTACAGTCCGTATGCAATTTTGTTCTATTAAAACCTTAATGAGTATCAAAATTAACTAGAGCATTACTTGCGAGGTGTCCTTGCCTTACAAGGTGTCTTTGCCAGCTGCACAAAAGTGAGCTTAAATGGGCCATCAACAGCTTCACCCTCATCAACCTCACCTTCCACTTCTGGTGCGATCACCGGGGTGTTTGGCTCATCTTCAGGGCCGACAGCTGCATATTAAGTAAGTAAAATGATCTGATTAAGTATGAAAACTTACCGAGAGCAGCCACGGCTCTTGATAACACAGAGCCAACGAGCATCCCACGAGCAGCAAAGTCCCAGCAACTTGCTGCGAGTTTATCAAGCCATTGGTTAGTCAATAGCATTTGACCAAGGGCGTTGTGCTTGTTAGACCACCACCAAGGTTCCTTCACCGCCTTGATGTGTTTGGATTCCGTGATCGACAAACATAATCCATTTGGCGCACCAAACAACCAGATCATGTCCGCATAGTGGATCATTGAGTGTTGACGAGGTAATGAGAAGTGAGGGACTGTGCCTGTGGTTTCGAAAATCTGGCAGTAGTGGTGGAACCTAGTGAGCACATCACTGAGTTGAACCAGAGAGGCTTCGGTAATTACATTGCGTCGTGCAATATAACAAAATTCTAAAAGCACGCAAAACGCGCGCACCATATCTTGAGGTACATGGCCTTCAATAGCCGGAATGAAAACCTTCATGAGGGCCTTGGAATTGTTACCCATCCACTGTTTGAAGCCGCAGCCGTCAGGAAATTACCATAGACCAGTGAATGACGGAGTGAGGTCACGTACCTGTGATCTATGTCACTCATGATCTCTTCTCCTAGTTTGGTCCCATGCATAAGTTTGAGATACTTTAGTACCCAATCCACAAGATGATCCTTGAAAGTGCCTTTGACTAGCTGGTGGAGGAGATCAAAGGATATCAACTGATGAATGTTGGCTCAGGGAGAATTATTTGTGAATGGCTGTACAAAATAAATAAGTACATAATTTGAGAGTGGGTAGTATCACTCACGACGAGAACGCTAACGATACAAAATTCATGCCACAATGTATCTGAGTCTATGTTTTCACGTACGAGGAGATCTGTATGCTCTCGAGTGCGTGGGATACCACCATTATCCAGGTCACCCCAATGTGCAAGACATCTACAAACATTGTCAGTAAAAGTTGAGTAGAATTAAGAAAGAGCTCACTTCAGGCACCAGTTTTTGACGGTACAAGATAGCACCAGTTGCTCCTCATAGTCAGCTATATAAGGTCCTAGGCCAAATATAATGCGTTGAAAATGACCATCTGCACAACACAGGACCTCGTACTCGGTCATCGCAGGCTTCAGGGTGGAAAGAATTGCAGATAGCAAGCAGTGAAAAAGCTGGCAGCAAAATAGATGAAATGAATCGCCGTGAGCATATTTCCTTGTAGCTGCGCTATAGATCAGATGAAGAACACAATTTTAAACATTAATACACATACTTTTCGGTATAGAGAGGAAACCAATGATAACGAGAGCATCATGATGAGCGCGTCGCACATTGTTGTGCACATTGCCGATCGAGGCATACAAGGGGTAATATTTGTTATTACCCGTGCCCACAGATACAGTGGTCTTGTCACTCCCAAGGATTATTGGGATGAACATTGATCCATGTGTGTTCGGATCCTTCGATAACTTGTCCTGATAAATGTTGGTATGCCCCGAGTTATAAGAAATGCATCGAATACATACGGCTTGTTGCCATGCCCAGTCTCCAGACATAAAGTCTTTCCATCGGCGTGTATCATCTGATGAATCATACTCTCGAAATGGCGCATAGTCAATCTCACCCTTGTAGGTGGTATTGGCCAACATGTTGTGTGCCATCACACAGGGGTCTCTGTACCAAACTTCATAGTCTTTGCCCATCCACAGAGGAGTATCGTGCTCAGGGTGTTCCCCTGTGTATTGAACCAAGAGACATTGTCAAGGGACATTGCCAAGCTGTGTAGCATCAATGACCTTGTGCAAATCCTTGTGGTCCACAAATGGAGGGGAGTCGTTGTGTTTTAATAGCTGCGCAGCCATCAAGTCGAATAGTATGCCCGAAGCTTTGTTAGACATATGGCATTGCTTGAGGGTAAACTCTGCCATTGAAAACTCAACATCACTGCGATACAGACTCCAGTCATGAGGAGACTTCAGTGGAGCAGGAGTTGGTGGTGTACTGGGCGGTAGAAATACACTGTCAGCTGTGCATGGCAGTCCTAAGAGCGTGTCTGAGTCACGATTCATGAAAGGGCACTGATTGAAAGGAACTTACCATTGATGAGCGAATGATACGTACGATAGTAACGCCCACTCACGTCCATAAATTCTGACTCTGGATCCTCATCATCATCCAATGGTACGACATCAGGTGGGGGTGGCGAGAAATCAGGAGGAGGTGGCAAGAAATCAGGAGGAGGTGGCGACTGAGGTGGAGTTGGTAGAAAATCAGGAGGAGGTGGCGACTGAGGCGGTGTTGGTAGAAAATCTTGAGCGAGTGCAACTAGATGGCACGCATGCATGTGTTGAGTGCGGCTTGAGGCGTTTCGAAACCAGCACATACAGCCTGGAGATAAACATGGAAACTGAAGGGAACAATGAGTAGGGCGAATTCCAGGCATGGTATGAGGAGTGCGGGTTGATACAGTGTATGGCTAGCAAAAGATTTCAGAGACTAGGGAAATATTCAGGGTTCAACAATGGCCTCTAATATCGGATCCAGACTCTGCTCGTTTTGGCGATGGGCGGCTAAGTTCTGGTAACATGGACAGTTATGTAACCGCACCACCAGAAATTTTTGGTGAACTTTACATTGCCGGGCCACTGGAAAGGTTTTGGTGAACATCCGCGAATGGCACCCCACCATCAGAAAGGTTTTGGTGAGTATTGTCACCTCACCACCAGAACTGAAATATCCCCAGTGCACGTCAATATACCAACGGACAGGTTTTAGTAAATGTTGATACTCACCAGACTAAAGGTATTTCAATTTGGCATGGGTCTTTTTATTCTGCCAAAAAAGTGCTGGCAAATATGCTCCGGAGGTTTATGTCAGTCGCAGTAGACTCACATTAGTTAGATAGACAAATACATCAGACTATTAAGTAGGGTTCGTTAATTATTCAGAGTCAGCTATCAACCATAAATTTTAAAATGTAATGAAACTCGCCTTGAACTCCCGGTAACCCATCGCCTCCAACTTTCTTCAGCCTCCAAATCCCTCCATTGACACAATGTCTCAGCCCAACGCAGTTACACAGTGCATGGCAACTTGACCTAAGAATGAAACTCAACATCCGGGATGCATCTTGATTGAAAGTCAGGGAAAGAGACGTACCGCTGCTCAGAAGGCTGCTGACGAACAGCGTGAAAAGGAGGCAAAGGAGGCAAGTAATAAAGCTGTGCAGGAAAGTTATCAGTGTATTGCAACTATGCAAGCACAGATGCAGGCTGATCAAGATAATGCCCGTGTTGACGCACCTAAGCCTAAGTGTCCTCGTGCACGCCAAGTGGGGAAGGCTGCAAAAACCTCAAAGACCCCCGACTTGACTATGGATGGTGGGCAAGCAGGAGCAGAAATTGTCGCCACTGATAAGCCTGTTGTTGCCAAAGGCAAGGGTCAAAAGGGTAGAGCCAGACAGTTAGCAGCTGGTGCTAATGTTGAATATCCTGCGAGTGATGAAGACTTGGAGGAGGAGCCGGTAGCAGCAAAACCCCAGAGAAAAAAGACCACCAAACCACTGGTGAGAGATGCGATTGAAGCGTTAAACACTGGCGTCGTTATCGAGTCATTCGACGGATCAACAAAGGCACGTGACGCAAACATTCAGAAGCTTCAATTGGATATGTAAGTGTTTGTCTTAACAGTAACTATGAGTCTCCTTTGACTGAAACTGCCCTTTTTTTCTTCAATATCGCAATAATTAATTCTGATATCGATACTGCAAGTCCCAAACAATTTTCATATTCTGGACGTATCCCGGGGTGGGTATCGATTGTTCCCGCAAACGCCTCAAAGCCATCCTCCGTGTCCAAGGTTGCTACTTCGCACCCACCAGTACTACTACTTTCTCTAAGCTCACAAGAGGGAACACTATCAGCAGCAATGGTCCACCTCCGTCCACACCCATCAGTATTCCCGATGCTGGGTCTACTTTCTCGAACCTGTATGCATCTGATGTTGACGAGGACGAGGAGCTGTTCAATAAACCTCTTTCTGGTTTCACAGGCAAAAAGGCTTTAACTGTGAGTCTGATCATATTGATATTCAAATTTGATGTAGTTCCAACCAAAACTGCAAATCACGTCCAAAGCTCTTGACGATGTTTTCCCTCGTGGTGCAACCTCAGAACCTGATCCAATTGAGGATGCCAAGCATGCAGAAGTCCCCCGTGATATCTGCGACCAAATTATCTTCATGAATTTGGATATTGGCAATATCACCCCTCCTCCACAGCTTGCCTTCCTGGGGGACTATAAGTCCAATTCCAATGCCAGTCACGAGCTACAGGCCACGGATTATGACTCTGACCTTGTACCTCCACCCCTTGCCCAAAAACCCACATCTCACTCCATCTTCCCAGTGGATTACAAGTTGCTGGCTGCAAGCCAGAAGCAGAAACAGCCACCTCTTCTGAGCGATGACGGCTTATTGTTGCTGTCATCCGATGATGAAATCGTGGAGGTCACTAATGACCGTATGATCACAACTAAGGCTGAACCTACTTCTGAACCAGTGTCCATGCACTGGTTGACATCTATGGTTTGTTTTGTTTGCTTGATTCTATGTTTAACTGATTGCGAGTTGTCAGACCAACATTGCTACCACTCTCAAAGCCCCTCCGGCAAAACGGCTGAAGTCCGAATCATCCACTACTACTATAACTGGTTCCCATCTTGCTATCGCCACTTCTCCAAGGCAATTGCATGTTCTGCATTCAGAAAGAAGCATCTTCCAAAGGGTTGTCAGATGGCAAACAAGTGGGCAAGGGAGTTCATTCCTACTGCCATTCGCTGTGTTGGCAATTTATACGAAGTATGGACTCTATCAGATGACATTCTCTGTCCTATCTTGCAGTCAGCCTTGGACGCGGTCTACAAAGACAAGATTCCACACATGGTTACAGCAGACAGGCCCACAGGCCCTCAGCCTGGGACGCGGTCTACAAAGACAAGATTCCACACACGGTTACAGCAGACGGGCCTGTCATCGCCCTCGTATATTTTTTTTCGCACATGATGTAAATCTGATCATTTTATTTGCAGACCCTCCAGCGGTTGTCGAAGTGGCACAATAGTATTAGCAATGTGGCTCTCATTGTACTCGCAAACTTCATGATCTCCCAGGAGGACCTCGACACCGATCAGGACCATCAAGATTTTGCATCGGGCTTGCTCGAAAATCTCTGCTTTTTGTTCGGGGACATCTCAGAGGACAGAGAGATGTCCAGACCATTCCAGTCTGACCTCCTTGTGCAGGTCCTCGTCCAGCACAAATGTGCCACGTCTGGCACTGTCAACATGCCAGGAATAAACAACACATTGCTGGGACACTCGAAGGGCGCTCTTGCTCTCATTACAGCAGTGGCATGTATTTTTTTCCTCCTCATACAGCTGACTCACCCTGTGTTTTGGATGGAACATGCCATCAAACTTTTTGCCAATGGGCAGATGCTTCTGAGCGACATCGACACCGCTGGCAACTGCCGAAACAACAAGACCCTGCTGCACATTAATCTGTCAATGGGTAAAGAGAGTAGTGTTCCATTGGCGTTTTCAGATACCAATTCAGGCGTGCAGACCAGGGCTTACATCACATCTATCAGCCGCTTGCCATTTACTGCATTGCAGAGCTCGCACACAACCTTGCCATGAAGAGGTGCGGCACATGGATGGAGGTGGATGACCAAACTGAGGATGAGTGAGCCCTCATTTTCTAAAGGTAATGTTCTTCGCTCTTGTTATCATCTTGAATCTGACTACTACTACTACTACTAGCTGGTACCTTGGTTGTTTTCTCATTCAAGTTGCCACGCTGTTGCTGTCTTGTTGCTGTCGCCATCTTGTTGTGCCGTCTTGTCGGTGGTGCCTCTACTACTAGCACTAATGTCATCATACTACCATTTTTATTGTCCGTTTCAATGTTTTGTTCTATTTTTAGTTTCACACTTATTCTACTTACTACTACTTATTTTTCTTGCTACCTACTTAATTGTCTTGTTTGGTTGAAATGCAAATGTTTTTTTCCTCGTAACAAGAGTGATCAAGCACAAATAAGTTGAAAATAAGTTGAAAATAAGAGCGAAAAAGGGGATATAAATTAAACCTATCATGATTGCAATGCACTACATTCTCAAATAAGTGCACAGAAAGTGCAAAAAAAGTGAACAAAAGCTAAATACAAGAGGAAGGGATCTGCTTTTGAACTTGTTGAAGCTTGTGACAAGGAGATGATATGATTCTTGTGCGCTCTTATGTGAGAAAATAAGTGACGAAAAGGAAGGTAAGGAATGTGCAAATTTACTGATGTAGATGTGTTTCTCGTGTGACTTTATATTCCAACACAACAAAAACCTTTTCTATATATGATCATAATATCAGCATATATGACAATATCTACGGCTCACCAGTTGTCTGATGCATATGATCAGCTGGTTGGTATAGTTAAGAGATGTGAAGCACAATGGGGCGACATTGATGGCACTTTCACTGGATGGCAAGATGATTGCATGCGGGAGGAGAGATGGAAGCATTCAGTGGTGGGACATGATCAGTGAGATGATCAAAGGAGTTTGAAGTTTGGATGAATGGTACTGTTGTATGTGTACCATAGCTAGTACACAAAGATCATGTGACACTGCACGACATCGCAAATTGTATGGAGAATCACAAGAGAATGATTGTAAATCAACTTGAGAAAGATCTGGAACTGCATAGCTCTCAAGAAGCCTCGTGAAATGCTCTTGAGAGGCTTAAGCAGCCAATCAGATGACAAATAAAACTCCAATCAAGACATAAAACATTGATTATGGACTGTGTATGGACGATAGCAGCATCTTGAATTGTCCAAAGTAGCAGTATAGCAGTCCCTATAGATCACAAGACCATCATCAAGTATCATTGTAAGGTAGATGATCCAGAACACTGCACTTTGCAGTATTATGAACATTTAACTTTCAAGAGTTTGAAGCTGGCTACTGTAGTCCAAGTCTGTACTATGTAGGACTGAAACTTGTCTCAGATCAAAATTCATCTCACTCTCATAACCCACTCGACTCTTGGTGACCTGCTTCACTTTCTATGCTCTTCAGCTTTTTGTTATGAGCACAGACTAGTGTACACTAGTATCTACTTAGTAGTTTTTTTGTTTGGCAATCCAGCTGTAGTAGTATTCTGGCATGCACAAAACATGATCTAACCGCCTGCTGCTGGATGATCCTACTGCCTCATACCTTCATAGCAGAGTTTACCCTTGGGTAGCACATATATTATATAAAATAGCTATTGCTACAAAAACATGTATCGTACTAGACAGTTAATAGCATCACCAATTGATGAGGTCTGCAACTGTGCAATAGCAGGTGCTGTGGAGTGTTCCGTACAGCCTATTTGAACATTATCAGCATCTTACTATGTTAAATATTGAGACTGATAAGTAGAGAGCGTCCACTCACATTGCTATCATAGCTTTGTCATGCAGCAACTGTAATTAGCTCTTAGATGACAAGAGTGTGCTACAGGACTGGAGTCCAGGAGGGCACAATTGGGGCATGTGGGTGTGATGCAGTGCAGTTGAGTGATGCAAGGCAGCCAGTCACAGAGTAGACAGCGGCCCCATGCTCATCTGCATGCGAGGGAGATATACAGTAGAGAAAAAGTATGAATTGGGTGGGAAATGGAAGGGGCCATGGCTGTGCAGTTGCTGCACATGGTAGCACAAGTATCAAGAGAGGTAGGTCTCATGAACATTGACGGGGCAGCAGGCAGAGTCTGAGGTGGCGACACCTCAAACAATACCTGCATAGAACTATCAGACACTAGAAATTGATATATCAGAGAAAGTCATACCTCCCTGTCTCAGGTAATGGGAAGTTTGTGAGGTGCTAGAGGTTGTGATTGAATGTAGTGGCGGATGCCATGCGCTGGAGGTCTGAGAGGATGTGCTGGAGGTCCAAGAGGACTCAGATATACAGATGTATGAGAGTATGTGCTAGAGGTACAACACCTGCCTGTTACATTACAGGAATATCAGAAATGGTGCTAGTGAATGCTGGGAATCACATAAGGTATAAGAAATGGAAAAGTACCATTTTTAAGCAGTACCTCTTAAGTAAAATACATAATAGACAAAAATCCATGTTGAGGTGGGGAGGTTCTCGGGGCTCAAGAGCAGCACGAGGCATCCAGGCATCCTGGAGGTGAAGCATGTGAGCAGCCTGGCAGGAGGGCAACAAGGTAGTAGTGGGAGGACAAAGAGGTAGTAGTGGGAGGCAGGGCAATGAGGTATGATATTATTTTTAGAACAGATCCTAAATTACATTGGAGAATCATGGGCCTTTCAGGCTGGTTTCCCATAACATAGGAACCCGGCCTGAAAGCCTACCTTTTGCCTCCAAAAACTGCTGCCCGAGGTGTGGGTTACGTCTCCACAAAGATATGAGCAGTTGAAACATTGTTTGTTCAGAGCAAAGGATTACAAAGGAAGGCAGCAAGACTTAGAAGAAGATGGGGACATCTAGTTTTTATGTAGTTGAGAACATGATTTGAACTAAGTACTTGGAATGAGATTAATCTGACGGGAAAATGATGGATGATCCATCAAATGATTCGGAAGCTGTGTTAGCTGTGTTGTCACTTGCATAAGACTCAGCAGCAGGTGATGAGGGAGTGATATATGCAGAAGTTGGTGGATATGGCAAGTGTGGGTGAGAACTGCTCAAAGGACTGGGAAAGGTATTGTACATGTTGAATTCATGGAATCCATGTTGTTAGCTTGTTCCTTCCATAGTAGTAAGACACATTCTCATCTTCTCTTGTTGCTGCTCCCTCGCATAGGCCAACTTTTCCTTCTGCAACTCAAGCTTTGCCAACTTTGCTTTTGCCTGTACAGTGTCCTTCTCTATTCTTGCCTTGGCCACTTCAAGCTCTTTCTATCTAGTCACTTCCTCTACTTGTGCAATTTCAGCAAATTTATCCTTCTTTCATCTCTTCACTGGATTCTTTGGGGCCTTAGTAGTGGTGGCAGGTCTGGACATCCCAGGTTGTGGGCCTGTTTTGAAACCTGTAACACTACTCTTACTCTGCCTTTCTCCACTCATTAATGCCTTTCACTTTGAGAGCACTTCATCAGCAGCGCTGTCTAAATCCGACAATGGCCACTCGTCAAAGCCATTTGAAACATCTGGTTTATCAGACATAAATCTACTATTGGGTTCGGAGCTGTGAACAGTCAGAGCTGACATGTCATAGTCCATCTGCATCAGCAAATCATCCAGTTCCTTTTTGTGCCTTAGATTACTTAAAAGGTGGCTAAGGAGAATAAGGACTATTAAGGAGTAATTTCATACTTAATTATATTTATTCTAAGGCGCATGGTGGCTGCAAGTCAGCCTAAGGAGAATTAAAGAGAATTAAGGAGGTTACTTGTGTGCCTGAACTTTCTTGAATACACCACTTTCTAGTATTTTGCTTATAACTCACTAGGATGTCAACCAAAAAATGTCATGAGACTATGGATAGACTACCCTTGACAAGGGTTACAACTTTGATTTTCTTTCAAAAAGTTCACATGGTCTATCATTGTCACTTATCAAAATCCTAATGGTAGATTTGTATTTGATTCTAAGTCCAATGGATATAGTATATATATCAATTGCTGCCTACATATGTACAAGGTAATATAGTCTACTGGTAAAGCTGCTTGACAGTTTGAGAATTGATCATGTGATCTTAGCTGGGTCAGCTGGATGATTGAGAGTTCAAACCAGCTATGTGGTAGAAAATAAAGTGCACTTTTTGACATCACTTTGACTTATTCTAAGGAAATTTTTTTAGTTTATGGCGAGGGATGTACTTATTCTCCTTAGAAAAAACAGCCTTAATATTCCTTATTATGTGAATTAAGGCATATAAGGACAAATAAGGCACTCCATGATTTGCTGATGACTGACTGTGCCCAAGACCAATGGGAGCTTGATTTGGGCGCTCAGCAGAACCACAGGCATGCTTCTTTAATAATTGCTGGCATGAAAAAAATGTTGAACAGTAGGTAGCTAGTTGTCATAGAGGTACACACCCCACTTTGTTGTAAACAATTTTTTCACTATTGATCTTGTTTTCTACTTGAGTTATACCCATACCTGTCTCATCCATTTCTCATCATGTACTTGTGCATGATCTCGGATATTCTGTGGGACCATATAGTAAGTGCATGCATCACTTGATGTCATCAGGATGACACTTACCTCTTGATTCAATTTTTGATCTTATTAGCCCAAGTGCCTTTCTGTTTGGGAGTGATGGCATGCGAGAATGGTGTATGATAGTCCAGATGGTTCTCAAACAGTGTGACACATATGGCCCAGTGGTACACTGCCTTTATCTTGCCACCAGTCGGTGAATTTGCTCCAGGAGAAGGAAATAGCCCTTGCTTGATATTTGTGTTGTCTGTGATGGCAGACAGGAGAGCAGCACTGGTTGTTGGGGTCCAGCTGGACTCGAATGAGTCATAGGTAAATGAAGGTAAAAATTGGCCCAGACTCAGAGGTAGGTACTAGATATCAGTCTTATCTTCAAGTTCAGGCTGACCATCATGATCACTATCCACTAGCAGCTCACTATCACTTGCATTTCCTTTTTTCTTGCTGGCCTTTGACGGACCTTTTCTCCAGTTCTTGGGTGCCTTTGGTGCTTGATCTGGAGCTTGCTGGCCTTTTTCGCCATTGGTTGAGTTTGGAGTAGGAAAAGAAAAACACCTTGTACTCACATCAATTTTGGTGCTACCACAACAATGGAGAGTAAGTAATCATATGTATTTTGTATGTAATATGTCATCTCAGTCTCAGTAAATTAGGAGGTAGGGAAGGCACATTTTGCTTTGTGATCTGTGACCAAGACTTATTTTCATACTGACATCAGCTGGTGTGACACATGACTGTCAAATTGATTGCATTGGTACAGTAAGTGCGCTAAAGAGAGTGCCTATGTGAATTTAGGGGCCTTCAAGAAGTTCCTCCAACCAGTCGTGGCACATCTTTGCCATAAAATCTCGTGTTGACTGCTATGCGTGGGCAACCTCCCAGTCCTCCAGGAGGCAACATTATCCATTCCTTGCCACCTTTTTTGGTTGACCACATACGGTCACCTTCAGGGTGAGGCACCCAGTAGAGTTTGTTGAACCATGGCATTAGATGATGATTTTGGATAATCTCTGATTCATCTTCATCAAGCTGATCCAGGAGTGATTGCCATTGCCGGTAATATGAGGCAGATGGAAAGTGCTGAAGTGATTTGGTGGTTGAGGGAATTCCTTTGGGTGGAAAGTAGCGTTTGAATACCAGGTCATTCCAATCACCATCACTGATAACTCGGTATTGAACTTGATTGAAAACCCTGCTGAGATCCAGTGAATAAAAGATGTCAATTTTGACATGCATCCTCTGCCCTGCATCTAGCAGTACCCAAGGAGAATTTGAGGCTGATTTTGGAGATGGTGCAAGCTGAAAGATATCTGATGCAAATTGACGCTGAATATCAGATAGCTTGGCCAACATAGTTGAATCCACAGTTTTCCTGGAAGAGGAACCATGAATACTTCTCTGTATCTCTGATTCCTCCAAATCTTCTTCGACTCCTTCACCACTGCTTGAGTTATCACTATGGTGGATACGATGTGTTGTCTTGCGCTTCCTTGATAGGTGACTGATACTTGAATGTTTGGAGATGTAAGAGTCTGAAAACTCCACTTCAATGTCCTCCATGAAATGCCTTCGATATAGAGCCAGTAATGTATTGATGTCGATAGGTCTGGAATTGGGAAGTCGGTAATCTCCAGCATCATTGACTATGTCTGACAGAAAGTATGTGCCCCTCCTATACATGATTGGATGGGTGCTTAGCCCATTCACATCAGTAGGCCCAGGTATATGCTGGCAGGAAGCTTCCAGCAAGATCTTCTCTGCTTGACCCTCCGCTGGCCGGTAAATAAGTGCATTGATTTGGTAAGCAGCAAGAGCTCCTAATTTCAATGATGCAGGTTGGAGACGAGCAGCACGGCTGGCTTTCTGTAGGTTTTGGACCACATGATAAAGTGCAGCCATACGGTAGTACTTGAAATACCTTCAAGTTGGAATGTATACTTCAGTACCTATGTACGACTGATTGCAGTGATAAAAGTGCTCACCAAAACAATTTACAATCAAAGGTGACAATTGTATCTTGTATTACACTGTCTGGCATTTCCAGGAGCACTTGATCTGTGAGACTGAATGGCACTCGAATCTCCAGCCTTGCACTGCCTTCATATCCACCTACTTCAGTGGAACCTCCACAAAGACGGAATGTCTCTGCAATGCGCTCCAGGTCCTTGAGAAGCTTTCCTATACTTGCAGGAAATAAGTGCCATGCCTGGCGACGTTTGAATATGCCATCATGAAGTTGATATGTTGCAGATTTGTCAGTTGTATAGACATTGATGTAGCAAACATTGTCGTCCTTTCCACGGGTGCCTGGAAGGGCTCGGAATCCTCCAAGATCCTCTAATTGTGCAGAAAGGTCACAACGATATTGAGACTGAGAAGCCAGGATGGAATCTATTTTGTGTCCAGGGGCAGATGGTAAAATAAATTGCAGTAAACGTCGATGGCCTTTGGTGAGCCACTGCAAGATATGATCTTCATGTTGGATTTCTAGCCCAATATCAACCACCCAGTCCTCTGGCTTTATGATTGACATGTCAAAGAGATTAAACACAGCATTGAAAGCAGCGTGTCTGGCTCTTGCATCCCTAGGATCATGATGAGATGCACCCTTTGTTCCTCTGAGCTCGTGAACAAAAAATGCATCCTGTAGTCCATCTTGTTTCTGGAACAATTCCAGAAGTTTGTGTCCTAGCTGGCCCAGAAGATGAGATGGGAAATCAATTGTGCCAAAGTGGAATTTTCCCTTCTGATCACGATACAAAGTCATCGCAGTTGAATATGTGATTGGCCATCGGCTTCGATCAACACCATTTAGACTGACAACTGCAGGGCGAAGGCATTTTTCATAGATAAGTGACATTGTCTCTGGAGGAATTGCAGGATTTTGGCCTTGGTGATATAATCCAGGAAAGAAAATGCGGGTGATATGCCGGCGATCAACTTTTCCCAGTGCCATGTTAGGAATTCTATGAAGTGGAACACCTATGACATCCTATCAAAGACAATATGTATTTCAGCATAGTATATATTAAATAGGTATTTACACACCTTGGGACAAGATAGAGGGCATTTTAAATGATTGTCCTCCGTAAGGCTATCACGGAACGATGCCAATGGAAAGATGGCCATATGTGTTTGGAATGGTAAATCTCGTGTAATGCCTATAACAGAGTCTATGTCTCTGTGCAGCTTATATTCAGAAATTTGAGGTGCAAGAGCTCCTTGTCTGGCATTTATAAAAATACGAGCAAGTTTGTCATGGCTTTGGAGTCGTCCAGCAAGGACAAAGCGAATAAAAGTCTCTAGTTGGTCTGATTTAAACATTTGTTCTGCAGCCAAGACAAACTCCTCCAAAGAGACCTGGATTGCAGGTAAATCCTCATCAGGAGGTTGCATGATGTTGGTGTGATATAGACTTATTGAAAACAAACTTTGAAAAGTAAAGCGGCTGTGAGCTTATGTAATAATATACCATAACATGAAGAAACTTCCGAGTTCAGTTATGTCCCAGGGTGGTATACTTGATGGTGCATAGCCAAAGTCAACTCATGTAATAGCTGTACAGAACACATTCAACAAGATGACATGTTGCCCTTGATCTAGCCCATTATTAGTTTGCTAGTTATGTTGATGGTTTGTTATCCTTCTGTTGCCCTTTCTGTTGCCCTTTCTGTTGCCCTTTCTGTTGCCCTTTCTGTTGCCCCTTCTGTTGCCCTCAATATTCCCACCGTAATAATGTCAGCATCTGTGTGGCTACTTTTAAGTCATATCAGCGAGTTGTTGTTAGTATTGCAGGTGTAATGCCCATAATTCAATTTATTGGTGTACCTGGGAGTGTTGACATGACATAGAGTGAAGTCATAGCGGTATATCACTCAAGTTGTCGTGTCTAGATGTGTTTGGTGCATTTTTGGTTCAGACCAACTTCTAGCTGAGCTAATAAAAATCATGTGATATGATGTAATGTAGCTCGTTTGGACCCCCAGCTTTCAAAAGCTGGGGGTCCAAACGAGCTACATTACATCATATTACATAATCAAATAAATTTTGTTGCCTGTTCTGTTGCCTGTTCTATTGCCTGTTCTGTTGCCTGTTCTGTTGCCTGTTCTGTTGTCTGTTGTGTTCGTTCTGTTGCCTGGTCTGTTGCCTATTACATGATGTATTGGGGGTCCAAACTTGCAATTCACTTGCCATTGTTTGCAATTGATATACCATGTTGTCAAAAGTCACTTGAGCTTGAGGCTTACAACAGTCATAAAATGTGAAATGTGTATTGATATCATTGAGCATAATAAACCATCTCCTTGCTAGCTCTACCTCGTACCAACAGATTCCAGAACATTATCATGATTTCCATGGTTGGCAGTAGCTACTATTGGCCTGGACCTTGGTCGTGATGCTAGCCATACTCAACACCCCCTCCTCAGGGTCCACAGAGTTGGCATAGATTTGGCTACATAAGTATCAGTATGATGTTAAAAAAGGAGGAAATCGACACACTCGTTCCACCAATTCAACAGACCCTCTCGCTCGTGAGTATTCATGACACTAACAACCTCCAGAAGTGTGCAATCGAATGTGCAATAGGGCCAGTGACCAGAATTTCCTCCAGCACTGAACATTAGTTGATCGGAGAGGACAAAACAGATCTAGATGGAATTTATCAATTCATGGTCAGGGTGGCAATATAAGCTACAGAAGGAACAGTAGCCTTACTAATGAGCTGAGTGGTTGCATTGCCTTTGCATGTTCCTGATCGCAATGAATTTGTTGGGGTACTTGGCCCGCTAGAGATATGAAGATATCCCTATGTCATAAACATGCTCAGCATTGAGTTGAAACAAACAGTGCGAGCATCACCAACCTTGACTAGAATTATATTGCATAGGAAGCCATGGAAAAGATATTTAGTATCAACTTGCTCATGAGAGATGTGAATCATTATTGCAAGAGCTTCTTTGTGAGCTTCATTGTAGGCAGAAATGATAACAACATGGTGGATGTCGCGTTCAAGCTGCCAGAGGGATAGAGTGAAAATTTCTCCCACTATAGGATGACAAGGGATGATATGGTTTTGAAGCTTAGGAACACGCACCAAGGATTATAACGCTGGTTGTAACGTCACCATGTTCTTCGTCTTGAGTACGATTGAATTCGATCGTGTTCTTTGCTTCAGGGTGTGTGTTTTGGTGACCTGTGAGTCTCTACAGTCATATGCTGCTCATATGTACAGATTGCAGTAAGACGCACAGTATGCCGCCCATCAGATTGAGGATCATCTTGAACATGGCTTTTGGGCCAAGATACGCCATTCAAACAACATCAGCGATAGTCTGTTTGAAAGAAAGTATGAATGAGACGAAAATCGAGTATATGTTATGATACTTGCCTTTGCGGCGGTGATGTCAGAGACCTGGACCTTCCTGAGTGCCTCCGAGTCTCTGGTGCAGTTCCTGCAAAAAGTCACGTTCAGTGATGCATTTGAAAAGTATGGACGGTACACTCGCATAACAAATGCTGGTTTCTGTCTTGCCTGCATGTTTGAATAACGACTGTGGTCCGTCCCCGACAATGATTAATGAGGGCTGAGTGACCAAGACTCAAGAGCAAGCCCAAAATATTGTCACCCTAACTGATTTCTGTTGGCACACGATTGCGACAGAATCTAGTGAGTCAATCTCAACCAACGAGTTTTAAGGACATTCTCACCAGCCCTTTAGGTGCAAATTTCAGTCACAAAAACCTCGCAAGAGCCAAAGCAAAGATGCAGAGCATAGAGCCTCACAACCGTATAGCCCGGCAACTTCCGACCATCATAACCATCTTACTTAATATCGCCACGTGACCTAGATGAAGAGCTGTTTTTGAATCTTGAATACTTATCATATGTTGTCCCGCAGTTCTCGCTCACAATACGTCATCCTTCAATCTTTCAACTCTTACCTTTTTCAAGAAGGTGCTACCCAGGGAATCTCTCACTGCACAGCACTTTCACTCTCGCAGCGTAGTCTCATCCAGGTCTTGCGAATCATTGGTCCCGGATGACAACTTACAAATGTGCACAAGAAGTAGGACGTAGCATATTCACAACATTAGAGGAAGATGTTGGGCCCCAGCTTGTACCCTATTTGGAACCTGTACTCCGGAATCTGGTGTTTGTGTTCCAAAAATAACACACCCATACTGTATGATGCTGTTGGCACGTTGGCCAACGCTGTCGGTAGGGCATTACAGAATCCGCATATGTGGAAATCTTGATGCCTCCTCTGACATCTTGATGGGCCAAATTGTCCGACAATGACGATGACTTGATTCGCTTCTCAAGGTATGACCTTCATCGATTTGTTGGTACTTTGAGTTCTCATGCTTTGGTATCCCAGACTGTGCACTGTGTCCGTCACAATTGCCATGATGTACATTGTCATCACAAACAAATGGCGCTGATCAAACTGGGCATGATTAATAGCCCAGCTGATTCAACTGTTTTCGCACAATCTTGTGAGTAAGCCGAACATTGCTGCAGATAACTTCAGCTAATCAATAACTAGTGCTCGCAAGTCAAGCCAGGACCAGAACGAGATACTTGCAAGACTGGACGAACATGTTGGCGGTTGTCTTTGAATAAAGAATATTTCCTGGACTGATATTAGCTCGAATACTAGAGACCTTGGACGTCTTGGCAGGTCTGGACCCAAATATTACCAGCGTATACATAGCAATTGATTGGTCCTATTACTGGTACCAACAGGTTCACACTCTGTTTGTGGACTAATTGATGTTGCTGCCAAGGTGAATCAAATTGAATCGATGTGGGAAATTAATATCAATAGCCTTGGAGATCACTACGTTTGATTAGCTTATGCAAAACCTCTATCTCTGCTGCCATTCTCTGAACGTCTTGCTCCAGCCTATGGATGGCTTTAGCCATAGACTCAGCCTCCCCAGCTTCATACCAAGCAGATCCAAGGAGTGACATATCTGCAGTCGTAATTTGATCTTGAGGGTGTACTGCTTTTGGTGCCAAATTTGGTGCCATGAACCTAGCTGAACCAGAGGGCGGTGAAGATGGAGGGGGAGGAGGAGATGGAGGGGGAGGAGGAGACTGCATTTTATTGGACGTCATTTGATCCAGGTCACGTTCAGGGGTAAAAAACAGATCATCGAATTCCCCTTCTTCGACTAAGTCGTAGAGAAGAGAATTTTCTGCAGAAGGTTGACTGAGGGGTCTCAGCATGTCAGACCGATGCTGAAAGCCAGTGGAGCCATGAGACTTCAGAGAAGTGGTAACATCATGAGCTGCTGATGGAGAGAGTGAAAGAGAAAAGGGGGTGGGAAGGACATCTGAAGATGTATTCAAATGAGAGTATAGCGCCTTCAAAACTGTGTCAGATGGAAAGGAAGTGAAATTGTCAGTGAATTTCGAGCCCGGTGGTGAAACCTTTATCAAAGGGACAGGGCAGGGGAGCTGTCTGTCGGATCCATCCTTAGTCAAAGGGAGGTGCTTCCTATAGTGATTTTTGATATTTGATCAGTTTCTAATCATAGACAACCAATATAAGGACAAGAAATATAAGGAAAAAAAAACATTCATGTTCACAAAAATACTAGTCATGAACTAGAAGGATAATTACACTCACTCTTTCGCAAATCCCGAAGTAGTGTTAGTAATCATCCTGGATGAAGGGGAAACTGAGGCAGAGGGTAGTTTCTTCCTACTAAGGAAAGGTAGCATTGTGGAACGCCTAGACTTCTCCTTCTCATCTGGCGGAGGGTCAGCTACTGTGTGCTATTGATAGTTGTCGGCGGCATAAATTGATCTCACCATGGTAATTGGTCCTTGATGATGGACACGGCTGGGGAGTTGAAAGGCCCTGGCTAGCCATGGAGGAGAGACAGAGAAACCAATTTTGGGGCACACAAATGCCATATGGTATATTTTCTCCGCCAGCAACGCGGAGTTCACTTGCTCCGACAGAAGAATTAAGATGGGTTCATTTCTTCGGGACCAAGACTGATTTTTTCAATACATTCAAACAATCATGCTTGTTAGCTTTGTTTGCTCTTTGTTAGTCCCAGGCAAGGCAACCCAATGCTCAAGCCCCCGGCATGCACGAGTGGCAGTCCATTTACTCATAAAAACACCTGCATAGAGAGGAAAGAGAAAACTGAGAAGTAGGTCCAAGCCACCCCACCGCTACTTGGTCTTCTGTTTTTCACTCAGCTGTGATGAATAGCTTTCAGATGGAAAATAGGTCATGGCAAGGGTTTGGCCTCCGCTAAGACCATTTTACCTCTTGCCATGATGCAGCTGCCCAACGTAAGGTGCGATGACAGTAGTTTGAATCAGTGAGTGAAAACAAGTACTATTTATGAAAGTAACACTCCCAGACCATTCATGTGCTTCCACAATGACACTATGGGGAGACAGCATCATTATTTGCTGGCGCATTTTTGCCCTTGATGTTCTAATCAGCCAGTGTCTAACAGGTTTATGCATCTGTAATATTAAATAGTAGCATACCGTGTCATCATCAATACTGCCCATGTAGGAGAAATATAGCTCCTTGAAGCATGCCTCCTCAATTTCACAATTTGGGTCACAACCAGGGGTCCTGCAAAACAACATCAGCTCTGTCCAAATATCTCAAATAAAATATACTTGTAAGACAACAAGTGAACTTGGGAAAATCATCAGAGAGCAGTAAAAGAACGAACATTTCTAGCCATAGTTTGCTTCTTCTTCTGGATGCATGATGTTGAAGAGGTTATACCAAGTTCGAACCGTGACTACCAAAATTGGTAATCAGCTATCATTTACGCCGTAAGGGCCCCAAGTTCATACTGCACGTTTGAACGATGAATTGTTTGCAACTGCCAATTGACAAGCCTGGCAAATCTGCCCTGATTTCAAAATTTATACCAAGTATTTGCAAGTAAGTACTTATAATTTCAATGTCCTATACCTACAATCCCGGTTCCCCCGGACGACTTGATCCTTAACGGTAACACCCCCTGTCGCGTGCTTCGCATCGACGCGTCAGTACTCCTAACTAAGCTTAGCTTCCTTTTTGACCGACATATTCACTTGTTTACAGGTTCAGCAAAGTTCTTTCCCCGGGATGCGATTGGAACTTTGTCCACCTAATTAAATTTGAACGGCTGTCGGAAAAGCGGAGTTCAGAGGGCTCATAGTTGCCTATGCGTTCATTATGTAGCCTAGCACTCTACGTTGGTTCTCGTTTGTTAGTTTGGTGAAGTTGGCAACACATTGAACGTCGCTTTGTCTGCCTGCTTTGAGCTACTCAGACCTTGGGCATCCTGACCTCGGACGGCTTGCCAAACAAGGCTTGTCCTCAGCCTGGCAAGTCCCACAGTAGCAACATTAAGTACTCGGACTAGTAGCCCTGCAGATGTGGCTGAGCAGCTACTAAGCGTAGTCCTATTTGAAATTCTACCTGGCAAAACAATAGTTCTCCGCCAATTTACCAAACCGCTCCTTTATAGTACCCTTTCGCTTTCACCTGCACCGCGCCGAGCCCAACGCGCAGTCACTTTGCCAAGTTCATACCACGCCGCTCGAGCATCTTCTTCGCCTCCCTGCCCATGTTCATGAAGTTGAAATGCAATGCCCATCCTTTGTCTAGGGCCAACCGACGCATGGTAAAACCTATCACTTTCTAGGGAAGGTTAGGAATGACGTAATCAATAAGATTTCTGTGAGTCGAGATCAATATTGAATGTAACCACTGAGTGGGATAAGGCTGATATCGTACACAAGCGCTTGAACTTGAAGGATTCACGCAGCCGGCGTGGCTCTGTTCTCCCAAACAACGACCGTGCAGGCTCCTCAATTCCGAATATCAAAGTAGGTGATGTTCTGATTTCAGCTCTTTGTCTAACTTTGACTGCGCAGGTTCAGGATGCTTCTGCTGGTGTGAAACAAGGTGCCGATCTTCAATCTGTGGACAAGGCACTTCGGGATGCCAGTCATGCTGCAGATCAGATGAATCCACTTTGTGGACCTGCGAGATCCGTAGCACTGTCCACAGGCAAAAATGCATCAGCAGCGCTAGATGATATAGACAGTATAGAGGCCACCTATCTTCAACCATTCAGGATCAGGACGATCGAAGTGGTATGATTTCTCTTTTTCTCTTTGGAACTAGACTAATACCGTTCTGCAGATACATCCGTATGCAAAATGGCATTGGGCGTCCTATCTTGCGCATCAAAAGTACGTTTTCCTCACCATCATTTGTATTTCCTGCTCAGTTGTTCTGCATGCAGATAATTCTTGCTCAAGCGGATCGCGACAAAGCGATACTCGAACTCTACAAGAAGTTGGGTCAAATGTATGGCTTCGTGATGCAAGACGATGCGCTTCGCCGGATTGATAGCTCAGCAGACCCTAGAATGTGTTTCATTCAGGATTATTTAAGGACAAACTTTTGTGAGTCTCTCCAATAAGTCATTGGATTTGGACGTGCCTCTGACTCGACGTCCATTCATACTTCTACAGCCAAAATAGTAGAATTCAGTGTTATGGCTTATGCGGAGACTGCAGGACTAGATATTATGAAGCAATGCCTGCCAGGGACGCGCACGGACATTCTCTCTGACATCATGGGATGGACCAACAACAGTAGAGATGATATTCCACGTGTGATATGGCTATCCGGCCCTGCTGGAACGGGTAAATCAGCCATTGCTCACACGATCGCTAGCCCGTTCATTGGGGCGGGTGGACTCGGTTCTTGTTATTGCTTCGACCGAAACACGGACGATCGCCATAAAAAAGTTTTCTCCACTATCGCGCGCGACCTGGCTGACCGTCATCCCGAGATGAGACGAGCGTTAGCGGATGCAGTCCAGAACGCAAATGCGCTCAAGACTACAGCGGATGTCGTACAGCAGTGGCAGAAGCTTCTCATCGAACCGTTAGGGAAGCTTTCTGAGTCACCCGTGGGGCCTGTCATGATTATTATAGACGCACTGGACGAAAGTGGCAAGGCAGCGGAGACACGCAGCGACCTTCTGTGTATTCTTGCCGGTAAACTTCGAGATCCAACCATCATTCACATCACGAAACTCCCTAAAACTTCCGGATCATCGTTACTTCTCGCTCGCTCCATGATATAGGAGCAGCGCTTGCATGCGCTCAGCATATTCGACGGATGTCCATGGACGAAATTTCATCAGCCACCACAGAGCGACATCCACGCCTACATATCGAACGAGCTAGAAGAGTCTTCAGATTTTGGGGACACACAGTTTGCAACGCTTGCTAAAAAAAGCTGATGGCCTGTTTGAGTGGGCGCGTCTTGCTTGTAAATCCATCAAAGCACCCCCTTCTGGCTTATCTCCATTCGAGTCCTATATATTTGGTGTTCCGGGCGCGCCCCCGTAATCATCACCCTGTCATCCCATTCAACTAAATCTCCAAGCGGAAGTCACATTCACGCATCCAACCTGGTCGCAGGTAGCGGCAGCCATCCGGTTTAGCCCTATACTGGACGAGAAATACATTTAGTGCCATCAATGAATGGGGGATAGGCATAGTATTATGTGCTAGTACTAGTTCGTATATGATCAGGCCTGCTCGGGAATCACCACTCAACACATCTATAGCAACAAATTGAATAATTTACTCAACGTCCCTGGCCTCGGGATACAACATATGCGCCACCTGATCTGCAATGGCCTCCTCATGGTCAAGAGGCCCGTGAGATTTCTGATGATCCTCACCCAGCTCCGCCTCGATCTCTTTTTCCAGGATGCCGATGACTTCAGGACGCGCCTGACCCTCTGATCACCGGTAGCACTCATGCCGTCCGCTTGCACCTTGACCTCCTCTTTTCCCTCTTGAAGTGCTGCACCGGTCGGTTCAGATGTCACCGCGTTAATCTCCTTCTCATCCACATTATTAACCGGCACATCTTGTAATATCCTCATCTGGCTCTTGATTTCCTTCTGTTCGTCCTTCGCACACCAATAGGGACAGCGGTGCTCTGCTCGTCTTCAGGCGGCACGACCCTATCTTGCCCGAGCTTGCCCTCGACCACAATAGCCGCAACACCCACCGGGCTCGCCGCCAATGGTTGCCATCGGTGTGGACCGATCCAAAGTAGGAACAGTGACACCTGAATACTGTTCGGCGTTTAGCTGAAATGCTCCTTGAGTTACATAAGACTCACATCGTCAAAAAAACTCATCACTAACAAATGCCCGCCAAAACCCAAGCTCCTGATGCAACATATGAGACTCACCAGGCAAAGTCCCACGTCTTCACTCACTGTACATTGGAGCACTTCTGTTTTGTCCAGGATTGTCATATGCCAAGGAACTAGACTTCGAGTACGTAATGACCACTACGATCATGAGGACGGCGGTAATCCGTAAACGAATCTTTTCGTAGAGCCAATATGGCAAGGTCGAAAACAGCGCAGTTAAGCAGGATTGCAAAGTACAGCGCAGGAAAGTAGTGGTAGAGGAAGAGTTGACGGCCCATGAGGAAGCAGGGGAAGTTATGCATGCAGTACCCGACAAAGAGAAAGCCGCAGAGGCCATCATAGTTGACAACCTTGGCTAAAACAGGTCAGTCCAGGGAAGTGATGTCGCTCGATCTAGCCACGATGTCCTGCAGGAGCCGTCTGAGCACATTTTGCTTCTTCTCGCCAAAGATTACAGGCAGGTGGATGCCTAAGATACCAAACAACGAGTACGTGATGTCTTCCTGCATCGTAGTAACACGTTTAGATGCCCATCGCAGCTTCTCTCGAGCGTCTCTCATCCCTGGACGGAAGGAGGTCAGCACCTGTGCATCTATTCCCGTCGCACCCTCCAACTCTTTCATGATTGCTGAGGATTCTTTGTGGTTGGGAGAGCGATCGTCGAGACATAATGACCAGTCCTTCTGATAAAATATAACGACTTTCGGAGCGACGAATTCTCGGAAGGTCCATGCTCGTTCATTCCAAACACTACTCGCCAGTGTGCCGGACTGGGATGAAGGAGGGACATCGGATAGGTAGGCGATGGTGAGCGCTGAGTGGCGGTACCAGACGAACATGGAATTGGCCGATTCTTGAAGCTCGACGGTATTGCTCTTATCGATGCAGCATGTATCCATCCACGCCCAGAAATACCCCGCATCACGAGCGATTTTGCAGAACGACTGCAGTTTTGCGGTGCCATTAAGTCCATCCAGCTCATACACCGCTTTGTCCTGGATGTGGTGCAGCAGCGCCTCCATCTCTTCCTACCTACGTGATAGCAAAACGCAACAGAAGTGCATCGCCACCACCTCCTGGATGCGTTCAATTTGGAGATCCGAACGCTTCGTTATTAATGACAAAAGCTCCTTATACTCTGGACTTGTTTTGAAGGAGTTTAGCTGCGCTACTCGGTCGCACAGAATCCCCGTAGAGGTGTTGAGCAGACAAAGGGGGGCGTTGCTGAGTTGAATCCAAACCCCTCTTCGAATAGCGTCTTCTGCTTCCGATGGACAGACGTACTGCTGACGCAGATCTGCAGAATGATATAGGTATTTCAAGATAATGCAGGAGTGTTCCATGTCTCACCTCGTATCTTCACCTCTGGAGCATCGTCCAACTTGGACAACATGATTGTGAAGGCCTCAATGGCTTCATCATAATGTTGCTCGCCATGCAGCGCCGAGTGTGACAAATGGTACCCAACATGAGACGAAGGGTTGAGTTCGGCGACCTATGCGTCGCCGAAGTCAACATGGGCTACGAAAATGTGGATGCCATCGCACCTTTTGCGCGTCGAGGAGCGCATCCTCCCACAGCATTTTACTTAACTTTGCCTCGCTGCGACTTGCAAAGAGAATATCGGATGCAGAATCCAGGTCGATCGCCATCGAGTATAGGTCAATAGCCTTGTCGTAATCGCTTGCAGCGAAGGAAGCCTCTTCATTGGCAGCCAGAGTGCGCTGCATTCCTGTTTGAAATCTGAGAAGAATACAGGTGAGGATTGTCGCCTGTGCGACATTGGGGTTCTAGACTCGCCGTTGGACCAATCAAGGCAGTCGGCATTGGTAATTTCGTCACTTGAAGTCATCATGTGTAGGTATGACTTCACGGCGTCTTAAAGTTTTACCCGCCCGAAGGAGTGCATCACAGCGTTTATGGTGTGCCTTTCGCCACAACGACTTGAGGTCCCAGCCAGAGAGCTGGACAAGGGATTCAGTTATGAAAAGTGTTATACATGCATCATCTTGACGTACCACCACCATATTTCATGAATGTTCAATTTCGATGATGAATCGCGAGAGTCGAGAGCGGCAGTGAAATACTCGGCAGCTTCATCGTAGCATGCGCCATCCAAGGCTTTGATTCCGAGTTAAACGTGTATATATACCTAATGCGTGAGGAGTAAATATGAGTGTTGATGACCAAGCATGAATGATACTTACTTGGACAATATCACATGTGAGAGTTTCAGCATTCGGACAACCGCTAGTGAGCTCTTTGAGGAGCAGGCTTGCCTCGTCATGTTGATCTGCATTGAAGAACGCGATGAGAGGAAGAGTATGCGAGGCAAATGTAACATACCATACCTTGATCAATAGCAGAAAATGAACGTCCAGGACGCGGCCTTTTCCACAGAGAGCAATACCCTTGTAGATATAGCCCGTCAATGAGGGCTGAATCCCGATGGACTATGTCACCGTCGAATTAGTGTATAAGGCGGTGATGATTCTCACCTTGATTGCGTCCAGAAGGGCATGGTCCCAGTCGTATTTTCACGCCATGACGAATGACCAATGGGCGTAGGAAGTATGGTTGTTCGGACTAGCTCTTCGGCGGTAGATAAGTCTCCATTTAGACATGCAATACGGGAGGTCGTGATGGCTAGGATCTGCACGAAACATGCTCTAATTGTGGTATATATGAGTCAACAACGGAAACATGCCTTTGAGCGATGGACGTAGGGAGTATGGTTGTTCGCATCGGCATTGATATATTGCATGAGTAGTTCTTCGTCAGTAGATAAGTCTCCATCTATGCATGCATCGAGGAGTGCTGTGGTGGCAATAGTCTGCAAGAAGCATGCTCGATTTGTGGTATATGAGTCAGAGACGGAAACATGCCTTTGCCAGATGTATACCCTGAGGTACTGTCCACTCTGAGATCATCTTATCGTGACCTCCAGTGAAGATGTGATTGCCGTCCACAGAGAAAGTGACGCAAAAATTGGCGAGTGAGTGCTTGAATACGGCAATGGTTTGTCGGTCTGAGAGCTGCCAAAGACAAACATGGTTGTCACTAGATGCGGATGCAACGAGTATGCTAGCAGGATGAATGGCAACGGAATTGATTTGGTCAGTGTGGCCCGTCCAAGGATCATCGATCACCGACCTGCTTCCAGGTTGTCGTATCCCAATAGTAGGATCTTCACTATTGCCGCCTGTGAGAAGACATGCACATGATGTACCATTGGGCATCCACGCGAGTGAAAAGTTGTATGAGGTGTGAGCGCTTGACTCGCGCTTGAAGCTTGAGCCTCGAATGATGTGACGCGTTTCCTCGTGTCTGAATTGTAAATTTGAATATCATGGTTTGTTGCGATGGCAAGAAGTCCTCCCAACGGGGTCTTAGGATTTTGCCGCATCGTGCCGCATCGGCCCGGCAGCGCGCCCTACACAACAAGTCTCTTATATGTGTATATAACATGTCTACGTCGTTCACAAAGGTCTCAGATATGATTTATGATTAAGAAATACCATAGTACATGTTTTTGTGTAAGAATATAGTGGTATCACAGTGAATATAGTACTTTCATGGGTGTGGCAGGGTGTGGCAATTCTGAGATTTGGTGGCTGTGCACTACCGCACCGCACCAACGCATCCTTCTTATCAAGTATACCTACAGCATTGTCCATGGTGTGCATTGTTCTCAGCAATTCATGCACCTCTGCAGCCTTGACTGGCAATTGGTTTTCATCACCAGATGGAATCAACCTTACTACCCGCTAGTCAACCACAACGCTGCGGGCCGCCTGAAAGACACGGCTACCAACTTGAAAAGCGGCCAAGGATTCGCCATGAACATCATCAGCGAGGCATTCATCTAGGATGCAAATGCGACTGCCGTAGACACTCCTCCCGAGTTCGACGAGTGGGCTCTCAGCGGTCTGACAAAGGAGAAATGTGTACGTGTGCACCTTCATCATAAGATATATGGACTAACAATCATGCATTCAGGTGCAAAATAAGAGCCTCGCGCGTCAAGGAAAGCGCGAGGCAATTTCATTCCAGGCTGAGCCCGCTCGTTCGCTGACATCGTCGCCTCATACAAATCGATAGATATCACACACCCAGTCGCAGGCGAGCACAATAGCACGCTCATCCTCGCGCACGTCAAGTACTTCCATGTACCTTCCTTGGCCGTGGCCGTGGTTCTTTTTGGTATGTTTCTCTTTCTTAACGACTTCAGGCTCACTTCTTGCCACCGTGAATATGAAAACGACGCACATCCAGCTCTTCTTCAAATTCTGGTGCATACGGATCTCGGTCACCATGATACCAGTGCTCTGGCAGACCCTCATATGGGTTCCATCAGTCTTGGTGCATGCCAGCGTCTTTCCCCATTTTTCATTCCCTGCGGCCAACGAGAGTTCGAACATTCGTATACTAAGGTACTCCAGATCAACGTCTACGTCCGTCGCAGACAGACCTCTAAATTCAGCCTCTCAAAGGCATGTCCGAGAGGCGCATAGAGTAATACTGCTAGGTCAATTATCTTTGTGTATGATTACAGTAGTTGTCGGAACTGAGCATTGAATGTATGTTTCGGTGTGATGCGTTAGTGGTGCGGCAAGTTACGGCAGTGATGCGGCAAAATACCTGAGCCCCTCCCGACGGTGAATACCGTATTACGCAGAAGATGTTGACAAACTCGATTGGATCTCCTTCAAGTTGCAGCCGCCAGGTTTTGGTATTCCACAGTTTCGTCATTTTTTCCCAATATGAACCAGTGGCCAGCGCTGCTCCATCGGGAGAAACATTCAGCGAGGTGATCCAATTGGAGTGTTGCTTCGATTTTGGCGAGTAATTCGCCAGTTTCTCCGTGTCAGACGATGACCTCTCCGCTTGCATCACCGCTTGCTATCAATTGCCCATCTCGTGATACCGTCAATCTCAACACCTGACTGCGAGGCCCCTCCATCTTCTTCGACGTAACACCTGTATTCAAGTCCCACAGAAGAAGTGTTGGGTCATACGAGCCCATAACCATCCGACGTTTATCAGGGAAAACTGCGACTCCAGTTATGCGTTCTTCATGACCTTCCAACCGTCGCAGGGGAGTGGTGATTGTAATGAGCTCCGACATTTTACTGGATGTTGTTGTTATGGAATACAGACGAGGCTAATCTTTGGAAGGATTACGTCTTTCTCTAAGCTGCAGAGGGTGTATGGTGCGTTTTATGGTGCTTCACAGCTTGCCTCATTTCAATAGATGCCCAGGAGGCTGTTCGTGCCCACGCCTCGATCACCGTAATGCACTCACCCTACCGTTGTCCTCGATAGTATGCACATCTGCAATGCATACATGCGTCCGACTCTTGTCTTCGCAGCTTCCAGAATGTATCCCATCGCATCAAGTCGAGCAGTCCGTGCTTTCCAGCGCTCGAATCTGACTGTCTATCCTGCATGAATACCGTTGTTTTTCCTATCTAGCAGCTACTCCGGCTTATCACCACGTTACTCCTTCGAACGCATGTATATAGCTTACTGCAATATCACTTCTCTATCCAACAGACTCCCAAGATCCTTGTGTGCACAAGATGCAACAGACTCGCCTTACATTTAACCTCTACTGGGCAGGTGGCAGGCCTCTTCCCATGTCACATATTAAATCTGGAGCAAACTTGAATATGCTGATGGATAACGAAAGTCAACGACACTAAAAAAAGGTAATACGTGATTTCACCCCAGAACCATATCCGCACAGCTCTTGGCATTTCATTTTTATCAACTGCGATACCCTTTCTTTCGTGTGGCGAGGGGTGAATATGCATGGGAATACAGGGTGCCTGCATCGGGTGGCTCAGATAAAATACAGGGATTCTCGAAGATGACTCACGTTGTTAAGCCTGCCGTCCATTTCACTCCTTCAGCATCAGGCCCGACATTCCATCCTGGCGCACGTTCTAACCGGAAAACAGTTAGAATATTCACAACTGCGGTGAATAAAGAAGCGTCGGCGACATGTTGTCCAACACTGTTGAAAGGTGAGGCAAACCCGTCTATCCGCAAAACTCCAAACTTCGTACCAAAGACGCCTTCCAAATCCAAAAACAAAGGAAATATCATCACTGGCAGGGCCATGTGTTGACGGCTCTTCGACAGCGACTTTTGACATGTGACGCTCGGGTATGAACCTCGTTGGGTTAGGATATTTATCTGGATTGCGTGCCATAAACCTTGCATAAGAAGAAATGATTATGTCTGATCTTTGTTCACTTGATATGATAAATCATCATGCGTTGGGTACTACAGTAGCATCCACAATCAGTGACTATGCTAACCGGAATTCGACGAGTCAAGAATGCTGACCCAGGGGAGCGACAGGGAACCACCTTAGCGTCTCCAGTATGACGGCATTGATGAAGGGCATGGAAGTGCGATCATTCCAGCCGGGCAATCTTTCGAGAATTTCCCCAATGACGGAATCGATCTCTGCTTGCGCACGTGTTTGCACCTCGGGATATAGAACCATCGCGAGCAGGAAAATGTATAAAGTGGACGTCGTCTGGGCCTTTGGTCAGCATACAAATAAAATAGAAATCGCGTCAAAGTATACAGTTCCTGAGGCAGCTAGGAGCACGGAGAAAATCAGTAGAGATATAATGACCATTGCAGATTTTTCACGAACCAGCATAAGGTAATGAGTTTGGGGGACATGTTAAACCTCGATGATTTGATGGATGTCGCGAAGAACGTCAGCGTCCTTCACATGAGTGGTGTCAGTAGTACTAGTGGCACAGACGTGGCATCACCATTTTCTGGAGTCGTTTGCAGGCGATTGTGTAGGTGGCAGAGCATCACCGGGTCCAACAGAGTCGGATAACAAGTAATAAGCTATTTCTTATAAATCGTTGGAAAATATGCTCGGTGAATGGCGATTGAGGCCCCATTAGTCACTCCCCTGCCCCTTTGACCCTCTCACCCTCATCCAAATCCACATTTCTCTTCTTGGGTTCCGTGCTGCAGTGTCCTTTTTTCGTGTTAATCAGTATATGATGATCCAGATATGATTGTCATATGCTTACTTAGAAATGAAATAAGATGCCAATGGCAGAATTTGCTCTATGGTCATATTTTCCAGCATGTCACCTTTTCCAACTCTCAAGACCATGTAAGGACCTTTGTTGTTCCAACCATCGCGATTATGACGGTCATACAGCACAAGGTATTGTGCTGGCTTTTTATACTTTCGGTCTATCCAGATGGTGTGTTCGTCAAGGATTGCCTGAGGCTGAAAGTAGTCGTTCCTCTTGCTGTCAAGGAGCCGGAAACGACCATTACTGTATTGCTTGATTCTGATGCAGATGACTTTGCTGTTGTCAAATTTGTCACAGTATACAGCAGTAATGAATTCAATTTTGCCAGTCATGGTGGTAGTATGGTGGATTGGAAGCTTTTAGGAGACTTTTTCTCGTCAGTTTATTTAGCTGCTCCTATTTTTCTCCTACTAATTATTAATTCACCTCTCTCGCCATCCAGGCCCTAAGCGCCAAGATTGACTTCTCTTCTTACATAAGCCATTATCTCCCCTTTGTAACCGGTGGTGAAAGTTAACGTATGAGCTATCATCCATGGTGAAGGAAGAAGGTGCATGGGAAGAAGGTGCATGGGCGTGTGAGATGCCAAGAACCACGTTCGTTGTGCTCACTAGGAGCTTGACCCACAGTATCAGATGATTGTTGGTCATGTGAAGGTCGTCCTTCGGATGCCTTTTCCTGCTGACGCTTGCTTTGGCGTGACGAAGCAATGCTGTCGTCGTGGCTCATCGACGACGCTCGTTTGTCTAGCTGAGCAGAAAGATCATTAGCAGACACTTCGACCAAAATCAGGATACTTACCGCGTAGCCATCCTGATGTGTGCCATTGAAAGAATTCTTGGTGGGGTTGGAGTAAGAAGGCGAAGTCTTATGATCCTCCTCGTCATCAACAACAGCGTCAGCATCTTCATACAGATTATCCTCATCTTCGTCTTCCTGGTCCTGTTCAATGCTAGACCCATCTTCCTCGTCCTCTTCGTCACTGACATATCCGGCAGAACGGACTGCCGCCTCAACTGGTCATCCGCGGTCCATTTGCTCACTAGCGACAAGATAACGGGCACATAGTATTCTGGCATCATTCCACCACTCCATCATATCCTCATGACTACGAGAGCGGAATGACCAAGCGTAATGGCCACCCGTCTCGGGAAATTTGAAGGAGCCGTGTTTAGTGGTACCCGTACCGTTTTCGCGACCCTCGTTATGGAACTTGTGAGACTTCGAAAACGGCGTTGATGGAGGGCCAAGCGTGCAGCCAGAAGGAATAATGAAAATACTGGAGTCTGACTGCCTGACTGAGATGGGTCAGACGTCGCAAACTCGTGCAAGAATCCTGCGGGAGTGAGGTCCTCATCCTTCAAACACTTGTTGCCCTCCGAGGTGGTAAATCCGCCAGACCAGCCTCCTTCGAGTGCCTCCCGTCTTCCTTTGTTTGCGTCCTTCATCATGATTTCACCTGTTTCACCCTTTTTGGGCACTTTCCCTTGTCGAATACAGCACGGTAGTCCGTACAAGTAAATCGCATGCATAGGTTGACACGAATACCTGCGTCAATGGCTGAGTCTACAACCGCTTGATAGTTAGCGAAAGTCGAAATTAGTGAGAAGCTGAGGGAGCCGAGTGCGGGAGGAACAATTCACTGAAAGAGCCATGACGTGAAAAGAACAGTGCCATCTCCTCCAAACTAAGTCTCAAAATAAGTGAACATATGAGATGGATCGCTTACCGTGATGACAGAATCGAACAGATGCGGACTATTTCGGCACATATCACTAGTCCAGTATCGTAGCTGACCCTCCTGGGGCGTGTTGAAATCATCTTGATGAGTAGATGACGATGACAAGGAAGAGAGAGAGTTGCTGCTGGATGACCGTCTTCGTGAGAGAGGCTCAAACAATTCTGGATGATCTCTTTGTAAACCTTCGGCGTCAAACCTCCTCGAATGCGCAGTTGATGGTCTACATAGCTGGTGAAGTCATCGTAAACGCCCTGAATAATATACTAGGCTAAAAACTCACACAATAAGGCCTTGACCCCCTTCACGATGTTTAAGCATCAGATACAATGCAAGTTCATGCGTCAGGTTGATAAGGCAGTTATCCCTGGGCTTGGTTACAATGAGGACGTTCTGGATATTGGATTTTATTCGAGCACGTCCTGAAGGAGCATAGTTATTGAGTGAATAGCAAGTCTGAGAATAAGAACAGTGCTCACCGAGTTGCTTGCTCATTTCACGAACCCCGACTGCTGCCTCTGCCAGCTGCTTCGCAAGGTTGCCGCCATATGTATCGCTATCATCATCTTCTGAGACTTCATCAGGATAAGAGAATTCAAGGTGGTGTTGAGGCCGATGGTGTTGCTGAAGAGCCTTGGCGACTCCAACGCCTGATCCAGGTACCTCGTTATCCTTAGTATGGATATCAAGCCAATCCTGGAGCGATGCTCCTTTATCTAGGTGTGAGTGTACGAAGCAAGGTGACTTTGCAGATAGACACCTATGCTTGATGGGCATTGCTAACGATGAACTGAGACTGGAGCTCGAGCTCGAGCTTGAAATTGATCAGGGTGATTCGGTAGATGGAGATGCCATAAAGAGGTCGTTGTGAATTGGTGTTGTGGAATTATCACCTGGACTTATCCGTCACGCCACTGCCAAGGCTTTCCTGAAGGTGGTTGTTTGTACAATAGCAGGTCAGAAGGTCCTAGGGCATGGCAAGGGGACCGTTTTGCCCCTTGCCATGACCAACTTTTCCCGCAGAGGTTGCCGGCTTATATAAGTGCCATGCGCGCGAACTTATTGTTCTTGCCCTGCAGTTGCCAGTTACTACCAATTGCTCACCTCAGAGCTCTGCCTGCTTTGCCGCGTAACTCCGTTTCAAGTGCGCCGGGGGGCGAAAAGGATAACAAGGCAGAGCTAGTTTTTTTAAAAATTTGCACCTCTTAATGTTACTGTTCCAGAACTATGCCATTACCAGCCAGAAGCAATGGGCCGCTGCTTGCAGCTCAGGTTTTGATGATGATTGGTTCCACATTGGCTCCCCAGGACGTGATCTCCACCAAATTCGCTATACTAAACGCCTCGTTGCATCTTGGAACTTGGATCGCGATGGGATAGAGAACGCCATATTCGCCATATACACTATCTACCGCGAATATGAACACCTCATCCCAGATGCCCCCGAGCTCATGCAAACTTTCATTGATGCAGAGTCTGACGCAACGTGCAAGCGTAATGCATTTGTGTTCCTTGCACATTGCACGATACCTAAAGCTACGGAGCGGTTAATTAGCATGTGTGATCAGTTGACGAGTCTAGACGAGCTCCTGCAAATGAGCATCATGATTCATAGAAGTCATCGAGTTGGATTGCAAGAACGGCACGACACATCGAGTAAGTCCTCTTCATTTGAACCATCTTGTTTGTCCTCATTTCTGTCATCTTGCAGCCGCGATATATCAGATGCATGTTTGAGTTGTTGAATTCATCATCGCATGCAGTAAAGTATGAAGCTGCTACGACATTCACTACACTCACGCAGAATTTCGCTGCTGTGAAAGGTATGTTTACGATCAGGTCTTGTGCGCATGTCTGCTCACATCATTAGCAGTTGCTTCGTGCTTTATCAATCTGGTCATCAAAGAATCAGACAACAATATTAAGCTAATCGTCCTGGATCGCCTGGATACCCTACACTCGAAGCATGGTCATATTCTGGATGGACTGACGATGGACATCTTGCAGGTCTTGTCAAGCTGGGAACATTACTAGTTGAAACTAGCCACTGAGTCCTATTGTACTTCAACCGCCAAGGCAAAGACTGCTAAGCTGAGTGAGTGCCTTCTGTTCTTGACCTGCTATACTTCGTTAATGTCTCCCTGTAGTCCACACGCTTCTTAATTACTTTAACTCTATTCCTAACAGCCGGCAAACCCAGGTTGATGTCCTAACCGACAACATTGAGCGGTAAAAGCACGAAAGGCGCATATTCCTCGAACATAGCCTGTAAGAAACACTTCTACTTCCTACGACAATGCTATCTTTCTGTTCAGGCGTTTATAGGCCTGTAGACAGGCAAGATATATGGCATAGGCCAGTTTCCTGATGACGTTGGGGCCAAGTGCGTATCAAATTTTCTCTGTGAAAAGTAGCTGATGTCATGTTCCAGGCTATCCCAGATGATCTTGGACAATGTGTTCCACGGCGTGCTGGATCAGGGACGAGGGCGCCTGATCATATTTGATGAGCTAAAAGTCGATGTACGTCCCCTCTTCCCACTCATTCCATCCATGCTCATATCCTTTTTTCAGAACATGTATGGTGCAGCAATTGAGACTCTGGTCCCTGGAGTTAATTAGCAAGGCTGTAGACTCGTATGCCAAAGTACGCCTGTTTATTGTTTTTCGCCGCTGGTACATGCTTACGAATGTCAAGATTGCCACGGCATAAACGTACTAGTTGTTTATGTTTCCTCCTTCCTACACATGAAACTCAATGCGATACGTATAACTAAGAGGAAGAAACGAGCACACTGTCAATGGTATATATATCTGTGTTCATTAGTCATGTCATCGTGCTGATATGAAACTAAGTGACTGTCATGACTCTGAGATCGCATTATGAGACTTGAAGTGGAACGTGAGACAATATTTAATGAAGTATTTCGTACTTCGCCACTACCAATATTTGTGTCACTGTTGTTGTCGATTGGCTCACTCGTCGTGCCCCGCCTACCTTGCGTTCCTGCATCCGGTGACTCCAACCTGGTGCGTCAGAGACAATTGAGCAGCCGGTATTGCCTTACCCATCCAGACTACTCTCTACACCACCTGGCCGCTTCGCAAGAGCTTACGGGCCCCTTCCAAAACATGTGGTTCCTCTGTGCATAGGCTGGCGAGGAGAAGGGTGCCATGACGTGACTCGTACCTGTGCTGGTGAAAATTGCAACGAAGACACCAACTCTAGTGCTCAAGAATGCTCATGATGCAGTGAGCAGCGTCTGGCTTCGTTCCTCTTCTTCCTTAATTGTTCCCCCACCGCGCAGAGTATAACAACTTTCGTACGTTTTCTGAAAGTCGGGAGCCTGTACTATTATACAGGTTGGCATCTCTTTGTCTGTCTGTCTATCTCTCGCATTCGTACCACATATACTTACATTAGTGATATATCTACATAGACAGTATAACTACTTGTTTCATGTACAGTGGATTTTGTCGTCCGTGCAAATGCGAGTCTTTGAAAATTTGAAACGTCTGCGACTGTCTGCCCATTGTGTCATCGGGATCTTGGTGTACAGTGTTTGGATAGAGTTCCAGGAACAAATTCTTTGTCTGCTGGCTGGCGGGCTCAATACTTCTTCTCCAGAATTTGGGTGCGAGCTCTTTTGCAACGAGCAGGTAGGTGAGCGGCTCGGCTCCCGTTACTTGGCTTATACCTGCAGGTCTTCTACCAACAGAGTCATATTGCCCTGGCTGCATCCATTCTTAGGTCATGCACACCGTCACGAAGGATCCCTGTACCACTATCCATACCAACACTAGTCCTTTGCACCAGCGCATCTATTGTTCATTCCACCATCTACACCAACAATGCCCTTGCAGATACCTCGACCGTTCATTCAAGCTCTGGACTAGGCGGAGCCGAGCCTTGAGGATGGTCCATGATGTTCGTCATGGCTATAGCTGCCTGACTGATTGGTTATGTACTACCACTCATTTCTGTCATCTCACCTCAGGCTCTCCCTAATTCTTCATCCCTGAAATCCTTACATCATACTCATGTCGAGAGCATCAATCACTTCAAAAAGTAGCAGAAAGCTATCAAAACATGGTAGCACGGATGGTGCTTCTGCGTGGAGCACCCACCTTGAACAGTGAGGAGGAATATTGTGAGCCCTTGGTGGTGGCTTCATCGGGAATGTGGGTGTTTCTGCCCCGATTGTTTGTGCCTCCTTACATGAATTGCAGCTCGGACTCTGGGCCTTCCCTGTTATCAGAACTTCACGCACAGGAGAGTACTTCGAATGATTCACCCGAAGGCGCCTCAGCTGCATGAGTTCCACTCAGTCGTAATCTCGAACATCATATCATCTCAGGGAGGCGCAAAAGGTCGCAGGGCAGGAGTACCAGCCAAATACAAGTGAAATGTGAGTGGCCAAGTAAGCCAAACAATCAAAACTGATAATATTATTCCTGCAGTGGGCAAGTCATGAAGGAAGTGTTGGAGGTTCTCAAGGACTCAATGATTGCCTTGAAGACTGGCAAGGACACCCGCTCTCGTTTCTGGGCGGCATATAAAAGAGTCGCCGAGGAACATGGCGAAGAGTTCCTTGAGTAATATTACAATGAAATAGAGACTTTTAATCTTCGTAAGTTTCGCATGCTCGCTTTGGCCTTGTGTTGGGATTGACGTCTGATCAGTCTGGTCTGTTCTCCCCGTCAATGCGGCTTTTATTGTGTCCATGGAGTCGAATCTCACTCCAGGCGCCAACGACACCACGCATGCCCTTCTCACGCAGCTCATCCAAATCGGACTCGGGAACTTCACTGCAGCGGGGTCTACGCCAGTATCGCCAGCACCTACCTGGTCGCCGCCCACAGCCAATATAAGGATCCAATGTATCGCCTACACAAGCTTGTTCTGTTTACTCGCTGCTTTCGGTGCTGTGCTAGGCAAGCACTGGCTTGGGTGCTACAAGGTGACAGATACGACCGCTGCTCGGAGGATGGGGATGAACGAGCGGAGCGCAGACAACGGAAGTTCGATCACATGCATTTGAGGCTGTCGTGCAATCGTTCCCGCTCCTACTCCAGTTCTCTCTTCTTCTCTTTGGAATTGCCCTCAGCGCCAATATGTGGTACGAGCAGTATAGTATCGCCTGGATCGTCATTGCAACCGTGGTCTTCAGGTTTTTGTTTTATTCCCTGATGGTGATGGCATCTTTGGTATCTCCCGCGTGTCCATTTCAGATGTCAATGTCGACGATATTGTGCATATTGCATGACAGTAAGATCACTTTCATGTCTTGCTCATTTCTAGTCTGAGTCAAAACTGCAGAGGTCCTACATCCGACGGTCAAATTCGCCTCCCGGCATCTTAAGCAGTCAGTGCACTGTGGTAAGTCCCATTCTCTTAAGCATGAGCAAAATCTTGACCGTATCTTGCCATGTGTGTTGTGACGTCGATTACATCGATACCCATATTTCTGGCGTTTTATGCATTGAATCTCATTATCAGGACTAGTGGGTGACGTTCTTTGGTACTATTGCATAGCACACCTAGCGCTTATATCACTCTAGACTCTGTATTTGCAGCCTGCTCATTCACATGGCGCTGTCTTCAGCCGTTATTTCAGCGCCTTCTACTCTGGTGGTGTACTGACATGGGAGCCTGAAGCACAATCTTCTGACCACAGCCTGAACATCGTAGCCACGAATCAATCCCTCCTTAAGCTCGAGCTGCCAGACATACCTACCAGCTCTCTTGAAGCACCTTGCATCAAGTGGCTGGTTAAGACATCCACAGATCCTGAAGTATTTCTCGTTGTTGCTAGCCTTGTTCCTCATGTCGACTGGCCTCTGGATCTCGACGTCTCATACATGCTGCGTCACTTGTTTGCTTGGTCCATGAGCAAATCATACCGTCATTGGAGGAGAAGGCATTGGCATGTACAATGGCTCTATGCAATATATCGCACCTGTCTACATGCCTCTGATCATTGGGGGCGTCTGCACTCCTGTAAACGCTGGCAAAGAAAAATAGATTACTGATTTAGTACCAGAAAGATATTAGAGAATGGAGGTAAACTAGTTCCTTCCGTGTATACGCATTTCTCACAAGTCCTGAAGCGGAGAAAGCTCGCACATTTATGGGCACTGCGCCATACGTCACACCAGAGTTAGTACTAAAGAGCAAACTGGACTGTCTTGCTTACCTCGAACACAGCTCATCAATGTACTCACCACCCTTATAGCTCAGATCTCTGGGCACTCTGGTGTATAATATATCAAACGATCTCCAGCTGCTTTGCATTCCAAGGCCTCGGCAAATATCTCGCCTGGCAAAAGATCAAGTCTCTCGACTACACCTTCCCAGACAGTTTTGACAAAGAAGCCAAGGACCTCGTACGGCATCTCTTCATACCCGATCCAACACAACGGCTTGGCACCAGCAGTCCAGACTCTGCTCGCTCATATGCGGCACTTCGGCCACACCCATTTTTCACGTCTGTGTCGTGAGAGACGCTATGGACTGACCCTGCACCTTCATTGGAGGCAGGGCTGGTGAAGAAGGAGGCGCTTGTGGTGGGTGAGGTGGAGGGGGACAATGGGATGATGTAGGAGGGATGTGGGATCAATTAGCGGGTGGGAATGCTGACGTTGGTAGGAGGCACGTATGAAGCCCCCGCGCTCCCGGGTGAGATGAATTTGTATCTCATTGACTACCAACGTCGCTTCGATAAGAAATACTGTTGGTTTCCTGTATCACTCACTCATGAAGTGCACTGGCATCTGCGCTCAAGCACTATATCCCGTACCCTATGTACGTCAAGATTGATGGTGCCCAGGTGATCGATGCACACCCTGATCACTGATCAGAGTAAGGTTGAGTTTTGCTGTGTCTGAAGGCAGACCTAAGCTATTTGTACAGTCCCGAGATCGTCATCATATCCGTTAGGTTCACCGGCGGAGTATGTACCTCTGCTGCAGACGCAAAAGACGTTAGGAATAATCCCCACAATATTTTCTCTGGGTAAGCAGTCAAACAGTCCGCTCGTTCAGATCTGCTCAGTGTTAACAGTGCTTAGAAATTTGCATCTTCCCTATGCAATCGTCGCCGCAACCCAGTCCCTCGGTGACGTACGTCCCGTCTCAGGAATTACAGACAGCATGCGACTCGTGAAGGATGAGAAGATCTAATGATGACCATTTGTATGTTCAGGAGAGAGACAACCGAGAAAGACCCAGAAGTGAGTCCAGAATTTGGTCTGTCTTGTTGTTGCACCTGGACGTGAGGGCATTGAAGTCATGGCTATGATATTGCCAGTAGCATTGCCAACGGCAGGTGCGGTGGATGGACCGGAGGCGGCAGTCTGTGATTGCAAAAATCGCTGGGTAACATTGGGCTTCGGAGGCTGTGAGCTACCGGAAATAGGGTTCTTCCGAGGGAACATATTTTTGCATTTCTCCCTCGCTGAAGCATTTCTCTACATGATATTGGTTGGAGTAGAATGATCAAGGAGAAAGAACGTACACATTTTCCCTATGCATATGCAACCTCAACAGCTGCTTGGCTGTGCCCGTGCAATTCGATACCTGTGTCACTTTGTCTGCGCCATTTCAAGATATTTCCAGCCCAGTCGAGAGGGAAGGACAGTGATGTAGCACGAGCACTGGAGGGGCTGCGATTTCGGTGAAATAGATGACCAGGAATGTGCTGCCTGGCGGGGTTGAGGAGTGGGGACGGCTTTGTGCAGAAGACTGAGAACATGGAAGTCAGGAAGACAAAATTGAATTGATAGTGATGACATACATGAGAACGATCTGGTGGAAATCCATCGAAAAAACCTTGGGATACTCAATAAGCAGTGGATGTCATTGGACCAGAGGTCGCGTAGCACTATCCTAGAGCATATATGTTGAGCACAACTCTTTTGATGAAGGTGTCACGTACATGGGGTGTCGACATGTTTGTCTGATAGAGTGCATTCAGTTGCAATAACGATACATGAATATAAAATCACCTTTGAATTCAAAAGAAGGTTGTACAGGCCAGCTTCTCGAACAATCGCAGCAACATCCCATGTTTACGCGTTTGTGTCAAGCGAGCTAGTGGCTAGTGCCTTTCCATCACTGGAAAATGACAAGCAGTGCACTATATTCACATGCTGGAGAGGTGAGCTGATAGGTTGTCCATTGTCAAGGTTCCACAATTGTGCTGTCTTGTCGAATGATGCACTTGCTATAGTGGGATTATGGATACGGCCATTCGGTGATATTTCAACATTTGCCCTAATGTATGTATCACGTGATATTATGTAATTTCTGTTGCTGTTGCTGCGCCCTTCTGTTGACTTCTGTTGCCCCTTCTGTTGCCCTCAGGTCAAGCCACTGTATGCATCACGTGATATTATGTAATTTCTGTTGCTCCTTCTGTTGCTGCGCCCTTCTGTTGACTTACAATATTTAGCTGTATTCTGTTGCCCGAAGAGCAAAGAAGCTTGCCATTTGTCCGCTCAATGACCAATATCAAAAATTACTTGACGGAGGTCAGGCCGATGTCATCATTGTTGGAAAATCATAGCCTAGGAACTGTATTGGAGTGAGTGCATATTTCACTAGTGCCGCACTAAGCCTATCGCGTCTTCTCTGAGTCATTCTCAGGCTTGTGTTAGATGAAAATGGTCTTGAATCATCTCGCCGAGCTACGGGGACGAAAGCCAAGTGTGGCAGTGGACACGTTCTACTAGTGACGCATGTAGCTCGACAGTCATACCTACATACTGGATGGATCGAGATTTGAGAACAAATCGAGAAGGAATTTTATAGTTAATTATACACTCGGAAATTTGGCTTATCACATAACTGAACTTGAACTCGCACTTAGATCATCGGGAACACCTCAGCGTCAACAAGGATCCCTAATGACATGTTCGTGATGGTTGCAGGCGCTCAAGCAGCTCGTGTCTATCTCTGTGCGCTCAGACTCTTCCTCATTCCATTGGCTTTTATTTTGGATCCAAATAGTACCTATAGCTCTCACTTATTCATGTCAAAAGCATCGAACACTGACGGCGCCGAGGTCTGAGGAGCAGTATATCCGTACCAATGAACAGCCTGCTACAGAACATCTATCTATGTACTCCTAACCTAGGCCGGCCATACAAGCATATGCGGCACCTACGCCAACCCTGCAACTCTCCAGACGCAGACCGAGCACACGCAGCTCAGGCCGCTCATCTCAGATCCCTCTTTGATCCGCAGCTTCTTCAGCAGGAGCTTCACCACCAACTCTTGATCCATCAGGCCTTTTCATCGTCATTGGCCAGACTCTCAAAAGCCACTGTGCCCCCATGCGTGATCGTCTCGTGGCTAGGGTCAGAGGCCTTATATTCTACCAGAAGCGGCACATTTCCGAGTCAGTCATTCTTCCAACCTTCACCCTTTTCAAAACTAACTCGGCCGTTCTCAGCACTATCCTAGCCACACCCGCCTGAACTCACTGTATGATAGCCGTCTTGACAACAGGAATTTCTTATTTCGTCCCAGATGGTATGGTGCCCGGCTTACGCTCCGCTGTCCCTCCTTGGCGTCCAACTCTCCAAGTCCCAAATTCGAAGCGAGCCACCATCCTATGACTAGGTAATAATCAGCTGTCCACCTGGCAGGTGCAGGACCGATTGGTGTGTTCTTCCATCTTTTGGTAAGGTACTCTTGTTGATGTTTCTTACTTCGCAGGGGCAGGGGATAACACAACTTTGGCTCAGAAACTTCACCTATCGGGTACGTGGAAAACCAAGCTTAGTATGTTTCGAAACCGTAAGATTATGATCATTTCCTCAGCATGACTTGAAAGTTGACCCTCACGCAGAAGGAGTGTGTGCAGAATAGAATCTGCGACGAATTGGACGTTTTGTTTCGTCCATGGTCGAGTCAGGAGGGAGATCGTTACTCACGGAGACTATTAGTATGGGAGAGGATGATCCCACTGTCGCGACTTTAGTAATCATCATACTATGAGTGCCATTCAGGACTCGTAAAATCAACACGTGATAATGAAGAAAATAACAGTCCACACTGCCAAGCCGTCCTTTGCGTGCTGCGATGGTGACAGGTCAGGACGTTGTTACAAAATCTGACGTTATTTTACGTTCGTTGACAAGTGCCAAAGGTACCTCCCATGAGAATGTCGTTGATGAAGTTGTAGTGTAAAGCGTAAATAAAACAAAATGACAATGGTCAAAATATTTGGCATAAGTAGGCTTACCACCCTGATCAGCCGCCATGGAGGAACATCATGACCTTGTTGTGCACTGCTCATGTTACTCTAGATTTCCGGACTATGTAGATACAAATCAGATTTCTTGTGGTATAAATGAAAATATTTAGCAGGGGCAGAATTCTACCCTTCTACAATTCACATGGCTACAATATAAAGGGTTCACTGATGCCAATTGCCGTGACACCGGTACCTACTTGACGACAAATTCAGAACGTGTCGAGTTTCAAATCTAGGCAAAAGGATAGGTCATTTGGCTTAGCTTATATCCATGACTTGCGAACTTACACCAAGATGGCAACGTTCGTGGACACCCTCAGCGTCAAGAAAGACGTGTTCATGATGGCTGCACGCGCTCAAACAGCTTGCTGTAGTATGCCCCCACTACTTATATTTGTATGCTTAGACTCTTCACAATTCCACTGCCTTGTATTTTGGATTCAAATATCTATAACTCTCACTTACTCATGTCAAACTTAGCATCTAGCACTGAAGGCGCCGAGGACCAGCGCATCCGTGCCGACGAGCAGCTTACCCCAGAACAGACCCTAGCACCCCCGGAGGATTCGGAGTAAGTAACCTATTCCTGATATCTGTCACCCGTATAACAGGAAGATAGGGAGAGGGAAATTGATGGACCTTCAGCGGTGAAGCCACCATCATGGATGTCAGTAGGCTCTGATGCTTCTGTGTAACTCACGAGAACTGTAGCTCGAAAACCCGGCCATCAGAACATTACGAACAGGAAAGTGCTTCGTGCTTCGTAAGTCCCTATCAATAGCCATGATAAACTCATAAATTGTCTCAGCCAGGCAGAAGAGGTTGTAGCGGAGGAGCAGCCGACTCAATTAGGCAAGCGATCGCAGCTGACGACACTCTATATGCAGAGCACATGTCATCGAGAAAGTGCTGGATGTTCTCCAGAACTCGACGATTGAATCGATGAGTGGCGAGGACAATTGGTATCGTTTCTGGGACAAGTCGCAGCGGAACACGACCACAATTTCTCCACCAACACACGAACGACATGGAGAGTATCTTGCTCTTTGTAAGTTTCGCATGCTTATCTTTGATACGTTCTGAGACTGATGTTTGCTCAGTCTGATCTCTTCTCCACTGTTAGCTCGTCTTCATTGTCGCCATGGAGTCCAATCTCAGTCCCGACCCCAGGACACTACGAATGCCCTTCTCGCGCAGATTGGATTCGGCAACTTCACTGCTGCGGGCGCAAGATAGGTTCTGTGCTCAATACTCAGGCTAGTAATACAATATGTGGCTTCGTTGTAGACACAGGCATTCATTCGGAATAAATCAAGACTGAATGACCCATTTCAGTGACTGAAAAAGACTTGGAAATAAATGGATCCTTACCTCGAAACTAGATATGATCGAATCCATGCTTTCTCTATCAAGCACCACAGGAATGGGCAAAACAGTACCCGAAGAATCTTTAACGTTCTGTCCCTTTACCCATTTCAAGTTGGATGTTCGTTCTTTTGCCAATGCTTGAAATGAGGTTCGATCTGTCTTGGTGAATGTCGTACAGTATCGCTTCACTTTGCAAAGCAGATGCTCAGCGAATATCGGTGAAAACTGTAGAACATTCTTGTCTTCACCAGCAAGCGAGGCATCGAGATGGCGATAGAAATGAAGGAAGGCTGCATTCGTCCAATTGCTCCCTCGTCCGTCGATGTTATATCCAAGAAGTAGAAGACCTTGGAAACTTCCCATACCACGATGTTTGTCGATAAATGCAGCTGTTGCCTCTGTTGTGGGCTGTTTTGCTAGTCCAAATATGACAGTGTTGTTTAGAAATTGCAGAGCTGATAATCCATGAATGAAACCTGGGAGTTGCTGCTTGGATAACCAATCCCTGACATCATCAGCTTCCAGTCGATCTTCTTCTGACCAGTGGGCAGGGTCAGTGTTTGCCCTATTTCCAAGCAATGCTAACCAGCTGGATTGAACTGATTTGTCAAATAGGGCAGAAAATTTCTCCTTTGGGGTGAGAGGCTCTTTTGAATGGCTTGTGCATGGGCGGATATCAAAGACAGGAGAGGGAGTTCCCCATATACGGATGTTGCAACATTTGTACTCCTGAGAGTGCTCAACCCTCTCATACAGTGCAACACAAGCATCCAGGGAGTCAAAGCAAAGGGTGTGCTTCTCCACAAACTTCCGAGTTATGAAACCATGTCCGCATGACATGTAGGCTAGAAGGCTGGAAATTCCATTGGCTGTTGTTAGAGATTTGGGAGTAAATGTTTTCTGGAGAAGTCGACTGTAGTGGTTTCCAAATGGGCCATACCGAATGATATTGTAGTGATCTTCATCATGATCCACAGATTTGACACGACCATGTGTAGGCCGGAAACCATCCATAATCCGCTTGACAGTTGAATCACCCTGTGAATTATTTCGACATACGTTCAGGGCTTCACGTATCATAAGAGCTGGCATGGAGAGGGATGCTGATGGTGAAATTATGGCATCGGTGGAAAGGGGAGTAAGATCTTGTTGCTTTGAGTTTTTGGCCCGGGTGTGGTGAGATTTCAGCAATGATGATTTACGAGAAAATGTGGAAGTCTTTGAAGACTGCAGCATATATTTCCACACACCATCAGCTAAGGTGGCTGCAGCACCTATGGCTGAGGGGGAAACATAATTTTGGAGCCATATATCCAATGAAAGAAGAGCTGATGGTGGATCTTTGGTAATGGTGATTCCAATTTCGTTCGGTTTATTTTTGGTGTCAAAGATGCGATGAGAATGGCCCACAAGGTCCCACCAGCGACTAGATGCAAGGACACCATCATCAAAATTGAAAGCACGAACTACAGATGAGATGACTGCAGCACGGCATATGAAGCGTGCCTGAATGGAAGCTTTGTCGAAATTCTTGATAGTCTTGTCATTGAATCTCTTGTCAGCTTCAACGAGATCCTTGAAGAAAATGCTTTCATAGATTAGATCTACAAAGCATCTCTTGCTTGCGGTCTTTATGGACTCCTCTGTGTCCTTCAGAAGACGAGGGTCAACTGCTGGCAGCAGGATATCTTGGTTACTGCTTGATGGTGAAGACTCATGGAGTCCAAACAGATCAATAGGGATGTGCCTAGCATTGGAGGCAGTGATACAACTTGAAGTGACCCCCTTCCCAGTCCCAGTACTGGATGCAGCATTCCGCCTTTGTTTTGCTGATTTGGTTTTGGCAGCCCGCTTTGTTGCCTGCTTTTCAGCTAGAGTGGCCTCAACAAATTGGACAATTGCATCCATGATCTTGAAAAAAATAGGACTGATGGAGTATAGTTCAGTCTTGCTAGCAAAATATTCTTCAGCAAGACAGCCACCAAGCTGGGGACCAATAGTGGTGAACCAGTTATAGATGATGAGGATGCAGCGACCAGCCTGCCAAGTATGAAAGCGAGATGATATGATGTTTTCCTCCCGTTGCTTCAAAAGCCAAGGGAGGTGCCTAGCAGCCCCCTCTACCTGGTGAATGAGTGCTCCAGCATGTTTATCCTGCCAGACATCTGAGCTTGAGAAGGAAGAATGGGTACTGGCATCCATTGCTGCCTGGGCACTAGCCATGTCCAACGAAGAACTGATATTAGCACCTTCACCATCAATGGGCATAAGGGCATTTGATATGGACTCCTTCACTTCGTTTATTTCAGCCTTCAGGAGCTGAGGGTTCAAGAGCCCAGAAAGTGCTGCAAACTGTGAAGATGTCATATCAAGCTCTAGCATATTGCATTGCTGGCTGCAGCCTTCCTCCTGAAATTCCTGCAGCAGCTCCTGACAATCTCTGAAAATTTAATTAGCCTAAACCAGAATAACACAGTCATTAACCTACTGCAGGTCTGAAACTGATAAATAATGATCATACTCTTCTTCAAAACCCTTCCATCGCACTCGATAGAGTTCCCGGCCATCCTAAGTGCACATTAAGACTTCAATTCTATGAAATGAAATATACACACCTCAAGCTCCACCATGCCAGTGATCTTTTCAACTTCATAGCTGACATTAGCATCTTCAAGAGTACCATTCTTGTCAGGGTTGACATCCATATCTTCAGGATCATGAGCATCCTCTCTATCCTCATTCTCCAAGTCATCATCCTCACTCTCAATGACTCTATCCTGGGTCCTGCACTGTCGCTTAGCCATGGTAGAAGCTTCTGGTGGGCCAATATGCTGTCTCTTCTTTGGAATAGTGGGCTTTGATTGTCGCTTTTTGACATTGTGATGTGAAGCCACACCGACCTTCATCGACTGGGACTGCAGTTGACATTTTGCCATAGGAATGATTTGTTCATCAACCACATCCATCAATAACTGCACACGGCGGCGTTGAGACAGAACTTGTTCCTGACTTTGAATAGGATTAAATGGATACTTGCATATAACCTTCTCTCCTTTCTCATTGGTATAGTTGAGTTGGGAAAGCCATAGTGACTGGTCCATGGGAAGTACACGTAGCTTCAGGGAAGCATTCCACTGGGCCATTGCAAACTCCAGCATAAGCCGTGGACGATAGGCTGCTCCCAGCACTACTTGACCCTGTTCCAGATACTTATTTGCCTTTTCATCCTGTGCATCAAATTTGTTGCCTTGGTTTCCAAATGTGAGAGGACCATGTACGCCAAGACCAGAGGACCTTCTTGTTGCATTCCGTGAGGCATATAAGACAAAGCCAACTCGAGATACACCACCAGTGGAATGGCAGATAGCAGTTACTGCTTCATCAAGCTTGTGAAGTTCCTCTGGGGCCAGTCCTGACCCTACTGTATTAGGGTTCTCCTTCGGGGCAAAGCCAGAATGAATGTCATTTCCACGGAATGACAGAATTATGATCACAACATCCAATTCTCGGCAATATAACCCATGCCTGCCAAGGCAGAATGCACCTGGATCACTACCTTTAAATGTTCTCAGTACAGTAATAATGTAAATGATGCTTTGAATACACACCAGGAGGTACTCGTAGTAACAGAATGAATAATGTTGGAAACATGGGATCATCCTTCACATCCACATGCCATGACCCCTGAACACTTCCAATAGCAGATTGCAATATCCCACCAGACTGAATTGACGATACATTCATCTGGCAGGAAACAGGACCGCACTCCAACGATGCAAAGGAGAAGACATTGTTGTCTCTCATGAGAAACTCCAGGCACTCCCACTCCTCCCGTGAAATACATAGTGGCATGACAAGACGCCAGATCTGGTGGAGTAACAACAGCACCTCACTAATTTGTACACCTGCCTCTCTTGTTGCAGCCTGTACAGCAGGCCTTAGCCTTCCTTGACCATCACCCTCCTGAATAGTTGAAGCCAGGTTATATGACCCATCAACTCCAGAAGCATCCTTGTTTGACCTGTCATTGACCCGCATCCCAGGCAGACAATATATTGGGGTGATGGCATTTAACTCATCAGAGCCTTCCCGCCCAAATGTCTGTAGCCATAAGCTTCCCAAGAGGTGGTAAATTTGGCTGTGTTCTTCATACTGTGCAAGTGATTCCAACGTATGTAGGCAAGCTATAGTGATTGATTTTGTTGGATTGTTGTCCACCTGGTGGACAAATGGAATGCCCGGAATCAACTGAGTCTGGCCAGGGATGGGCGGAGTGATTGCCTTGTCCTCATTGAACTCTAGCTGAATGGTCTCAGGAGGAGCTGTGATCTTTCGCATTGCATCCTTGTGATCAGGACACAGAGATGGGTCATAATTTGTGACATATCTATATCCACGTCTCCACCTCCAGTCTGGCTGGTCATTGACTGTAAAAATTTGTGCTTGGGGATACGTCCATCCTGAAGGTGGTGTGGCTGGTGGGTTTGGCTGAAGAACAGTTTTGCTGGGTATACCCTGCATTGACCGGCCAATTTCCCAATGATTATGAGCCAAGGGGGTGGAAGCAGGATTAACACCGCAGGTTGGAAATCCAAACATGTAGTTAGGAAGTTCATCATCTGACATCCCCTGTAAATCAATATTGGAGACACTAGGATGTGATTTTGTCAGATACTGACATACAGGAGGAAATCATTAATACTCACCATGTAAGAGAGTTATGCTTGACAGCTGGTGATAGTGCCATGATTCAATGTAGTTGCCAGTGAATGTACGAAAAATGTATAACTTGAGTTATAGGGGGTTTGTCAGAGGAGGTAGTAGACGGCCAGCATCATATGGGTCACGTGATATGATGTAATGTAGCCCGTTTGGACCCCCAGCTTTCAAAAGCTGGGGGTCCAAACGGGCTACATCATTACATCATATCACATGACCCATACAGCAACAGAACCGGCAACAGAAGGGACAACAGAAGGGGCAACAGAATTTTTGAACAGCCCAGCTTCACTTGTGTGATGAGTCATTGCCACCATGGTCTCTGAATTTCTGTTCTATTTACTGACAGTGATGACATGTTTGATATCTCCTTCTTGTCCATTTCAGACGCTGATATCTAACGCATGCTGCGCATTGACAGTAAGATTATCTCGTGAATTCTCATGGTCATTCCTCATCTGAATCAACACTGCAGGGGTCCTATGCTCAGTGTTCAAACGAGTCTTCAGGTGTTTCCAGCAGCTCAAGATGTCACCCATGGTGAGCCATATTTTCTTACGTCTCCTTGTATTTTGACCGTTTCTTATCAGGCGTGTTGCTGGGGATGCTTGGTACCCTCAGACCAAGTTGGGCCCGATTTTCCGAAGCACTGGCAGGTGAAGACTTGAAGTTACTCTCTATTCTTACATAGGATACCTAGTGCTCATCTCACTCCCCAGGCCCTGTGCGCACTAGTACTGGCACATTCGCACGATGGTCTCTTCGACCATTATACACCGTGCTTCGCAACGGGTTGCCTTCCTTACTTCCACACTCTTCGACAAAGGTTAGGGACTCAGAGGCACAACTGCGCGACCAGGATCTGAATGTTTTTGTGGAGGATAAATCTACCCTTACCCTCGACCTCTGGGACAAATAGCAAAAAGCTCAGAAAACCTAGATGCCTGACATACTATTCCTTTTTGTGTGGTCCTCCAACAGCGTCCTGGTCTTCATCGTCCTTGTTGACCCATGTTTCGGGACACGCTCATTCGACAAGCTCAGTACCTTCGCAGTCAAACTGGTCAGAACGTCGTACCTTTTTTTGCTGGTTTGCTGTCGACTTTATCATCGCTGAAGAGCTGCTCGTTGTCGACATCCTGATCAACGGCTTTCTTTTTTGGTTAGCATTGAAAGTCTTCTCTATGAATTTTGTGCCAGCAAGGAAGGTCTGGGCGCGATCTTGCTCGCTGAGATTCTAGGTCTTATCGTTTACAGTGGCTCGACGGACCACTGCGATAATGAATCGTCGACTTCACATACACTTCAAAAATCGTGTCCTATTCAAGACCAATCAGTCGAATACGATATGGGAAATGAAACAAACTAAATTATGAAGTTGAAAGTGAATGGTCAATTGGTCGGATGAGTGGCCTTGCTAAGTCGAGTGCATAAAGACGACTGAACAGCGGCACGGACTACGGAAAACACGGGAAATTCAAAGCAGAGTAGAGATTAATTATTTGGTTAGAACACTGCGGTGAACAATGCCATAGGCACATACTACATTCATGCAAACTTTGTCTCGTTGATGATCACTTCGGGAAGGCCGAGCTAGAACGGAGTAGTGAGTGATGGGCGCTGTTCGCCTCAAAGAGTCAGGCTAAGTCGTGGACATCCGAAAAGGAATACTTGACCTAATTCTGACTCGGCTGAAAACGAGTGAACCCCTCATGTTGAAAAGGAATAAAATCTGTAGGATGGTTGGCCCCTTTGGACATTGCACTAGCGAATGGGCGAGTAGACCGTCTCGCATTCTTCAGAGAGGTATGCCCGTATAACAGAGTCTACCGCTCGAGGGATACATTAAGCACGTGTATGAATTGTACTTGATAGATTTGTAAGATTAAGTCATACTGAGCTCCTCCAAGCTAGACAGTCCTCGCCGACTGGCATGCAAATCGACCTGTTTACAGACAAATTAGAATGCGAGGCGTCAATTATTGTGATTAATGATATATAACAGAAAAACGCTGAAAGATAACAAAAGGAGGATATCAGTGTGAACGTGATCGGCCAGTCCAGTAGACTAGAACGTCTTGTCCTTCATAGAATTCACTCTGATACAGGACAGAAATTGGATATATATATATATAAACGTGATCGACCATGTTCTAAAACCATCAGTGATCGTCGTCGTCGGACGGAGACGCACAGCAAAGGAACAGCACAACACGAGCCCACTATTTCGAGTTGTTGACGCGTTTTGCTTTGTCGCTAGCTCGTTACGGCCGCCGAGTAACATACAGTGCCTGCAGATAAAACTCAAGAAACCAGCTATTGATAACACATCCCTCAAACGACATACCTTCTTGTCATCTAGTGTAGGGGCGTCGACAACAGGAGGACTGCGACGAGAGGAGGTACCAGGTCCCAGTGGATGTTGCTGAGGTTCGTTTGGTTCATCGGTGTTTGGCCGGGAACGGTGGAAGAGTGAGGGAAGGAGAGCGAGGAGCGCACGTGGACGTGATACCCAGGATGTTGCAAAAGCACTGCGGCGGCGACGTAGAGAGGAATCAGGATGGAGACGGCGGGGATTGGAAGACTGAAAATATGAATATCAGAGCAAGTAGTGCAGGTGAATTGTGGTAACGCACAGGACCGGTGACCGTCTTGCACGTTTTCGAAAAAGCCTGGTGTACTTGACATGGGGCTGGACGGATGGGCGGACGTCGCGTAGCATTAGCCTGGAATGCTGATATCAGGATGAAGGTCAAGGTCAGAAAAAGACATGGCGTACACCTGATAGCTTGTGCGTGTGGGACATTAGCGTGTTTCATATCTGAAAAGTTACAAGATGATACATACCTTGTTTTTGAGTTCAGAATTTTGTGCCTGATAGTCATTGGGAATGAGATAGCGGGTGAGAATCAAGTTGGCACTCACATCAGGTATGGACAGAAGGTCTTCTAGGCCAGCTGTTTTGAGGGTGTCTTGGATGTCCCATATGTACACGTTTCTATCGTTCCAACCTGCAGTGGATAGCAGTGTTCCATCACAGAATCGATACAATTTTCGTGTTGAAGAGGTGGCCCGATTTGGAGGTTTGTGTCAATATTCCAGAGAGGCGCTGTTGTATCCCATGATGCACTCGCAAGGAGGCGGTCGTTGGGAAATAAAATGATGGAGTAGACAAGACGTGTGTGACCCTCCAGCACAGCGATCTGCTGCCATGTGGCAGTGTCGAGTGTCCCAATCGACACCCCCCCCGGCGTTAAGCTTCTTTTCATCCCATGTCCAGGTTAAGGACCAAACTGGTTGATTGAGTTCGATCATGGACAGCAGCTTGCCCGTCTTTGTGTCCCAGATGCATTTGCCGTATTCAAGTCAGCTTCAAATACCGCCGGAACCGCCATACTTGGCGCGGGTATTTTTGCCAAGGAAGGTGTGCAGATTAACACGAGGCTTATAACTTGATAACACTTCAACTTCAATAGCACACCTTCCTGCACCGCAAACGCTTGGCCCTCTCGCACCAAAGCTTAGAGCTGTTTACTCGCGATCAGAGAAGACTGCGTGAATTTGCTGCCCAAGCAACGTTAACCCTCCTCAATACTACCCTTGATTGTCTACTATGACGGAAACCCATCTTTCAATCTTGATACACTTCTCGCTAGACCTGACATTTCATCCGTTATCGTCATTCTCCCAATCACTCAACGAACAAACATCATCTTGAAAGCACTCGCTGCTGGAAAGATAGGTGAAGTCACCTTCAGTCCTCATACCGTCAACTTCATGAATAAGGAATCAAAATGGTTCAAGACCCCGTGGCGAACTGTTCCGGACGTGAGAGAATGTCAATATCCTCGTTCTGATGTATGGTCTGACAAGTTCTGGCTCGCGCCTTTGCTTCTATCGGATTAGTATCAAGGAGGCTTCCTGGTAAGATTCGTGTTGTGCCCACCTCAACAAGCTGATACGTGGATGAGCATAGCTTGATGATAGTGTGGTTAGTTTCAAATACTTGCAGAAACCCGCAACTGACTTGCTTTCACTCTGCCGCAGCTCTTCATGTCATACTCCCAATTGCTATGACATACCTCTCCAGGTTTGCATCGCTTAACAAGGATTGGCTTGCGCCCCATGATACCATTAACACAATCATGCGGACAGTTCGCATAGCATTTACGAGCTCAGTTTCGCTGCACCCAGCCCATCTCGTTCCGATGCAGGTCGAGGTCTTGCCGCCATCACCGGTACAGATGGCTGGCTCCAGGTTCAGCAGACCATGGCTTGTGACCTCATCCACAACGTCGAGAATGGGTTCAAGTCGGGCACCCGCGATGCAAATGGGGTACTTGGACCCAAAAAGGAGGAAGTTATTGATGAGCCTATGAGAGGCGTAGAATTGGAGCAGGTGAGCTTCTTTGCGGCCATAGATGAAAACTGAAGGGTGTTGCGGTTATTGAGGCGGCCTTGACTGGTGGTGGTGAACTCATAGAAATTCATCAGCCAGTCCTAGACTGTCATATGGCACGGAAAAGTTGCGGAAGTATATGATGTACAAAGCAATCGGCATGTAATCATGGGATCTGTTATCGATGTTCCTTTGCGCCATACACATATATGTGTTTTGATGTCTACTGTGTCTCTTGTAGGTAGTTTTGGATACCGTATGTTTATTATATGTCACTAATGATCAGAATGCATGATGGTACGGAGAGATTTTCGGGAATTCTGAGCTGCGTCACAAGTCGACAATGGCGCCGAGGCACCTGATGTAAAAGGTAAAGCGAGATAGGCAAGATTGGTTCGTACTTTGCAAGTTTTTGCCATATTGTAGTGAGACGAGTAGTGGGATGCATATAAGTGCAGGCATTATTGAATAATTAACCCTACTGATGGCGACCAGGTCAAAACCACCTATGGTGCAAATTGAGTGATGGAGATCTTCAAACACCATTTGTACACCTCAGGGATTATGACGATAGCTCACAACTCCACAATTAAACCAGGTGATCCGACTTCCTGTGCAAAACTCGAAAAACGAATGGTTCGATATGCCGGAAAAGAGTATCGAAAACAGAGGCAACAGAGCGATTACAAAACGCGGAATGTCCAACAGTGAGAAGACAGATGACTTATCGACCAGAAGGTCGTAAGGGCTGACCGGGAGGAAGAACAAAAATTGTAGGAAGCCGGAGATTGAGATCGGATCGGTAAACAGTGAACACCCTGTATATTACACCTGCCGATACACCAGCCTTGCATGTTCTCGACAATCGTGGCCGCGTATGCGTCAACCTCTACGTGTTGTGCGACTGTATCGAGGACGTTTCGGCGCCTAGGAGCCTGTGCTTGCAAAGATTGGGCTTGGGGGACAGCGCTAGAGTGTTGTGTGGTGTTGCTATTAGGAGGGCGTGAGGTGCTTGCGGCAGAGTTCGCAGGTTTCAATGGAATTATTTTCGTCTGTCTTTCTCTTGCTGATGCATTCCTCTACGTGGATATGAGATGGGGTGTGAATATTCGAGGACGACAAAGATGACATACATGTTTGCCCTTGGCATACGGAACATCGACGACTGCGGTGTGATGCTTGATATTTTCACTGCCCTGTCTTCTACAAAGTCAATTTCGAACCCAGTAAAAAGGGCAGGGTCGGGACTCGGGACAACGTATCATGAGCATTGGAATGCATGGGGCGGAATAAAGAGGAAAACCGAACAGTAAGGGTATTTACATGTGATGCCCATGATCGAGGGTGGATGCAATGTCATGCAGAGACCTGAGAATATCAAAGTCAAGAAAGAAGCACTGGATGAGATATTAGCGACATACATGAATGCGATCCAGTAGGTCATCGAAAAAACCTTGGGGTACCTGGCGCTGGGGACAGTCATAATTAATGCATGAGATGACAAGCTGTAGAACTGACTCGTGGCATGGGCGGTTAGAATCCGAATCAAGGTTGAGATGTATTCATAGTATGGCTGACATTTCGTGATGTGCATAGCATAAAATTATCATGATTCTAGTGGTCATAACATAATGATATGTGTATGACGTACTAGTGTAGAAACATGAGGTATGAAGGAAGGGGAGTCACAATGGTGGTGATGCTAGTGGCTCAAGGTCTCTCTTATGACGGAGTTCCTCCCAGATCTCGGGGTGTTCTTACGTACTAACACATCCGGTTGTTCAGGTACCCGGTATATGCTAACACAACAGGTGGGAAGGAAAGGAGCCGCTACTGCAGGATATCCAGGGCAAGGACATCTATAAGTTGAATCCGGTTGGCAGCCTGATCACAAAATTGCAGTCCTCTCGCAAAACTGCTCGTGATTTGGGGTATCGCTGGGCATGGAGCGACACATTTGTATTGATAAGAGCAACTGAGCTCTTAAGAATCGGGTCAACTCCATGTTCATCTCCATTTGAGCGCTTTCAGTACATCTGTTCCTTCTTAACGCGTTGCTCGCTAATTATAGTTCCATGAAATCAGTTCAACAGGAAAGGTAGGTTAGTGCTACGTTGATCCTGTTGTCAATTCTCATCTTCCATGTAGACTGACATCTTCACTATCCATGTGATCTCACCATCCGTTGTATTGGCCTGCGACTACCTGACGATTTGGCTGTTGGAATGAATAGGAATGGTTGTATGCATGCTCCAGAAGTTTCACATGTACAGCGAATGTGCGGTAGTGAGAAATAATGGTATGATCGGTTTGCATGGCAGGATCTTCCTTGTTTGGAACAGGTAGGTGCTCCCATGCGTGCAAGCCTACCTGCTTCGCGTTGGTTTATGGATCAAAATCATAGTAGGCTTGCACCCTTTGCAAGCCGAGGCACGCTCTTGAAATGACGTGGCAGTTTGGATCGACCTTTAATTCCCTTAAACTCGGGAAACGAATAATCTATTCAAAGTAAATTTATGTCATCCAATACATAAGATTGCTACGTACACTTGGGTCATGCAGAAATTGGGCCTGAGAAGAGGTCCAGTAGTCTCCTTGTTCCGTTCGGAATGGTAGTAGCGGCCCGTCTGAAAGGAGTTGTTCGTTGTAACCAACTTGGGGGATTCAATAACAGAACAATACCCTTAAAATGAAATCATACATACATAGTCTGTCCACATTCGAATGGTGAACCGAAAGAAACCACGTCAGTAATGCAGGTGGGTAATTTGCACCTGTTCACTCACAGAATAAGATAGGATCGAAACCGGCCTATGCAAAGATGAAAATCAAGATCGCTGCAGATGGTCAGAAGGAATTGCTCACATAGTCTGGGTAACTCTGCAAATCTGGATGATAAAGATCAACAAGTTTCACTCGCACGCAAGTAACTAACCATTTGTCCATTCCCACCCTAACTCATCGCTAGAGTAAGCATATGTCAAAGTGGAAACAAATGTATTCCACCCACGAGCAATAAATGAACAGTGTTGTGCACACCTCAAAGCGACCCACAGTTGATGAAATCTATATCTCTTTTCGATTCTGCGGTATGATTAGAAAACTCGTCCCAGCTGTCAGCATATTTATCAATATATATAATACTGACAGAAACTAGGATGTACGCTATCGCAGAATTTTCGTCATCACTGAACGCAAAGAGTTGGGCGACTCCGCATCTCAGATCATTTGCTCTGGCTTTGAACATCCTTACAAATGCAAAATCAGCACCAGCCTCGCGCAACATGTCTCCCAAAATACTCACTTTTGCAACAAGTCTATGTGGCTACCTTCAGGATCTGATGTACTAGAAGCGTGGCAGTATGTCCTCTGCCACCTGGAGAAATACGCCACTTGTCCTGTCTACAGACCACATTTTAGCAAGAGTGGTCCGGAGAGGAAAAGGTAACGTTACTGAGTCATCCTTCTCGTCGCTAAAGTCGAATAGGACTCCGCTGACATAGGAGAGAAATGAGAGTGGATGATAAAGAATTTGCTTTTTACCTCTAGCAGCCATGATTTCGACTTTTTCTTGTACAGAACAGGAGGAAGGCCATTCTCAGGTACATCCTAGTTAGATGGGGTGGCACTTACAGGGGTGCGCCCGATGCACCAATAAGAGATAGCCCCCCGGACGTTCTCCTTATGGGAGACAGTCATCCTCATGCACCCCGTGCGCTGCCCATCCGAGTCGAAAAGTTATTGGATTGAAACAAGGTCCCTGCCGACGAAGTCCGGCCCTTTCCTCTAGTTATGCCATATACCCTGTAAAATATCCTTGATCCTACCCAAGATACTCTTGCCCGCGTCAATCTGATCCTTCACTTCCTGAATTTGGACCTTAAGTTCGTGTATCTGAGACCGCACTTCCTCCTTGTTTTCCTCTGCAGCCTTTTTTGCCTCTTGCGCCATCATGTCTGCCTTTTGCGCAGCCGCTTTGGTCTCCATGGCGATGTCGGTCATCCGGTCCACAAAAAGAGTGTTTGTTTTTGAAATTGCCGCTAGAAATGACATATTTTCATCCATCTTGCCAGTCAATGTTGTCTTCAAGGAAGTAATCGCTTCTGTAATCATCTCATCTTCTGAACGGTAGTTAGTTGACAAAGTTGAATATCAATTGAAGAACTCACTAGCGCTTGCCGCTGTGCTGCCTGCAGCACTACCGAGCCTGTTGGATCCAACAGGGCTGGAGGTCCTAGTGCCATCTGACCTGGCGCTGTCATTCGAATCCTCCGCAGTCACATAGTTTTGAAATGGGAACTCATTAGCAAAACTATCGAGTGATGGTGCAGATCTCGGCTCTATCACTATTGACATCATATGTTAACGTATGGATAGAGTATCGCGAATGAATGATACAAACCTGAAGTATTGGGGTCCATGACTTGGACACTTTGGTTTGTGAGTAATAATATGTACGTAGGTGTGTACGTACAAGATTGCACGTCAACGATAGATTATCGGAATTCTTATAAGTGACACAATGTAATCGTCATGATGTTGACTAGTTTTGGCCAACAAAAAAAAAGCGGAGCTCGCTGAGCTCACTCACAATCGATCGTGTGCTCACGATAGAGGAGAAGAGGCTGATCAAATACGATTGCATTGTAAGAAACCCGTAAAGTTGAATGGACTCCCACGTTAGTGCTTTGTTGAATTCCCATCCTTGGTTCCGGCTTTCTCCGATTCTTCTCTTTGATGAGTATGAAACTTGATTGACTTCCGAAGTTCCGGACGTCGTCGATGATCCAATTCAAATGACATCACAAGAGTGCGGTAATGTCTGCACATGGTCAGTCTCCTGCAACCTCCCAAATTACTGTAATTTCTGCTTATTTTGTGCTCTGGCAGCCATCAGTGAATTCATGAGTCCTTGAAATCGTAGCCGTCGCAGCTGTAGGATGATGTAATTCTGCCCCTACTGAATACGACTATATATGTATACCACGTCTCGAGAAATTTGACTTGATCATACTATCAGATATATAGACCTTCACGTGGAAGTCACACCCGCGCACCTAACCTAGTTATAGAACCGCAAGAACACAAAGACAAGAACAAAAAGAGAAACACTCACTGAGCTTATTCGCCTTCCTGGAATTGTCCAGACTCCCTAGGCGTCGTCCCTGTATCCCTAGCCCCACTGAATGTACTAGCAGCCTCATCCAGCGCCCCACTGATCTGGCCCCCAATCGTCAACAAGCCACTCGCCAAACTCGAGATGAGGTCTTTGCCCGTGCGGGTAGCGACGATGGTGTTCATGGCGCCACTAACAGCTGGGCCATGGTCTGCAGTGAGCATCAGCACTATCTCGATGAACGTGGTCACCCAGGAAGGAAGACGATGTTTGAACCAGAGGAGAGACGCGACTCCCCTAAGGCCGATGTCTTCTCTGAACACATCTGAGATGCGCATGCCCGCATAGAGCAGGTCCTGTCCACGCTCGTTAGAGATCATACTGGTAAACACAGCCAGCTTCCTAACAAGCCCCAGCTCCTGCGCCCATTTGTAATCCACGGGAATCACAGGCGGCTTGACTTCTTTAGTGAGGACGATAGTGCCATGCGCGATGAGCGCCTCATATATGTTCTTCAGAGCAGGGAGCTCCTCGAAGGTGGCGGCACGATGAAGCCTGCCTCGCACATATCCCTGTTCTTGGTCTGCAGTCCCGCTATTGTCCAAACTGTACCTCAGTAGCGAACATACTGGTACAAGTTTGAATGGCCCATGCCATGATAGGCTTCTTGATCTGGCCAGACTTCACGGCTTCAATGACGCAGTACTCTTAGACCGACTTTTCTGAGGAGGACGAGCATTTTGCATGCAGGGTCAGCTTCATAGCAGAGGTGGTCGACGAAGGTCAACCATGGGTAGCAGTCACCACCGATGGTGATGCCTTTGTAGGTGCTGTTTGTGACAAGGCCGAGGATGTTGTTAAGTTCGTTGGACATGCCTCCGGATTTGGAGACGTAGCCGACACTGCCAGGGCGGTAGAGCTTGGAGGCAATAATGTCGTCCATCATGCTGCAAGAGGATGTTCAAGTCAGTATGAGTCAAGCATAACGGAGCAAACGCACTCTCCGGAATTGCTGATCCTGAAACGACCAGGCTTGATCCCTCCAACAGTGGCAGGCCCGATTATCAACATGTCCTTCTCCTTTGCCTTCCACAGAATCTCCCTCACCTGGCGTTCTGGCACACCTTTGGTCGTCGATGCAATGGCCTTGATACTCTCATACCCTAAACACTTCTGCTCGACGCAAAGTTAACAATGACATGGACGTCGGGGCGCTTCTTCATGGCCTCTTCAAGAGTCTCGCGTGTACCCTAGAATTTCTGGATGTGGTGTCCACCACAGGGGTAAATCATAACTGCCACAGAGGGGCGCGCGCATTTACAGCTGTAATCAAAGTCCAACATGCCCTGGATGGCCATAGACGAAGCTGCGGGTTTCTTCGTCAAGGGGTCTGTATACAGGCCTGGAGCCTTTGGTGATCGAGTGAACCGAAGTGGACGACGACGTCATTGGGCTAGGTGCGTTCGCCGTCTGCGTGAATGGTTCCGACACCGCTGGGCTCGGGTGTTGCGGGTAAGATCTTGGGGGAGCCAGGTGCGGTGGCGAGGACGCTTGTGGGTGCTTTTGTGCTTGTTGTGGATTTGAGGCTGAGGGCGAGGGGCACGATTTTGGTGATGTGGGTGCCAGGGCCGAAGACGTGGATGGGGATGCTGAGGGACTCCCCTGTGTGTTAGTGTTAGTGTCAATGTCAATTTATACATGAGATGGACTCACCGAGTAGATGCATGACTTTGAGACCTTCTTGCCAGTTGGGACTCTTGGCGTTGTGTGTGATGAGTTGAGTTAGATTATGGACCGGTAGAAGTGTCGCGCGAATATTGGATTCTATCTGGATTATTACTGTATATATCAACCAATATTCGCGAAGTTACTGATAATACGATGTGCATGTGAATCCCCATCCTCATGTCATTTTAACCATAAGTCATTATGTAAGTGCTTGTGGTGTGGTAAGCTGTCTGGTCCAGGTTGGTAATCGGGCCTACTCATGGCAAGGTCCCCTTGCCATGATATGATCCGCATGTGCTTTACCGTCTAAACGATGAGCGCTTGAGCAGCTGAGTCTTCCAATCATTTTATTCAATATTGCCCAATCTCATCTTTTGCTTTTGCTCAGGTTAACCTCGCTGCCGTCACAAACAAGAGTCCCATAACACCGAAGTCCATATACAATCGATGGTTATACTAGTGATAGTGTCTTAACGTTTCATGGAAGCAAACAATTGTGGCCAATCTGCACTCTTTCTACGCATCTCTCGGAAAGCCCCTTCAACCTTCGCTAAAAGTACTTTTGGCTCATCAAATTCTATGATCTCCCCAGCATCTAACGCTAAAATGCGATCATAGTCTCAAGGCCATGCGTGATAGTAATAACAAGTGTACCGGAAAGTTGGATCTATAGGCGCACGTTGGTGAGACACAGGGCTGGACTAATGTGTCAACTAACCTGGTCATCCAAACGCAAATCTATTTGAGACGTTGCTTCATCCATAATGATGATGTTGGTTTTTTGTAAAACTGCCCGAGCGAGTGCAAGCAGTTGCCTTTGTCCTGCGCTGAGCAAGCTACCTTGGCTTATCGGCATCTCAAGTGTGAAACCACCTTTTTCAATCGCCCGACTGAGCAACCTTGTTAAATGAGATCGCTCGAGTACATCCCAGCACTCCTGGTCGGTATGCTCCTCGAATGGGTCCAAGTTGCTTCTGAGTGCACCAGAAAACAACGAAACATCCTGACTAACAATGGTCTAGGGACAAATCAGCAATCTCTCAAGGGATCAAATAATCGACCCACTATCTGCAACCGAAGTTCTTCTAAACCAAATGGTGAGATATCTGTTCCGTCAATGCTACCAAAGTGTTTAGATGCTAGAACAAGGAGTAAGACACCGACAATAACATACATTATTCTTCCAGCGCTAGCCTCTATCATACGCAGCAAGGACAAAGCCAAACTTGATTTCCCAGAGCCTGTCCGTCCGACCTGTCGATAATAATGAACAATTGGAAATGCTAGATGTTCCAAGGATATGTGACAAACCACCCCAATTTTTTCAGACGGTTGAGCAACAAATGATATATTTTGAGCACGTCCGGCGGGTCAGGGCTGTACCTGACAACAAGGTTCTCAACAATCGACTGACTGTCGCTTGATGGCCAGTATGCTAAAGGTCTGCTCCTCTCGATAATGGCAGGTGCCTCCTGTGGTACAATTGTGAGGTACGTGATAAGGCGGGATCTCACACTGCAGCGAAGATCAGCTTGGCGGAGACAGGAGTAGATGACCATACCAACAATGAGACTGAGGACGCGAATATACAGGGAGCCCACCCTGTGAGAGCGGCTGCAGCGCTCCTCGCTAGGTTTATGGGGCCAGCCTGGGTATATGCAGCTGGAAGTCTCGCGTGTAGATCCTCACCGCCATCTTCTGTAGATGCTGTCGCTGGTTGCTAAAAGGGGTGTAGAAGTGATACAAACTAGATAATAGACTGCAAGCCTACCATGGTTGAAGTGTGAGCCTCTAAACACTTGAAAAAAAGCTCGACAACTTTGAATGCCTGATCACGAACCAACCTGCACATTTATACCATATCAAAGCATTCCGCAGTTGTCATGAACCCCATGACGTCTGCCCCACAAGCACGGACAAAGGAATCGTTGAGCGTTATGCTGAATGCAGAAATGAGAACTTGTTATACCCGGCGAAGGACCAGTTGGTGTGAATGGAGGCTTTTGGTTTTGATTGGAGGCGGACGAGGTGGCAGAGGAGGTCGTTGTTGAGTATACGGTCGGATAACTGTACAAGTCATTATTAGCGACAATGTTTACACCTTAAAGTTAACACACCTTGAGAGAAAGTAGGACGATAGCGAGGACAATACTATCTTCTCGAATGACAGTACTGTGTCTGTGAAGCCAGTTTGCTGCGCAGATGAGGATGAAACATGAATCCGTACCAGGTTTGGCCAAATCTAATCAACGACTGTTCTGAACTTTTATTATCGAGTTTCTCTGTGAAGCCAGGGAGATTGTCGAGAAGCGCGATATGTGTGCCACGGTCGGCACTCGCAAAGAGTTTGACGAGGGGTGCCACGATGACTGAGCCATAGTCATTGGGTGCGACGTTCTTTCAGAATTGGAGGACGTGAGGGACAATAGTTGCTGCTGAGGCACTGCTGAACTTGAGTGTGGAGGCCATGCATGGTAAGAGACGAATTCGGGGGGAACGAGGATGCAGACTCCTTTAGCTCATCCAAGTCACCCAGTAGTTAAGGAACACAACACGTACCGCTGGCATATGCACCACACAAGTCCCAGCCACCAAAAGACTCGATGAGTACCAGCTTGAACCAGGTAGAGATCTCGCAGCTGACACTATGCGTTATAACATATTTGTGAAGACACTGGCTTGCAAAGGCTATCCATCGGCTTGGTGATGGCAAGGGGTAAAAAATGGTCCGCGGCCAACCTTTACATAAGCTTTAAGAGAGGACTATCACCGAAAAGTTGCCGAAAAGGCAAGTTTGTTTGAAATCAGACTACCAGTTACTAGTATATGCATCTTGCGCGCCAGTGCTTTTGGTGCATGCTGTCGCTCGGCCAGTTATTTCAAAAAAAACACGTCAAAGCTCGAAATGAGGAAATGCAACTTGACTAGTGTAACGTTCATCCCGGAAGCGTCGGGAACGGTTCAACCGTGACGTTCTTCATCTTTGTCGACACTATGGCAGACCTGTCACCTGGCTTGGGCATGATAAGTACGCGCACGTCGCAGTCCTCTATGTCTAGCAATACCAATGCCTTCCCACTCTTGTGTCAAACATCTGAGAGTAGTGCACCGCCAACGCCATCCACACCATAAAGCATTCCATCCTTTCGTGCTATCTGTAATTTCCTCCCCTTCGGAAATAGCGAACCAGCTCAGCCCACAATACAAACAAAGCACCCATTTCACTTTGCCTCTCTCCGCCGCTCCAGTGATCGCAAACCTTCCATCTCTTCTGTCCGCGACCATCAACGTGATCAGGATAATCCCCCCTGTCATATCTATATCACGTCTTGATTTTGAAGAGTTGAATGCGCACAAAAGGAGCTACGGTCTTGCCTGCGCTGCTTCAGCCTCTGACAGTCTCCTCCTTCACTTCCCAGTCCCCTGATGACGAGATGTATGGTTCGTAAATTCGCTAGTTTCTTTCAAGTGCTATTATGAAATATTCATTACTAGCCGTACACCCATGCCCTGCTGACCTTAGAACCACCCTCGAAGCTGACAACTCGGCTATCTCGAATTATATCCCCTCCACAAGCCCTTCCCCATCTCCTTCTCCTACTTTGCCACACACTTTCTTTCCATCCGAAGTCGTATTCTCTCTCCCCCCAACCATCTCAGAATACCATTCTCATTTCGAATGAGCGTCACTTTCGCTTCTCCTTTCATCGTTGCGAGTGCACCAGGTACATCTGTAGAAATAGCCGCGGGAACACAGAGGTGTCAGCCCCCGTTTTCTTTATCGGCTGGGCAGGTCACAGCGGACACAGTGATGTGATGGTCATCGGATACTACGGGGTTGAGGGTATCTGCGAACACATGTGTGCCTCGTCCATCAGTAGACGTCAAATTCATGCCTCGCTTCTCTTCCGATACTGGGACAAGGAATGCTCACGCTGGATCGGTTAAGGTGAGTTTTTCATGTTCGCGTTAATTCACATTCACATACTTACTGGACGATTTGTACCAGGATCGGCACCCGAAGCTGCAGAGACACATCCTTGTGCCCAAATGTTGACATTGCGCCTACTGGCAGAGCTCCGCCTCCGGTGCCATGTATTACTACAACTCTTGTACCTACTTCTACTACGTCCTCCAGTCTAAGTGCGTCTCCCTCAACCATGCTTACTTCCTCACCCTCCACTACCACTGCCAGCGCAAACCCAAGGACTCCCATATCCAGCCCTCCCCTAACTACAAGCACCCCCCACGACCCAACCCGTATCTGTCGCCGTCATCATCCCTACCTCTTTATCACCCGGTAGAGAAGCTTAAGTGTTGACAGCCTTCATCCTTATCTGCTCAAGTTGAGAAACCGGGGTCAAGCGTGAGCAATCGTCTCGATGGTGCAGAGGTTTGGGCTTGGTGTAAGGAACGGAGTTGGAGAGAGAGAGCAGGCAGAATCAAGCTTATTTCCGGAGAAAATAGAGTTGTGTCCTCTCCCCTCACCCGCAGCATGCATACACCAGGACCTCCAACCATGGAATAGTCTGGTCCGAGGACTGTCGAAGCATTTGTTGCCGTTGGGTTGTTCGGCAGGGAACGAGAAGAGACTGGTACAAAGTTTGAATGAGAGAGGGCTGGGTCTGTCAGTGTCAATCGATTTGAGCAGGATTGAGAAGACGGAAGTTCAGTGCTGAGTCGGTTTGACCGTGGCCGTGACCGTGAAGGCACTACTTCGGTGATGAGCCGGTTGGATCGTGATTGTGGAGCGTCTATTGGCTGTTATGACAGAGATTGCAACTATTCGACTATCAAACATTCTGTTTCCTTGCGGGACCATGCCCCTTCCCGTGTGGCATTTTCCGAGGCTGCGAGTACATCTTCGTTGGGCACGAGGAGCGCATGTACGGCAGGGACGCTGGTGCAGGATGGAGCCCAAGCCTGACATTCTCGAGTGCTGCGAGGACTACGTTCTCGGGGAGCACAGCCCCTATGAGCGTAAGCAGTGGTGTGGGATTAGGGATCAACGTTGGGGCTGGAGCTGGCGTTGGGAATGCAATGGGAGCCAACATCCGGACGCTCCAAGAAAAGCATTGTCTCGAAACCTCCGCACTCCTGAATTCAATGCGCTTGCGAATTCCCACAAGGCGTGCAGGAGACTGAGGGAGGAGAATAGAATGCTGAGAGAAATATTGAGGGTGTTAAAAGCTATGGCGAATGAGGATAGAGGTGGCATACTTAGCCGGGACAACGAAGATGAGTCCGATAAGACCTATCGCTGCGATCAAGACTTCGAGTGCTTGCCTCGCAAACATCTTGCTTCTCTCCGCGTCTCGATCACAAACGCTCACATCTGTCCCCCACAGGACTCTTACCCAATGATCGCACTCACATCTCCTGCAGCATGGCAGACACCATACTGTATCCGCTAAGGCGTCATTCGATTTTACATTCAGACGGACCCCCGTCGTGGTCCACTCAGTTAATACCTCCTTCTCCGCAGTAGAAACAGCCCCAACTTATACCTTCATTGTCCATCCAGCCTCCTCTTTCACCGCAGAAGAGTCAACTACAGAGACAAAGACGGCAAGCACATCCATGAGCTTGTTCCCTGCTTTACCACCTGAAATGTCGACTTTAATGTCGGAGGATGTGGGGTTATCCAATGATGGGCGAGTCACCACCTTCTCCTAGCGGTTCCTCCCCTGTTGTTAAAAAATCAATCAAGGCATAAATATGCCCATTTCATGATTCCTCGTTTACATCCCTTCTATGCCCCTCGGTCCTCCTACGCAAGTCGATCTGTATTGTTCGCCTCCTTCACATTGGTAGGCACAGTAGTCGCGAGCCCAAGCACTAGGCACGTACTACCCACAGCCACCTATGTAGACCATGTAGGTTTGAGTGAATTTACCCGGTGCAAGTTTTCACATATACTAATGCACGATTGTCAGGTTTGACTCGACAGTCTTTGTAACCAAGTGTTCTATACAATACGTAGTTTGGATGCGGAAGATATTCTCCAAGAATTTACTTCTTCATTTACGTCCGAGTTGGTCATTTCTTGATCAGAGCATAGTGTGGTGTGCAGTGTTAACCAGCTCTGCGGTGTCAGGTATCCCACAATTCTATTCCATGTCAGTACAATTAGTCTATAGGCATCAGTATGTTGCGGAACCGGGTTATCTGACCACTGAGGCGAACTACAAAGCGAAGCCATGAATCATTTAAATGAAGCCAAAGAATCAAGGAACATGAAATGAAGAACGCAGGCAAAGTTGCGCAAGGCCTTCTGAATCAAATAACAGTTGTTCGGCCCTCCAAGGCTGCAAGTCTTGCACGAAGTTGTTCATTTTTGGCCTGGGCAAGGACCATAATCAACAACTGAAAAACAAATTTGCTGAGAATAAGTAACACACCTGTATTTTGTGCAGTTGTTCATCCGCGGCCCACTGCAGAAAGACCATCAACAAACAAAAAATATGTTTGTTGAGAACAAATAGCTCACCTGTACTCGGCAAACCGCTCATCTGCAGCCTGCTGTCGAAAGGTAGAGTATCGTCAAAAAGAACACATATTTTCTAAGAATGGCCCACCTCTGCTTCCATGAACCCTTCTTGTCGACTCTGCAAAGACCATTACGATCAACAAATGAAACCCCCATTTGATAAGAATAGCCTACCTGTGCTAGTTCCGCTTCGTGGCACTGCTTCACCTGCGTGAGTTTATCCATCGTCTTCTGCCACTCTGGCGGATAAGCCGCACAGACAGCCTCGACAGTTGCAGATGACGGTCTTGACATCGCAACTCCACAGTAATGAGTATGTGCATTGTGATCTTTGCATGATTCTTGATTCTGAGGGAAGAGCTTCTTCAAGCTCATCTATACGGAATCCGCATACCAGTAACATTGTTGCTCGTACAAGTTGTAGGCAGGGGCTTGTTGACGAACAAGGCATAGAACAGCGGCCACGTGGAGTGCAGAGGGTGCGGAAGATGGAGGGAACATGAGCGTGCGGAGCTTCCTGTAGCGCCCAGGTTTATCACGGAGGTGTTTGACTGCATCTTTAGGTGAACCAAGAAGAAGTGCGTGGTCAGATGCAGCAGTTTCTTTTGATGAGGGAGATATAATTTTTGATGATTGCCTGGAGCCATTGCCTCGTTCCACAGTACGGTCGGCGCATACGACAGCCTCGGCTGAAGAGATCAAATGTCTGAAATAGAATAGAAGGAATTCATGTTCTGCGCCATCAGTGCATTTACAATAATCGATACGACTCAGTGAACACATGAAGTAGCGATTATCGGGTCTATTATCCATCATCCATGAATACCAATTCTGACTGGCACACTACCACCAGGCCTAGGGCCACTGTGGAACGGTAGGTGGGGTAGTTCAGGAAGAACCTCCTCTGGCATGAATGGACGAAAGAGTGCCCATAGTAAACGGCTGGTCCAGGATCGATTGCTTTGGTCTTCTTTTAAGGACATCGAATGGTCAAAGGTTTGGATACGTTGCTACAAGGAAAGGCGAGCCCTGGCAGCTGATTGCTGATCTTTGACGGTAGGCAGGTATGAGATCACTACTGGGACTTGCGGCCGTCACGATCGAGGGTGCAACTATATTGAAATTATATGACGCAAGTAACTGTATAACTGCATCCCACGAGCAGTCCTCGAGGCTCGAGCTCAACATGCTCCATCATTGCTCCATCATATTATTAATGTATCTCAGACTTATCATCCGATCTACAAATATATATATTACGTACTGGAGAAGATTCTATCGCATTCACTGCATTTGACGATGTCGAGATTCGAGAATATACTTATTTGATGCTGCACCACCGTAACAGGCTTGTCACACCCACACTTGACTTCAAGTTAGTATGAATTAGCGTGCGTAATTACTTGGACTCAAACCTCTCATTTTCATCTCATGTTCATCGGGCAGGAGTCGATTGACTCCTGGGCGAGCTCTTCAAAGGTCTATTGGAGGTTCTCTTCAACCCATTGCCCTAGTGACTGTGCTGCGCAGAAGTCCGTGCCGCACTCGGGAGAATCATGTCGATACCATACCTTTGGTTCATCATCACTTTCGAAGGTCCTGATCTAGCCATCCAGATCTTCGGTCTTGTAACGTGTGAGTAAGGGAAGGTCCAGGATATCCCCAAGGTAAATGTGGTTTCCGCCATCTTACTCCGACCCATGAAGTCTGTTGGCATGAAGTAAAATACTGTGTGCTAAGGTGCGAGATATCTACAGAACATCCGATTTCTGCCCAACTATTTACTCGCATGGGCCCCCGATGATGTGACACGCCTTCAACAGGCAGTAAAAATAATCCTTATAACCAGGCTAAACGCGTGGATGTGACTTCCGCATGAAGGTCTATCTGATAGGGTGATCAGCACTTGTAAGGATGACACAGAAACCCCATCTAACTAGAGCTAGGTCACGAGAGTCATAAAAACCACACGCATGTGCCAATAAGCCATACTGGGCCATGAGACTCGGCAAGAATCCCGCGACCAGTAAAGATCGAGATATTAGAGGAGCCGGAAGTATCAAGGTCGTGGTCGGCGGTCCAGACCCATGTGCCCTATGCAACAATATCAAATTAGAGAAGTTTTTTGGGCTTCTAATCCTCGTACTTCAAGGTATGCACTCGATTCAGAAGTCAAATGTATCCCAAGGAAAGCAGCTTGACAGGCGCTATTGACAGAGCCTGGGGGACATTGTGAATACTGCATGTTTGTTCCGACAGCTAACAAGGAGAAGTTAGAACGTTTCTCCATTAACAAATCTCGAAAGATTTACCTCCGCCCAACCTGTACCATTATCGTTAGCGCATCCCGAATCCATGAGAGAACCAAAACCAACCTAATATGGTGTCCCACATTCCCGCCGCTGCTTGCTGACCAGATGGATCATGTACGTTCCACTCAATCATGGTGGCACCGGAAGCTGTAAGAGATCAGGTTCAGAAACAAGATGGACTATTTCCACACGTACTAGGGCCTGCAGTGGTGAAGACCATATCGCTTATCTCCAGGACACCTTGGGAATTCGCTGCGCCTGCTTGAATAACCACACAAGGGTTTTTCTGCTCGTTGAAAGCACTCCCACCAGCCATAATGACTGACCAGGCTTCGCCGACGATCTGAGCTCCAGTGGGGATGGTCACATAATACGTTCCGGCATCGAAGAAGATGATCTTGCATCCAGCGTACTGATACGAGTTGTCAACTTGATTTCAACAGGGCAAAGTAATAAGCCACACCTCATCAAGGGTGTTTTGAATAGCGGTAGTGTCATCTGTGTGGCCGTCGCCTTTTGCACCCTGGCTCTTGATACTGATGAATTGACTGACACCATAGTTCTCGTACTGAGGATAAACCTTTCCGAAGATTTGTCCAGCGCTATCCAAAAGTACGGAGGGCTTATTTGCAGAAACGATGTTTCCCTGTGTAAATGTCTTGGACCCACTGGTTCCGGAATACACATTTCCTTGACCCCAGGAAGCGATTGTCGTCGTACCACCAGCAAGAACTGTGATTCCACCTGTAACACCAACTGCGGTGAGAACATTGCTCAGCTTGATGTTGTTGAGAACGAGGGAGCCGGCCAGTTAACCATTACTCGCTACCGAAGAGCGAACAAAAATGGTAGTATTAGTCTCAACTGCATCGATAATAGCCTCTGAACCGACGGTCTAGATAGCATTTAGCTATTTGCAAATTTAGACACTCGCGAAGGCGAACCTGATTGCTTGTAGACGTTCCACCGGTCGCCAAATCAAAGCCGATCTGTCATCTGTCAATTCTCGCTGGTAATATTTACAAGTTCAACACATACTTCGCAATCGTTGATCGTGACTCCTTGAAACGTGAATCCTGGAAGAACAGGAGAACTGCATAGATTTCAATAAGCTGATCATTACCCCAATTCCAGATGCCAGAGACAGCTGTCGGTCTCGGTCGATATGGGTATTTAGAGTATCATGACATATTGATAGATGAGAGGACAAGCCAGTTGCGGCATTGTTGACGGTCAGATTACGAACCGTAAATTGTAGGTTACCAACTTGAATACCGTACTTTCCTGGCGGAATGTTACAAAAAGAATAACAAAAGCAATCACATGGATTTACCTCCATTGAATATCATGTCTGCTATGCAAATTTCTTATTCCCGTATTAAAACAGATTCAAAATGCTCACCTCCCATTCTCCATGAACATACCTCCAATGGTGGCTGTCATTAGAAGCGGTGGACATCTCGACCACGGTATTGATGAGCGAAGTGCCCTGCGAAACCTGCCAGTGCAAACCAATTGCAGAAATTGATGCAGGGATTTGCCCAAGGTCGATTATCAAGTTGCGAACGGAACGATAGCTAGACGTCCATGAGCTATGCTACACCGTTCGCAGAAAAAATAGCGCACAAGTTGTTCTGGTTAGTGAACCATTGAGCACCCCAATCATTGGGAATGTGAGGATCAGCATCTGGGTAAAATTTCCGTAAGGTGGCGTCTACATCGAAAATGACGGATCAGGTACCGATGACTGCAAATCCATTAAAAGACGAGCTGGCAAGGAGGGTTGGAGGTTTCTTTGCATCCCCAATAATCTGCATGTAATAGTACGTCTCAATCGCCGAGGAGACGAGGTAAGTCCTGTCCGATGGTCAGTAGGCAATCTCGTGATATGAACGAACAGACCTATCCCGTAGGGAGATACACGATGGCAGGAGTAACACTGAATGACACAATCGGTTAATGTATTCGCAGAGAATCAGTGACGCTCTGCACTGACGTGGAGGAATTACAAGATCCGCCGCCGCATTGTCCACCGGAGAACATGGCCGAACTGGGATATGAGTAAGTTAATGTTTTGGGTAAAGAAAAATAACATGCCTGATAGCAGCAGTATCATCAGTGACACCATCGCCCTTGGCTCCAAATCCTTGACATTCCTGAAAACCTGGTAAGAACTCGGGTCTGAGTTAAAAGCTGAAGTTCCTTGATGCTTGATAGTCTAAAGCCAATACGGATCGCTTGGAGCCGCTGTTCCACTACCCAACGGTGCTGAGCAGGATCTGCCCAACCCTGAGACAAGAGTGGATAACGCAAACAGTGAACTCAACAGGAGAGACTTTGAGTAATGTGACATTGCTTCCTTTGGGTGATAAAAGCGAAAGTAACGAGGAAAGTGGACACAACCCAACACCTTTTTATATTGCTGAGGTCAATGAAGTGGACGACTAGCGGAACTGGGCAACCTCTTGATTAGCAGTACCTCAAGAGCCGACAGGAGAGGTATAAGGTTATGAACAGACTCATGACATACAGTTCCGAACAGCACGCTTTCATTTGGGGGAATCCGCAGTATGACAGCAAGGCTTGTAGCAGGTGTACCACGAGGGGCCATGGAGCTACAATTCGTCCATGTAAGTGATTCCCACTAACACATGGAATATACATTTTAGTACGTTCGGAATGGGCTCACCTAGCGCAACCTAGCACGTCATCATTACCACGGGAGACGTTGAACAATTTAGCACACGGTAACCAGCAGATTGCTAGAGTCCTAGACTTGTATTCTTGCTTCAAGTACAACATCAGCTCGTCCGGATAATTCAGCTATCAAATCCGTGGTGCAACCGGGTACAGCGTAGTTAAAACATTCCGGGCCATCCGCAAGTAAGTCGTGCACCTGATAACGGAGAAAAGGTCCGCAAGAGTGTGCTTCACTCGTTGCTAAAGCTCAACGTGCAAGACAAAAAAGGTAATGTCGAGGCTACTTTTTAAAACTCCGCAACAGGAAAAATCGATAACCTAGTACTGTGTGAATAAGAAATTAAGTATCTCGTACCAATTCCATCCCGCATTTGAACCATAAAAGCGGGACATACCTCGTTCTCTACCTACGACTGTATCTAGCTGTTCTTGCACACATGCTTGTGCCTCGGGATGACAAGCCGCTGCCAGGACAGCAATGGTGATGGCCGCGGAAATCTAAACATGAACTGTTAACCCCGCTCACCAACCAATACGTAAATTATGTACATTGTCAGTAGCGGCACCAAGAATCGTTCCTCCCAAATAACACATCTCAGTTCTCGATAGCTGATACCTATGCTGCTCGAGAAGTGTACACATGAAAGACAGCCCAGCGAGACCACTTGCCTGAAAGAGATATCAGCGCACAAAACACACCGCAATAGAAATACGACTCACTATCTCATTTTGTACCCGCTCCATCTGCCCTAGTACCAGTTCATACTCCTCACGAAACCAAGCCTTCAATTGACGTCCGTACCAGGGTACGTACTGCAGAATAGGGATGCGATCAACCAAAAAGCACCGGGTTGGATAACAATTCCAAAACGTTCTGCTGCAATTTTTATGCCTACTACCTCAGGATCTGTGTATGCAGTTGGCGTCGACTTCCCATATGTCATAAGCAGAATGACCGAGTTCGAAGATCTACATCATTGTGGTCTGGCAAAATCAACGACTACAGGAGCGATACTAATAACCCACCGTGTTACATGTTCCTGGTGTTTCTCTGGTGCTTTCAAAATATCGTACACAAGCTGTCTCGCATCCTCTGATTGTATGTCTCGGTAGGCCTCAATTGCCTTTGGTTGTAACTGTGCATTTGCCGCTCTGCGAAACCGACGAAATCGTGACCCAACACAGATAAGGACAAGACACATATTCTGAGAAAACATTTTACCAGCAGCTATAGCTTGAGGGCGGTCAACGAGAGCACTCCCTTCTTTCTCCATGATATCGTTGGCTGTCTAGAGAACCGTCAGTCCTCGTGAAGCACAATATCTAGCAACTGACCACGTACCTCTACACTTCCGATGCTGACCGAGACTTGATTTCCCTGGCGTACAGAGACGACTGGACCATATTGTTGTATCCATTGTGTGATTGTATGGGTCACACTGAAGCAGAAATTCAATAGTTTGTTTAGGAAGCACGAACACAACTGACTTATTTGATGGCATAGCACTACCCCAGAACCAACTCCTTGGAGGTCCAGGGGGTAGTTGGAATGCATATTTGGCAAAAGATCTTCTTTTGCAGTACTCGCCAAGCACAACAACAATTACTGCTCCTGCGAAAATCCAGGTAGGTGTGAGCGAGAACGACTCGGGTCAAACGCCCTAACCAGCTGTAAGGCGGCTGTATGAGTCCGAAGGGGAAAGTGAACTGAAGTACATGAACGGTTTATAAACGTTTTCGAGCGGGAGACTAGGCCAAAACGAGAAAGCATGTGGTGCGGTCGAAGATATCGGTCGCGAAACGAGTATCATAGAATGAGAGCACAAGGTAAGTTTAATGAAAGAAAAATGGAAAGTGGCATGGCTCGGATACGAAGAGTGATGTGGTAACCCCCATGCATAGTACTCGGCGTCCATTTCACGCTGCTTGCGCCGAATCGATGCCAGCGCGCGTTCGCGTTCTGATGAGTCGCGTGTGACCCGGTCGTTGCATCCGAGGGTGGGGAAGGCGGTTTTATCTTATCATTTGAACCAGGTGGGGTGCAATATTTGGATGCCAGACGGCCGAGAGACAGGGGAATAATTATTCAACGAAGAGCTCGATGCAAGCTTATGTGTGATGGCTGTGAGAGGGTCATTCATAGTCTTTGAAGCAAGATCCCGCAATCTGAGATATTGAAGGGAAGTCATAAGGCTGGAACAGTATGAACTGCATACCTTAAGTGTTCGCTCTTCTCATCCTGCGGGTATTCCTTTCCCTTATCGCGCTCGCTGTACCATGGGTTGAGGTCCTTAACAACTTGGAGCCAGTGGCACACCCTTCTCAGTCTCCAGCTGTGCGGTCTTCTTCGTCGCTCGTATTGAAGTAATCATTTCTTGCTAGCACCATATTAGTATATGCGCACAAAGCCTCGAGAACAAACAAACCTGTTCTAAATCCTCGAATAGATTGATATGACCTTGATTCGAATCCCTGGCAATGATGGAGGCCTTAGCATCCTCTATAGCCTTCATATCATTCTCTTTCTTCTTTCCCTTTCCTTTCCCAAGTCCAGCACGCTCTCGGAGGAGGTCCAACCGAGCTTCTGCGTGCCTTGACGGATCTGTGACGATGACAATTCAACGGACAATGGGACTTGCTAATGCAATCTGAGCAAAACTAAACAGACCAGGAAGATAACATTTACTTACGGCTTCATTTGTATTCCAACCCTGCTCTCCATACGGCTTCGCAAGCCTGGCTTTCCGCCTTATGGATTGATAGCAAAGACGTACGCTGTCACTTTCCTAGTCCCAGAAGTGACCCACCGCCCATCCGGTGAAAATTCGATCCCATTAATAACGGTAGTTCTACGACCTCGGTAGATCGGTGAACTTTGTTCAGCATTGAATTGGCCCCCGACAAGCGCGTTTTGATGCTCGCCAGCAGACTTCTTGGGGTCGATGGTAACAAAATTATTGCAAGACTGCCAAGAGAAAGTACACTGCTGAACAAAGCCCAGGTGCAGAAGACATTGTGAAAAAAAACACTTGAGACTCACTATGAAATGGTCGAGTAATATATTAATGAATGTTAAAACTCGAACGCGACGTGGAGGTCAGGTGATCCAGAGGCTCCCTTGGCAACCTCTATTCAAACTTTATGTAAGGTTGTCCATGTGCTGTGTCCATTACAAAACCGCATCAACCCACCATTTGGAGTTGTTGACACATTTTGCCGTAGAGAAGCAAGACTCAGAGTGTGAACATCACACTTGTTGTTGAACGTTCATACATTGACTTAACTCTATTTCCTCCACTGGTGCCTTGCTATGTAATAGAGTCCAAGTATCAAACAACCCGGCAGTTTCATCATGGCAAGGGTCCCCTTGCCATGACCAATTGATTTTCCTGTAGTATGACTAAAGCATGGTCATGTGGTATGATGTAATGTAGCTCGTTTGGACCCCCAGCTTTCAAAAGCTGGGGGTCCAAACGAGCTACATTACATCATATTATATAATCATAAAACTCTGTTGCCAGTTCTGTTGCCAGTTCTGTTGCCTGTTCTGTTGCCTATTACATGATGTATTGGTAACTCATCAGAGGACGGTATCCCAATTATGTGACTGTCTTATTTGAGAGCATGTCACTCCAAGTAACAGAGCACTGACATGAGTGTTTTTAATAGAAAAGATATACACATAGATTCTACAAATCTACCAGATTACTCTCATTGTACCAACAATAGAAGAAACAGTATGTTCAATGTTAGAAATAAAACTCCAAAATCAAATATGTAACCAATCCCCTACTTTTTGGCACTAGTAGGGTTCAATGGAGCAGGTGTTGACAGTTCCCCAGCACTGCTTAAACCTGGAACAAAAGATGCCAATGGATGGTCTGGGGTCTGGGAAGATGAACCTGTAATATGTAGACATTAAGAGGCCGTATTATGGTATGACTGGCGAAAATTTATGCTTACTAGGTAGCAATTTAAGGAAAGCATATAATCGCTCAACTCCTATGCCATGCTGCTGCATATCTGCAAGAAATGTAGAAACATCACAATCATCCCCAGATGTTGATTTTGAAACTTTTGATAAGGGATTCTCAAGACTAGAATCAGCTGTGCGCTTAAGAGATGAAGTAACTGGGGAGCCTTCACATCTCTGGGATGCATTAACTTGTGCAGTATCAGTCTGCTCGCGTTCTTCTGGGCTAGTCTGTGTGATTATGACCTTTGTAGAGAAAATATGAGTTCAATAATATTCTTAACCTATATATAATGCTACACTCACCTGATTGTCCAACTGCCTAATATCTCCCCTCTCAGCCTCCTCAATTGAGTTGGGAGCAGGTGGAAACTTCTGTTTGGAAGAAGCTGCTGAGCCAGAGTGATTCTGGACTTGAAGCTCCTGAGAATCATTACGCTCATTGCTAGGAAGGGCTAGAGACTTTGTTCTAGCTTTCTTATCTGCATGAATGAATTAATAGTATATTTCTCTGATAACTGCTTGCTTACCTCCAGATTTTTTCTTTTGAGAGGAGCTAGCTTTTGGTGCCTTTGACTTAGCTTTTCCCTTCTTCAAAGGAACTTCATCAATCTCAGAAAGTGTACCCATTTCCTCCACTTCTTCATCATGATTGAACAAAGAGCCTGCATGATGCCTGATTATATTTTTAACCTTGGAGCAGATAGGAGATACATACGTAAACTGGGTGTTGCTCCTGTGAATGCATCAAGGATGGCAGCTTTACTGAAGGAGATGTTATTCAGAAAGACATCCTGGGTATCAGCTGCAACAATTCGGTAGATATGAACCATTTTAGATTGGGGATGACGATAAATACGTCCAATCAGTTGTCCTTCATCAGTGGCAGACCACAGAGAATCCTGTATGTGAGGATGTATAAGCATAGAGGGTAGGAGAATATGTGAAAAGAAAAGAAAATACTTGCCACAATGATCAGTATATTGGCACAAGGTAAATTGAGACCTGTTAGCCCGACATTGGAAATTATCAAAACACGAGGACCATCCCGTCTACTGTTTTTGAATTGCGCAATGATATTAGTTCTGGTGGAGGTTGACAACTTGCCATGGATCTGCAAAGTTTGAATATCATTGAGTTCCAGAACCTGCCATTCAAAAAGTTCAATATTACAAAAATCAAAGTGTGATGATTAGATACCTTTAGCACCTGCGTATAGCTGGAAGGGAATGCACAGTAGACCACTATTTTGTCACAGGGCATAGCATCTACAACATCAACAGTAACATTAGTAGATGATGCTACTAGCATGTCATCCACAACACGTAGAGGTGGACGTCCATCATGCTCCTGATGCCAGCGAATTACTTGTGCAAGAACATCAAGTTTACGGGATGGGTCCTGCTTCCACTCATCCAAATTGGAGGGATTTTTCCATGGATATCCTGCATTGCAGCTAGGGTGCAATAAAGCCCTTCGGACGCACATATAGAAATCCTGGATAATTGTAATGAGTAAAGGCTTAAATAAGAATAAATGAAAAATTGTACCGAGCCAGAAGCATACTTTGCTGCTTTAGCACCACCTTGCTGAACTAAATTATCGGCAATGCACTCCAGATTATCTAACTCGTGTTTGTATAGCTTTATAAGCAGATTATGCTCTTGAAATGGAGCTAAGCCTGAAATTCTGGTGCCACCATAGTCAACAGACAAAATAGTGCGCCGTATGACAATGCCTGAAAATCTCTCTCGGATGATGTTGATCCAAGTGAGCATCTCACCACGGTACAGACTAGGAACCTCGGCATCGGAATTGCCCTTTACTGTTCCTATAATTATCTTGGCAATGCGATTGCCTTTTTTGAAGCGTTTACGATCCTTGGCAGCAGCAGCACGTAGCTGAGAAACCATCTTCGAAGCCTCCTCATCATGAGAGCTGTCAAATAGCTCTAAACCCAGGCATCTTCCAATATTCCATACATCCTGCCAAAATGAAGAAGAGATCAATATCAGAATAAGAAAATTAAATGGATATTGGTAACTCACAAGAGGCCGAGAGGTAATAGGTGTAGCTGTCATAGCCACCATGGCTTGACATAGCAGGCGAAGGCAAAATATGGCCCAGTAAGCCTTTTTGATATTTCTGTAGTTATGAGCTTCATCTACCAAGCCCAACAAGAAATCTCGCCCATAAGCTGTGCTGGACACATCCATAGTATAGTTGATCTTCTGCCGTGGATGTTTTGTTGGGGCGGAGTTGTTGGTCTCAAAAATACGGTCACAGTCTGATTCTAAAGCCTGGACAAAATAAAGAAATATTAAGCTTTGCCTGCAGAAAATAGAATTATATTGGCACCTTTGGAGTAGTGATGACAATCCGCCGTCCTTCTGGCTGCTTTGACCTACTCCATATATCTTCCCACCAGGTTCGTCGACTGCTCCAAGTGGTCAGATAAGGTAGAATATCAAAAGCACCCCGTTGAAGATATCGGTGCAACTCTGCTGTAAATTGGGACACTAGACTTGCTGGAATAACAATCATCACTGGAAGATTTGGAATGTTTGAAGTGGTGCTCCTCCACTGCTTTGCAGCTAATAAAATTTATATCAGATTGATAAGACTGTAGAAACATTAATGAGAGAGGCTTACCTATTTTACCCGGAAAGCAGTTGTGCATAGAATAATATTCACGATAGAAAGAAAGTACTGCGATTAAGGCTGTGACTTGGATGGTTTTACCTAAGCCCACTTCATCCATGAGCAGTACGGGCATTTCACAAAATGCGTTCTTGACCATCTTTACCAGACCAACTAGCTGGTGCCAGCGGAGAGCCAGAGGTTCCCCATTTTCTTTCAGCCAGGTTTGACCGTCCTCGGTCCAGGGGTCATAATTGCCATAGGAGTCTTGCAAAAGGTTAAAGAACGGAATTTGCTTTTCTGGAAGCCCAAGTATAGTCCAAAGGTCGTCCTCAGACAGATGATTGTATTCTTCTACACCCTCTGACCACTGAAAGTCGCAGTTGCTGGTGGTATCAGGGTCAAATTCCGGGATCGATTCTTCTGGCATGGCATTGGGATCGCAAAGTTTCAACTGGTCTTGAATGGATGCAGTGAGAAGAGTTATATCCTGTTGAGTAGCAAGGAATGAAAGTGCTTGACGCAGTGGCTTAGGCAGACCTATCTCAACAAAAGTAAAAAAATAGGGATGAAGATGAGCTGAGGTTAACATACGTTGTGAACTTCCACCCTTCACATCTATTCCTAAGCCTTGAAGAAGGTCACTCAGCATTTCTTGCTGCTCGGAAAGTTGCTTCAGTGACTTCTGATCTCCATATCGTCTCAGAACTTTTGTAAGTCCATCTACATCCTTGAGCCAGGTTCTAATATCTTCAGCGTCCAAACATTCCCTTTGCTCTGCCAAGGACAAGAATTCTAGATAATACTGTTCAGCATTAGAAAGACTTCAGAAAAAAAGCATACCTTTCCACATTTTGTCTACTTTAGTCTTTAAATTTCCAAGTTTACTTCTTTCCCGTCCAATAGACTTTCTGTTCTTTGCCCAATGGTGAGCTACAAGGGCATCCAGGAAGCGCCGGACTGGCTCCTTAAGTGCAATGCCATCTTCTGTAAAAGATTCAGGACCAAAAAGTGCCTCTGCTAGGCCAGTGTAGGCAAGGGCAACCTGTGAGGTAGCAAGATCTGGGAGCTTATTTACACAATAAGTGCAGTATGAGGACAAAAGTAGTACTTGAATCTTACATTTACCATCTTGAGACGTTTCATCACTGAATATGGATCCAGGCCCCGTTCAGCCAGTACGGTATCAACTGTACTGTTTATTTTCCAGCTGGACCAATTAGTATGGCAGTAGTCCAGCCAATGTTGTCGACCTTTGGTATCGTTATCAGCGCGATCCTTTTTGATGTAATCCACCTGGGTAGCCTCCTCAACAGCCCAGAAATTGTGAGCAAATGCCAAGACAGCCTGATGGACCTCGGGGAATCTCCACACATCAGGAGTGTCCTCGTTTACCTTTGCTGATAAGGGAGTTGAGCTAAGCATAGTACGCTGTTGCCAGACTGGCCAACACCAAGGAATATGTTCTGCCTCTGGGTGCGCAATAGCATTCCCTAAAGAATTAATCTCTTCAGCATGAGAAGGGGCACTGAGGGCCAGAAGAGCACCAGGCATAGTAATAGTGGGCATTTTTGGAGAGGAAGAGATGGGTTATTGGAATACAGAGAAAGTGTCTTGTTATTCACCTTACTTATAGTTTCCTGTATCTCTCAAGGGCTCGGAAGCGAAATAAACTAGTAAGAAGGGTCAATATACTTTCTATCAGAAGGTTTAATCATCAAACTAGAATGAGATTCGTCTACCAGGCCCATCAATTGCCAAACATTGCAATTTCTGAGCTCACCATCACTCAATTGCCAGCAGTGAAGGATATTCATTCTCTGTATAGGAATTATGATGCTAGATAAATCCACCATAGATGGGCCCTAGTACAGTAATCAGTAGCCTTCCAACTGACATGGTATATAGACATAATGTAAGCATATTAAGATACGTACTAAGATTGTGACAATACAGACCTCCTCCCAGCCCCAACTCTTCTCCGCGGTTAATTTTTGATGTGACTCTTATTATTATTGGTGGCGTTGATCCGATGAAAATTTCATATATAGTCACTACATCAATTATCAATAAATTACTTTCATTAGGCAGTATGGAATTAAATATTGATTCTATCAGAGGAGCAGAACTAGACCAATTCTCATACAAAAGAAAAAGAAGCCCATTGTTAATATCAATTGGATAAATGCTTAGCCATGCTGTTCGTTACCACCATCTTATTCATCCACTCCCGGAAAAAAGAAACACTCATGATCAGCATAATTATGCTTGGTTAGGTAGTAAGGTCAAGTCACCTACCGACTGAAGTTCAACTTAATGTCGGATTACTTAGGTGAGTCCTTCAGAGCTTGAATCTGCACAGCTAGGAAACCAAGCTGGAATCCAAGTGGTTCTATAGACCAAAATGTTCTTTTAGATGATATGGTACAATTATTTAATATTAGAGATACTCAAAGTTAGATGTACTTTGCATGTCACACACAGGTAAGGTTTAGAAATGCTGCCTTAGACAATTCAGTGACTATTGTTCAGTGCGTGCTGCAAGGTTTAGTCCAAAGTCCGACAATTATGTAAGGTTACCATTTTGGGTGGGGGTGCATGTGAGAGGAGGTTGTGTGCGGTGTGAGGTGTGCGAAGTAGTGATGTGCCAGGCCTGGCCTCAGGCCCTCAGGCCCTCTTCATGCTACTTTGACATGTGTATATGAATAGTCATGTGACACATACTTGGATAGGACTGAGTTTCCTACATAGTTGTGTGACTAAAGCATGGTCATGTGGTATGATGTAATGTAGCTCGTTTGGACCCCCAGCTTTCAAAAGCTGGGGGTCCAAACGAGCTACATTACATCATATTACATAATTGTATAAATTCTGTTGCCTGTTCTGTTGCCTGTTCTGTTGCCTGTTCTGTTGCCTATTCTGTTGTCAGTTCTGTTGCCTATTACATGATGTATTGGTAACTCATTAAGGGTGCAATATTTGCAGGAAATCTGAAATTGTGCGAAATTATTCAAAAGTAATAGTTTGCGAGTTTATGCTCTGCTAGAATGTATGCTCATAGTACCGTTATTATACTTCAGAAGACCAAAATTTAATATGCTACCCATGAGTTACCCACATAACCCATTGCATGACCCATGACACAGTACTCTTGGGTCGTGGGTATGGGTATTTTGTGGGTAAAAGTATGGGTCAGTATGTGGTGACCCATGGGTTACCCATGCTATTGCCTAAGAGGCCCTGGCCTAGGCCAAAGCCAAGCCTAGGCCAGACCAAAGCCTTCTGGTTGGGCCTGGCCTGAGTTTTTACTGAGCCCGAGCCCTCTGAAGCCAGGCCGAGCACATCACTCATGCAAAGTACCACCTAACTTTGAACATTCCTAATAGACCCAGATGAAATTTAGAGACGGTGGTGAGCACTAAACTGTGACTTTGTAACTCACAGGTTGATTACTGTAAGAGATCAGGGGACGGAAGACTCGTGAACATGACCAATGATTAGTGTCATTCATTGTTGATAACAATGAGAGTGTGTAATTGTATAAATGCACTTGAGGATAGTATTGTGTGTCTACAGAAAGTCTAAATTTCCAAGTATGCATACTGATACATACATACATGCACGAACCACTCATTGAGATAAAAGCTACTGGAAGGTAGGTATAGCATAGGTGAGGGTACCTCTAAGTTTGTGGGATGGAAAAGCTTATCTACATGTTCTAATGCACAGCAATCCTAGTACAACATTCATTGACATACTGCCATCGCTATAGCTACCATTATTGCTTGAACAAATCCAAGATTTTATCTAAGAAGGTCTTCTGGGACGTAGTCAATTCTTGAAGCCTCTCACTCAGACCATCAAGCCTTTCACTGAGACGCTTCTCCATTCCCTGCATTTCATCCCGCACTCCGTTGATTTCTGAGAGGACTGTGTTGTTGTGAGCATCGATATCAGCCTTCATGCTCACTATTTTGGTGGCATGGGCAGTGATTCTTCCTTCAACACCTTTGATATCCTTAGTGAGCCCACTTGACATCTGGTCAACCTTCTTCTCCAAACGGTTCATCATATCTATCAGCTGGGAATCTTTGCCAATGCTAGTCAACAAATGGACTGGACGGAAAATAACATGAGAACCTACTCGTAGCTATCTGGATAGTAGTGCTGTTCCAATCAAGTTGAGCAGGCGTTAATGCAATTCTGGGTTGACCTGGTGCTGGACCGAATGTACCAGCACTTCCAGCACTTCCAGTTGATTCAAAAGAGTCGCAGTAAGTGGAATCTGAAATTATCATGAGTTATAAGTAGGAAGAGGAAAATCAACACTAGCCTGAATTGATTGAAAAAACTGTAGCCATGTGGACGTGGAGTTTGAGGTTGGGGGAGAAGTGGGAGAGTTTCAAAGGAGTAACTCGCTGTTGCTCAGTAATGACACTTGCGTAACCAATATGATGACGGTACTTTATATAAGGTTAACTTATTTTTCAGGCTCCTGCTATATGGGCACATCTATATTAAATTATCACTACACAACATAAATGAATATCTACTGCTGTTTGTGATGAATGCGGAATGAAATTCCACATGATAGTGAAGAACTCTGAACTGATGATCAAAGCCTTGAGGCAATCATGCTGCGTATGCAATTGTCCAAGATTTATCAGTGGGATCTAGGTAATCTAGATCATATGGGCACTCAAACACCTGATACACTCCTCTGAGCTAGTTAATGAAGTGGGATGAAACTTGATAGAATAAATATCATATATTAAATTGCTATCACAATGGAGTAGATATTCTACCGCAATTCTTACACCTACAGAATAGTGTAATTGATCATAAGACAATATAATTGGATCCTAGTACATTATCCCCTCATTCAAAAGGAGATATCACCACATGTAGCGGCCAGCTGGCCTCTGGATATATCAAAACACTTCTGGAGCTCTTCTTCTATATCTAAAGTCTCTTTGGATTCTTCAGAAGAATGCGAGATAAGGATCACAGAACCATAGTACAAGCATATCAGAAAGCAAGAGTATGACAGGCAATAGAAGCCAAATTGCACCATGAATTCATATCATCTGATCCCGACATCATTTAGAATACAGTATCAATATCAAATGACCCTGACCCCACAGATACTAGATAGTCGCCTTTTGGGTACCAGTTGAGGCTCTTCGCTTCACTGCTGTGTCCACTGATCGCACCAACCTCTTCTCACTTCCCACACTGTGACTATCACTTGTGACATGGCACCACCATTGGTAGCCTCTACTCCAATTTTCAGCGCTATCATTTGACTAAAGACCTCCAGTAGGGTTACTAAGACATTGTCACCAAAGCACTGTATATAAATGAGGTTACTGATGAACATTCAGTAGATATAACCCAGCTAGGAGCACATATGATGCGAGAGGAATCTGTTGATGTAGAGAGTAATAACACAAGACCAAATGAGTGACATAATTTTAATCAGGATAGGGCAGAATATGATAGACGATTTCATTGAAATTTGTCTGGCACCCTCCCCTGTGTCTGCATCCAAGTCTCCTGATGAAGCATCCCTAAGAGATTATCTCCCCAGTGCTGTACAGCCTGATGATGCCTGAGGCAAGAGCAAGGGGATTAGGGAACACCAGCGCACTTCACGTCCTAACAGGATAACTGAATAAATAAAACTAAAGAAAGGAGTAAGCGCTGTAACAGACCTTGTTGAGTCACTGTGGTTCCCGCTCCTCTGACATATCCCATATGTGAACCTTCAAGCAAAGGACATAATGCTTGAGAAATATCATAAATGTAGGTGCCTGGGATGAAGTAGGGTGAGATATGTTGGCCCAGTGAATGAAAGTAATGGTATCAGGGAGATACAGGAAGGTGTCATACAAGACATGTTCCTATAACCACAAACTGCATTCTGACATTATGCACTGCCAAACACTTGAAGCTGTGTCGCACCTGAGCATGTAAGACATCCAATGTCTGCTTTCCCTGCACACTACATGCTAGTAGCTTCTTGATGAACTCGGTTACTTGTAAACCAGAAACAGAGAGGACACTGTAATTAGATACAAGTGAGTTGTTGTTAGTATTGCAGGTGTGATGCCTATAATTCAATTTATTGGCATACCTGAGAGCATTGACAGCAAAGTGATGACGGTATATCTGTCTAGATGTGTTTGGTGCATTTTTGGTTCAGACCAACTTTGTGACATGATGTAATGTAGCTCGTTTGAACCCCCAGCTTTTGAAAGCTGGGGGTTCAAACGAGCTACATTACATCATATCACATAATCAAGTAAATTCTGTTGTCTGTTCTGTTGCCTGTTCTGTTGCCTGTTCTGTTGCCTGTTCTGTTGCCTGTTCTGTTGCCTATTACATGGGGGTCCAAACTTGCAATTCGCTTGCTATTATTTGCAATTGACACATCATATTGTCAAAAATCACTTGAGCTCCAGGCTTACGACAGTCATAAAATGTGAAATGTGTATTGATATCATTGAGCATAAACCATCTCATTGCTAGCTCTACCTCATACTAACAGATTCCAGAACATTATCACAATTTCCATGATTGGCGAGCAAGTATGTCATATGCTAGGGCATGCTCCAGCTAAACGTACACTGAGCTAGAGTGTTCAAGGATAATTTCCAGCACCATCACAGTGCAAGACAGGGGAACAAGCATAGAAAACTTAGTAGTATGCACTTCATCAACAAGGAGGTGCCTGACAGCTAGGCATTAGCACAGGTACGGGTAACCCATGGCGGGCATGGGTACGGGTTGAGCTCTTGATACCCGTGGGTATACCCGTGCTAATGCCTACCAGTGACCGCATTACTCCAGCATGACATTGAGGGCAATTATCCAAATCATTTCTGTGCCTGAAGTGAGAGGCCGATCAACGGGCATGTGAATGGGCATGTGAACCATGCCCGTTGATCGGGCATGTGAACAGTACGGTTAGAAGGATGAGAAGCTAATGACAACAAGGCCTCAAAATTTCACCACCACTGAAAATTTTGGACACATGTAAGAGTTGATGGGAATAGCCTACAGCACATGTAGCAATCAAAGTCAGGATGTTGTCCTGAGTGCAATGAAGATGTTTACAATATTGTGGCTATACTGTTCAAGAGACATGCACATATATCCATATAGCAAATTGATCATGAGTCACCTCGCATAATCTGCATAATCATTTATCTAGCCTAGTCGTGTGTGCTTCGATCTAGGTAAGTGCTAGCCAATTGCAATTGGTTTGATGAAATTTCCTAGATTTGAGATCTGAATCATCAATATCCTCAATTGGGTTTGAGAAGCCATAAGGGCTGTTAGATGTCAATCTGATCTTGTGGAATCAGCTTCTCAACATCCACAAATATTTGTGCTGAAAACCTTATAATTAACAGCATGATCTGACACAGGAAGTTTCAAGGAGGTATAGCGGCTCAGCTCAAGGCGGAGAGGCTTAGTTGATGGGGATAGATATTAGTTCAATTAGTCAATTGGTCTCCAGTGAAATCGAAAAAGAATCTGCATGCTTTGTCCTGGACAGGTTTTTACCACACTGCAAGGGAACCACCTTGTGCCACTGCATGATCGCCGTGCCACGCATCACACATGAATTTGTATTTATATATCTGGTTTGTGGATGAAATCGAAAAAGAATCTGCATGCTTTGTCCTGGACAGGTTTTTACCACACTGCAAGGGAACCACCTTGCGCCACTGCATAATCGCCGTGCCACACATCAGACATGAATTTCCACGATTGTCGAGAACATGCAAGGCTGGTGTATCGGCAGGTGTAATATACAGGGTGTTCACTGTTTACCGATCCGATCTCAATCTCCGGCTTCCTACAATTTTTGTTCTTCCTCCCGGTCAGCCCTTACGACCTTCTGGTCGATAAGTCATCTGTCTTCTCACTGTTGGACATTCCGCGTTTTGTAATCGCTCTGTTGCCTCTGTTTTCGATACTCTTTTCCGGCATATCGAACCATTCGTTTTTCGAGTTTTGCACAGGAAGTCGGATCACCTGGTTTAATTGTGGAGTTGTGAGCTATCGTCATAATCCCTGAGGTGTACAAATGGTGTTTGAAGATCTCCATCACTCAATTTGCACCATAGGTGGTTTTGACCTGGTCGCCATCAGTAGGGTTAATTATTCAATAATGCCTGCACTTATATGCATCCCACTACTCGTCTCACTACAATATGGCAAAAACTTGCAAAGTACGAACCAATCTTGCCTATCTCGCTTTACCTTTTACATCAGGTGCCTCGGCGCCATTGTCGACTTGTGACGCAGCTCAGAATTCCCGAAAATCTCTCCGTACCATCATGCATTCTGATCATTAGTGACATATAATAAACATACGGTATCCAAAACTACCTACAAGAGACACAGTAGACATCAAAACACATATATGTGTATGGCGCAAAGGAACATCGATAACAGATCCCATGATTACATGCCGATTGCTTTGTACATCATATACTTCCGCAACTTTTCCGTGCCATATGACAGTCTAGGACTGGCTGATGAATTTCTATGAGTTCACCACCACCAGTCAAGGCCGCCTCAATAACCGCAACACCCTTCAGTTTTCATCTATGGCCGCAAAGAAGCTCACCTGCTCCAATTCTACGCCTCTCATAGGCTCATCAATAACTTCCTCCTTTTTGGGTCCAAGTACCCCATTTGCATCGCGGGTGCCCGACTTGAACCCATTCTCGACGTTGTGGATGAGGTCACAAGCCATGGTCTGCTGAACCTGGAGCCAGCCATCTGTACCGGTGATGGCGGCAAGACCTCGACCTGCATCGGAACGAGATGGGCTGGGTGCAGCGAAACTGAGCTCGTAAATGCTATGCGAACTGTCCGCATGATTGTGTTAATGGTATCATGGGGCGCAAGCCAATCCTTGTTAAGCGATGCAAACCTGGAGAGGTATGTCATAGCAATTGGGAGTATGACATGAAGAGCTGCGGCAGAGTGAAAGCAAGTCAGTTGCGGGTTTCTGCAAGTATTTGAAACTAACCACACTATCATCAAGCTATGCTCATCCACGTATCAGCTTGTTGAGGTGGGCACAACACGAATCTTACCAGGAAGCCTCCTTGATACTAATCCGATAGAAGCAAAGGCGCGAGCCAGAACTTGTCAGACCATACATCAGAACGAGGATATTGACATTCTCTCACGTCCGGAACAGTTCGCCACGGGGTCTTGAACCATTTTGATTCCTTATTCATGAAGTTGACGGTATGAGGACTGAAGGTGACTTCACCTATCTTTCCAGCAGCGAGTGCTTTCAAGATGATGTTTGTTCGTTGAGTGATTGGGAGAATGACGATAACGGATGAAATGTCAGGTCTAGCGAGAAGTGTATCAAGATTGAAAGATGGGTTTCCGTCATAGTAGACAATCAAGGGTAGTATTGAGGAGGGTTAACGTTGCTTGGGCAGCAAATTCACGCAGTCTTCTCTGATCGCGAGTAAACAGCTCTAAGCTTTGGTGCGAGAGGGCCAAGCGTTTGCGGTGCAGGAAGGTGTGCTATTGAAGTTGAAGTGTTATCAAGTTATAAGCCTCGTGTTAATCTGCACACCTTCCTTGGCAAAAATACCCGCGCCAAGTATGGCGGTTCCGGCGGTATTTGAAGCTGACTTGAATACGGCAAATGCATCTGGGACACAAAGACGGGCAAGCTGCTGTCCATGATCGAACTCAATCAACCAGTTTGGTCCTTAACCTGGACATGGGATGAAAAGAAGCTTAACGCCGGGGGGGGGGGGGGGGGGGGGTGTCGATTGGGACACTCGACACTGCCACATGGCAGCAGATCGCTGTGCTGGAGGGTCACACACGTCTTGTCTACTCCATCATTTTATTTCCCAACGACCGCCTCCTTGCGAGTGCATCATGGGATACAACAGCGCCTCTCTGGAATATTGACACAAACCTCCAAATCGGGCCACCTCTTCAACACGAAAATTGTATCGATTCTGTGATGGAACACTGCTATCCACTGCAGGTTGGAACGATAGAAACGTGTACATATGGGACATCCAAGACACCCTCAAAACAGCTGGCCTAGAAGACCTTCTGTCCATACCTGATGTGAGTGCCAACTTGATTCTCACCCGCTATCTCATTCCCAATGACTATCAGGCACAAAATTCTGAACTCAAAAACAAGGTATGTATCATCTTGTAACTTTTCAGATATGAAACACGCTAATGTCCCACACGCACAAGCTATCAGGTGTACGCCATGTCTTTTTCTGACCTTGACCTTCATCCTGATATCAGCATTCCAGGCTAATGCTACGCGACGTCCGCCCATCCGTCCAGCCCCATGTCAAGTACACCAGGCTTTTTCGAAAACGTGCAAGACGGTCACCGGTCCTGTGCGTTACCACAATTCACCTGCACTACTTGCTCTGATATTCATATTTTCAGTCTTCCAATCCCCGCCGTCTCCATCCTGATTCCTCTCTACGTCGCCGCCGCAGTGCTTTTGCAACATCCTGGGTATCACGTCCACGTGCGCTCCTCGCTCTCCTTCCCTCACTCTTCCACCGTTCCCGGCCAAACACCGATGAACCAAACGAACCTCAGCAACATCCACTGGGACCTGGTACCTCCTCTCGTCGCAGTCCTCCTGTTGTCGACGCCCCTACACTAGATGACAAGAAGGTATGTCGTTTGAGGGATGTGTTATCAATAGCTGGTTTCTTGAGTTTTATCTGCAGGCACTGTATGTTACTCGGCGGCCGTAACGAGCTAGCGACAAAGCAAAACGCGTCAACAACTCGAAATGGTGGGCTCGTGTTGTGCTGTTCCTTTGCTGTGCGTCTCCGTCCAACGACGACGGTCACTGATGGTTTTAGAACATGGTCGATCACATTCATATTGATATCCTCCTTCTGTTGTATTTCAGCGCTTTTTTGTTATCAATAATGACAATCATCGACGCCTCATATTTTAATTTGTCTGTAAAGTGACAAGTCGATTTGCACGCCAGTTGGTGAGGACAGTCTCGCTTGGAGGAGCTCAGTATGACTTAATGGACCAGTAGCTTTGTATTAGCGGATCACAGTATATATAGCTAATTCATTGTCTCTGATGGACAGGAAGGCTCATCGACTTCGAAATGAAAAGATGACTCGGGAAATAAAGTAAGGCACTCTGTCAAATGTTGGTGAAAGATGCACATTAATGCGCCAGTGTCGTGCCCCATGCTTGAGCACTTGAGTGTGGCACTTCGTCTGCACAGCACTGTGAAGCTAAGATAACAGGATAACACAAGGAAGACACCTTATGAACAAACGCTCGCGCAACTCCCTGAACTCCAAACCAAGTGCCAGCTGTCTTAGTTGACAGTGTTTCCTTCCTCTCATGGATTGGCGGAGCATATCTGTGTATGAGCAGGACTTGCTGCAAGTGAGATTCATGGCAGTTATTATAAGAGGACCGCTGTCTGATAGGTATATTGAGGATCCTCGTCGAGATCTGCTTCAAACATTCGACGGCAAGTAGCGAGCTACTGCTCTATGCATCATCCTGAAATTGTATTGCGCGTAGGAATCCATTACACGCTTCTACTGACATGAATCGGATGAAATAGAATTAATTGTTGACTTACCAACGATCTTGGTGCCTGCAAGTCAACGACAACCCGCTCTAAGTCAAGCAAGAGCTCAACGCGCTGCTCCCGTGCATATTACCCACGAATCGTTTTGTTGAGACCCCCGAGCACAGACCATACCTTCCGCCACTGCTAAGACGAAAAAAACGTCAGTAGTGAAACCCCATAAGACAACAAGAGGCCATGCTAAGCGGGTACGAGGCATTGCGCACTTGCCTAGGGAACAGCGCATTATCACATGTTCATTTGATGCAGGAGTAAGGACTTGTCTCCAAATGGTAAGACTATTGCCAGTCAAAGCGATGATGGAACTGTGAAATTGTGTGACGTCGAGACCGGTCCAGGAAGGTTTTCACCGAATGACGAGGGCACGCGAAATTGGTGGACTCGGTGTGCTGGAGTCCAAATTGTGGGCAAGTGGTGAGTGGGGGCTTGGACAGTACAGTAAGAGTGTGGGATGTAAAGAGCAGCGAACTAGTCGAAGGTCTGAATCCATGATAGAGATGCAGCACCGGCACGTGAACAGTGAGCTAATAACCCAACGCAACAATGCTTACCGCAGAAGAATTCAACGAAGATGGAATTGAAATTTGGGACTCGAAGACTCGACATACGAGTGAACGACTACCGGTTGCAACCGGCGAAACTGACCCCTGCCCCCTACACTGGCCTGGACATCAAGCTGCTGGAATGGCTCAGCGGCTGCAGCAGATCACACAGATTAAGTATCGACGGGACTTAGTGAGAAAACTCACCTGGTAAGTATACTTGCGAGCAATCTCGATTCTCACCATCAAATTGATTGGGTTCAAAAGGCCAGAAACGGGAAAGGGATGATATTGATGTCAATTTGAGCCTGGGAAGTTTTCCTTTTTGATCTTCCTCCTGAGAAAATATCTTCTCCTCCCAACCGTTTCCGGCTCTTTCTTTTCTAAGCTAATTCTTTCTCTGATCCAGTTTAATCGCCCTTCCGAAGGCTCTCGCCTGCATATAATGGTCGTAAGTTCTTTGTGTCTTATAACACCTGTATGGACTTAATCTCACATTTTCAGGCACCCAAAGGCCCAGTATGTCTATGGTGCTCTGATCATCTAAATGCGTGGCCTTGTGCGTATTGTTTCATGAACTGCCCAATTGCCTGAAACACCCCCAGGACCCCAGAGAGATACGTCTTAGTGAAGTGCTACTTGCCATCATTACTGGTATGCGATATCTATCTCTACTCCAGTCGTATTGACAATTTACCTCCACACAGATGCTCTCTCTCTTGGTCTCTGACGAATCCTCTTGGCTTCCGTGTGATTATCCTGACCGGCTGTGCTCAATACCAGACTCGCAATAAATACGTATGCTCAGACTTAGCTGTTGTCGAATGATCCAAGCACATTCTTTTGTAGGTGGTCAATTGATCCCTGCGTGTCCTGCTTGTTCAAGCGCAATATGCTTGAAGTAAGCACTTTGACAGCACTGCGAATGGCGATTCATGTATTTCAAATTTTCAATAGTCGACTTAGCATGGCATAGTCCGAACAGCGTGGAAGGTAGACCCAGCCATAGCGGTCCATCTGACCAACGTTCCAAAAGCCCAGCAGCTCACTGAGGATCCAACGCCAGCCAGGTGATTGATACTCTAAAGTGTGTTCTAACAAACTGGGGGATAATACTGGTACATGAAAAACGCCGAACACGCCGCAAGTCAAGATCCTCCTTGCGCCGCTGAATTTTGTCCACAGTCAAATCATCTTTGCGATGTCGTCGTTTCCCAGTAGAGGACTACCTAGTTGTGAGTGGTGTTTTACCCTTTCTCAAAAAAAAGTTAACCTGAAGTCAGTTACACACTCCAAGTCAGAGCGCAGCTTCGCATCATACAGAAACATGCAACATTGGCATTTTTGGAGAAACGGGCGCTGGTAAAAGCTCCTTGGTCAATTTGGTCGCTGGGACGCCAACGGGGCTGACATCCTGCGACGCTACAGGATGTATAACTGAATCCAATGTGCACGATGTCCTAATTCAGAACGAAACCCTAAAGTTGAAAGTAAAACTTTTCGATACAGTCGGTCAGTGCAGTTCGCCTCTTTTTGCTGTTTGTTGCTGGACCGGATTACAGGTCTCGGTGAGGGCCCCGAAGGAACAGTCCCTGACAAGGATGCTGCGAGGATTCTGAAGAAGCTCCTTCGAGATTTTATGAAGCAAACCGACATTCATCTCATGTACTCTGTACGGGGTGTGAGAGTGACGAAGGTGCTCTGCCACAACTACAATTAAATCCACTCTGAAGTGAAGGAGAGAGTTCCAATCGTTCTTGTCGCCACAAGTTCAGAAGACAAAAGACCAGAATTGGAAGAATGGTGGAGGGATAACGAGCAATCCATCTCAGACTTCGGGATGACCTTTGCTGGTCACGCATGTGTCACCACAGCGACTATTGACAGATATGCAGGGGATGCTCAAGTGGTGCCGAACACAATCATACTACGCCGTCTTGCAACTTATCGAACAGTGTCGCCTGTCGCAAAGGGTTCAAACTCCACTGTTTGATGTCGGCCGATGTGGGAAAACCCCTCGTGCCCATATTTTACTAATGTCGATAAGCAGGAAAAAGCATAAAGATATCGTACTCGCTGAGGAGACGGCGCCAAGCGCTGGTTCACTCGTTCACCACCCCGTGGCAGAGGAGATAGCGTCGACAACTCCTGACTTGCGACTCTGTACATTACAGTATACAGCAATTGTTGACCTGCATGACGAGATTTTCAAGGCATTTGAAACCATTTGGCTCAAGGACTCGCATCTGGAAATCAAAGAGCACTCTATCCCTCCCGAAAATGGGTGCAAGGTGTGTAGTCATGAAATGCTTCTTGCACTGTATCTTTCCAACATCCATGAACAGTGACGATGATAAAAATATCGTACTTGCTGAGGAGACAGACGCAAGCGTTGGTTCGCACATCAGCCTCATGGCGGGAGATGAGGTAGCGCCTACAGCCCCCGACATGCAGCGCCGTATACCGTAATGTTCGGAGACTGTCAACCTGGATGACAAGATCTTCGAGACAATTGAAACCATTCGACTCAAGGACCCACATTGGAATCATGGAGTACCCCATCACTTCCGACATCGATAATGAGTGTGTATTCTTCAGATGTTCTTTGTGTCATATTTTGCCAACATTGACGAGTAGGAACAATATGATGTCGTACTCCCGGGAAGATAACGGAAAGCAATAGTTCACGCGCCAACCTCGTAGTGGGAGGTGGGGTAGCTCCCACAGCTCCTAATATAGAATGCTGTATGCTGCAATGTTCAGAGATTGTCGCCTCGGATGACGAGACTTCTGAGGCGTGCGGAACTATGATGGTGCTCTTTTGGCAGACTGGAGCAAACAAAAGCTCACTCGTCAACATTTTGGCGAGAGAGAAGGTGGTGCACCCAGCTCCTGACATGCGACGCTATCTGCTACAGTGCATAGAGGCCGTCAAATTAGGTGACAAGACTTCTGTCGAAAATTTTGACTCGAGCACCTGCGTCCGGCCATCATAGAGTACCTTGTCCCTCCTGAAATAGATGCAAGGTGCGGAGTCTTCAGATGATCTTCGTACTACAGTTTGTCTAATTTGAACAGTACGAGGAAGCATGAACTCGTCGTGCTCTTTTGGTAGACGGGAGCAAGAAACAGGTCACTCATCAACTCATGATGGGAGAGGCGGCAGCATCCACGGCTAATGTGTGACGCCGTATTCAATGTTCAGAACCTGTCAATTTGGATGACAAGACTTTCAAGGTTTTGAAGATCCCCACGTTGTACCAAGCTCGCAGTACTGGTCATTGATGTACTCTATGCGCCGCATGCCCTCCAGTTGCGCGTTTATTCTGTGTACGCATATTTCATACTTGTCTGTTGAGATGCGTGAATATTGATTGTATCTCCGATGATCAAAAACGAGAACCAGGTAGTTTGTTATGAGTGAGCTGTCTGGTACTCTGGTCGTCTTGATTCAACTCGAAAACCTGCGAAGAGACGGATTCAGTTCAAATAGTAATTCATGCGGCAGAACTCACATATCATAAACTATATCCCTAATGACACGATAAGGTCCCAGTAACGGCAGGTCACGATATAACTGTCATAATCAATTGAACGCACTGCAGGTCCTGCTGAAATTTCTGCAGCAACAATGATTCTGCCAAATCGATCAGAATCGTGCTTATGAGTATATGCAGGATATAAAAGCTGGCCGTCGTCCTATAGCATTCCCTCATTCTCACAGATATCATCCGAGACCCCCTCAGAAGATTCCATATTATCTCGCACAGAAAATGTGTTTCTCCAGCCTCGCCGTAGTTGTTGCTTTGACAGCATCTATGTCTGCCAGTGCATGTAGCGAATGGCATCGCACGACAAGTGGAGATCGCTGTTATGACACATGGCTTGTGAAGATGGTAGTAGCGTGAGTATGAGCAGGTTGCTGGGCAACCAGGATTCAAGCACATGACTCACCTGCGCCTTAGGATGGAGTGTTGATCTGCATGGCACCAGCCTAGCCGGTTGAAACTTGAGCCGGCAGCCAAAGTGGCACGTCGCAGTGAGCCATATTTCTGCTTTATAGTGCAATACCTTAGTCTGGAGCCAATAAGTACAGCTGTTCTCAGAAAGAAACAATTGCGCTGCTCGAGCAACGTGGATGTTTGAATTCATCTGGAAATGACCGACTGTGCCTAGTCATGCTCATAGTCTACTAAGCTCAAATTCGAGAAGCTGTTGAAACGAGCGATCATTGCTATTGATGATTAACATTGGGAGGTCGTATGAAGATGAAATACACTGGAGAGACAATTTTGAATCTGTCCATCTAACGTTGGCCTCCAAGGCTAGCTCATGAATCTCTGTGTGTGATGGAGTCAATGAGACGCCGCTTCGTTGCTGATTGTGATTTGTGACGGACGTGTTATTTAGTCAAAACCCAAGGTCATACGTTATGATGAAAGTGAAAAAAAAGATGAAGATAAACAGTATTAATATTACTGCCTGCGTACTTTCCATTGAACAGCATCGTGGGGAGTCCGGGAGTGATTCTCTTCATCGAGCGAGTGTTGGATGAGGCGCAAGGGACACGGACACGGTTGATGAGGAAGAGGAACTCCGAAGAACGTTGCACCCTGATAGTAGTGGCCGACCAGCCACTTACTTGTTTCCGAGGGAGTACAGAGTTGTCGGTGTATGCCATAGTTCAACTTGATATCATCGTGATTGTAGGATGGAGAATAAAACTTTGAAGGGAGTTGTGGGCAGGCGGCCACGACACATACTAGGGATATTGACCACGTACTACTAGGCAAGAATGGTCTCCTTCCTGTCGTGGTCGCTTTGACAGCATCTATGTCTGTTAGTGCATGTAAGACCGCAGATTGCTGCAGTGACTTGGTTTGTGAAGATGATAGCGTGAGTATAACCAGCCTTAGCTCACCATGCGAGGACTCAACGTTGCAACCACGTGACTCACCTGCACGCTTTAGAGTGGAAGTTTTACCTACTGTGGCACTCGTAGAGTGTTCACACGATAAAGTTTGAATATACTCAGGATCCAGCTTTAGAGCTTAGCGCTTAGCACCTGGTAATTATGAACTAAGGTAAGTCTGATCAGGTCGCTGTGTAACCAGGATTGACTCACCTGCGCACCTTAGATGGAGGGTATGTACTGCCAGTAGGTTGAAAATTGAGCTGGCAGCCCAAGCAGCACGTCGCAACAGTGCAGTGAGCCGTGTTTCTGCTTTCGCTTTGGCAGCATCATGGTTGATGGTGCAACACCTAGTTCGGATTCAATCAGTACAGTTGTTTTGGACAAATTTTCATACCACTGCAGCAATGCGGATGTTTTGAACTTCTCTGACAATGATCGACCGTCCCTAGTCTTGCTCGCGGTCCACTAAGCTTGAGTTCGAGAGGCTGTCAAAACGAGCGATCATTGTTGTTGATGATTATACTTCGCAGACAATCTCGAATCTGTTTATCTAACCTTGGCATCAAAGGCTAGCTCGTGAATCTCTCTCTCTTTCTGGTGTGATGGAGACAACGAGACGCCAATCGTGATTCGTAATCCGTGGCAGATGTGTTATTTTCTGGTCGGAAATCGAAGCCCAAGGTCATGGAGCATGCGTTATATTTCTCAACCTCATCGATGCGCAACATAGTATGAGAGACCGGGGATTCAAGCGAGCATTGACGAAGAGAATTGCCAATGCCTGCTCAAATTTCAAATGTGTTGTCTGAACCTCACGAAACAATCATTTAAAGCTCTTCTTGATCATTTGCCGAGTCTGTCCAAAGTGGATATAACACCTTGCAGTACGCTTCCTTCTGTACTCGTCTTTCATCGCACTGACGGTGGTTCAGCGAGCGTTAACTATCCGGATGCTGTGACACATACCACCATTAATTGCGCATCAAGTCTGGCCCATGTCGTGTGCGTCCCATCCACCCGTATTGTTCTGCATCAAGCTTCACCGTGCCGGTGTCGTGTAAGCCTTCAAAGGCCGCATCAGTGACATGACTCGGGCCGCCTTCAGTCTCAATTCAATCAATGTAGTAGCCATAAGTGCAAACTGAGTACAAAGATCAGTCTTTAGAGAAGGTCATAATGCAACAGCCGTGCCACATCCAAGGCAAACACGGCCGGTGGAAATGAAGCAGTGGATGCCAGGTCACAGAATGAAACAATTATTCTTAACTGGCGACACGCAAATAGCTTAAGTGGAGAAATTGTATTTCCGATTTATCATTTGCAAAGACTAGAGGCTGTGAAGAGACAGATTCAGAGACACTTCAAATCAGTAATTTATGTGGCAGAACTCACATAGCATGGACTATACCCCTCACACGATATGAATCCCAGCAGCCCAAATTTTTGCCATCTGAAGATTCTGCCAAATCAATCAGAGTCATGCCCATAAGCCTGACAAAAGAGGAGCCTGCGGAACATTATCTGGACAACAAAGATTTATAGTCGTGTGAAGAACCGTGCGGTGGGTTGTACAGGTGCCTCGACGGAAAATCTCCCAAAATACGTCAACATCTCCTCTCTCGCGGGTAATAAAATCGCCAGTCAGGATGTGCCTGAAGAACACGTCCATAGTATACATGAGTTAGAGCTGTTGTACATGTCGAGGTCTTCTCCTCCAACGATTGTATGATGTTCCCCTGAACATCGACGCAACTCGTAAAAATATCAGACAGCTGATGCAGCATGTCTGAAATGTCAAGATCCATGGCTATTCGGCCTGCGGAATAATTTTGGCAGGAGCGAGAACTACTTCGAGATACGTGGATGTCTCAAGCAGCCACTTGATAGCAGGTGCTTCGAGATCGCTAGTGGGTATGTCCCGGAGGTGGAGGGTAAGGGTAGATTTCTCCTCCACAAAAACATTCAGATCCTGGTCGAGCGGTTGTGCCTCTGAGTCCCTAATCTTTGTTGAAAAGTGCGGAAGTAAGGAAGACAGCCCTTTGCAAAGCACGGTGGATACTAGTGATAGTCGAAGAGACCGTCGTGCGAATGCTTTGGGGGTACTAGTGCGCACAGGGCCTGGGGAGTGAGATGAGCACTAGGTATCCTATGTAAGAATAGAGAGTAACTTCAAGTCTTCACCTGCCAGTGCTTCGGAAAATCGGGCCCAACTTGGTCTGAGGGTACCAAGCATCCCCAGCAACACGCCTGATAAGAAACGGTCAAAATACAAGGAGACGTAAGAAAATATGGCTCACCATGGGTGACATCTTGAGCTGCTGGAAACACCTGAAGACTCGTTTGAACACTGAGCATAGGACCCCTGCAGTGTTGATTCAGATGAGGAATGACCATGAGAATTCACGAGATAATCTTACTGTCAATGCGCAGCATGCGTTAGATATCAGCGTCTGAAATGGACAAGAAGGAGATATCAAACATGTCATCACTGTCAGTAAATAGAACAGAAATTCAGAGACCATGGTGGCAATGACTCATCACACAAGTGAAGCTGGGCTGTTCAAAAATTCTGTTGCCCCTTCTGTTGTCCCTTCTGTTGCCGGTTCTGTTGCTGTATGGGTCATGTGATATGATGTAATGATGTAGCCCGTTTGGACCCCCAGCTTTTGAAAGCTGGGGGTCCAAACGGGCTACATTACATCATATCACGTGACCCATATGATGCTGGCCGTCTACTACCTCCTCTGACAAACCCCCTATAACTCAAGTTATACATTTTTCGTACATTCACTGGCAACTACATTGAATCATGGCACTATCACCAGCTGTCAAGCATAACTCTCTTACATGGTGAGTATTAATGATTTCCTCCTGTATGTCAGTATCTGACAAAATCACATCCTAGTGTCTCCAATATTGATTTACAGGGGATGTCAGATGATGAACTTCCTAACTACATGTTTGGATTTCCAACCTGCGGTGTTAATCCTGCTTCCACCCCCTTGGCTCATAATCATTGGGAAATTGGCCGGTCAATGCAGGGTATACCCAGCAAAACTGTTCTTCAGCCAAACCCACCAGCCACACCACCTTCAGGATGGACGTATCCCCAAGCACAAATTTTTACAGTCAATGACCAGCCAGACTGGAGGTGGAGACGTGGATATAGATATGTCACAAATTATGACCCATCTCTGTGTCCTGATCACAAGGATGCAATGCGAAAGATCACAGCTCCTCCTGAGACCATTCAGCTAGAGTTCAATGAGGACAAGGCAATCACTCCGCCCATCCCTGGCCAGACTCAGTTGATTCCGGGCATTCCATTTGTCCACCAGGTGGACAACAATCCAACAAAATCAATCACTATAGCTTGCCTACATACGTTGGAATCACTTGCACAGTATGAAGAACACAGCCAAATTTACCACCTCTTGGGAAGCTTATGGCTACAGACATTTGGGCGGGAAGGCTCTGATGAGTTAAATGCCATCACCCCAATATATTGTCTGCCTGGGATGCGGGTCAATGACAGGTCAAACAAGGATGCTTCTGGAGTTGATGGGTCATATAACCTGGCTTCAACTATTCAGGAGGGTGATGGTCAAGGAAGGCTAAGGCCTGCTGTACAGGCTGCAACAAGAGAGGCAGGTGTACAAATTAGTGAGGTGCTGTTGTTACTCCACCAGATCTGGCGTCTTGTCATGCCACTATGTATTTCACGGGAGGAGTGGGAGTGCCTGGAGTTTCTCATGAGAGACAACAATGTCTTCTCCTTTGCATCGTTGGAGTGCGGTCCTGTTTCCTGCCAGATGAATGTATCGTCAATTCAGTCTGGTGGGATATTGCAATCTGCTATTGGAAGTGTTCAGGGGTCATGGCATGTGGATGTGAAGGATGATCCCATGTTTCCAACATTATTCATTCTGTTACTACGAGTACCTCCTGGTGTGTATTCAAAGCATCATTTACATTATTACTGTACTGAGAACATTTAAAGGTAGTGATCCAGGTGCATTCTGCCTTGGCAGGCATGGGTTATATTGCCGAGAATTGGATGTTGTGATCATAATTCTGTCATTCCGTGGAAATGACATTCATTCTGGCTTTGCCCCGAAGGAGAACCCTAATACAGTAGGGTCAGGACTGGCCCCAGAGGAACTTCACAAGCTTGATGAAGCAGTAACTGCTATCTGCCATTCCACTGGTGGTGTATCTCGAGTTGGCTTTGTCTTATATGCCTCACGGAATGCAACAAGAAGGTCCTCTGGTCTTGGCGTACATGGTCCTCTCACATTTGGAAACCAAGGCAACAAATTTGATGCACAGGATGAAAAGGCAAATAAGTATCTGGAACAGGGTCAAGTAGTGCTGGGAGCAGCCTATCGTCCACGGCTTATGCTGGAGTTTGCAATGGCCCAGTGGAATGCTTCCCTGAAGCTACGTGTACTTCCCATGGACCAGTCACTATGGCTTTCCCAACTCAACTATACCAATGAGAAAGGAGAGAAGGTTATATGCAAGTATCCATTCAATCCTATTCAAAGTCAGGAACAAGTTCTGTCTCAACGCCGCCGTGTGCAGTTATTGATGGATGTGGTTGATGAACAAATCATTCCTATGGCAAAATGTCAACTGCAGTCCCAGTCGATGAAGGTCGGTGTGGCTTCACATCACAATGTCAAAAAGCGACAATCAAAGCCCACTATTCCAAAGAAGAGACAGCATATTGGCCCACCAGAAGCTTCTACCATGGCTAAGCGACAGTGCAGGACCCAGGATAGAGTCATTGAGAGTGAGGATGATGACTTGGAGAATGAGGATAGAGAGGATGCTCATGATCCTGAAGATATGGATGTCAACCCTGACAAGAATGGTACTCTTGAAGATGCTAATGTCAGCTATGAAGTTGAAAAGATCACTGGCATGGTGGAGCTTGAGGTGTGTATATTTCATTTCATAGAATTGAAGTCTTAATGTGCACTTAGGATGGCCGGGAACTCTATCGAGTGCGATGGAAGGGTTTTGAAGAAGAGTATGATCATTATTTATCAGTTTCAGACCTGCAGTAGGTTAATGACTGTGTTATTCTGGTTTAGGCTAATTAAATTTTCAGAGATTGTCAGGAGCTGCTGCAGGAATTTCAGGAGGAAGGCTGCAGCCAGCAATGCAATATGCTAGAGCTTGATATGACATCTTCACAGTTTGCAGCACTTTCTGGGCTCTTGAACCCTCAGCTCCTGAAGGCTGAAATAAACGAAGTGAAGGAGTCCATATCAAATGCCCTTATGCCCATTGATGGTGAAGGTGCTAATATCAGTTCTTCGTTGGACATGGCTAGTGCCCAGGCAGCAATGGATGCCAGTACCCATTCTTCCTTCTCAAGCTCAGATGTCTGGCAGGATAAACATGCTGGAGCACTCATTCACCAGGTAGAGGGGGCTGCTAGGCACCTCCCTTGGCTTTTGAAGCAACGGGAGGAAAACATCATATCATCTCGCTTTCATACTTGGCAGGCTGGTCGCTGCATCCTCATCATCTATAACTGGTTCACCACTATTGGTCCCCAGCTTGGTGGCTGTCTTGCTGAAGAATATTTTGCTAGCAAGACTGAACTATACTCCATCAGTCCTATTTTTTTCAAGATCATGGATGCAATTGTCCAATTTGTTGAGGCCACTCTAGCTGAAAAGCAGGCAACAAAGCGGGCTGCCAAAACCAAATCAGCAAAACAAAGGCGGAATGCTGCATCCAGTACTGGGACTGGGAAGGGGGTCACTTCAAGTTGTATCACTGCCTCCAATGCTAGGCACATCCCTATTGATCTGTTTGGACTCCATGAGTCTTCACCATCAAGCAGTAACCAAGATATCCTGCTGCCAGCAGTTGACCCTCGTCTTCTGAAGGACACAGAGGAGTCCATAAAGACCGCAAGCAAGAGATGCTTTGTAGATCTAATCTATGAAAGCATTTTCTTCAAGGATCTCGTTGAAGCTGACAAGAGATTCAATGACAAGACTATCAAGAATTTCGACAAAGCTTCCATTCAGGCACGCTTCATATGCCGTGCTGCAGTCATCTCATCTGTAGTTCGTGCTTTCAATTTTGATGATGGTGTCCTTGCATCTAGTCGCTGGTGGGACCTTGTGGGCCATTCTCATCGCATCTTTGACACCAAAAATAAACCGAACGAAATTGGAATCACCATTACCAAAGATCCACCATCAGCTCTTCTTTCATTGGATATATGGCTCCAAAATTATGTTTCCCCCTCAGCCATAGGTGCTGCAGCCACCTTAGCTGATGGTGTGTGGAAATATATGCTGCAGTCTTCAAAGACTTCCACATTTTCTCGTAAATCATCATTGCTGAAATCTCACCACACCCGGGCCAAAAACTCAAAGCAACAAGATCTTACTCCCCTTTCCACCGATGCCATAATTTCACCATCAGCATCCCTCTCCATGCCAGCTCTTATGATACGTGAAGCCCTGAACGTATGTCGAAATAATTCACAGGGTGATTCAACTGTCAAGCGGATTATGGATGGTTTCCGGCCTACACATGGTCGTGTCAAATCTGTGGATCATGATGAAGATCACTACAATATCATTCGGTATGGCCCATTTGGAAACCACTACAGTCGACTTCTCCAGAAAACATTTACTCCCAAATCTCTAACAACAGCCAATGGAATTTCCAGCCTTCTAGCCTACATGTCATGCGGACATGGTTTCATAACTCGGAAGTTTGTGGAGAAGCACACCCTTTGCTTTGACTCCCTGGATGCTTGTGTTGCACTGTATGAGAGGGTTGAGCACTCTCAGGAGTACAAATGTTGCAACATCCGTATATGGGGAACTCCCTCTCCTGTCTTTGATATCCGCCCATGCACAAGCCATTCAAAAGAGCCTCTCACCCCAAAGGAGAAATTTTCTGCCCTATTTGACAAATCAGTTCAATCCAGCTGGTTAGCATTGCTTGGAAATAGGGCAAACACTGACCCTGCCCACTGGTCAGAAGAAGATCGACTGGAAGCTGATGATGTCAGGGATTGGTTATCCAAGCAGCAACTCCCAGGTTTCATTCATGGATTATCAGCTCTGCAATTTCTAAACAACACTGTCATATTTGGACTAGCAAAACAGCCCACAACAGAGGCAACAGCTGCATTTATCGACAAACATCGTGGTATGGGAAGTTTCCAAGGTCTTCTACTTCTTGGATATAACATCGACGGACGAGGGAGCAATTGGACGAATGCAGCCTTCCTTCATTTCTATCGCCATCTCGATGCCTCGCTTGCTGGTGAAGACAAGAATGTTCTACAGTTTTCACCGATATTCGCTGAGCATCTGCTTTGCAAAGTGAAGCGATACTGTACGACATTCACCAAGACAGATCGAACCTCATTTCAAGCATTGGCAAAAGAACGAACATCCAACTTGAAATGGGTAAAGGGACAGAACGTTAAAGATTCTTCGGGTACTGTTTTGCCCATTCCTGTGGTGCTTGATAGAGAAAGCATGGATTCGATCATATCTAGTTTCGAGGTAAGGATCCATTTATTTCCAAGTCTTTTTCAGTCACTGAAATGGGTCATTCAGTCTTGATTTATTCCGAATGAATGCCTGTGTCTACAACGAAGCCACATATTGTATTACTAGCCTGAGTATTGAGCACAGAACCTATCTTGCGCCCGCAGCAGTGAAGTTGCCGAATCCAATCTGCGCGAGAAGGGCATTCGTAGTGTCCTGGGGTCGGGACTGAGATTGGACTCCATGGCGACAATGAAGACGAGCTAACAGTGGAGAAGAGATCAGACTGAGCAAACATCAGTCTCAGAACGTATCAAAGATAAGCATGCGAAACTTACAAAGAGCAAGATACTCTCCATGTCGTTCGTGTGTTGGTGGAGAAATTGTGGTCGTGTTCCGCTGCGACTTGTCCCAGAAACGATACCAATTGTCCTCGCCACTCATCGATTCAATCGTCGAGTTCTGGAGAACATCCAGCACTTTCTCGATGACATGTGCTCTGCATATAGAGTGTCGTCAGCTGCGATCGCTTGCCTAATTGAGTCGGCTGCTCCTCCGCTACAACCTCTTCTGCCTGGCTGAGACAATTTATGAGTTTATCATGGCTATTGATAGGGACTTACGAAGCACGAAGCACTTTCCTGTTCGTAATGTTCTGATGGCCGGGTTTTCGAGCTACAGTTCTCGTGAGTTACACAGAAGCATCAGAGCCTACTGACATCCATGATGGTGGCTTCACCGCTGAAGGTCCATCAATTTCCCTCTCCCTATCTTCCTGTTATACGGGTGACAGATATCAGGAATAGGTTACTTACTCCGAATCCTCCGGGGGTGCTAGGGTCTGTTCTGGGGTAAGCTGCTCGTCGGCACGGATGCGCTGGTCCTCGGCGCCTTCAGTGCTAGATGCTAAGTTTGACATGAGTAAGTGAGAGTTATAGATATTTGAATCCAAAATACAAGGCAGTGGAATTGTGAAGAGTCTAAGCATACAAATATAAGCAGTGGTGGCACACAGCAAGCTGGTTGAGCGCGTGCAACCATCATCAACCGAGCCTTGCCATGACAAAGCTTCCGGCAACAGAGTTTACGACACATCACGTGATGCATACAGCGGCTTGACTTGAGGGCAACAGAAGGGGCAACAGAATACCCCCTAAATATAGCAAGTCAAACAAAAGGACACGGTAACAGAAGGACCAACAGAACTTACATAATATCACGTGATGCATGCAGCGCTGAGGGCAACAGAATACAGGTACTCTATGAAATTGGTTCCTAGATAAACGCCTTTACTCCCCCGGTGCGCACAGTTTCCTGATGACATTCTCATTGATCCTCTTCTGCACACATATCTCGAACGGAGCAGCATATATGTTTGCAGTATCCGAGAAAGCAAGCGTATCAATCTTCGCTGCAGGATTCTCAGAAAGGCGAAAAGCCCAGAGAATAAGAGCCGTGGTAAGGTGATAAAGAGGGACCGATTCCTGACGTGCTGACCGGGACAGACTCTTATATTTTCAAGCAAGGTAGGAGAACGGGTTGAGTGACGAACGATGCTACTCACCGGCGGCCAAAACCAAAAGCGAAAAACCTGAGATCATCGCGCACAAGACCTGCATCGTCAATCCAACGCTGAGGGTTAAACTTGTGCGGTTCTGGGAAGACCTCAGGATCGTTTGCGATAGCCCTGAAACACGAGCGTCAAACATAAAGATGAGAGGACGAAAATGATTGCCTACTGACCAATGATTCACAATAACAGTCGCACCTGCCGGAATGAGGTGGTCTCTCCAAATTATGTCCTTAGTCGCACGATGCCCAAAGCCTGTAGTGCAGGGTTATCGTTTATTTACCGCATCATTACCACTCAAATAACAAGATGTACCTCCAAGGTTGACAGGTCTCCACCTGAAACTCTCAAGCATGAACGCAGTAACCTGTGGCAACATTTTCTGATCATTAAATGTCGGCACTAATCAGGAACTATTTCAGTCAGCAGATAAGTAAAGAAAAGGAATAACCTACGCCGCATACGCCTCACGACTTCATCAAGTTTCTCTTGTAGGTGAGCCTGTTCATCCGTGTGAGTGGTAGTAGCCATTATCATAATTGTAATTGCGGATAGTCTATAACAGTTGTCAATTTGAGAAGCAATGCAATGTAGGGACTTGCCGTATCAGAACCAGCCCCAAACATTCCTCCTGCAATATATCCCAGTTCCTTGTCTTCGAACTGATATTGTTTCTGGTGCTCTAAAATGAACCTTGCAAATGATGGCCTCGCAGTCCCTTCACGCTTCACACTGGTGAGCGAGGACATTTGACATTACAAAAAATCACGAACCATGTGTCTTCGCACCGCATCCGACTGCCCGTTAAAAAGAGCCAGATCATCTTGGTGCCATGCCTTCAACTGACTCAGCCTTCAGGTAGCCTGGGATGAAACGCAGGATTGGATACGTATCCACAAGGTATGCTCCCGGCTTCATAGCTTGACCAAAATGCACAAGAGCTAGTGTTCGTACCGCATGGCATGACCTTGGTGGTTCTTTAGATCATTTAAGATATCCAGAACCAGATTCTTCGCGTGACTGGTCTGGATGGGCTCATAGGTCTCCGCAACCTTGGGTTGCAAGCCTGCATGCAAGACCCTGCTTTACATTCAGTCTGATCGCCTTGTAGAAACAAGATGTGTACCTGCGCAGCAGACGCAATCTCTCACCACTGCCCGCAAGGACCATTTTCAACCCATCAGATAATGTCTCTTGCGCTGCAATAGAACGCGGTCGGCAAGATTTGCTCCCTCTTTATCCATGGTATCTCCCGCAGCCTATGAAGCCTATGACGAGACTCACTTCGTGCCTGGCTAAACGATGAATTGCTTGATACTCACCTGATGACGCCCCAGTAGTAAGCCATCATTTTCTCGCTGGTCTGCAAATAGTTTACTGCTACCTAGAGAACCTCCATCGAAAAATATCCGAATTGCTGAGGACCATGTTGGACAACGCTGATGGTCCGGTCGAATCCGTCCGCTGATTTAGACCTGTCTCAGTGGACCAATTGCATGATATGATAGCGCCCAGAAATATTTGAATACCGTTTCGGCCAATAGTTCCATCTCATCGTCATCCAAAAAGGAAGGTAGTGACAGCCGTGAAAACCACTGGTGTATGATGTCGAGCTACGCTGTCAACAAAGGAAAGTGTTTTTCCTTGTGACTCGCAGATGTTAAATGACCCTCAAAAGACAGACATGAGCGTTGAACGTTGAACGTTGAGCCATGGTGGTCAACAAACGATGCACCTATATCACGTCGTCAGTACACATCATACGTCCCTACACTACGTAAATATTACAAATTGCGGTCCTCCTCATCCGTGTCAGATGCTCCTGCTCGACAAGCCCGTCAATCCATTGCTTAATAATGCTCACGTCCGGCACAAAGTGACTCTTCACAGCATCAATCGTCTCATTCTTCAATTGCTCATGTGAAAGCTCCTTCGCTTTCATAATCCGCACAATCGCTGCATCCAAATAGTGCTTCCGGTCTCCCTCGATGTGCGATTGAGTCCGTTGGTTTTCCTCGGCCTACAAGACAACCAACCGAATAAGAGGTGTAGATGCGCTTCATCGCAAGAAGAGAAACCTAGCGTCTCCTTCGCCTAAATAGAGTTGATGTGCACCTTCGCCCACGGATCGGTGAACTCCGGATTAAAGTAAAAGACGGCGTGATCGTTCACGTCCTTCCCTACTGGACGCTTCTTCAACACCTTCTTGTTCGCCCATGCCAGACTCTGCAACGTCCTCTTCAGCTCCCCGTCGTCTATTTTGGAACTCACATCAGTATCTCATAACAATCGTGAAAAACGATAATTGCACATACGCGTCTCTTCTAGGATGTATCTATACCGATCTGTCTCCTTGTTCAAGAGAAGCAGCACGACATCTTGGTATAAGCTGACTGTGAGGTCTTTAGGACCAGCCGCAAACCGCGCCTTTACCGTAGCTGTCCCAAGCGAGTGATCCCAATCGAGCTTATGCCCTTGGTATTTGATCTTGTAAAAAGTTGTGTAATGATTCAGATCTGCTTGCATTTAGTCATTGTCATGAGCCCACGCGGACACCGGAAACCGTACCGCTCACTGAAGAAGGCAAGTCCACGTGTTTTGTTCGTGCAAGGAACGGCCAGACGCTGCGTTGCAAAACCATGACAGAGAGTTGCTTTGCGGAGCTGTCATCCCTGATACGAGCGTGATACTCCCGCATGATATCTTGTGAAAGCGCAAGGTCGTTAAACATATGATCTCCCATTCCAAACTCTGGATCATATTCTGCCCACCAATGATCAGCATGCGACTTCAAAAACAAAAAGTACCCTATCACATACTCTCTTTGAGTTTCTTGAGCATGGCCTTCTCAAAATCATCAGATGCACTGCGTTCCAGCAACAATCTCTTCGCTAGCGCCCGATGATTTTCACGAGATCTTGAACTGTTTTCTAGAGCATGAATATATCAGCGCAGGTTTGGGGAAAGAGATGATGAGACACCCGCCTGGACATAAGCCTTGAACTTCCGGAAAAGCACGGTCTACCGATGAAAACAGCGCATACGCTTTCTTCAGGTCAGCAGTGCCCTTGCACTCCATGAAGACTGCACAATGTCAGCACGACGACTCCATGAACCCAGTCACACTAACCTTCTTTAGCCATCCACTCTAGCCTCACCTCAAACAGCGCCCGAATAGCAGCATCCTTTACAAGCGCGCTCGTACCATCAAGCATCACATCCCTTGCTCTACCCTGCTCCTCATTCGTCCGCTGGTTGCAGTGCGCAAGGAATACCTTCGCCTTGGCTTTCTCAACCTCGACCATCTGATACGATTCTTTTGAGAAGTACTCCCGAGTCTGCTCGACGAAGTGTCGCTCGAAGATGGCATCGTAAACGTGGTGTGTGATGAGGTGGGAAACGAGCTCTTTAAGGAAGGGGCGGTGGATGTGTACCTGCCTGGTTGATGGGTGAATGTTGTGTATAGGCAGACGAATGGAATGAACATCGAAGAACGTACTCTTCGTTCCTTTCCCATGTGACCCCATGTGGAGATGCCTTTCTGAAGCTTTTCCACGATAAAATAGCTAACTATGCGCTCTCTGAAACGAGTGAATGCGAGGTCGCTGAAGTTCTGAGCGTCAGCACGTGCAAAGAGTTCTCATGAAGGAAAACTCACTGAATAGAAGGAAGACTAGGATTCTTGAGCACATAATCACGATCGAGGTGGGTAAGGAGTTATTCCAGCAGTGCCTTGACATGAATCCGTGAATCAATAACTTGGCGAATCCCAAAACTGATTGTATGTCACTCACCACTTGTCCCTCGAACCATGCACACGTCTCGACGAAATGTCCGATCCGCTCTACACCCTCCTTTCTCAAGCTCTTCAGCCAGCCGATTGACGCATCTATGGATTTCGGCTTTCAACATCTCATACAAGCCCTCGCCCCCCCCCCCCCCCCCCCAGCAACACACATAACGCCCCGGCATGCGGTGTAGACACCCTCATACGTTGTACTCTCAACTCATTGGATCCTTTCTCCAAGAATGCCCTGATGCTGCGAAATAATCGCACAAACAAGTTATCAGAAACCTTGTTCAACGCAGATCCGACGACACCGCCTACAATGCCCACCATCCTAACATGAGCACCACACCTCAAGAACAAAATGGAATGCAAACCTGCAAAACCATGGACTTGAATCCTTACTGGGCCACCTCTGTCGACATTCTCGCCTTTGACACTATCGCGCGACCTGGATGCAGAACCAGAGTCAGAGTCAGAGTCGGCGTCCAAACGTGGGGTTTTGCGTGGATGAGATGCCGACTGATTATCAACGTCGACTACTGTAGACCGGTAAGCTGTAAATGCCTTGGATGTATCTGAAAATGTGACCAGGCTGATCAGCATCAGTCATCTCGCAATTGATTCTAGTTTGAAAGTTACTTCGGAAACCTTATTATGTAAACTTGCTAATTGACAGAGATGCACACTGCTTAGCTTCACCGATTATGCCTTAGGGATGCGCGCCGACGCCTGGCTATAGTCACATTTACTACACGCGTTTGGTTTCCTAAATATACAGCGAGGCTATTTCTCGAACATAATTGAAAATACATACATATCAATCATACAGTACCATGGCAAAACTCCGAAATCCAAACAGCATTCTCAACCTCCCTGTAATACACCGATGCCAAGATGTCAATGTCATGGAGTATTTCCTGTACTACACACCACCATCAGTCGACACAGGTGTACACTCCTGGAATACAATCTTAGTCATGACAGTTGCTCTGTCGGAGTCAACCGCAAGCCTAGTGCTGTGTTCTCGAACGCTGAGGACGAGGCGCGGTCCCAGTAAAAACATCTGCAAGAGCGAGGAAAGTAGCGCAACAGCGTAATAAAGCTCAGCTCCCGCAGGAATTTCGTTCTGCACAATCGAGCAGCAGTCAGATGGATATGAGTCAGCAGTGGATGGGCCCACCGGTAGATTTGGAGAGGCGAAGCTAATGCGGAAGAAAGCAACAGCAACAAAGCTGATGTGCGGAACTTCAGCATTAAAACGATGAGTCGCTCATGTTACAAGCTCACCTTGCAAAGTAAAATACGTGACTTTTTAATAACATCGTGAAAAAGTCTTCAATAATTGATCCTGTCGATAGTCGTTCACGGAGATGCTTTATAGCAATATGGACTGAAAGATACAATGCAAGGGTTTCCCATACAGTGCCGAGTATCGAAGTGACAGCTGATAGAAGAAAGCTATTCCCCTCGTAATTGCACTGATGAGTACCGGAGAGAACGAGCTCCTCTGTTATTTGTCTTGTAAGCCTGACTCTCTGAAGTCCTTCGTGCGTGACCAAAGCTTACCTCCTGTAATATGTGTGCCTTGTATTACCGTGATTACTGCGCTAGTAATCGCCACGGTAAGGAAGAATACAACGAGGAAGATGAGCATTTTTCTCGATCGCTGATACATGGCATGCAACCGAGCAATCATGATCACTAGCATGATATTTCAGCCAAATTAATAGCACTATTCATATATCGAAGCCAAGTAGCTCACCACCCAGGATGATGTTTGCGATGGTAAATATCCACCATTGTTCGAAATCGAAAAATATGCCTGCAAGACAATCAGCAATGAGCATTATATGGGACTAAGTTCGATCTCACAGCTGTTCAGATGTTACATTTTGATCAACGATATCGAGAATGTCACTCACCCCTACATGAGAGAATCGTGAGTTGGACGATAATGGGACGCATTGCTCGGATTACTCACAGCATCTGTCACGTAGACTGTCGTGATACTTGCTACATGCCACAGTTTGATATATGTGAGAAGACATGAAGAGTCGGAGAGACACCCGGTATATCGAGGCTGGTTACGAGAGATGGCTTATTAGTACAGTGCTAACGTGTTGGCCTTGCAAACATACACAGCGTATATTATTTCACCATAGCGCAGCTGGAGTGTCGTAAGGTAAGCGCACTTGCCAATTGTAACTTGGTAAGGTACGTACAGCAAGATACCAGACACTCATGACGGACCAGTGTCGCTTCTATTTCGAGTTCATATCGAAAATCATCCAGTTGTCCTTGGACTTCTAACATAGTACTGCGCTCACCCAGACTAAATGTATTTCTCATCCAGTATATGGCTAAACCGGATGGCTGCCGCTACCTGCGACCAGGTTGGATGCGTGAATGTGACTTCCGCTTGGAGGTTTAGTTGAATGGGGTGACAGGGTGATGCTTACGGGGCGCGCCCGGAACACCAAATAGATAGACTTGCCTACTGGCTGCCCAGTTGCTGCATCCCACAGCCGCACAGTGCAATCATCCGATCCAGTCGCAATGCGAGTCCCATCCGGTGAGAATGACAATGAGTCAACGTCACCGGTGTATCCGGTGATCACGATCTGAATAACCGTCCAGTTGATATCGCGTCCAGATGCCTTGCAAAAGGTGTTCGGAAAACGTTCTGGATAGTGCAGAGTTGACGAGCGGGAACGGCAGTGCTGATACATAGAGATGAGGTGTGCTGTACAAGATGAGGACGCCGAAGAGTTGAATAAATCTTTGCACGTCCATTGCAGCGGACGATGTGTCTTCGTGTCTGGTGTGACCCTGCGATTGCGATTGCGTGTTAATATGCGATCTGACACTCAATAAACATGTGCTCACCTTCAACCACTTGGCAATAAGCGGAAACCCGGGGACTGCACCGCTAAGCACATTCATAAGCCCGAGTACCTCGAGCCAGAAAAACAGTTGCTCATGCTCGAAGAATGTTTTTGTTTCTCTGGTGAGTTCTGGATCGAAGTGAGTTGTTTGCACATGCTCGTTCTCGCAGTCCGGGGTCTTCGGAGTTTGGGAGATATGATGATTTTAGATATTGAAGGAAAGTCCATGCTTCATCACTCGAAGTGATGCGAAAGCAAGGTCATCTTGTACTTTCGACACGTCGATGAAAATTCTCCACTGTGTGATTGGTCCGTCAGGAAATCATGGAAGGATGCATGAAGAGGTCGGATGGGGGTAGATGAGTTTGTGGGGCCACTGAGGGGTCCCATATGTTCGACCATGACTTGCACTTCGTAATACTTGCTGTTATCTGGAAAATGGAGCCGCATGGCGTTCACGGACTCCAAAGGGAGGGGTTCAGATGCGCCCAGGATTGTCCCATCACGGAACGAAATCTCCTTAGCTGTTTCTACTGAGACGCAGAATGTGTGGATTTGTCCATTCGCATGATCTCTGTCAAAATAAACTGATACATATCATACAATAAGTGTTCCCGCTCAGCGGGATTGCGGGACACCACAGCATCGAAGGACTCGATTGGAGATAAGCCAGGAGGGGGTGCTTTGATCGATTTACAAGCAAGACGCACCCACTCAAAAAGGCCATCGGCTTTCTTAGCAAGCGCTGCGCACTCTCTACCCCCCAAATATGAAAGCCCTTCCAGCTCATTTGATATGTGAGCGTGAATGTCACCCTCCATGGTGGCTGGTGGAATGTCGTCTATAGATGCCCATTCAATATGCTGAGCACCTGCAAGCTCTGCTTCTATATCGTGGAGTGGGCGAGAAGTAACGATGATCCGGAAGTTTTTCGGGAGTTTCGTGATGTGAGTGAAACTTTAAAGTTAGGTTTCGAATTTTAACCGGCGAGAATGCGCAGAAGGTTGCTGCATGTCTCCACTGCTTTGCCACTTTCGTCCAGTGCATCAATAACGATCACGACAGGCCTCACGGGTGACCCAGAAAGCTTCCCTAGCGGTTCCGTAAGAAGCTTCTGCCACTGCTGTACGACATCCGCTGAAGTCTTGAGCATTTGCGTCCTGGACTGCATCCGGCGCTAACGCTCGTCTCATCTCCGGATGACGGTCGGCCAGGTCGCGCGTGATAGTGGAGAAAATTATTTTATGGCGATAGTCTCTGTTTTGGTCGAAGTAGTATCAAGACTCAAGCTGTTTCCAGTCCTTGACCCATGCTCATGATCACCATCCCTCGCTACTGCTCGCCTGTTTACAGCGGTACTAAGTGCCTTGATGGTTTCCGGTCCTTGATCCATGTTCATGATCGCCATTGCTCGCTGCTGCCCGGAGTCTGTTGACAGTACGTAAGTGTCTTGATGGTTTCTAATCCTCGACCTACGCTGATGATCGCCTAGTATTGACAGTGGGTAAGTGCCTTGATAGTTGCTGGTCCTTGACCCATACTCATCATCCCCATCCTTCACTGTTGCTCGCCTGTTGACAGTATGTAAGTGCCTTGATGGTTTCTAATCATTGACCCGTCCTCATCATCCTCATGCCTCCCTGCTGCTCGTTTGTTGACAGAACGTATGTACTTTTGATGGTCTCTGATCCTTGACCCATGCTGACAATCGCTTCTCACCTGTTGAAAGCAGGTAGTAAGTACCTTGATGGTTTTCTGTCTGCAACTCATGTGGACAGGTCTTACACTTACTGTTCTTTTTGGCAGGTGGTGCGTGTCTTGATCACATCTTGTATTCGGATGATGCTCAACAGTATTGAACGATTGTAGTCTTAATGATAGGAAGCAGCCACCATTATCGTCCTCGAGTACTCTACGTTTCTCCCGTACAAGTCGAAGGGCTCGGAGCTCGTGGAGTCTGCCGTGGACTACTACCTGAAATCCCCCATGGTTGTCACAGTAGCGAAAGTAGCGAAAGAGATTTGTCGTCAAGACCACCATGGAGAGGAACTGGGAAAGAAGATTCTCGAGTTCATCCTTGAAAATCGCTTGTGTGTAAGTCCCTCGCCTTGTTGTGAACCTGGAAGTCAAATTTTATCAACGGCCTGCAGCAAAGGACTCGACAGAAAAGAAGTAGACAATCCTTAGACTCCTCTTACGATCATGATGTCGATTCCCCTCAGTATTTCCAACTAAGATGTACTATAGTAACGTAGCGAAACCAGGCGTGATCTGGTCCTTGTAACGCATATATAGTCGAAGTACTTATATCCTGCGATGTATTTGATTCCACATTCAATCTTACGTGTTCCTTTGTACTGATCAATTAGCTTGTACTTTGCATTGACGTGATTATCGCTGCCCGCCGTATAAGAACAAAGCTTGAGCATGAAATTTTGAAATCCTGCTTGTGTCGCTCAGGCTTAGGTGTTCCACCGTCATCCCCAAAGTGTCATTCTACACCTTTGAACACCCTGCTGCCTCCATGTTCTCACTCACCCTGTATGTGCAATCAGATGAAACAGAGCGACGGAAGTATTCCTTTGTGCATCCTGTACGAAAGCTGGTGCCAGGCCCTGGACTAGCCATTGAAAAGCTTGGTGCAAGACAGTGACGAATTAAATGTTTTAGAGGTATCGGTGGATTCAGACTATTTGCGTGAGTGATGAATATCTCTTGTAACTGACTTCGAACTTGATTTATTCGACTCGGAGAAGACGCCCGCCGGAAATGTGTTTTAGATACGGCGCAGGGCGGAAGGTATGTGATCGACATGCATTTTTGAGGGTGTATATTCCCGTGGTGTATTACAGCTCTGCATTCCTGTCGAGTTTATCTCTGGTAGGCCACTGTAATGCTTGAGCTTGAACATTTAATTGCCCTGTTATCAGTCCGATTCAGTCGTCATGGGCTCCAGTGATCGAGTATTTTATATCCTACAATTCTAACATTTACGCTGAGGTTGGTATATTTATCCTTCAAGATTGAGCCATTGACTTGCCAGTACTGCGCCTATTATTCAATTTCGTACGATAACTGTTTTCCCTCCATAACACCAGTACGTACATCGACTTTGTTTTCGGCCGTGCACGCGGCTACTAGAAGTCGCAGCGACTAAAACTCCCTTCATGATACTCTCAACTGCTGATCTATGTGGGTCCCCAGCCAGAGTCGATTTCTGTAAGATAGCAATATTTATTCCATGGAGGTTGTGCATTCAGATGACTGCGATGAAAGAAGGGAGAGTCATTGATTCAAGGCAAATTATGTGGTCAAAGGACTTGCAGAATCTGACATCACATCATCTATCACGAGGATGGTGGGCTCGACCTGGAGTGAATTCGGCAGACAATACTTCGACGCGTTGTTTGCGTCAGGCGTGTAGAAAGCCGTATCTCAGGCCTGTATCATTCCACTCACCACATAACGGTTTGCCTTCAAGACTCCAAAGACGCATTGTCCGTCTGCAAAGCGTTTGGGTCCTCGATCATACGGCGCAAATCGTCATACAAGCCCTGTACGGAAGATAGGGCAGCATCAAATAAAACCTGATCTAGACTGACACCATAAAGCACAAGGGAATCTTTCCTCCTTTGCATTGATTCCAAAGCCCTATACACACCTCTTGTGAGTCCGGTTAGCTTTTCGTGAGAACGCTAGAATCCAAGCTTCGCAAATTATGCCTTGTCGCCGCCATGAGGGCCAGTAGTGCGCCGACGTCGACGTTTGTGTAAACTCCGTAGCGTGCGTCGTCCCATCTCACCCTGATGAATGCCTGCCACCTCTTCTGGGCAGGGCCGAGAGGAAGAACCTTGTCTGAGGGATTGATATATGCGAAGATCCCAGCAAAGTAGCGTCCGGCAAGCCGAGCGTAGCGTTTAAAGACGTCCTTGGCTAGAAAAACGCAATGCTCGAAATGACCATCACGGGTCAGACGTTTGCGCCACTCATCATTCTGTAAAAGAGCAAAAATAAGACGAGAGTAGCAAGCATCTCGGCCTTCGTGAAACGAAGTGTCGGGTCCACTAGCTTGGACTGTCTGGTCCTGCGAGTGATTTGGACGTACGGCAGTCAAAATAGCACAAGAAAGCTTGTCCAGGAGTGCTGCATCCACACCCTGTGGTATTGACTCATTTGTCATAGATGACAATTCTTCTCGAGCATCATCAATGGCTCGTAGTGCAGCATGTCGGACACGGGGAGGTCTGGCGGGGTCCATGCAACGGATGAGCGCTGTGATGTAGGAATGACGCTTGGTGGAGCTCCTTAGATTGGGCATGGCACTCAGCGCAAGCAGAGCGTCACCTACAGTTTCATTATCTGCTGTGGTGTTTGCTTCTTCCACTAAGTAGTCGACGAGCCAGTCAAAATCTTCACAGCTGGGCAGGAGCCCGTCACTACGCCGCCACCGGAAATCATCGTCCCAAATTAAACTTTCTTCGTCTGGAAGCCCAAAGAAATAGGAATCCCCGTGGACAATGAGTGTTCTCAAAGACGTGCGTGCATCAGCCTTATGCTTATGCTTCTGTCGATCGTCCGCTTGCTGTGTGTTCTTGAGGTGAATGCAGGCGTTACGGCTGTCCATGAACGCATCACGAATGAAACGGCTCTTGCCTCCCCAACAATCACGGATATACGTGGCTTTGTAGCGAAGGTCAAGAGGTATTCCCAGCGACTGGCTACAAAGATGGGCTATGGCCTTGCCACACTTCACAAATACCTCTTCCATTTCATAGCGTGCTCTGAGATGATCGTTTAAGCGTGCACAAATTGCGGAAACATCAAGGTTCTGCGGCCATTGCACGAGAGGTATCATTGCAGCCGCAGCCTCGACAACTTCTGGATGAGTGGACGTCTCTAGTATCCACCGGATGGCTGACAATTTAACGGATGCACCACCAGGAGTGAAAGTCAATCTGCCTGGCAGAAATTTTCTGCAGATGGCTCCCATTAGTTCAGCTCCTGGTGTTCGGACGCAAAATTGTCACGAGGAGAGCGCTTGCGTAAAACAGCATGCCAAATGCGGTGGAGCAGATGACGACGCTGGATATCGTGGTTTGCTGGGTCCACATGTTGGCGCTGAGTGATAAGCCGAACAAGAGAAGCGAGATCTGGGGGAGCACGAGGAACCCCTGCAAGATGGTCTGGAGCTGAAAATACTCCATTCCATCCAGTTTCCTCTGCCTATGTATGCCGCGTTCCTCAAGAGACCCTAGCCCACGAGCTGCCTCATAAGCGTTGAGCCATTGCTTTCCCAACACAGCACCGAACGCAGCCAAGACGCTGAACAAGAGGCTAGCATACGCAAGCGTTTGCATCCAGATAGTCGAAGAAGGATATGGCGTGGAAGAGGAAAGACTGCTGATGTCATTTGTAGTGTTTGTGCCGTTAGCTGTCATTTGGATAAGGTGAAGCAAGAGGACGTTGGTAGTTTCGCCTGGGTTAGGCTGCATTCCGATGATAAAAATGGAGTTGACAGCTGAGAATAAACCAGCCTGGTTCGCCTGTTAGATTTGTATTGATAGATATGAACAAACGCACGAAAGTTAAGATGATGCCCATATCATCATTCGCCCGCTCTAAAAAGTCATTATCGTACTCGGTCGAAAACTTGTCATACGTCACCCAAAACTTCGATTCGACGTCTTTGTTGTTACGTTCTTCAGCGATAGGAAGCCCTTGTCGTTCGTTGGGGATCTGTTCATCAGTGTTTGACCTGTCGCCCAGCACAATCAGACCTCTAATGTTTCGCATTGATTGGTTGCTTGGCACTTACACATTCTTAATGGGGCTTCTCACGACGGCCTCTGCAAGCTTCTCGCTCGTTGGAGGCGGCTTTCCAGTGATTCCATCGCTGTAAATCCATTAGTGTTACGCTCGGCCCAGTCTAGCTTGCCACTTACTCGCTTCTGAGGCTTGGAGTGTCAGTGTCGATGGGTGCGGGACAGCGTCGTGATGACGTGCCTTGCATGTTTTTGTCTGCGGTGATCATCGAGATGTTGAAGGCGTTAAATGGGAGAGGTGGTTGGTTGGTAAAAATGAGGCTCGAAGTGCTGTGCTGGCATCAAAGTAGTTACACATTACAGAAGCGCGCAAGCGGCCACAAGATGATAATAAGGAGAGGATACTGAAAGCGAATTGAAAGGTTTCAAAAAGTTCGGTCACGGTGCATGGCATGAAGATAAACCTAATAAGTCTGGCTAGCATTCATAATTTCATGTGATTGCGTCTAACATTACACTCATTTCCGAAAGTCTTGACTCACGTGTTTGTGGCGGTTCAAAAATAGTGAAAACATCATAATTTGCCTCCCACCGCTCTATACTTTTTGACAATACACAAACACGTGAGTCAAGACTTTCGGAAATGAGTGGTACTACATCCTTAGACTCCTCGTACGATCATGATGTACGGTCATCAACGGAAAGAATATTCGAGTTCCTTCCAAGCGCATTCCCGCTGGCATCTACCTATCTGTCAATGTCGACTCCTGGAGGCGCTCGAAATCAGCCATCAGTGTCTTATCATCTGATAAATCTGTAGCATGGGGGAATACTGTCATTCTGTAAACCCAATGCAGGCTTTCTATTGGATTATAGATCATCACACTCCTTACCTGTGTTGTCAGTGAAGATCAGGGTGTCCTATGAGCTTGGTTGAATGCTAGGTGGATTAGAGGACTTCAAATGTTATGGAACGAGCTACTGGATCATGGAAATGAGCCATTTGGTGGGTGATTCACTTCTCGTTCATGCACATACACTAAAGTCTCGTAGATATATCCTTCTCACCCGTGCTCGGCGTCCACCCTTTCCTCAAGCTGAAGGCCGCCATTGTACATGCTTGCGACGATCAGGAAGATACACCTTTGCATGTGGGTGACGCTGGTATCTGTCCTGTTAGTTTTGGCTGACAGAATGCAAACTGCAGTCCTTCGTAGACTGCAAGATTGCTCGAGGCACAGATGTGGGCCACGCACGGTTTGCCACATACACGATGAGCAAGACAGTCTCTCACCTGAACGACACTGTAGAGCATTTTCAGCTGGTTCTGGACCAGTGTCCCATCAGCCATCCAGACCATGCAACGGCTCTCACCAATCTTGCGTGGGCCCGCCTTATAGGCTACATCCGAAATTATCTTCAAGACATTGTTGCCGCCACCTCCCTCTTCCGCGATATTGCATCCGCAGCGTCATCCTGTTTATCCCTTACTCACCAAGATCTTTAGACCTATGAGCTCTCTTACACCGAGTCCACACCTCTCAGCGCTGTATGTCTACCCCATTATTCGCGCACCCTATCTAACATTCGGGAGGCCTACGACATTTAATACGCTGTGCTGACTCTTCTATCTCATCCTTACAAATGCTGATCACCCTAATGGTCGATGGGAATATTGTTGCGGATATTTGATGTGTTGGATTCTGTACGAAACACCGTCGGTGCCGGCAAATTTTGAAGTTACGCATCTATCTTTATGTCATCTTAATTTTTAAATATTCTCTTTGCATTTAATACTAGACATATAAACCTACTATCCCTTCCACTGCAATCGGCACCCCACAGAAGTCGGCAGTCACGCTTTTTCGCAGGGTTTGATGTGACGGAATGTGACTACTTGTAACAAAAGCGTAACGTTTTCCTGCCAAAATGTGTGACCTGCCGACTTCTGTGGGGTGCCGATTGCACCGGAAGGGATAGTACTCCTAAATGTTGATAACCCTGATGCACTGTTAAATGATCTGCCAGGGGACCCCTGGCACCGGAATGGGAAAAACCCGTTCGTTCGGTCCCTCCGTTGATGATAATATACGAATGCGAGGCTTCGAGCTCGATCACTCCGCTCGATTTTCTTGGCTGTTTCTCTCTTTATTTTTCGCCGCTGCTCGGGTAAATTTCTGGATGTCTTCGCTGTTCTCTGACCTCGTCCCCCCCCTTTCCCTAGGCGGACTTGAACAATTTCAATGGCACAGGCAGCTCACCCGGCGCCCAGCGTAGCCATCACTCTCACCTATGACAATTTTACGTCAGTGGGAAGTGCCCCCCTACCCGATAACATGCCCACTGTGAGCAGTGTACTTGCGGTGGTTTTGATCCCGATCTTTCTCGTCATCGTCGTCACCTGCCCTTGGTGGAAGCCCAAACTCCTGCCCTTTGTCCTCCGTGGATGCTGCCCTTTCATTATGGTCCACTCGGAGCACGATGACAATATCCCGGACATTGTGGACCTGGCATTCGCCAAGTTGGACGCCACCGGCACCGGTCCCAAGGAGGTGAGCCCATCCGCCCTGTATAGTTTGCATTCGGCGCACTGATGGACCACACGCACTGTTCCCCAGGATGCATAAACTTTCAGACGGAGAGAGTTTTGCCATTTATGACTCAGAATACATATACGTTGGAGTACTGTGTTACAGCTATTTCCAAATCGATAGGCCAAATTCCATTTTACAAACTCACCGCCTTTGTTTAGGTTTGGAGCGAAACAAATATTTCTAAATTTGAGCATGATGTTGTCGGGCTACTCCATGTCGTTTATAAGTGTCAGCCCTGCTAAAGTTTTAGTTCGTCTCTGGCACTGGCAAACAGTGACATAGTACGACAACGATGACAATATATTTCAGCTCTACTATGAGGGTGAAAGTTTTCTATGAATCTCCTCATTGCAATCAGCGGCGCCCTGTAGTACAGACCACCTCATGTAGAAAAATGTCTGGGGCGCGCTCGACACAAGTTTCAAGCTGTACTTGTGACCATTGTACCAGGGTGGTCTGGCGCAGGTTCTCACACTCGGAGTCCCACACATTCATCTTTCATAGTGCAACTGCGGACGGTTGCATTTCAAGAAGGGGGCAGATGGAGCGGGGCGTCCCATCGGCCTAGGCAGGTCCGGGCGCAGTAGCAGGAGTCCTGGTTCATAGTCGGTAGTCCTCGTGCGTGTTGTAGCTGTCCTCGATAGATAGAGCCATAGCCTCCCGCTATAGAGGCTGAAGAGGACGACTAGCTTGCAAGGGCTTTTGAATGACAGACCCTGTGAGCCATGAGAGGCAAAGGGGCATAGCTATTTTGACGCGGTCCTGCCGCCCCTGCCACGGTCGCGCCATTCCTATATTCTATATTCAACTTCCAGATCAAGTTGGATGAGTTCACTCTCGCTATAATCTCTTGCAGAAACCCATTCATCAGGAATTCCGAGAAGATAGAGTTTCAGAAACAAATTCTTTGTCTGCTGGCTGGCGGGCTCAATACTTCTTCTCCAGAATTTGGGTGCGAGCTCTTTTGCAGCGAGCAGGTAGGTAAGCGGCTCGGCTCCCATTACTTGGCTTATACCTGCAGGTCTTCTACCAACAGAGTCATATTGCCCTGGCTGCATTGTTCTCCCCGTCAACACGGCTTTTATTATGTCCATGGAGTTGAATCTCACTCCAGGCACCAACGACACCATGCATGCCCTTCTCATGCAGCTCATCCAAATTGGACTCGGGAACTTTACTGCAGCAGAGTCTACTATCGCCAGCATATACCTGGTCGCCGCCCACAGCCAATATAAGGATCCAATGTATTGCCTACATCAGTAAAAATACATGTTACTTAAGCTGCCTTAAACAGACTTAAAACCCACTTAAGTGACTTTGGCTAAGTCAATCTACTTAGTCAAAATTTCAACTTTAACATGTTCACAAAAAAATTGTTCAGCTATTCTAATATACATATTTTGTTGTGGTTTGCACTAAAAAAGAATAAGATATCCCAAGTGGATGATGCAGGAGAGAGTAAACAATTTCTAGCAAAGTCAGCCAAGTTGATTAAGTAACGTGTACTTTTACTGATGTACACAAGCTTGTTCTGTTTACTCCTGCTTTCGGTGCTGTGCTAGGCAAGCACTGGCTTGGGTGCTACAAGTCACACAGATATGACTGCTGCTCGGATGAGGATGAACGAGCGGAGCACAGACAATGGAAGTTTAATCACATGCATTTTGAGGCTGTCATGCAATCGTTCTCTCTTCTCTTTGGAATTGCCCTCAGCACCAATATGTGATACGAGCAGTATAGTATCGCCTGGATCGTCATTGCAACCGTGGTCTTGGGGTTTTTGTTTTATTCCCTGATGGTGATGGCATCTTTGGTATCTCCCGCATGTCCATTTCAGATGTCAATGTCAATGATATTGTGCATATTGCATGACAGTAAGATCACTTTCAAGTCTTGCTCATTTCCAGTCTGAGTCAAAACTGCAAAGGTCCTACATCCAACAGTCGAATTCGCCTCCCAGCATCTTAAGCAGTCAGTGCACTGTGCTAAATTCCATTCTCTTAAGCATGCGCAAAATCTTAACCATATCTTGCTATGTGTGTTGCAATGTCGATTACATTGATACCTACATTTCTGGTGTTTTATGCATTGAATCTCATTATCAGGACTAGTGGGTGACATTCTTTGGTACTATTGCATAGCACACCTAGCGCTCACATCATTCTAGACTCTGTACATCAGTAAAAGTACACGTTACTTAATCAACTTGGCTGACTTTGCTAGAAATTGTTTACTCTCTCCTGCATCATCCACTTGGGATATCTTATTCTTTTTTAGTGCAAACCACAACAAAATATGTATATTAGAATAGCTGAACAATTTTTTTGTGAACATGTTAAAGTTGAAATTTTGACTAAGTAGATTGACTTAGCCAAAGTCACTTAAGTGGGTTTTAAGTCTGTTTAAGGCAGCTTAAGTAACATGTATTTTTACTGATGTATGTGCAGCCTGCTCATTCACATTCCCATCAACTAAGCCTCTCCAGCTGCCTTGAGCCGCTATACCTCCTCGAAACTTCCTGCGTCAGATTATGGTGTTAATTATAAGGGTTTCAGCACAAATATTTGTGGATGTTGAGAAGCTGATTCCACAAGATCAGATCGACATCTAACAGCTCTTATGGCTTCTCAAATCCAATTGAGGATATCCATGACGATTCAGATATCAAATCTGGGAAATTCCATCAAACCAATTGCAATTGGCTAGCACTTACCTAGATCCAAAGCACACACTAGATCAATGGTTATGCAAGGAGGTGACTCATGATCAATTTGCTATATAGATATATGTGCATGTCTCTTGAACTGTAGACTCTAGCCACAATATTGTAAACATCTTCATTGTACTCAGGACAGCATCCTGACTTTAATTGCTACATGTGCTGTAGGCTATTCCCATCAACTCTTACATGCATCCAAAATTTTCAGTGGTAGTGAAATTTTGAGGCCTTGTTGTCATTAGCTTCTCATCCTTCTAATCACCTTGTGTGTGTAGTACTATTCACATGCCCATTGATCGGCCTCTCACTGCCAGGCACAGAAATTCAGATAACTGCCCTCAATGTCATGCCAGGATCTGGAACCATTCTGGAGTAATGCCATCAGGCACCTCCTCATTGATGAAGTGCATACTAAGTTTTCTATGCTTGTTCCCCTGTCTTGCACTGTGATGGTGCTGGAAATTATCCTTGAACACTCTAGCTCAGTGTATGTTTAGCTGGAGCATGCCCTGGCATATGGCATACTTGCTCATGACCCTTGTTGACTTTGGTCAAATTTATATTTTATGACAAAAAAGAATCAAATTTTATTGTATTCCTGATTTTGTTTACAGAGAAAAGTATAAATTGTCTCCACATTCAGTCAAACTCTTTTCTTTCAACTGACACTGTCTTTTGCATGATGTCCAAGAGGAAGAAAAATGTATATGCAAACAGAATACAGCATGATATAAATTAAAATCTACTCAGAATGTGATCAGAATGGAAGCTGTATGTTACCTCTGATGCCATAATGTTTGCTGTCTTGACCACCTCAGACCTAGTCAGCCCTTAGAAAATTATAAAAACAGTAACCTATGTTCCTTGTATTGGATGCCAAGCAATCCAATGAGTTATTGGCCAAAAGATCCAAGAATGGGACAATGAGGAAGGAGGACAGTGTGATTATTATAAAGAGCAGGCAGAAGATATACTGGATGCTAAAGCCTCAAAGGCTTGACTGGCTAGGTTATACCAAAACTCTATATAATTCTTCATACTTCCAGTAATCTGTTGTCAGGTGTAAGAGATAGCAGGGGGAGAATGTAGCAAACAATCAACTGACCAGAATCACATTGATACCAGAACATGTAACCCAAATGAATACCAGGACAAGGAGTATCAACCATATTCTGCTGATTCTCCAGTAAGTTTGTGAAGAACCCTATATATCACATCAGTATGCTTAGTTATGAGAGCTTATAGGTTCGGTACCACCAACAAAACTCTGCTTATTCCCTTGTCCTTCACTGTTTCCTTTCTAGTTCAGATATCATCCAGATTAGTCTTATCACTTGTTTCCGAACATCCCCCAGAATGTGGACCTTAGAAACATAATGGTTATTGGCAGGTCATGTGGTCTTCATAGAGTAATTAGACTTGTGGTCAAAGAAAACACTACCAATAAGAATCGGAGCCATAGTTGCATAAGAGGAATCAATGTGCCATCAACTCTTGCCCAAGCTGGATATGAATCTGACTGCCACTCACTTCTTGGCTATTTCTTTGGTTTCTGTATCTATCAGGCCATGAAGTCCAGAACTATGTAGAACAGCAAGCATTCATGACTCCATTAGCAAAAAGGTCAAGTACCATTTGCACCTACTCACACTATATAGCGCTACATGGCCCCAGTTGCACAATATAGCATATGACTAAGGTACATGTTACTATGTAGCTCCCCGTATCATCTACATAGCATCCTGTATCACATGCGCTCACAATCATAGCAATATAGCTGAAAATACAATTGCAACAAAAAATGGTCATGAGAGGCACTCAAATAATTCTAGGTCAATATACTTGTTCAGATAAAACTGTTCTGGCTCGTCGACGACTCCCTCGTGACTGAAACATGGAATTAGGTGGTATGGACGAAGCAGTAGATCAGCCGGCAGAACTACAGCATTCAGTTGGTGCTGGCGTGACAATCTAACCAGCCAGAAGGTTTGTAAATCATTATCGAAAGTCTGGAGCAGCCGAAATCAATGAATATAAAGGAGGGGGTGCGGGAATGTACCAAAACACAAAGGAAGGGTAAATATGGCCTTGATCTCTCCAACAGGAAGCCCTGACTCCAGTCAGAAAATTATGCGCAACATAAGACAAGATTACTCACCTGATATCACCTTGCCATTGTATAAAGCTCTTTCTTCATGAACAGCGCAGTGTTGAATCTTGCTGGTACCGGCAGCTTCCTTGGGTCTTTGGACATGACCACTGGCAATGCACGGACCATTTGTAGACATCAACGTGTTCTTGCAGATTCAGATTTCCATGTGATTGGATGGTCGGGGTGTGTTCGTGGATAAACATTCGAGAGTAGGGATAAATAGTGAGGCACCATGGTGGTCAATCAAGTGTTGAATTGGCATATTGGGAAAATGGCAAGTTTTTGGGAGATAGCGACGTGTGGCCATCAGCATGGTGAAGCGGTGTATCTGATGAGGCATGACATTAAACAGCTCTGGGGCGCCAGGGTCACTAGGAGAGTCGGAGTCTGAGTCTGAGTTGCTAATAGCCGAATCATGTTCACTGGCGGCTGAATCCTCATCAGTAGCACATTGGGATGCCCACCACTGCAAGTATGCATCTTGAATTTGCAGAGATTCTTGCTGTCGCAACCAGGTGGTCATTTGTATGACATAATCATGTTGGTTACTTGCACAGTAAGCTCGTTTGGCAAAATCTATGTGAAGTCGCTCTGGAAGCTCAGTATTGAATCCATCTGCCTCCCAAACAAATGAATAGACTTGGCATAGTGAATCATTGAATGAATCTTCGGAATGTTAAAGTGTTCCCACACTCCAAGCTCGATGAACTAGGGTTGCCAAAGTTCAGTTCAGTTTAGGGACTACTTTTTTTGAACCTGAACTTGAACCTTGAAGGTTCCACTGAACTGAACCTGAACCTGAACTGAACTTCACATGAACTGGTTCTGGTAGGTTCGGTCCAGGTTCAGAACTGGTTCAAACCTATGAACCTAGATACATAAAATATCAAAATTCTGCAATTGTTATCTGAGTCTATTCAGGGGTCCAGGGCTTCTTCTCCCACTTCTTTGCCTCTACAGCTGCAGATAAATCACCACAATCATAACTATCCTTCAAAATCTGCAGTGCCTCAGCATGCAAGTTGTTGTGCTTGATGGTGACAGTCAAGCCACCTTTGAGAATGAGCGCTCAGAAGAGGTGAATGAACCTTGGATAGCAAGATAATCACGGGCAATGGAAGACATAATGAGGTACTGCAAGGAATGATACTAAAGCATGTGTCAGATGAGCAATAATAAATAAGTAGAAATCATTACTTATACCCCACCACTTGACCAAATCATCCACAGTCTCAAGAGGGCTCTCAAGATAATGCTTGAGCTCTTGGTGGGGGTCACAGCCACGTTGTTCACGGTCCATACAGGCCTTTATTACCTTACACATCATGGTAGAGCCATATCCACCCCCCTTGACAGGTAAATCTGAGGGAGACATTAGAAGTGGTGGTATCTACATTACAATCATGCTTACCAGGTTTCGGAGGTGAAACCTCTAGTACTTCATTTGATGCAGCATTGGCTGCCTACACATTAAACTAACATAGTTCTTAGGGCTGGACACATCATAGCAAAAAAAAACTTACCACTTCCTTGAGTGAAATCATACCTGCATCATAATATTCTGGGTCCCATTGTTCTTTTGTATACTCGAGCTTGAAGTTGGGGTCCAAGGCTAGAACATGAAACAGTCAGAAAAAAACCAGGCAAGATATGACTTACCTAAGTTAATAAAAGAGACATTGATCTGGTCAACAAGGCGGTAATATTTTTTCAGCTTCTCGAGTCCCTTGTTCAAGGCAGTCTTGAGCTTCATGAACTTCGGCATACTTGCAAGCCTCTCCCAGCGCTCCTGAAGTGTCTCAAGAGTTGGAATAGTCCTGCCCACAGTGGGCTGATTCTCAGAAGAGAACATTGACTGGGCATCTCAAGGCCCCTACATAATAGGATATCAGCAAGGATATCAAAGAAGGTGTCACTCTTACCTTTAACACCTCTTCGATGAGGGACAGCATATTCCACTCCTCATCAGTGATTGCATAGTCAGCATACTTCTTACCCTTGAGCTTTGGAACCTTCGAAGAATGGTCCGCAATAGCACAAAACTTATCAACAGCCTCATAGGAGAATTAGCAAGTGAACAAAATTAGGAAAATAACACATACTGCACGATTGACAATGAGTCGCTCGATGAGGTCACACATGGAGCCCCATCGAGTTCGAATCAACTTGATAAGCTGGAGTGGGGCTAAGCCCTCCTCCTTGCAAATTATGGCAAAGTATGTCTTTGCTTGGGGCCGAAGACGGACCTATAAACATAGGTTACATCATCAGAAGCAACAAAAAAAGAGATACCTGAGGGATCAATGCCAGAACCTTCCAAAGAAGGTCACCTGGCTTGAACTCCTCTATCTCATCTACTTCCTCACCCTCAAGAGCAGGCTCCTCAAGCTCCATAGCATGAACCCAGTCTTCATCATCCTCATCCTCACCATTCAATTGACCTTTTGACTTTGACTTGATACGAGCTGGGTTTGGGCAGATCTCTTAAAGAAATGCCTTTGCTGCAAGGTGCATTGAGTGCTCCATATACCTGCCACCACAGTTACTCGACCATAAACTTAGACAACACTAGCCACATACCTAACTCGTTTTGCCAGCCAACAACGGCCATTAGGGTTATCAAACTCTCGCTGCAATACTTTCATTGCCTTATCATTGGCAGAGGCATTACCAGACATCACCCATCCAATCTTACCAGTAAGACCATAGCAGTCAACAACTCTGGTAATGATGGAAGCCATATTGGCACCACCATGATCACCATCAATGCCAGTGAAGGCCAGGGTCCTTGACTTGAGTTCCCAGTCAGTTGGCTTATCTACAGGTGCATCGATGTAGTGAGCAGTGATACCGAGGTAGGAGTCATATGCCATTGAGGTCCAGGCATCAAATGTGAGAGAGATCTGACCATGGACATCCTACAGAGGTCAGCCACAATAGCCACAATAGTACGAATATGTATGATACATACTTTTAAATGTTTTCGAAGTTTAACTTTGACTTCCTTAGCCTTTGCAAGAATCTCTTCTTGAAGCTTCTACGATGTGGGATGTCAGACTCAAGGGTTTGAGGACGTTGGTACCAAAGCATAGCTCGAAAAGGTCCCTTGTTAATGACCATAAAAGACTGTCATAACAATGATAAATGAATTCAAACAATGATAGACACAATACCTAGTCTTCGGTAACAACAAACTCAACAATATGCTCAAGTAAGCCTTCTTTTGTCCATCGAGAAGCGGGGTGAGCAAAGCCATCAAGCTTCGACTGGGTAGTTGATGGTTCAGTAACATTGTCGATGAGGGCACCCTTCGGTAAGGCCATGTGGTTCATGGCAATACCTGCAGCCTTGCATTTTGCCTGATAGATCAGACCATGAGTATCCCAGTTGCTAACACATAGATTAGAGACAGAATAAATTATAAAACATAATGACACACCGAGCAATGTGTTTGTGAAGTGTGGATACACCTCCCGTGAACCAGCAGTCCCCCTCGGTGACATGTCTTGCTTTTGAATTTGATTACTAGCGGGAGAGACGTGGACAAACAGAAACACATACTTGCAAACTTCACACCAGTTTCCGTCCTGTGTAGTGCTATCTGACATTTTTTGGCCTTTTCCACTGGTAAAAATAGTTTGAATATCATCAGTGCGTGAGTCATGTCCACGATGAGTGTGTTTCCAGATCTTTACAAAGAAGTGTTGCGCACGAATGCAAACAAGTGCAAAACAGATGCAAATGTTTGTAAGCAATTTGACATATATCGAAAAAATAAACACACCTGAGTGTGGAACAAATGCAAACAAACGAGCGCGAATGAAAACAAACACGAACATGTTGTGAACGAACGAATGCAAATGAGTACGGAACATATGCAAATGTTTGTAAGTAATGCGATGTATACATATATATATTGAAAAAAGAAACACACCTGAGTGAGAAACGAGCGTGAACGATTCAAACGAAAACAAATGTCGTGAACGAGCGTTCACGTGAATGAAAGTCCGAAACAAACGCAAACGAGTGCGGAACGAATGCAAATGTTTGTAAGTAACAACATACATATTTCGAATAAAAACACACACCTGAGCGTGAAACAAATGCAAACGAACGAGTGCGAACGATTGCAGTGCGAAGTGAACACAAACGAGTGCGAACAAACACAAACGAATGAAAAAGGAATGCAAATGTTTGTAAGTAACGACATACATATTTTGAAAAAAACACACACACCTGAGCACGAACGATTGCAGTGCAAAGCGAACACAAATGAGTGCAAAACAAACGCAAATGAATGCGCACGAACGAAAAATGAATGCAAATGTTTGTAAGTAATGCGACATATACATATTTTGAAAAAACACACAGCTGAGCGTGAACGATTGCAGTGCAAAGCGAACACAAATGAGTGCGAACAAATGCAAACGAATGTAAAATGAATGCAAATGTTTGTAAGTAATGACATACACAGATTTTGACCAAAAAACATACCTGAGTGCGAAACAAATGCAAACAAACAAGGTCAAACAAAAAAAGAATGCAAACAAAGAAGCGTGGGGCACAAATGTTTCACACACAAATGAGAATGAGGACAGGACGCAAGTGTGAATGCAAATGTGAGCAAATGAACGCAAACGAATGAGATAAAGGATTGAAGTCAGTATTATAGATGTAAAGGTAATAAAAAATGAACCTGCAGATGTGAGTGCAAATGCGTGCAAACAGATGCAAATGAATGTTAGATAACTTGACCTTAAAACACAAAATGATGAGACCATACCTGCGTTTCAGTGCAATGTTTGTCCTGAATCTCTGCATAAGACTTCAAGGTGTTGCCGCCCCCATCCTCCAGTTGTGCATCATTGTGACCATCTGCATCTTACTCGAGAACAGATGTGGGAGGGTCTTTGGACTCATCTTCTGAGTCGATGCGCATATGAGAAGTCTTGCACTTGACCGTTGCTAGTTCAGAATCGTTTGGATCCAACAACTGATGTTTGCGTTTGTGATTTGTCGCAGATGATGATGATGCAGCATTTTCGTGAGTGGTAAGCTTCCATGCTGGTTTTCGAACACGGCTACCAGCTACTCTCGCTGCAGGTAAAGCACCAGACTTTGTGAGGGCTGAATGGATATCAAGCTGACTCGGGGCTGGTGTAGATGGAGTTAATGCGATGAAAATGATAGTATGATTAACATAGGATTACCTGATTTAACTGGTATCTTTGATGTTACAGAATTTTTGTTGATAGGTATCTCGTCAGATTCAGACTCGTAGAATGTGATTTCAGATGCATCCTTTTAGGTTCCATCTGGATTGGATGCACACTGACTTTCATCAGCATTGGACATTGTGTAGACAGATGTTTGAGGGTTGTTGACCAAAAAAATTTGAGTTATTTGCCTGATCAAATATGGTAATTACTGTCTAGTACTGCTGCAAAAACCTTTGAATATTGGCAAACAACAGTCTAGCTGGTTCATACAAGTTCAGACCAGTTTGAACCAAGTTCAGGGAGGCTACCTCTGCCCTGAACTGGAACTGAACCCCACACCCAAGGGCCAACCTAAACCAAAACTGAACCTGAACCTGTAGGTCCAGTTCAGGGGTTCAGGTTTGAACCTTAGGTTCTGGACTGAACTTCGGTAACCCTACAATGAACACGTCCTTGTTGGCATGGAATGAGGTGACTGCAGCTTGCATGTGGCTCAGCATCTTCTCTGTGTGTGACTGGAATTGGGCGTAGTAAACAAAGTCCAACACAGCATGCACTGCGGCAATCCCCCTATTCTCGACTCCTCTGGCAATCACACCAAGGAATACATGTTGCAGTTCCCTATAGTTGGCTCCAGTTCATTGTTTTCATTTTGATATGCCTTTCTGAAAGTGATGCAGGCCTGGGTATGATGTCATTGACTTGAACCATGCATCGAGTGTGTCCTTTCCAATGATGTCTGTGCACCAACTAACAATATGATCTTTGAAGACACCCTTGTGCAACTAGTGTAGGATGTCAGGAGTCATACATTGAAATATGTCATTGTGCGGGAGGGTGGTCCAGAAAGGTGTGTGTATTACTCATAGACCTAGCTCACTCTCAAATATTTCCTCACTCAGCTCGCCTCCAGAGTGCAGCTGCAAGTTTTCGATTGTCGAATCTTGTTCGTGGGGTGCAGATGGTCTCATATCTCCATGGTGGTAATGTCCAACAGTGCATTTTGGACACCAATTCTCCATGCAGCATGCTACCAGACACTGCTCTGGAAAGTCGGCAATATATGCAGCTACTATGGGGTGCATCTGCCTGACTTGTTGATCAGGGCAAGTCATATCAACTCCATCCTGCCCAGCACTAACTAGTGGCTCCAGCACCTGTGTCATGCAGTAGTGGAATAGGCAGTAATGTTCAGCTGAACAGGTGTCTCATGTGAAGCACTCCAGCTTCGAGATAGGCAGGTAAGCAATTAGGATAGCCGCGTGTTTTGATGGCTGACATTGTATCTCTTTGGAGATGTTTCCAAGTGTCAGGTAGACAGGCCATACTTCCTGATCGCCGCGAAACTGTGACAGTGATGTTTTATCTGAGGCAAGGATCACTGGTACAACCACAGCACCTTCTGGCAACCTTCCCTGTCAGAATGGATTTAGTATGTCAATTTATAGCTATAGTAGTTGTGCAACAATCTGACCTGCATCTCCCACCACCAATCACCAGTCTACATCTCATCAAACTGTCATGTCTTGCCTTCCTTATCCACCAAAACTTTCTCTGGTGCATATGATACCATGTTTTTGAATTGCGGGTTACCCATCAGCTCTCGAATGCAGTCTACAGGGTCCCCTAACCACAGTTCAAGCTCCTCTTTTTCATGCTGACCACCATTGGTGACCATATTCCCCTCAACAGTGATTTTCTTCAACTTCCATTTGGTTCCTTGTGAAAGCCGATACACGGCTTTCATTAAGGTATATTTGCTAGTAAACAAAGTGTTCCTATGGCTAGCCTGTTCATGTCCATGCGTAAGTCTCTCTTAGTTGTTGTTTTGAAATTAAGAGCTCACAATGGGTAGTTTCAAGATCTCATCAATGACCGTCTGACCCACCCTCGCAATCAACCATTTCACCAAGTACCATTCCTCCTCATTTGCAAAGGGCGCCCATGGATCTAGCCCCAGAGCCTCTTGTTCAGCTCTGATAGTGCAGAACATGTTCTCCACTTCGCCCAGTGTCTTTGCAACTTGACCTGGGTATGACTGAATATAACACATCCACACATTGTGTTTATCTTCCACCTCTTCAACATAAGGCTGCTGTTCCCTCCATGGAGCATCAATATGGGATTCCGCCATACCATCAAAACCCCCCTCATAATCCGGGACCACATCTTCTTCAGCTGGTGAGTGACCTTGTTGTTTGCTGCTGGTATGCCTCTGGAATGACTCCATGTGTTGCCTGCATCCTGGAGTATTGGCAATATGAATGCTAACTGCTCGTGTAGATTTGAAGTTTGCCTTGAGGCAGAAATTGCAGCAGTGCATCATACCAGTTGATTGCAGAGGTGCGTACATTCCTGAAAATCTGATTATCACATCTTTCAGCTGATTTCACTCATGTCTCAGAATCATCATCATGGTGGTCTGTGCAGATCATCATCACAAATCTTTGTATGGTGTGACTCCTGCTTGTGACTGTGCGTGCCTGTGTTGTTGATTCACAACTGTGTTGTGTCAGTCTGTTGATTTGTTTTCTGTTGTTAGCTGGTGTGTTTATCTGCCCTCTGGATTCACATAAAAGGTGAGTCCCTCCTGATAACCTCATCTGCCATTTTTTAATCATCTTATTATCTTAATCTGGCCATTTGTTTGACTCACTCATCAATCATGCCTCCTACAGGAATAGCTCAAATGTCGTCCTTCAGAGAGAGTATTGTACCAAGGTATGTGTTACAGTTTAAATTTCATCTGTAATCTGACTTGCAATACATTAAGTCGAGGAACAGCAAGAGCATGATGGTCACCGACAGGGCCTCTTGCAGAAAACCAAGACATCACGCAAGAATCGGGAGCCGCACAGTAGTGATGGAAGTCAGGTATGTTTATCTGTCAGTCTACTAGCTACTCTCACTGGCTTGTAGTTTACAGCTGAAAATGTGCCACTTGCAAGTGCGACAGTCAATCCACTCAGTTTGAAGCCTCGGTTCACCAAGGTCCCACCACAACCTACCCCCACTTCATGAAGACTGTCTGGTGGCTGAAGTAAGGATACTCTTACCCAGGTGACATCAAAAATGATATGAATGTTGCCCTGAACTGATGAGGAGTCACTCAAGGACTCTGGTTTCATCAACAGTCACATGAGTAAGTCTCAGGCTGTCGGCAGCCTTCATAATGAGCATAGGTAGGGACATGTGAATACTGTGAGTCACTAAGTTATTGAACATTGTGTATCTATTCATTTTTGTTAAGATGTTAATGGGTGTTTGTAAGTTCACAGCTGCATGGGCAAAAGAACTGACGATGCTCCACAACAATAACCTGAGCAATAATGAGCAGGAGGAGCACTATGGCAACAGAGACTTCATTGATCCTTGAGATGCTGATGACAATGACTTCACAGATGAGACTACATACATGGACCAGAATGTCTCTGATGATGAGTGTAGGCACTGTTCGGTCACTTGAATAGCCACTGAATATTTTCGCAGACTCTCACAAGGATGTAGGCCGCTATCTGTCATCTTCCAACAATGAGTGTAATATGCCACTCAACCGCAAATGGAAATGCAATGCAGAAGACCTATCTGAGGATTCTCCTTCCCCACAGCACCATGACCAGTTGTTCCCATGCAAGATATGCAAGAGCAAAGGATGTGTGGCAGCTCGTGATTATGAAGTTGCAGTCCAGCAACTTATCAAGTTTACAATTGGAGACTTTTGTGGATGGCTTGCATCTCAGTATGCTTATCCAGATTGCATGACTCAAGTATCATGGGTGAAAGAAGCTTGGAAGGAGGCCTGTGTCTCTCTCAACATTGAGATAGGATTCAATAGTGAGATCATCCAGATAGTATTTAATTTAAATTTGTCTGTGTTATTCATGTTGTCTAATCTTTTGTTCAAGATTACCCATCACACATTGCATCTCACAAGTGAGGTGAAAGCCAAGCTTCGACCTCTTGTGGAGAGCATTTACAGGTTTGACTGCAGCACCAGGGAATCTGTCAAGGCTAAGAATCGCTAACTCATATGTGACCTCAAGGATAAGTTTGGACTATGTTACCATGTGAGTAGACTATGTCCAGCATCCTGTCACATACTTAGATTAGTTTTAAAGGACCTTGGAGACAGAAAGAGCAAGAACCCTCGCAGTGGCCTCTTTCGAACAAGATTGAATCAAAAGGGTGCCAATTTGATCTGGTACCAGAATGAGAGGGACAAAGGGATCATGTTTGATAAGTATTTCAGTCCATTTCCCATTCCTGCACTGGCCTTGTGATATACTGCAGTGAGTCGTGCAGGTTCACTCTTATATTTATATGTTAACATGTTTTGCTGCAGGCAGAATGCTGTATTGATGAATGGGCTGATGGCGAGTGGACCGATATCAGTTTTTCAGGCGGTGAGTACAAAGAGGTATATGATAAGCATGTTGCCAATCTTAAGAAGTTTGATGCGCGAACAAAATAACATGGGATTCTCGATGCTATCCTCAAGGAAATCAATAATACTGGCAGGTAAGTCTCTTGCAATCATTTAGTCTTTACACATCTCAAACATTACAGAAAACATGCTAAAGTGGATTTGATTGAGGTTGTACATGGGGACTACCTATATGATCATAAGATTGAGCACACAGTTCAGGAATATATGCAGGGAGGCAATGATAGGAATGAGAGTGATGCTGCGGAGGAGTCTGATGGTGACAACGAAGGCAAGCATGAGTAGGATAACTGTTTATTTGTTCAAATTGTGCTATTAAATAGACTGCATTGCTTCCATTTGTTCGAGTGTGCTATGATTTTGGCTGCATGGTATGTTATACTATGGAGTGATATAGAGCACTACATAGCATAGCTCTATAGTTGAGGAGCAAGGTACAGGATGCAATATCGCACAAAAAATCAGATGTCCTGAGGTATGTAGTGCTATGTAGGGGGGGGGGGGGGGGGGGTTGCAACCAAGCTATGGATGCATTGTAGCATCCATAGTGCTATGTTGCATCTCACATTTTTGCTGATGTCGGCTTTTTATACACCTTGTTGCCTCAAACTATTTCCATAAGATTGTATGTGTTTATTGTGCTATCATTGTCCAGCTGCAACAATCACTCAAAGGAGGCCAGTGTAAAGAGTTGATTCTGAGTAGGCTCTATAAAAGATGTTACCTTATAACTCAAAGTACAAGTGTAATGTTTATCCCTAAGAGACTGCCTATAGAACTATCTCTTGATAATAAAATGCAAGGGATATCTTGTTAAGATTGAAGATGGGGAAAGGAAAAAATACCTCAAGTGCATTCAGAGGGTTCAAAGGTATGTCCAAAGTACCAAAGTACTGGTCCGATGTGTCTGAGTGTAGTCCGATGTCAAGAAATGAAGGTCTGAGATTGTGCAAAGTGTCTGAAGAGCTTCCGGTGAAACAACAATGTTTCCGGGAATGAATACGGCAGGTATGTCAAAATATATCTAAGTGTAAGACTTGTGAGAGTACCATAGTATGACTATGCAAAGTCTATTGAAAGAGGTTAAAGGTATTGATATGCAAAAATGGCAGCAGTCCAGCCAAACAATCATTCCAAATGAACAAAGAGATTGATTGCATGAAGTATAAGTATCCAAAAGTGACTCTACTTGCTATGACTCATAGCAAGGGAGATAAAGTGGGGTCCGAGGTAGTTAGCGAGCCAGATTATATCCTACTGCCATCCCATGGCATGCTCTCATTTAAACAACAGTCAAGGTGGAGGCCATAACTGAAAGAATAGTTCAAGATAACTCTATATTAAAGAGCTAGTTCTGGGAGTACACCTAGTAGGTCAAAGTAAAGTACTACAGTAATCTATGTTGTCTCTTTATAAGAGTATTCAAGGGGAGTTCATAGTCTGTATCTATGGATCTGCCTAGCCCACCATGAGGGTTTCTTGTTTTAGGCTCTCTGCTCACCTAGGGGTGTTTCCTTCACCCCCATTCCTCAATACTCTTTTCTTTTATCCCTTTACCCAACCACAGTCGCTCCTTCCTCTATTTTCATATTCTTCTCCTCCCCCCCTCCACATTGATAAGCAACTTTCCCACACATTTTTGGAGCAGATCTCTCGTATTTCAAGGGCCATAAGGGATGCTCAATTCTAAAATGTCGTTGTCGTTTCACTTAGATTTAGAGTTGTTTATGTCAACAACCAAGTAATGTATTTCATTTCCGCCTCTGCAAATGGTTCCGAGCCCAGATGACAGCCTAGCTTCGTTTCTGAGTCTGACAAACTGTTGAAAACTCTCGCTAAGCAGTGAACAATGAGCTATTATGTAGCTGGTCATGACACTAGTGAAGGCAATCCACGTCAGTTTCCAAATCCAGGCCAATATCAACAGCAGAACCCATCACATGGTCGCAGTTGCATTTTGTCACAAGGTGGGAGAGGACAACATTCCGCAGGTGGTCACCAGCCCCAGGCAGTAGTGCCTACATATAGCCTGAGGCCCTATCAAGAACAGTGGGATAATTACCAGTGGTATGAGGCTCAGCGGTAGGACATTCATCTTCACTAGCTTCATACATGGCTAATTTTTGAGTATGAAAATACTAGCTGGGCTCACAGAGACCAGGCCTATGCCCCAATCTCCCAGCCTGGCTAGCCTTATATCCAACAATCTAGTGGTATATAGGTCAGTCTTTGACACAACCAAAGTGCTCAAAATATACTGACAAGTTGAAGCTACCCTGCATTCACCAGATGCTCGAACACTGTAATCAGCCTCATCCAAATCCAAATCAGATTGCCTATAGTTAGGCAAACGAGGCACCTGGTGTCGGGAGAGTTCCCCAAGTCAATTCACAGCCGCCAGTAACGAATGACATACCAAGTGACAGGACAGTTCTCCCAATCAACTCGCAACAGTTGCCAGTGGCAGCTGGGTCACAACAGAAATGAGAACATGAGGAAGAGTGCAATGACCTATCAGGAGAAAGAGACAGTACAAAGAAGATACGGAAAGAGAATGGCAAGTCAGTAACTCAACCTAGCGAAGGTACCAACCAAATCCAGCCTCGTTCCACCAAAGGATCAAAGCAGAAAGCCACAGGTGCAAAGTTGAAGGAGAAGAAGCAATAACTCGACTTGAAGAAGATGGCCGTTAGTCAGACGAGGACACCAAACTTTTGCTCGAGACCCTTCTTGGAGGTGATAGCGAGTTCTATGAAGGCCTTGCAGGTAATGCTAAGCATGTCTATAAAAAGGTAATGGAAACATGAATTGAACTTACTAAGCTCAGTGCTGACACTGATCAATACAGATCTCCAAAAGGATATTCAAAGGAAGATGCAGTGCAGAGTCAGTAAGAGGACATTATGAATGCTTACGAAGGATATTTTCATACATCCTGAATTTTGAGTCTATCACAGGCAACAGTGGTGGTGATCCTGATGTTGAGATGCTGGATGAGAAATTTGAAAATGCACAAATTTTGGGGAAGGATGTTAAGAATCTATCAGGTGCTATGTTGAAGAAATGGTATGAAGGGGGATGGTATGAGCTGTTCAATAGCCAGTGAGTATTAGTAGCTTGACACCTGCACAACACTTACGAGGATAGGTAGACTTGGTGAACATCCAGGACTTGTGTGGGAGGAGGAATTCCATTCTGGAATAATATCTGACACACTGATTATCAGCAGCGACGAGAGTGACACCAGTGATGAGGAACACAAAGTCAAGCTGAAGAAGGCTTGCGGCAAAGCTCTGCAGAGATCAACTTCATCAGCTGCTGAAACAAAGGCCCAAATCAGTATCAAAAGGGGTGCCTGCACCACGACATAAAAAGAAGGCTTCACAGAGCAACATCAGCATTGAAGCTGCTGACTTTTTCTCATCCAATGTTGAATTCCTCAAGGCAACTGCAAACACTGACAGCGAGTGGCTGAAGTTGCTCAAAAAACGCGAGGATCGAGAGAATAAACAGTATGATTTTATAGTAGAGAAGGGGCGAGCTGAGGTGACACTGGCAGAACGTGAGGCAAAGGTGAAGAATGCCCGAGAGATTTTGACTATGGACGGCATGCCAGATGAGGTGAAGGTAGCAGCTCGTCGAGTGCTATTGGACTACTTTGCTATTGCAGGTCAGTAATAATTGCTGTTATATATCACAATGGGAAGAGATAATTTAGAATGGCGAGACGACGACAATGGCCAGCTTCCCTTAACCACTCATCTGATTCCCATCTAGGAAGCTCTAGTTCATCATCTTCAACAACTCCACCATAGCCAGAAACATCAACATCAGCCATGTCATCCTCCGAACCGTCATGGTCTGGATCACTATTATCAAAGAGCGGGATTAAATCAGGAGCATCACCCAAGTCTATGCATGTGACATGCAGAGTAAGGAGAGCTTCAACAACACGGTATGTGTCTCGGATGTCTTGCTCGGGTGGCAGATCCTTTAGACTAGGAAAATGACCCTTCAATATGCCGAATGTATGCTCAATGATGATGCGCTGTGAAGACAAGCATTTGTTGAATTTATGTTGGTATGCTTTTTCATTAGCTGGCTGCCCATTGACCTCAGGCTCAGTGAATGGACGGAGTATGTATGGCGAAGATGGGTAACCTGGAGCAGGATCAGTACATAAAAGTAGGTAAGTAGAAGACACGAAGACACGACACACCCTTATCAGCCAGGACTAAAGTGTTGTTGGGGAAATATTCAAGCCGGTGTTGCCAGATGTGAGACTTCTTCCACATTGTCATGTCCAAAACAGAACCAGGCCAAGCTAGCTCAATTGCCATGAAACACTTCTCATGGTCGACAACAGCTTGGATATTATTCTATGTATGAAGTGAGTTAATCAAAACTATGCACAGAAAATGTACTCACAGCGGGATACTTCTTTCGACAAATAAAAGTCAAGCCATTTTGCTCTGGCATCTCAGTCAGACGAATCAGGGAGCCATTGAGCATCCCAACACAATCTGGAATTCCAGATCGGTCCCAAACCCATGTCATTGTTTCATTTTGACAGTCCTCATCACCCCAAGTGACAACCTGCATACCAATCTCCCGCAGAGCACGCACAACACATCGACAATGGAGGAAAACTGTGCTGAAGCCAATGTCAAGCTTATGCACAGCCTGCAGGGGGTCCGCACCACGAATTCCGTAATGAACGAGAAAACAGGCAAGTTGATAACAGACAGGCCGCTGCGGCTTCCTCCCTGTTGATTCAAATATTGGATTCTGCTCTAAGAGCTGTACCAAGCGGTCGAAAGTAACACGGCTGATACTAACAGAGCGTCAGCGCTTCAATAAAACCAAAAAAAAACCATTCACCAATATTCATGACAAAAATCTCGATCTGGCCAGCTCATTGATACATCGAAGAATTCCTCACACTTCTGTCACTGGTTGTAGGGTCCACGGGAACTGGGTCCAGATAGCATTAGCAAGAGTGCACGAAGGCCCATACTTGTCCCATGGAAAAAGTGGGATATCCTTTGGTTGGCTTCGTCATCGAAATCTCCATGTTCTGGAGAGAAGACTTGCTCAAAATTGTGTTGTGACTGCTTGGATACAGCCAGTGTACTGGCTAAGATGGAATGTAATGTAAGGATGTCCCTATAATTGTGTTTTCGCCGCTATACATAAGGCATACTGGTGGCAGTTCGACGCTGAACGTTGAACATTTGGTCGTTGATTCAATTACTAAGGCTGATACCGCTGAGCGCAGTATTGCAGCTAAGCGGCTGGAGAGCGCCACTGACCGGTGCCAAATAAGGATTAGTAAGAGCACGCAAACGTCGGCAATCAGTGTTGTACCTGTGTTCGAACAACAAACGACAACAACATTTGAGAATTGAGCATCCCTATATTCTCCTCATTTAGGGGTTTTTTAGGACCCCTCATTTGTCCAATTTGGAGCAGAGGTTATTGAGATATAGTCATTTTGGTGTTTTTGAGAGGTTGAGGAGAGATAAGGTTTTTCTGAAAGTACCAAGGCTTGTCTCATGTCACTTTTTTGATGGTCTATCATCCCTCAGTGGCTCTGTCTTTTGCCCCATGAAACTTCCTGGTATGACCTGCTACTATTTCCCTATTATCTACCCCTTCCTCCTACTATATTTTCGCACTTTTGCACATTTCTCCATTTTTCTTCAGCCATCCTCTCATTGGACCCATAGAGACCCTATACCAATTTTGAAGCTCTTGAATGCTGGAGTGGGCTCTGCTATTGCATACGCTGGACTCGACAAACTGATGATGTGTGCTACCGACGCCGAAACCTTGCCTAAACCCCACGACTCTGCTCCAAACACCGCCAAACACCTCAGCCACCTGACCTCCTGCCTAGGGGTCCCCTGCTCCATGTGCCCCCCTTAAAAACAGCGACGACCACATCACAGATCCTTGCTTCTTCTATCCTTTGTCATCTTTGTCATCTTTGTCATCATAGTCTTCTTTTTCTCCTTCTTTTTCGTCATCTTCCTGCCTTCTTTGATATGGTTGGTCTTCTTCTTCATTCTGATCGTTTTCTTGTTTTTCATCTTCCTCTTCTTGTTCCTCTTGCATTTCTCTCTCCCTCTGCTCTTTGTCTAGCTTTGTACCCTCTCTTGGTATAAATGCCCTTAGCCTTCGTGCGTGAAACTCGCCCAACAATGGTTCGCCTTGCGTGTTCTCTAAACGGTACAAGTTTCGTAATCTTTCTGTGACGTGATGTGGAGGTGACAACTTTGGCAAAAGTTTGCGTTTTGCCTCTAGTGTGTCATGTGCACCACTGTAATAGAATTGAACGAGCTGCCCTTTCATGAAGATAACCTCCCTTGGTGAACACAATAATACGTGTTTGTCAAACACTGCTTTCCTCTTGACTGCGTGCTGTACTATGGCTTCATACCTGTCTAAGTGTTGCTGTGCCACGTACGCCATGTGAATATTCATGTCCGATATTCGCAATGCTGATGTACAGTTAGCTATGTCTGTCCTTGGAGTATTAATCACTTGTCCTAGTAAAAACTCTTTCGGCGAGAACTTCAGCGCTGGTAGAATTTGATAATTCAACACTGCGACTGCTTCTTCGAGGTGCTTCAGCCAGCTGTTTGGTAAGGTGTCCCATGATATTGCTTCATATTCGTCTTTGCCTAAGTTCGTGGCACATAGGTGTTTGAGCACGTGTAATAAGATCTTGTTCATGCCTTCTACGAGTCCATTAATCCAAGGTGAGTATGCTGCTACTACATGTGTTTTGCATGACCACTTAGCACAGTATTCTTGAACTTCGGTATTGTTGAAATGTTTTCCCCGTCACTCATGAACGTCTCTGACAATGTGAAGTTCTGGAAGATTTGCGATATGCTATCTACCGTTGTGCGCGCTGTTCCCAAGGATTTGTATTTGAAGACCCATACATGTTGCGAGAAGGTGTCTAAGTAGACACCTAAGGTATGGTATCTGTGGGCTTTAGGAAGCGTTAGGTAGTCACCGACGAGTAATTCGAAAGGGTGTCTGTGGGTTATAGGTTCTAACAGTGAGTGCAAATGTTGTGATCCAAAGTTTTTACACTTAGCGCAGTTTGATATAGCATCCATGATTGATGCGTCAAGCTTGGGACTACATATTCGATCAGTGAGTGCTATTTGGATGGCGTCTCATCCCCAGTGTCCCATCTGCTCATGTTGCATTGCTGCTAGTTGTCTTGCTTCTTCTTGTGAAACACATTCTGTTCTACTTCGAGCTCGGACCGCTGTTCCTCCTCGCAATCTCCATAGTTTTCTGTCTTCAATTAAGTATTCTGATGCTCGGTGGTGTGCTCGTTTGTGGTCTCTCAATGGCTTGTTTGAATTGATTTGCACTAACAATTCTATGACTTCTAGAAAAACAGATTCGTTAGTAAAGTGTTCCATAAGACTTCTTACCGTATGTTTGTCTATCGTCGAGGTTAGTAATGGGGAGCAGCAACTCAGCCAAATAAAGTGTGGCATTATGTAAGCAAGAAATGCAGTCAAACGACACAACCGTTCGAACATTATAACTTATATTGAACTACGACGCCCGTACAACACCAAAACAGCTGTAGAATATTATAGTAAGTCAAAGTAATTAGTAAGCTTATTCTACTCAAAAAATTCAAGGCTTGTCCTCATCTTCACTCTCGCCTGTCTCCAAAGGAACCTCCTGTGTGGTTTCTCGGTGTGTAACCTCCCCACTTGTGTAATGTGCGATAGCTTCCCTCAGGACCTTCAATTTGTCCTCCTTCCACTTTGGCATGTCTTTGTTTAGTGGTACATGTAAGTCAAACTCACAATGCCAACGAAGCTGTAGAACAATGTCAGCAACACGCATCTTGGCCAAGTCTGCATCCACAAGACAAGGCACAACGGCATCGAGCTTTGCAGTGGCGGCATCCTCCGTTCCTTCCTCCACTTGTCAATCTCGTGGTTCTTTTCAATCAGCTTTTGGTCATACTCCACCTGTGCCCTCCTCCATTTTCTCTCGCCTCCATTTGAGTCTAATTCCCGTGCCTTCCCACGAAGATACTTGCGCTGACGGCGTCCGAGAAATGTCTTGATGTAGGTACCAGTTTGATTTTTCTTATATTGAAGTCGTGCATTGAATTGTGACAGAGACATACGAGGGGCATGTCTGAGCGTGATGCGGAGGGTGCCGAGTGCACCCTCATTTGCATCATTTGTGGTTTCCATGCAAGCGAGTTCCCGTTGGGGAGCAGTGCTTTTTGCAATGATACCGTCGGGTGCAAACTCTGCACAAAAGTGAAGGAGAGTTTCGAGGGCACCTTCAAGGAATTTGATGAGTAGTTGTCAAAGGTGAGGATAGGTCTTTGTGTCTTGGGCCATTCTGTGGACGACATAAAAGGCCTCTGGTCGTTCGAATGGCTTTCTGTCAAGGGTTGCTGTCTGGTAAGTCGCATCGGGACCGATGACCAAATCTATGTTGACAATCAACTTCTTCACGTGGATAATGAGATTGTCGTGCAGGGGACGGAGGTCTAGGATGTTTGAAAATTCGCGCAGTGCTCCTCGGATCTGGCGCATACAAGGATGGCCAATACAATTACCCCATGTACTGAATGCAGTCATCTCTTCAGCCGTTTTTTGAAAGAACAATGCCATATACACATTTCATTCCATGTTCGTGTGAGTGCGGCTTTCTTTGTGGTGGAGCATAAGCTCCAGATAAGGGATAAATAAGGGTCGGTGGACTAGCCATTGACTCGCACCATCACAGTTACTTTGATAATGTGTGTTGCTCGTGTCAGGCCAGGTAGAGAAATAGCCGAGTTGATCTTCCATGTAGTATCGGAAGGCATCCTGCTGACCTTTCTTGTCATCTTTGTGTCGGAATACACCTCCAGTGAGGTTGAGTGCCTTCACAGCCCCACGACCTGACACTTGAACCGCGTGTGACACTGCAGCAGTGTTCCCCCCTGATGCAGCTGTGGCTGCATTATCTTTATTCATCAGCAGAATTGGCCCCTCAATCCCATTTTTAACCCACCATGCTGTCATGCGCGCATTACCCCCTTTGACAGCATTTAACTCCTTGTGCATACAGCAGCCGGCCCAGACGAAAAAGTCAACTGCTTCCTTTTCGGCATCTGTCAGAGCTGCAAAGTGTTGCTCCCCGACATGAACATGCAGCTGCTGGTGAGCTGCCTTTGTGTGTCTGTGCTGCTCATCAAGTGACAGTGCATCCCACCCATTGACCCCTCCGGCAGCAGCAATGATGCATTCCATCATGCGATCAATGATACAAGTGATGTCATCCGTAGGTAGGGAGACCAGTGCCCTCTTGCCACGAACTTCTCTCTCACACATCCGCTTCCATTCCATGAACAGCCACACCAGCTTTTTCTGATCCTCAGCATGATCTGTGAGCATGCCTTTGGATTTCACTGCGAACTCTTGGGGATCTTGAGAGTGGTCCATACACTCATTATAAGCTGCATACATTTCATCGGCTGTGTCCTTCCAACCCTGCAACTGTGTTTCGCTTGTATGGTTCACTTCGTGCAGGATCCCAGCAAATCAGGTCACACCTTCCCCATCAGGAGAGGAGTACATGAGGTGGTGAGACTGATAATTAATATTTTTATGGGTTGTTCTGTCACTGCTCAAGGTTATTCCTGTTGTGGCTGCATTATTTGACTGACTACAATTATAAATAGGATAAATTCGTACCTTCGACCTGTGTGATCTCATCCACAAGTTGTACTTGTGCTGCCACTGAAGCCTCCTTCATGATCCGACCAATGCTCTGTTCACTAATTGTGCCCTCCAGATCAACTCCTATGACAGAGGACATTGTGGCTATTGCTCCATTGACACTCAATACAGGAAGATTGTGGATAGCTACAAGGTCACGGACCATATCTCGAGCAGCATCTGTGATAACACCACCTTCCTTCAACTTCAAGGTTGGCTCAGATATGGTGCATGAAACAACAAGTTTGTTGACTGCATTCTCGACTGCACGAACCTTTTGTCCTGGGACACGAGCAGCTCACATGGACAAAGCCTTGGTTCTTTTGGTAAGTTCACCATTACGTTTTTCGAGAGTGCTGATGCGCATAACACTAGCATCAGCTTTGGCAGTCTGCCGACAGCATTCTGCTTCAGCTTCTTGTACACGCTTGTGCAAGGTTTCAGTCTTTGCCTTGGCACACTTCTCACGCCAAGACGTGTTTACGGCGTGTGATGTGAGTGCCTGCATTCACTGCATTAGGGCCTCCAGTTGCAAGTTGATGTTTTGCGAGGAAGCATGAGCTGGTGGAGGTTGGGACATGGTGGGGGTAGGGCTATGAGGACTCGGAAGGGTGTTTTCATTTCTGGCGCATTTTTTTTGCATGAAGCTGAGCTAACTGATCAATCTGGGCAGTAGAACGTCTGTCTCTTGGTGGTTTTCCAATGGTCCCCTGGGTGGTATAGGGAGGGCATTGAGAGTTCTACAGTGGTCTCTGTTGATTTGTGATGCGACGCAACACGTTTATGAGGCTTATGTAATACAATATGAGTCTACTACCTGTGACATCCCTGTTGTGACTGAACACGATATGCTGGGGGGTTGAGAAAAGCCATCAGAGGCCTTTTTTTCATGATTTAGTTGTAATCTCCATGAAAATTTTTGAAAAAGTTGGTTGCATGAGCTTTTGCCAAACACTGTAGCCTTACGATTCGCGCATTTTCCCTTTTTTGCATGGAGAATACAATCAGCTTTATATTTCGCAGTAAAGTCTCCATACAATGTAGTCTTCATAATGTTGTGCTTAATGTCCAGCGGTCGATGGTTTCATTAACCACCATTTCAGCCACACACCCCTCTAGCGAGGGCATGCGCTGAGTTTGAAATTGGCAGAGAGTTGCCTCTCCCCATTAGTAATATATCATTGACCAAACCTTTCTCTACTTCCCAGTCTTCGCTGACTGTCCGCATGCTCCTGTCCTGTAGTCCTGCGTCGCAAGGCTGGCCTTCCCATTGCCTGCTAAGGCCATCCGCTATTACATTCAACTTACCCGGTACGTGGCGTACATCTGTTATTCTGTGTGCTAGAATGCCATCTCTCCAACGAGCATGTGCGGCATTAAGCTGATCGCTTAGCAAAACGTCCCTTAGCGCTTGACAGTCTGTCTTGATCTCGACCGGGAAACCCCAAATGATGTCCAAGAACTTGTCCAGCCCAAATTTCAGTGCTGCAAACTCTAATATAAAAGGTTTGTACTTTTGCTCCATTGTTGACGTTCATTTTGATGCAAATGCTATAGGTAGCAGGTGTTCCATCCACTTCCCTGATGGCCTCTGTATGCATGTCCATTGCAATAGTACTGCTGCTAGTCCCTCTTGACAACCATCGGATGTAACGACGAAAGGTGATCCATCATACTTTGGCGCCTGTAGGATGGGACAAGTTACTAATGTGGCTTTTAGATCTAAGAACACTTTAGTATGCTCTTGATTCCATCGGTTGTCCAGTTTGTGGTTCCTTAGTATGCGTCGGTACGTGTTCTTGGTATATGGGTGTGTCAGCGGTGCATCTTTGACTAAGTTGCGCAGTGGTTCTTCTCGTTTCACGTACCCTAGTACTAGATCCCTAAAATGACTGGTGAGTCCTAAAAATGATTCCAAGTTGAGTGCATCTGCTGGCCTTTCCCAGTTTATGATAGCGGTTAGTTTTTCTAGATCCGGCTGTACTCCTTGTGGCCCTACTGTCGCTCCTGCAAATGTCGTTTCCGTCATGAAGAGACGACACTTTGTAGGTGATAATGACAATTTTCGCTCTCTACAACGCTGAAAGATGTGTTCTAGCTTCTCGAACATTTCATTGAACGTGTCACCTGCGCTACCCCCATCGTCCACGAAGATTTCCATAGAGGTATCTGCAATTAAGTTGTGTAGATGTGCTGCTGTCATTTTGCAGAATGTAGTGGGTGCTCCGGTGAGTCCCATTGGCATACGTTTATACCAAAAGTAACCTCATCCTTCTACATAGAAGGCTGTGTATGGTCTCGACTCTTCTGGAACCTCGACAGCGTAGAATCCAGATGCAAAATCAAATACTGACATGTACTTATGTCCACTTAGTCGCAGTTGCTTGGCTTGTATATTTCCTTGTGGCATTGGCACTATAATGGTATGTCTGTTCACTTCGTTAAAGTTTTGACAAATCCTCCATTTTTGCAGTTTGTTCTCTTGTGCCGCTATAGGTGCTTCCTGGAGTTCGCATTCCAGTAACATGAATGCTGGTGGTTGTCCCTGTTGCACGTACTGTTCGTTGACTTTGCGTTGAAGTTCCTCTAGGGTGAGTCCTCCTTGTTCATGTGCTTTTTGCGCTAATACCGTGGTAGTGCAACATTTAACCTTTTCCGCTGGTGCCTTTTCGATAATTCCTGCGGCCAACATCTTATCGATCCTCCCGTGCACGAACTGTGCTTGCGGTGGTGTAAGAGCTCTCTGCTGAATGCGCAGATTGAACATTGCGTTCTCTGGTATATTCAGTCAGTGTTGGGCCCCTGGGACCGGTAGGACTTCCGCGAGTGAACATGTGAATATGTCTGAATATTTCACTACTAGACCTTCCACTTGTTTGCATTCTTCTTCGGTGAGTGCTTCGCCATACTGTACTGCCTTCGCAATGTAGGTGACTCGCTTTGGGTTCGCTGGGTTCGTCGTTCTAGTGAATACCGCTGCCTCGTCGTTTGATATGATGTGTACTGAAGTACTCGTTTCTAGACTTGGGTTCTGATCAGTATGGATTTCTGAGTGTGCGTCATGACTTTGTGGTTGGACTTCTCTTGTAAGACCATGTTACCCTTCCTTCATCTTGTCTCTCCGTTGATTCTTGTTGTAGATTATCGTTGAGCCGCCTTCTCCCGTTATATGCACCACGTCAGTTTCGTACTCGTGTATTGCTCAGAATGCTTGCAGTAATGGTTTCCCTAGCAAGAACTCCCATCCGCCTCCGCTTTCGAATACTTCAAACTCTCCTTCTGTCTTGATTCCACCTATCGTGACTTCTCATTTCCATGCTGCTTTGGAGGGTATTGCTGCGCCGTTTGCCATGTGTAATCTCTTTAACGACATTCCCCATCCTCCTAGCTGACTTTTCACTTGCTCGAATGCTGTTGTGCACATGGCATTGACCATAGCACCTTCGTCAAAAAGTGCCTTGACTCGTATTGTTTCTCCTTGCTTTCCTTTGAGTGAGACATACTGCAAGAACGGTTGACAGTTGTGGTGAGTCTCTTTGTCATCCATCGAATACAATTCAACAATGTCATATTGTTCACTAGAACAGGGTTGTATAGCAACATATTCTGTATGATTGGAGTGTTTGACAGAGGTGTAGTGCTTGTCCTCACATGTCTCCTCTCGGCACGCGAGGACAGATTGTTCCATGTACTGAGGTACTCTCTGCATTAGGGTCATTTGGTTGTCCTCTACACCAATGACCCTTGGCCTTTTCCCTGCTCCGCAGCTTCTGGGGCGAAAATCTCTTCAAGCACGTAATTGACTTGTACTGCCGTTGCCCTGTTGTATGTTCCGAGGGTTCGAGTGCAGATGCCTCGCCAAATTGTCTCGTTCTTCGGCAGTTGTGCGTCTGGTGGTAACTGACATGCTGGACTGATGTGTCTGTGCGCTCCGCACCGGAAACACTCTCCTGAACATATTTGCGCTGTACCCGGTGTTAGGGGGAATGGGGTAGTCTCATTGCACCTTGCACCTTCTCCCCACCTTGCTGCCCACTGTCTTCGCTGCTCGTTGTAGGCTGTGTGGCCCGGGTCTGTATCTGCTTGGTGTGGTATTTCGTTGACTCTCGCTTGTAGGTTGTCTTGTTCTTCTTGTGTAGGTGCACTGCGCAATACTTGTTGTCCGTTCTGACTCTGGTTGGTTGGTGTATAGCGTACTTGTCTTCTGGTAATCTGCCCTTGCTGCATCATAGGGTTTTCTCTTGTCTGCAGCACCATTGCACTCATCCCTCGTGTGGGGGTACTTGCCCCGAGTGTTGCTTGCTGCATCTGCAAGCGCAAAACTTCCACTGGGTCATGCTGACGGCTCTCTAAGCGCGCAATACAAACATTCTGTGCTCTTTCTGCCTCCTTTTTCTCCTTCTCCTGCTTCACTTTGTCCTGCAGTATGTCAACATTGACATCCTTGATCTCGTTGAGAAATGTGTCCCAATTGGGTGGTGCTGGTGTCGTCAAGTCTCGGAGAACCCTTGGGAGCACGTCTCGGATGGGGTGAATGAGAACCGGTGCGTTGGCTACTCCTGCATCCTGCACCAACGTCTTGAGCTGATTATGGAAATGAATATGCGACCACATCTTGATTTCTGCTAGTGTAATGTGTTCTCCTACATCCTCCTCTTTCAACCTTAACACTAGTAATTTTTTCTGATATTCCAACATGGTTTTTCCTGCTACCATTATCATAGGCCACTTCGTTTTGAAGGCTGCTTTCACTGTGGTCCATGTGCTCTTGTGCTGTGCATCATGGTTCGTCCACCAGTGATCAGCTGAAATTAGTGCGCTGAATAACACAACCTTTGTCATCTCATCTGTGATTCTGTTGATCAGGAAATACACCTCGGTACTTCTCATGAAGTTTTGTGCATTCTCGCTCTCTTTCCCGTGAAATAAAGTTGGTAGCAGTCCGCTAGCCATGACGTTAGTTGGTGCTGGATGTAGTTGGGCTAGTTTTGGGGCTGCGGGGATAGTAGCTTTCGTGGCTCTAGGTTTTGCTTGTATGAAGCTAGGGAACAGTCTTCTCTCTCTAGGGGGACTCGGTTGTTGCTCGTGTGGAAATGGAAGTTGTTCTAGTGCTAAGACGCTTGCGTGTGCTAGACTTTGGGGTTGTTGCTCTGAGAAAAGAATTGTAGATGGGTCTGGTGCTCCTGTTAAGGATTCCTTATCATCTTCTTCGTTGTTTGCTAACTGCTGCGCTACTTCGTACTCTGACTCCTCAGCTTGTTCTTGTAGGAACTCTACGTGCGATGGTTGGTTTCTGGGGTGTCGAGAGGTGATGAGTCTGATGAAGGAAATGTACTGTCTGAGAGATCTGCATCTTTAGTGTTTTTCTTGCTATACTTATGAAGAGAAAATGCTATGCTTTGTGCGGTTTCCTCGTGTTCTGACACGAGGCTTGATACTTGTTCTGGATTGGTTCTATACTCGGCTCTGGCTCTGTAGCTCTGGACTCTGCTCTTGACTCTGCTCTGGGCTCTGAAAACTCGAAGGAACGGTAGTGACTCTGTGAGAGGATCTTGCTCTGTTCACCAGTTGGAGTGGGCTCTGCTATTGCATACGCTGGACTCGACAAACTGATGATGTGTGCTACCGACGCCGAAACCTTGCCTAAACCCCACGACTCTGCTCCAAACACTGCAAAACACCTCAGCCACCTGACCTCCTGCCTAGGGGTCCCCTGCTCCAACGCAGCTATCCACTCATCTTATCCACTCCTTGATCTGACCATTCCCTGACTTGCAACTTTTATTGTTACATTCCCAAGGTACATTAAGAAACTAGCCCTGCTGAACTTGTCCCAGATCCAATACAAATAAATTTTACAACCCTGATACAAATACATGACTAGCAGACACCAAACAAAATGCAAACATATATACATATACAAAGTTAGGAAACACAAGACAAAAACACAAACAAAATTGTTCAATAGTTAGAAGTATGGATATTAGATAGAGTGGCCAGATTGGTGGATGAATAGTCCTGAATCATTTGATGTTCATCAGGAGATGATAGAATAGTGGTAGATGAATTCCCAGTATCAAGGGAAGAAGAAGTATGGCAAGGAGAGGGAGTATAGGAATCATCCATTAGGAATAGGGGTTGAGTTCATGACTAAATGATGGGTTAACATGTCAACTTGTTCAAACATGCAAATATCCTTACATCTTGTAAGCCTATTCTCCTCATCCTCTTGAGCAACATTAACTTCAGACTCAATAGGATCACATCCAATAGTGATTTGAATGACCTCATCAGGCTCAAGATTATCAACAAGTTGTTGCAAGGCAAAGGTTGAGTTCATGGCTAAATGATGGATTAACATGTGAACTTGTTCAAACATGCAAATATCCTTACATCTTGTAAGCCTATTCTCCTCATCCTCTTGAGCAACATTAACTTCAGACTCAATAGGATCACATCCAATAGTGATTTGAATGACCTCATCAGGCTCAAGATTGTCAAGAAGTTGTTGTAAGGCAAAGGAGAAGTTATGAGATTGTGAAGGACAGGCAGGATTTTGATTCATGGTGAAAGATTGATCATCATGTTGGATAGGAGGATTAGGTGCTGGTGTTGGCAGATGTGGGGATGCAGACCCAGATGGCTGAGGTGACTGGTCAACTTCACAAAATATGAAGCCATTTTGTGAAAAGGTTTCATTGAGCACACAGGCAAGTTGTTCTGGGAAAGACTGATCCTTGGGTGACATGAATGTACCAGAAGTTGAAATGGGTGAATTAGAAGTATGAGTGTGAGGCTAGGGGTAGGTACAACATCCATAGTGCTGAATGTTATGTGCACATTTCAAACTCAGCTGGAAATTTCCAGACCCCCTATCTTTCCAGACCCCTATTTTTCAGACCCCTATTTTTCCAGACCCCTATCCAGCCTACCAAACAAACCAGGGCCAAAGGATTATTGGGAGATGTAGTCATATGACGAGCCCCTTCAGTGAATTCACCCGTCCCAGATAAGCAATCAAATATGACAATGTACCAATGGGAATGGGGTATCCCATGTGGGCCCATGCCAATAATTGTACCATGATACATGAGTGGGCTGAGGTCATGTGTGTACCTGAGACAAATGGATGGGCTGGGAGTATATAATACAGCAAGTAGTATAGGAATGGACTAGTATATAGGGCATCATGGTGAATCCGGTTTACAATGGAGACGGGTAGGCTGGGCGAATGTATGTATCCAAGGCAGACAGATGGGCCGAGTGTGTATAGTATAGACAGTGGTATAGCAATGTACTATTATATTTGGACATTATGAATAGTGAATCCAGTTTGCAATGGAGACAGGTAGGCTGAGTGAATGTGTCCCCAAGGGAAATGGGTGGGCCGACAGAATGTATTCTCGAGGTAGACAGATGGGCCGAGAGTAAAAGGTATAGACATTGGTATAGGGATATACTACTATATAGGACATTATATATAATGAATGGTGTACAATGGATATGGGTGGGCCGAAATGTGTGTACCCACATGACACAGATAGGCCAAGGCCAGTTACCAGAGAGGAATAGGCCGGATACATAGGTTGGCCAGACGGATGTGTGTACCCAGGGCAAATGGGTGGGCCGAGGGCATAGTGGGTGGGCCAGATATTTGGGTTAGCCGGACAGATGTGTGTACCCAGGGCAACTGGTCACATGACAGGAATGGGGCAGGTGCATCCGAGAGAAATGGATGTGCCGGATAGTGTTAAGAATGTGCTCAAGGGTCAAATCCAAAGGGCTTAACTTCAGCTCGTGCGCTGCACCCCTTACCCGAGTATGTGCCCCTAACTTCTGAGGGCTGTCAAACAATGTCTGAAGGTTACCAGATGATGTCTGGAGGGCATCGGGCAATGTCCGGAGTCCGATGTCCAATGCGTGGGAATTCTGGTGGACGTTTGGGAACAAGTGATAAGACTAATCCGGACGATGTCCGAACCAGAAAGGAAACAGCGGAGGACTACCAAAGGTAGAGGCGGAGGTGACAAGTCTATAGGAGTCAATCCTAAGACAAGCAGAGGACAACGAGAGAGAACTCAAGTCAGACGGAGGAGGGAATGAGCAGAGTCTAAGATAATATTTGAACTAAGGATGTACATAAATTCTACCGGGTTTATATACTACTGAGGATTTATCGGAGAGTAAGCCAGCGCAGTCCGAAGCTATGTGAGGCTGTGGACGGAGGGTATAGAAAAGTCAAATGCTAGTCTATCGGAAAACAGTAAATGAAGCCAGAGATTAGAACAGAGGAAAATAAAGGCGGAAATGAAATGAGGTACGGAAAATGATTTGTAGTCTAACTGGAGTAGGAATGTACAAAGGAATAAGGCACGGAAGTTAGATGCGGGTCGGATCTGGACATCCAGAAATGATGGGCGTGACAAGTCCGGGTCCGCAACACGGGATATGACAGATAGACAGGTTGGCCGGATGAATAAGTACCCAGGGCAAACAGGTGGGCTGAGGGTATATAGTGGATGGGCCAGATATACGGATTATCCAGATAGTGCTGGATAGACAGGTTGGCCGGATGAATGGGTACCCAGGGGATATAGTATAGACATTGGCATAGAAATGTACAATATAAAATAGTATGTATGACAGATGCAATGTACAAGGAAGCGACTAAGTTGGAAGAATCCTATAACACCAGACATCTGGTCAATGCCATCATCTGCTAAGTCCATCACCAGGTGGATCAATCTCACAAGTGTATCATCTGGTACATCCAATTTTATCTGGTCATCTGACATGCCAATTGTCCGGTGCATTTTAAATGCATTCACTGATTGATCTAATACATTGATACTGAGAACTAAGTAAAAAATGAATCATGTATGCTAGTATTACTTGGGCCCATCCCCAAACGAGTTCTTTGCATGCCTAGCACTGACTGACTAACCTTGTTGGTGTGATTGAGGTGCAAATAATCGCTGTGGCAAGGGAGCCGAGACAGACTGACCATCCTCGGGTACATTTGGTGACCCAGTGACCAACATGCGAATGGTGCTGGTGGAAGGCATGGATTCCATTGGGACCGTGTGAGTTGGTACCAGCAGTGCCCCAACCGGCTGAATGGGTAAACCAGATTCCCTGATGGTAGGTGCCAGATTGATTGTGGAGGTAGAGCCAGATGTGGGCACTTGTTCATGCCTTGTGACTGGTGAGCCATCTCCAACAGGGCAGGCACCAGTCGAGAACACATCTGGAGTAAAGATATTATTGGTAACAGCATGACCTAATGCACTGATGGAACCAAATTCGGGGAATATGGGGGTACCGGGAATGACAATGGGTGGTGGATTGAATGCAGGTGGAGTTGTGACTGATGATGCAGCAGCCCTTTGATTGTCCCTCAAGTACCTCGCTATTCTGCTGTAAAGAGTTGATTCCTGGTGGGCTATACAAAAGGTAATACCTTAAGACTCAAAAGTGCGAGTGAGATGTTCGTCCCAAAGAGACTGCCTGTAGGATTATCTCTTGACATAAAATGCAAGGGATTTCTAATTAAGATAGAAGATAAGAGAAGGGAAGGATATCTCAAGTACGTTCAGAGTTCCGAAGAATTGTCCAAAGTGTCCGATGAGTTGTCTGAAGTGTCTGGTAAGGGTCCGACATCAAGAAACAAAGGTCCGAGGTGGTGTGAAGCTTCCAGTGAGCTTCCAATGGAATAGCAAGGTTTCCAGTAGAGAATACAGCGGTTGTCGAAGTATAGAACTCTGCGTAGTATAACTAGCAAAGTCCGTCGAAAGACTTAAGGATTTCAATAGCAAAATGGCAGCAGTGAGGCCAAACAATCGTTCCAAATGAACAAAGATTGATTGCGTGAAGTACTAAATTCCAAAAGTGACTACTACTAACTATGACTCGAAGCAAGGGAATTGAAGTAAGTTGCAAGTATCTAGCGAGCCAGAATATATCCTACAACATGAAATTCCGGAATCTGTGTAGGCAAAAACTGTAGCGATATAAGACATCCGAAATGTAATAAGATTCAAGGTGAGTCGCTACAAAGATACACATGTAATAATGCACGAGGTGCATATCTATACATATTAGCGAGGATTTTCGATGTATGTGCCCCTAGACATAATAAATAACAGATAACCAAATCAAAACACACCAGTGAAGTCAAACAGACAAGGATAGGACATGGTACGGAGGATCGGAAAAGCTAGAAAGGCCTTGGAAATAGGCAGATGACCTTCAGACGACTCAGACAAGTGTGCAGAACTTTCGGAAGATCAAAAGTGTGTTGAGGAATGTAAGATGTGATTTTGACCAGATATGTGCCCAACACTGACCCAAGTGTTACACCGCCCACCTGGAAAGTCAACTGATCTACAAGTCCCTTCTGGAGGCCGAATTGTTCTATATAGTTAGCATGCAGCTCGTCGATGCAACAAGACAGATCATTGTGAATGGTATCATCATGTGTGCATAGCTCCTGCATATCAATTTGAATTTGGGCCAGCATTGTCTCAATCTCTGCATTACTTAGATGATGGGGAGGCTGATGAGACTGAATGGGCATGGAAGTGGTGGCAGGGGAGGGGGGCCTTTGAGTGCAAGCCGGATAGACAGGAGTGTACCGGACCTCATCTGGTGTCTCCTCAAATGGTGTGGGAGGTAGGATACTATCATCCATGGTTCAATCCAATGGTTCTTGGGGAAATCATCATCAGATGGCACTGGGGCGGCACTTGGCACAGTAGGAGCATCATTGAGCATCTCGACATCAGCATTAGGTTTCTCCGGGATAGGACTAGGCTGTTGAGTATCTATGACAAAGAATGACTGAGTAGGGACACAACCAGACATGACAGACTTGCCTTTGCATTGCCTAGACTGCTTAGCCTGCTTTGCTACTCTGGTAGCCTTCAAGCGAGTGGTAATGGGTGCGACCAGTAGTATGGGCACAGTGATTGCAGGCACGTCCGGTTGCATTGGCCGGATGCATTTCATCCTCCACTGGTTGCAATCCCCACAAGTACAGGCTACCAGGCCCTTTTTAGTGAGCCAGCTCTGACATTCTACGTCCATTGCGATGCATCTCGTACATGGTCGAATAGATGAACTGATGGGTTGCTGTGAAGGATGAGTATGAGCTGTCCGGATGGTAATGACAGGATGTCTCACTGGCTGTGGATGCTTCCCCTTCTTGTCCTTGTCTGTTCCTAAATGCTGGGCATCTGACATAGACTATTGTGCAATATTACATTGGTGGCACTGACTAGCGTTGCAATGAGATAGACCTACTGGTTTCGTGTCTTTGACCTGGTCAAGACATAACTGCAACCAGATCAGGCATGCACCAATAGGTAGAAGCAGTACCCACCTTTTGTTTGTCGCCAATAGACTCCACATCTTCCTCAGGCTTGCATTCTGCATGGTCAGCAGCCTCGTTTCTGGTATTTGAAGGTGGCATCGGCCGAGTCCGGATGTCGACAACCGGTATTTTCTGTGAAAATTTTAGGTTTGTCTGAAAATACATAAATGAACATACCTTTTTGAGCAGATTTTGTGTCTGTTGCCATGGCTGCATAGTATCGTTAGGCGCGTGAAAGATGTGAAAAGAGACTTACATTGACTTCCGGATCATGAGTGGCATCTTTCATCGTTATTTCCTGGGTATTATCATCCGATGATGGTGACCTCACTCTTGCCTTTCCTGTGCCCTTTACCTGATCATGTCCTTTTTCAATGTGAACTCCATCACTATCAGTGTTGGTGTCACTCAAGATTCGCTTGGACTTGACTATTTTTCTTGTGGGGGGGCTGACACTAAATTGTCATTTGCAATGTTTTGATGGGCCAGAAATTGCACCACCAGGGATGTTGATGACAATACTGGGAACTGGCAAAGTGGTGATTGGAGACACTGAGGTTTGTGCTGGTGCCAGTGAAGATGTTGGACCTGCCGGTGCTGGTGTACATGGGCCTGCAGGTTCAGGCGCAGAGGATGGACCTGCCAGTGCCAGTGTACTTAGGCCTGCCGGTTCAGGCGCAGAGGATGAGCCTGCCAGTGCAGGTGCTGAGGTTGAGCCAGCAGGAATGGTGATAGTAGGCGATGGGTCAAGTGTCTTTGAGTATAAGGGATGATCCTGGCAAATGTCCTTGTTGTTCCCAACCCGACTCCAATCTGACACTTGCACCAGTTGTGCAGTGCCCCTTTGAGAGTGATGGACCTCAGCTGCCATTGACATCAGGCAAAGGGGGATGTAGGTGGCAAGTGTGAGGTGGGAATGGACTGCATTGTTCTATAACAGAATCAATATCACAATATATAACAGAATATAAAACATACCAATTGAAAAGCAATGGTGCAGCTCAATCTCATTTTATCTTCTTCTGACTGTAAGCAGAGCACCTGTTCAACCAATTCATTCAATGTGTCCAGAAGAACAATGAGTGCCTGATTTGCTGTGGCAGCAGCAGCAGAGGTATTGGGGTTGTAAGACATGTTTTCAATAAGATGATGGTGGCAGCTGGTTGGCTTGGAAAAGAGAACCGGGAGGGAATGGCAAATTCTGGAAAATTTTACTAATACTGGATCTCTGGGCCATCTCGGAGATTGCTGGATATGTGGTCAATACACTGGATCAATATGCCGAATGAATTTGGTGGCTGTGTGAAAACTTGCCATACATTATCATTATCAAATTCCGAGGTAAGTATCCAGTCACAGGCTATGGAAGCACAAATGCATTATTCCAGTCATTGCATACAATAGATTTAGATCTTATATTCTGTAGAATTCAACCAATGCCGGAAAAAGATATTATCCCCCAGAGATGAGACCGACTAAATTACAATCAAGCTGGAAGAAGATATCATCCTTACACATGACTCTGGATAACTTGCAATTGTCTCACGATGTCGAAGGTACACAACCCACCACTTTCAGAACCTGAAAGGCACTGAACATTCAGTGGTAGTGTTTGACATTTTGGAGCCACAAGGTAAAGGGCAGATCTACAGTAACCCTTGGATGAATTGCACTAGCATGGGGGAATGTGAGTGTGGTGTTGTGCTGCTACACAGGACTAACAATTAAAAAATTTTGAAGACTCAGATGTCTTGTCAGCTCATGACCGGTGGAAGGATGGGAGACAATTGAAGATGCTAGAGCACATGAAATGCATCCGGTCAGGAGACATCGGGTTTGCCCAGATGTCAGGTCAACCAGAGACCGACATATTGGATATGTGATTCCTGCTTCAATCACATGTTAACTGGTTATCAACTCCCCCATCCATATCAGTGTTGGACATGGGATTTCAACCAGCCAGCAAGTTAGATCCCCGCCATGCACCTGACACCATGAACAGCTCTTCAAACACAGCAGTCGTTTGTCCGGTCAGTACCTCAGGTATGTCAACCTCCATTGAAAACAACCCTCTCGACATGGGTTTCAGTTCACTTCTGGCAGAAGATGAGCATGTGGTCCAGAGGCCTTTGGACATGGGCTTTTGCAGAGATCCAGTGCATGATGTTCCGGCTGGGTCATGTAGGTCTTGTCATTGTGTTGTGTCACACTGTTCAATGCAACTGGACCAGATTCCTTTGAACATGGGCTTTCAGACAGATCTGGCATCCTGTCACTCATGTATGTGTCATTCATATATCTTGTTCCATTCTCACATGTCAATCCAGTGGACATTGAACCAGATGATCATTCTTTGGATATGGGATTTGAGACACTCCAACCGGATGGGCACCCTTTGGATATGGGATTTAACACACTCCAACCAGATGCTCACCCCTTGGATCTGGGATTCAATGAACTCCAACTGGATGGGCATCCTTTGGATATGGGATTCGACACAGTCCAACCAGACGATGGCCCCTTGGAAGCATATCGTCCTATTGCCCTAATTGATACCACTTGCAAGCTACTTACCACCCTAATAGCAGAACAAGTCACACATATCCTAGAGCAACACCAGACCCTTCAGTCACTTCTACCATAGAACCCTGTCATAGGACGTGTACATTGGCCTGCAAAACCTGGACTACCGGACACCGGCCGATCCATGTAATCCAGGATTCAACGAACTCCAAACAGATGAGCACCATTTAGATATGGGATTCAAGACACTCCAACTGGACAATGGCCCCTTGGATCTGGGATTCAATGCAATCCAACTAGATGAGCACCCTTTGGATATGGGATTCGGTACACTCCATCCGGTATATCCGGATCAGTCAAGTACGTCTTCTCATTGTAGTGCCTTACCTTGTTGTGTTAAGAAAGTGCTCAAGGGTTGAATCCAAAGGGCTTAGCTTCAGCTTGTGCGCTGCGCCCCTTACCCGAGTATGTGCCCCTAACTTCCAAGGGCTGTTGAACAATGTCTGAAGGTTACCGGATGATGTCTGGAGGGCATCGGGCAATGTCTGGAGTCCGATGTCCGATGCGCAGGAATTCCGGCAGACATTCGGGAACAATGGATAAGACTAATCCAGACGAAGTCCGAACTAGAAAGGGAACAGTGGAGGACTACCAGAGGTAGAGGTGGAGGTGACAAGTCTATAGGAGTCAATCCTAAGACGAGCAGAGGACAATGAGAGAGAACTCAAGTCAGACGGAGGAGGGAATGAGCAGAGTCTAAGATAATATTTCAACTAAGGATGTACATAGATTCTACAGAGTTTATATACTACTAAGGATTTAATGGAGAGTAAACCAGCACAGTCCAAAACTATGCAAGGCTGTGGACGGAGGGTATAGAAAAGTCAAACACTAGTCTATCAGAAAATAATAAATGAAGCTGGAGATTAGAACAGAGGAACATAAAGGCGAAAATGAAATGAGGTACAGAAAATGATTTATAGTCTAACTGGAGTAGGAACGTACAAAGGGATAAGGCACAGAAGTTAGACACGGGTCGGATCCGGACATAGATAGATGTCGGCCAGATCCAGACATCCAGAAATGATGTGTGTGATAGGTCCAGGTCCAGAACACAGGATATGACAGTTGATTGTGAATCCAGTGGATATTCAACTTGATCAGAAGCCTCTGGACATGGGCTTTGGGACAGCTCCAGCATCTGATCTCATGGACCACCCATGTAGGTTTTGATGCTTATATTTTATTGTATAACATTGTTCACTCTCAATTAAGTGCATAGTAAGGAAGACATGCCTTTGGACATTACAATCGCCACACCAGATCGGTACATGGTCTTCCGGATCCATCATGTAGGTCTCCCATACCATCAAACATCAGTGTTATTTATCGGTATTTAGTTGCCAATGGTGAACCGGAACCCATTGGATTTGTGATTCAGCGCGCTGTGGGCAATTTGTGTTTGGCGATACACTGGTTGGAGATGGACAGGGCCCACAGTACAATGTCACCAGAAGAAGCATCTATCAGCCAGGAAGTTCTTCAGTCTGCCCATGAGTTATTGCTGGCATTTCAACTTATATCAATATACCGACTGTCAACATGATGTAAATATATATATGCTTGATACTCTTTACCCTTGTATAGTACATTCTATGGATCTGGATGATTACTGCCTTTGCATGTAGTTCACTTTGTAAAACATTTTTGTGGTTCTAGCAGATCTCTTTGGCTCCGTGTTATCAACTTGAGCTCCATTTGTCTTCCTTGTTTTACAAGTGGCTGGTGTCGTCAAAGGTGCCATTGATTTGGGTGTAGGTTCCTTTCGACACATCTTCCTCAACTGGACAGAATCTTCCTGCTCTGAATCAGATTGGTCGGTTCGATTTCGCCTTCCAATTGATTTAGATTTTGAAAACAGTGAATGGACGTCTTCATTCCCTCCATTACCCTTGCCACTTGACTGGTGTTCCATCCTTCCAGTTGACTTCCCAGTCAGCTTGCCGGTTGGTTTTTTAACTGGAACTCTGGCCTTTGCTGTCGCTGGAATGGCGGGCTCCATCCTTCTGGTCAGCTTTTCAACTGGAACCTTGGTCTTGGCAGTCATTCGACCAGGTCTGGTGCCATCACCAGCATCTTCCTCACCTTCCTCACCTTTCTTCCCCTCACTACCTGACTCCTGCTCCACTTTTTTTTTGCGGTCGGCTTGCCAGTTGGTTTGTGTGACTCGTGTTCCTTCCTTCCGGTTGTTTTTTTAACCAAAACCCTGGTGTTTGCTGTCGCCAGACTGGATCTCGTGCCATAGTCAGCACCTTCATCACCATCCTCCCCCTCACTACTTGACTCCTGCTTCACCCATCCGGTCAGCTTCCTGGTCGGTTTTTGTGAGCGGTGTTCTGTCCTTCTGGCCGGCTTTTTACCCGGAACCTTGGTCTTTGCAGTAGCTAGACCAGATCTCATGCCATCCATAGCACCTTCATCATGATCTTCCTCCTCAGTGCTCAAGTCTTGTTCCACCTGCCCAGAGGTCCTCTTCACTGGTTCTCTCATCTCCTTGTTGTGGTCTTGCCAGCCTTTGAATTCAAATGTTGATGGAACTGTGTCCTTTTGTCTTTGATGCCAGAACTCTAACAATCTGTCGGCTTCATGCAACTGAAGCTTTGACAGGTCCTTGATCTTTACACCAGCAGGTAAAAACTTGGGCTCAATAAAATCATCCTGAGCCTCCCTTACTGCAGACCAAGGAACAGAAGCCTTCGGCTTTTGACTGCAAAACCCTGCAAAATACATAGTTGCTTGATTACATCTTCAGATATTTAATTCATGAGACGTACTGTAGTGTCTTGTGAGGAATGTGCGATGAGAGACTTTTTTCTCTAGGCTGAGGTCCTTGATATCTGGCATGACCGGAAGCCCATAGGCATCCACCTCCAAGACAAATTCCTCCTTTTTTCTCCTGTGCTTTCCGCTCTCCTTCCCCCCCATATCTTTATTGTCATCCTCATCATTCTGATCGACTGCTGGTATCACAACATGGTGTAAGTACTTGACCAGATCAATCAACATCACACATAACAGAAGCTCACTGAATTCTTCCCTGACATAGGCATTTACATCCAATAATGACTCGGAGACCGATTTCAATAGTGTTGACAGTGATTAGAGTAGTGATGATGGTGATCAGAGTAGTGATGGCAGTGATCAGGGTAGTCACAGTGATGATGATGATGATAAGGTGGGCACACTAGACCACTGTTGGGAACTGCGCTATCGGAGTAGTGATAATGGTGATAAGATGGGCGCACGAGACCACCACTGGGAACTGCGCTGCCCCCAACCATCGAGGCTGCAAAACAAGCATTAGTGGATCTCCAAAAACTGCTCAAACCCAAGAGGAAGGATATGACAGGCTATCTAGACCCTAAACTCAATCCTGTCCTTGAAGAACGCCTTCAGTCAATGAAGGACTTCCTTGTCCTATTTACTGACCTCGATAACACTTTAAACTGGGGCAAGGCAGCTCTGCAAACTGCCGGTCGACTTGAAAGAGGCAAATATCTTGCACACTGCCTCTGTCATTGGACAAAGGCATATATCCAAGATCGGAAAAATTTACCTCTACACCAGCAAAACCACGCAATCTTGCGCATTGAAGATGAGGAACTAGCAGCTGAAATCAAGTTGCACCTGCAGAGTTTGGGGAAATATATCCGTGCACTGGATATTGTACACTATCTTGATGATCTCATTGTGCGGAATTGCCATGGTTTCAAGAAATCAGTCTCTGTAAAGACTGCTCAGCGGTGGCTTTGGAAATTGGATTATCAGTGGAAAAAGGAGAAGAGGGGGCAGTATGTTGATGGTCATGAATGTGAAGATATCTCCATTATCGTCAAAATGTATTTCTGCCTGCATGGGGAAGCATTGAGTCATATCTACGAACATGGAAACAGGATGATCTCACCTGTGAAGACTCTCCCCTCCCTCCCAGAATCTACTACCCGCCGTATTGTTGTTTGGTTCCACAATGAATCAACATTCTATGCAAATGATTGCCACAAAGTTCGATGGGAGCATGTCGAGGAAGATGCTCTACCCCAGCCAAAAGGGGAAGGCACTTCACTGATGGTTGCACACTTTGTCTCAGCAGATTATGGCTTCCTTCAGTCTCCAGACAGAAAAGAAAGTGCACAATTCTTTTTCCAGGCAGGAAAATCGCGTGATGGATATTATTCTAACAATGAAATTCTAAAGCATGCTGGCTGTGCAATGAATATCCTCAAAAAATACTATCAAAATGAAGACCATATGTTGGTCTTTGATAATGCCACAACAGTGAAATGTGCTGATGATGCACTATCTGCTTGACATATGCCAAAAAAACCATCAAAAACATGGGGTGTAGATGTGACCATAACCGACGACAATGGAAAGCCAGTTTTGCGCCCTGATGGCAAACCAGCAAAAAAGAAGATTCCGATGGCTCCTGGATGTCTTCGTAACAGTACTCCACATCCACTCTATTTCCCTGAAGGCCACCCACAAGCGGGGTGGTTCAAAGGGATGGAACAAATCTTGCAAGAACAAGGATATGACACAAAGGGTCTTCTTGCGGAGTGCAAAGGATTCAAATGCAAGGCAGGCCAAAAGGATTGCTGTTGTCATCAATCCTTTTCAACGAGCCTGATTTGTCAATGTCAAGTCCCTTTTGGAAGTTACATGTCATGCACAAGGCTTCTCGGTGATCTTTTTGCCAAAATTTCATTGTGAACTATATTTTATTGAGATGTGTTGGGGATTTGCAAAGAGGGTTTATTGGCTCAATCCCTCCTCTTCAAAAGAGGCAAATCTCGAGCGAAATGTAGTGGCTGCGCTGGATTCAATACCAGTGTCAACCATGCATCAGTGAGTGGTTTTTTGTGCCTGGATTCTTCATTGGTCTTATTTGTTCTTTCCTTGAACAGATTTGCTATGTGATCTGGAGATTTATTGGTGCTTATAAGCATGGCCTTAACGGAGCCCAAGCAGCATGGGCTGTGAAGAAGTATCAAGGACATCGGATCCTTCCTGAAGGCTTAATGGCCTCTAATTTGAGGTAATATGTTATACATGATCTATATACAATATATAGTATCATACAGTATCTGCTACATACCATCATCTTGTCTACTTACTGCACTGCTCTCCTAATTGTGACTCCGCACAGTGTTTGCCGCTCCAGCATCACCATCTCATAAGCATGTCACACTGTGGTCACATCATGTGATATTCGTCGAATTCGCAAGTCCTCTACCTTACGTGGCGATTTCCTCGATGCACATATGTGTCCGCTCTTTTTAGTATCGAGGCTCACCGGTACGCCACCTACGTGCCAACAATCTACCATTATTCCCATCACCTTTCAACTTCCTTACAAGATTGACCTGCTAGCCTGTTCAGGCGGATCATGCAGCGCCACCTGTAGTGGATATTCCTCTCCCAGGGGATCAGTCAAGTTCTCTCGGTTGATTTGTATCACTCTGATATCTCTCAGCGTAATTCTGTGGTGGGCGCATCCAGCAATAATCGCAGCTCCCTGAATACTTAAATCATCCTCCACCGAGTAAGCATACGCATGCAACTGGTTAAAGTTGTTATTCATTTTGGTTCTTATTCCTCGGCCCAGGGCATTTGCTTTCGATATGAACTTATAGTCGGTTCTGTCATCACATCCTCAATTCTTGTATCACTGACGCGCAGGCCAACTATACATCTCGTGCCTTCCATCAGAATAATGGAAAGCGCTGGTGCCGCTTCAGACTGACTTCGGACTGTCATTTCGTTGAGCAGATTCTGGTCCTCGGCGCTGGCAGTGTGCAGGTAGAGGCTCCCCAGTCAGTATATTTTCCCAGATATCAGTGTTTGTGCGAAAATTTATGCTGTCCAGGTCAAGTCCAGGTGGTCTTTTGAAGCCAATCGAGTGCAGGTTGATGCTGACATTAAAAGTCATGTCCGAATTTTTGTGCATCTCCAGGGTGACTCGATCAGGAATATGTCAAAGACGTCCTGTGAGCATAGCGAACGTTTTTTCCCCTTCACATTGAACTAATTGGTGATAGTTAATGTCACGCATCTCAAGAACATCAACCAACCACTACATCTTCTGATAGAGAATGAGATATTCAGGCTTACGGTCTGGGCTAACCCTAGCGAAATGAGGCAGAGACCCCCATGGTTCGATCGAGCGCAATATGCTTGAGGTAAGCACCTTTTTGGTTCAGAGAATGTTGATTCATGTATTCCAATAGTCGACTTGGCCTGGCGTAGTCCAAACAGCGTGGGAAGTAGACCTAGCCTTAGCGGTCTATCTAACAGAACAATTCAAAAGCCCAGTAGCTCACGCCGAGGTGCAGAATCTGGTTCGGTCCATCCCTGACAGGGTAGTCGATACTCCCAAAGCTCTAATATTTTTAATCTGGGATTCCTTCCGAGGTGGACAGAGACGAGAGTTGAAGGTGATTTCTGTTCTGAGGTGTTACGCTTCGAGAGTTTACGTTTTTGTCAGTATATCATCGTTTGGGCGCCCGTCACTCCTGTGATCGCTGTTACTTTCTTCAAGCGACGACACGGCAACGATCCACTCTTACTACAATACGCCCATCGAGCCCTGAAGCAGCATCCTGTCGACCTGACGTTCTTTTTCGTTCCGCAAGTGGTCCAGGCCCTTCCCTTTGATAACCTTGGTGTGTATTTGGAACCTCCTGTTGTTATTGTTGCTGAATGTATACTTTAGGATATAACGCGCAGTTCATCTTCGAAACCGCAAGGTGTCTCAATTCTTTTGCCACCATATCATACGGAACATTAAGGCCAATTGCTTCTGATGCAGCCGAGATCGTGAGTTTGATGCATGTTTTCGTCTCTGCTCCACTAAAGCGAGATTAAGAAGGCCCTATGAAACCTGCGCTAGATCGGATGACTGATATGGTGGTGGATTCGCTGTCTGGTGATGCCCGTGCCTTTTACGATCGGGAATTTGGATTCTTCAAAAAGGTGACCTCGATCTCTGGGAAACTGGAGCCCTTCATCGAAAAGTCGAAACCCGAGAAAAAGGTGAGACCCTCGCAATTTGTCCCAGGATATGATTTGACGTGTCTTTGCAGGCAAAGATCGACGAAGAGATGGCCAAAATAGTTGTCGATGTTGGAGTCTACCTTCCCAGTAACCCAGACGGTAGCGTCATTGACATTGATAAGAAGTTCGGTCAACCGCTTCAAAGCCATGCTAAGGTATGCAGATCACTCTTTGCCCCTATTTTTTGCTGAATACAATTTTACCGAAGGCGCCGTTCATGACTGCTTTTAAAGTAAGGAAGGAGCGAATCATTATTGATTCCGACCCAGAGTCTTTTGGACGGCGCACTCGAGAAACGTGAGGAATATGATGTTTGGCAACAGGCCATCTTCAAAGTTGGCGACGACTGCCGACAAGATGTGTTGGCCTTACAAATCATCGTCAAAAACATCTTCACCAGCATTGGGTTGACCCTCTATCTTCTCCCTTACAGGGATACCGCAACTGCCGCTGGAGTGAGTACCTTTTATTTTTCGTTTACACTGGACCACGCTCATATACATCATAGTGTGGTGTCATTGACGTGGTGCCAAATGCTACATCTCGAGATGAGATGGGAAGAGCCACAGTAAACGACCTGCTTGACTTCTTTATTTCAAAATATGGCGGAGAAGAGACCGTTGCATTCCAGCATGCCCACCTCGATTTCACCCAGTCCATGGCCACGTTACATCCTGCAAATCAAGGATCGTCACAATGGGAATATCATGGTTGATGGCGAAGGGCATATCGTACATATCGGTAAGTTTTACCTGTGCAGCCGAACTCGAGTCACTGGCTCTCAGTGGCTCAGCTTATCGGTCAACCGATCTATTCTTCCCTCTTGCATCCCCACATCATTTATCATTCGAAACGTAGACTTTGAAGTAACTGAATATGAGGTTACAAAAAAGATTGTGGAAGTCTTGCATGCGTGCCCTGGTCTTTTTGTATCAGATGCTGATGCCGCGACGCAGCAGTGTCTCATCAATGTCATCATAGCTCAGATTGGCCTGTAGCATTTCAGATCGAGGCCCTTTTCCAAAATGGTGTTGCAAACACGCGTCTAAGTCTGAAAGTCGTATCAGTTGCGCATTCAATAGCGGGGTACACGAGGATCCGAGGTAGGTTGTAGCCGACAGTACTTGTAATAACTCAATTTCCAATAATCCCTTTAGTGTGTTTGTGCATGCGAATCACCAGTCAATTGCAAATAATGAAACCCCGACACTCTTTTCTACGTCCAACTTGAATCCCATCCACCCATATTCTCATTTCTTCCTTTCCTCATCATCGTTCCCAACGTCCATACCGTTCGTTGTCATCGGGTGGCATATCTCGTGGCACACTCCACACAGCCGTCAATCGTGCGTTCATCTTTTAGTTCCATTACAATCTGGTCTAGAACGTCTACCTTGGATATGCACTTCGACGAAGCCTGGTGTCCAGTCTGTGACAGGCAAATCAGGCCTAAGATCCTCCCACAACCTCAAGAACCCACACCGGTCCCCACGCCATCGCCAGTATCATCATCTCGTGAGTCTTGTCAACAACTGTCACCTTTCACTCCCACAACCAACTCACTAAATATCTCTTTCTAGCGTCAAAAAATCAACAGAGTGATTCTACTGCCCGCACTTCCCGAATAAAAATTGGGGCCGGTCGTACGAAGAATGGCCGTTTGCAGGGCACAGGTTGGGTCAAGCCTAATGGTGCAATAAAGCGATATGACTCAGCCGCAACGGCACACAAGGGTCGTGCCTCCCCATCCCAGCCTCAACAACCCGTCGCACCTGTCAAGCACCGTACCATCATTGATCAGGGCCCAATCCCTCTTTACTGTTCGGATGAGTGTCGTCTCCAAGACTTGGCAAAACGCGATGGCGTTTACCCACTCAATCACCACCCTGATCGCTCATCGCCTCCTCTTCCTCGCGTCCCTTATAATTCTTTCGAGGGCCGATATTGCGAATCAGAAGACGAGTCCACCAGCGCTTCCGGATCATCCTTTGATTCAGGTTTTACCTCTTCCTCACCATTGGTCACTGTCTCTCGCAGTATGGCTACACTTGCTGCCCTGTACAACTTCCCACCCTTGCCTTCTGTGCCACCAATGTTGTCACCGGCAGATAGCACGTCCTCGTCCTCGCCCGAGTATCGCAACGATTATCAGGGCGGCACAATGATGGCAAGCAAGCGTATCCAGGAGATATTATGCCAGCCACACGCCAAGCCTTCATCGTTTTACAGCCGACCGCCTCAACTTAGGAAACCAGTTCCTGGTTGGACCGACGGCGGTAGTGAGTGGCGTCAATCAGTCTATGGCGGATACTCCACACGCTCGGACAATGCATCTGGTGGGTCCGAGAAAGCCCAGACCTCATTTGCAGCAACGTCACGTCGCCGTGTTCAGTGGACTTCGGCACTTTCCCAGTCAAACTCATCTAGTGCTCTTGCCGCGCAGTGTCCTACCTCCAGCCTGCCTCCTCCTCGGTCGGGTCAGTCGGACAGCGAAGAGTTGTATATCAAATATTCCCTTCCTCTTTCTCGCAGACATGAGTTGCGTATGTCACTTTTCCCCCACTCGGCGTCTTCCTCTGCACAATCACCTCCGCTGTCTTCTACCTCCACATCTTCGTCCTGTCGACGTCGTCGTGAAGTCCCTCTACTCAAACGAGGCGCAGAGGGTCGTTTACTCGTTCCCGACGTCGTGCTCACTCGAAATAACTCGAGTATGGGGTTTATTATCCCAGCGTCTTGCAAAACCTTTGAGGCGGCATCCCAGCAAAGTTAGCCAAGACAGCATCTTGAGCGACACTACATCCGAATCGCTTAGTCCCTCATCCCGACCTGCACCACAAAGTATGTTCTGCCTTTGACGATTGTTTAATTGTGTGACTAATTGTATCTTCAGCTCGCACGTGGCCATACGATAATATCAAGACTTACCCTGTGATGATGCCTCCTGCAAAGAAGGAGAAACGTATCGAGCATAGCATGGTTGATGGCGAGGTTGAGGAGGTCGAAGTCGAGGTCGAAGTGGTTCAACCGTTGAAGCGCCTCTTCCTGTTCCCTGGCAAGGACACAACTTTTGTGGGACGATCCTAAATGACGCGCACAACCACCTCCTTCTTGGTCCTGTCTATTTCTCGAGCATTCCGTTATACCCTGTATTTGCACGGTCGCGGATCGACGACGGTCATACCGCCACGTTCACGACGCATACCCATTACTTTATCGATTGTTTACCGGCATCTCATCGCATCATGACCGCACGCAATTCACAACATTCTCACTTAACAATCGCGTCGTCGACTCTGCTGAATCGTGCCACCGCTCCCACCCTGCCTAATACCGCGCATCCATATCAAAAGTTGAATAATGATTTGTACCATACCATTTTATTGTGTATATACCTATCCTGCTTTTTTTTCTTCTGGGCCTGTACACAGTGTAACATCAGATTTGCACATTTACTGTACGCATTATTCTACGACATGGGATTGATTGGTTTTTTGTCTTTCAGTCGAGTTTTGTGGTTGGTGTTCATTCTCGGGCTAGCTTATGTAATTGCTTTACGTTGGCTTCGCCTGTGGATACATCAAAGAGCGCCTCATGGGGCTATCTCCAATCGATTCCTACAACGCTGTGGTGTCACGCGATCCTGATGAGAGAAGGAATCTGCTGTATAGCATATATGAACTCATTTAAACAGAAATCATGCCCAAGGATACATCTACCCGTGCCCAGCACTCGGAGAAATCTCGTTTGACCGCGCTAGCAAGATTTCGTTCAGTGATGGGACAAATACTAGGCACAGCTGAACCCCTTCCTTTAGCATCCTTGAACGCCATGAGGCGCCATTTTCCAACGCAAGAGGACAATTTCGACGTGGCGCTTGTCATAAACAGCATAGGCCCCCTCCTCAGCGGCACCACCAACCCAGATTCCCCAATCTGACCCCTCCACGCATCATTCCATGATCTCTTGACGGACAAATCATCCAGTGGCGAGTTTTTCATTGACCTGTCAAAGGCACAACATGACCTTGCGTTCGCGTCACTTCGAGTAAGGGAACACGGTCTTCGCTTCAATATGTCATCTTGAGTCGTCGTATCTGCCTAATAGCAAAGATCCCGAGCTGCGAGAACAAGTTCAAAATGTATCCCCTCACATCTGTCATATTCCTCTCAATTTTGGACATTGCACGTACGAATCGCAGTGTTCGACGAGGAGCTCTCTAAAGAAGTGAAATTATTTTTCGACCACAAGCGGCTGTTTTTCTGGTTCGAGTCACTCGCTCTGATCAATGCGCTCAGCGGTGCAGTTCCTGCCCTCTCACTTATTCCCCAGTGGCTGAAGGTGGCTACATTATTTCTGAGTGCCAGATACAGCGCTCACGCGCAAGCAATCACAGAACCATCCTGAATTCAAATATGTCTCATCGACTGCAATGGACGTACAGAGATTCATTCAAATCTTCGGCGGCATCATTTTGCACAGCACACCGCATCTGCATGTATCAGCTCAAGGTTATCGCCACCCAGGCTTATCATCGGCTGATCGAAGAAGTTGGTCTTCCCATCCCAAAATACCAGCCCACGTACACCACTAATGGTCCACCTGGCAAGAAGGGTCAGAACCAGAATCACTATGGAGTGCCTGGTCTGCCTTCAGGCTACCCTTCGAATGATCAGGGTTTGGCTTCGATGATGGCATCTGACATGGCAAAGGCTATGTGCCAACACTTCATGGACGCTCGCTTGATCAAAAACGCCGCTGGTCTTGGTAGCAATCTGTTCAAAGATCGCGGTACTTATGTCCTCACGCCCGAGGGTCTCCATGTCCTGGAACGATTCGTATCCAAGAACGGCATGAATTCCGACCATCTGCAACCTGTATTCGCCTCTCAGCCAATATGCATTACGACGTCATGCACACAGCTCTCGATCGACATCGCGCAGAGTCCAGAACTTACACCCTCGAACTCGTCGAATGTCTCCTGATCCACTTTCACTATTTAAATCTCAGCAAGGCAGATAGTGAGGAAATTTGGGCAATTCGCGCCGAATTAGTTAGCATGGGCCTAGCAATGGGCCTCCACCGCGACCCACCTAGGTGGAGGATTAACAAGGAGCTTGCAGAGAGAATGCGTTGGGCATGGTGGCATATCATATTAATCGAACGGTACGTCCCATCCTTTCTCTTACGTACATGCCTAATTCTTCCTAGCATTCATGTTTGGTCGTCCTCTTGCCGTAGCTTCCCACCACTTTGGCACCCAACTTCCCTCCGTTTCCTTATCTGCAGCTGCAGCTTCGTCCGCTCCGGGAACTCTTTCTGGATATAGAACCGAGACACCATCTCCTGACCTATGGTCTCATAGCCAGCTCAGAGCAACTTCTAATCTTGCCATCACCGCGCCATTGATGCTGGGTGATTCATTGCAGCCTAGAGCTGTAACTCCAAGCTCCCTCCGTTCGTCTCTTCGGCCAGGGGAGGAAGACGAAGAAGACGACCCATTCGATCCAATCGCGCCAAAGACATCATCCAACTCCTTCCATCCAATCACAATCACCGACTTTGACCGTACCTCAACCTCAGCCGATGATCCGCTTGCACAAGCTTACTACCAGCATGGCTATGATTATGACCCGCAGTTCGATGGGTCGGTCGATGACGTGGAGGGAACAGGGCACTTCACAGATGGGATGACACCTCTCGATGTGCTCAGTTCAGTGTTTGGATCCACCCTTGCGCCATCTGCGCTTGAAGATGCACTTTCTCAGAATGGCTATGATTTCAATGGTGCTATGGCATGGCTTTTTGATCGCGCTCTGCCTTCTCCACCTCGCCACAGCTAACCTCATATGCAGTCCATGGGAGGACGAGTGACATTAGTAGCTAGGGATGGAAGTGCCGGGGTAGTGCATGGAGGACGCGGAGGCTTCCAGCCCGCCCGAGGTTCTACCTCATGACCGCGCTCTTCCGTCGGTTTGTTGGTCGTCAGCCCAACTACCCCACGCAGCTCTCGACCAATCCGTCAGCCTCCTCGACCCCAACCGCGACCCCCCACTCAACGGGCACGTCCAAGGGTCGGATTCGCGTCAAGCCCATATCTGCCCGTGGTCTTAATGTCACCTCCGTACGACCGACCTTATGTCGTCGTTCAATTCGAGCAGAACGAGTTCGTGAGTCGCGATCCCACAGACGAAATGGACGAAGAGGTCACCAATGCCACGTTCCGACTCATTGTCCTTGGATTCATGCTGGCGAACAAGTGGCTTGACGACCATATCTTCTCCAACAAGACATGGTAAGCACTTCATTAACGGACCGTGTCTGGTCAAAATGACTAATAATTTCCCTCCAGGCACACTATCTGCAAACTTTCCGTCCAGTCGCTAAACAAGCTCGAGTTCTAAGTTTCTTCTGGCGCCAATGATGGAACTCGTCGTTCAAGGACTGCTTCTGTAGTGCCCTCCATTGTAGACAAGACTCGTCCCCCTATGATGGCCTTGCCACCACCACCTCGCCAGCTGCCTCCGTCTAGCACCAAGGCACCACCCCCTTTCATCCCAGACCGGAGAATTGCTACTACGTCCTCGACATCAGACGTGTCGCCACCTCGCCCATCCTCTCTGCCATTCAAGGAGAAGTCACTCGGATCCATCCCTCCTTCGCGAAAATCTTGAATGGCTCGGTTTGGTGTCTAACTAGGCCAAGTTCTCTGATTCAGGTTGAAGGCGAGATGTCAACTTTGAAAGGCACTGTCAACTCCATGGTGGACCAGCTGAGCGCCTTCGCATCCAAAGTCACTCGTGTCGCGCTGGAAGTCGGAACGCAAGGTATATTGTGTAGTCAGGCTCGCGTAGAAGGTGTGCAGGGTACCTGGGCTGACTTGACACTCAATGTGAACGTGAGTTATATAAATAGTGTTCTGCTCTCGTCGCTGATATGTCGCGGGGCAGAAAATGGCTAGTAATCTGACCGACCAAGTACGATCGATCTCAGAGGTCACAAAAGCTGTTGCCTTGGGCGATCTAGGCAAAGTCGTCAACGTCGATGTGCAGGGAGAAATGCTAGATTTGAAGATGACTGTCAATTCTATGGTTGCCCAATTGTCTACTCTTGCCAACGAAGTCACTCGTGTGTCTTTGGAAGTCGGTATAGAAGGTATCTTATGTGGGCAAGCGTATGTCCCCGATGTGCTGGGCATGTAGAAGGTAGGGCGCAAAGATGCAAAAAGATATCATGTTTGACGTTCGCTACAGGTTCTTACAGATAATGTTAACCTCATGGCCATGAATTGGACCAGCCAGGCTGGTGGTGACTTGACGAAGAAGATTGAAGTCGACTTGCGTGGCCAAATTAAGGAGTTGAAGGAGACCGTCGATGGCATGACCGAAAGCTTGAGTCTCTTCGCCGATGAAGTCACTCGTGTCGCAACAGAGGTCGGTACAGAAGGACGATTGGGAGGTCAGGCTCTGCGTCTCCTGTGAGCGAAACCTTGTAATCGAGTACGGGCAAGGTTTCTTTGCAAGTTTTCAAAGGCGAGGCGTCTCATTGCCAGCGTGCTCTCTCACTGATGCTAGCAGAAATTAAAGATGGGTTCTCTGGTCAAGCTGAATGTCAGTTCATCCGCGCTGGGCACACGGACGAGACTTTGGTGCTACCGAGACGTTAGGACTTAGCAGCGAAGAACTTGAAGAGCAACGAGGTTCAAAATGTGAGTGCGGCTATTGGCCTTGGACGCTGCCTCGCACATATGTACCCTAATACGCCCCCTCTGCATGGCAGCCGCGCATCGCACCCTGCGCCCTTCTATTCATCGCATTTACTTCTCCTCGCTTCTCACCTCACAGTCACATCAGTAAAAGTACACGTTACTTAATCAACTTGGCTGACTTTGCTAGAAATTGTTTACTCTCTCCTGCATCATCCACTTGGGATATCTTATTCTTTTTTAGTGCAAACCACAACAAAATATGTATATTAGAATAGCTGAACAATTTTTTTGTGAACATGTTAAAGTTGAAATTTTGACTAAGTAGATTGACTTAGCCAAAGTCACTTAAGTGGGTTTTAAGTCTGTTTAAGGCAGCTTAAGTAACATGTATTTTTACTGATGCATGGCCACCCTAAAGCCACCAAGGCGTCAAAGCTGTTCTCCTTTTCCCACGTAACGGCGGGTGGCAAAACATTGTTCGCTTGTTTATTGCCTTCACTTTGGATGCCTCGTGGGAAGTACAAGTAGGGCACCCTTAAATGAAAGTGCGAGACTCTCGATGGTGTTGGTATGCCAAGCTCCTACAATTTCCAATGTTGACATGTCAAATTCAGAGATCGTCCAGACGACGTCAGTCATACATGCAGTCAAGATGTTTTGCTTTTGTCTGTCCAGAACGCTGGCACAACTGTCCTATCCTTACGTCCAACTTTTCCTTTTGAACATCCCGAGCCTCATGAGGTATGTCCCGTACATTCGCTCAATGTCCAGAAAGTAGGATATGGATTGAAGTAATTCTCCGCGACCATCGATGATGCCAGAATCGATTTCATTGCGGCCGCCTTCGTTGGTATAGAAGCCATAGCTACATCTCCGCGACCAACGCAGCTCTGTAGCCAAGTACACAAAAAGTATTTGTTGGATTGGTTAGAAGGACTGGTGGTGAGCTCTCCTCGTGTTATGTAGGCACGACACTGATTGAAGACTCCCAACTCGCTCGAGAGCAGGTTACCTCCTGGGGCTGGTCATCAGTTCATCCGCGCTCGAACTTTAGTGAGAATTGATGTTATCGAGAGGTTAACAATGATACTCAACTACGATTCAACTCACCTGATGGGAACATCACTACGTCTGTGACAGAATGGTGTCCCTTGGTGGCAGATCATTGGGATAGAGGGGGCAGAAGCCGATTTTTCACCTCCACATAATTCTACTGACATTTTTTTTGTTCAGAACTCAGAGCTCATTGCATCGCATTCGTCAATGTCTTCCCTTTGTGGTGATCTCAAGAGTGGTACGTTCACAATTATGGGCGCTATACTTGACCTACAAGAGAAAGTGGTGAAGCAGGTTTGTGACCAGGCCGGCGTACGCTTTTAGAGATATTGACTTATGTGCTTGCAGTGGCTACAGGCGATGATTCCCATTGAGGACATTTTCATGTTATCGATTGACTCGAAACTCGATTACGCACTTTGAAGAAGATCTGCCTTACTGGATATAGCCGTGTCCTTGCGTATGAAGAGGTCAAGATCCCTGCTGATACATCAGATCGCATGTTGAAGGTTAAGAAAATAATCGGCATTCTGCTAGTTAAACACCTCAGTCGCTCCTCGGGCCGTGTCTTGTCTTTCTGATCCGATCATTTAGTGTCTTCTTCTTGATCCGAAAGATGCGGTTCCTTTGCACAGGTTTCCGCTGAACAAGGTCTCTTTCGTACCAAATAACGAGTCTCTTCTCGGTATTCTAGTCAGAATTAAAAGGGTCATTCACACATGGCTATTGTCTCTCGTTCTAGCGTCGAGAAAGCTGCTTCAGTCAAGAAGGTCGCCAAGCGTTCCCTCAAATACATACAATGTAAGTCTACACATAATCCAGTCTATTGTCTATCGGAAAACTATGATGAATTGGGATGCGAGTTGGGGGCAAAATAGGGAGGCGAGATGAGATGTTCTTAAGTATGTGAAACAATGAGGTGATTGTGTTACAGGAGGACGTCCGTCATTCTTTGGTCCACGGAGATGTGATGTTGAATGTGAGGAACTAGGAGTTCAAGCCAAGAAGACAACAACGCGAGTGCGAGGAGCACTCACAAACGTTACGACCCCTCACCGCTCTCCATCCTCCACCGAGGAATCGGCACCTTCAACCGTACTCCGTCCCGTGCCCCGTGTGGACTAGAAGAAGGCCTGTCATGTTAAATTTAATGAAGACCGTCGTGCATGTCGCCTGTCATGCAAGCTAGAATGTAGCTCGTCATGCAAGATATAATGCGACCCGTCTTGCAGGATAGGATGTTGCCCATCGAGAGGAGAACGTCCACCATCGCAAGGAGAATGTCTCTCTTCCAACGCACCCCCGTCTCCCATCGAAACTCAAACGCAATCCAGATCCCAGCCCATCAAGTTGACCAGACCGTCACCTTTCCCTGTCGCACTCCAGATCCAGCAGCCTCCTCATAACTCGGCAAACCCACTAAACCCGGCAGTGGAGGGACACATCCCTGAAACGACACGCGATATTCGGGTGCTGCATTCGCGTGCACATTTTCACCATCTAGAACATCACTTGCATTCCCTTCTCGAACACCTCCCACACTCGCTTCAACCCCATCCACGCCATCCAACTCCTCCCCATCCATCCACCACCACCGCTCTAATTTGCCTCCGTAAATCCCCTCACCCAAATCGTGCTCTCCGCGATCTCAGCGGGAGGTGTATGAGGGCTATGCAGCGAGTGCACACCTCTGAAATAATGCGTCTGTGCTCCACTTCCGCTGTCGCTAAACGCAGCACGCGGACGTGAATATCCTCCCGTATTCGAGGTCAATCCTGGTGGGTATTCAAGTGGTTGGGGTGGCGACACCAGATTCCCGAATGATCGTGAATGGGGATGGGCTCCTCCACCTCCACCCATACTCACACCACCAGATCCAGCAGTGACAAATACCCTTCCATGCCCAGACACCCCTTACGAACCACTGACGTTCGTCATTCCAAACCCGTGTCCACTGGTCATCCCGCAAGACTCAAATGACTCCCGCTTTTTGAGCCCCCAGTAAGCCACCCAGAAGGAAGCGGCTTCATTGTGACCATCAGCAAAGTGCCTTGTGTACGGGATGCAGGCGGTGAGTGACATATTCGTACGAAGGCTTCGCACCGCCCACCATGGTCAGAATCATCTTTCGATTGGTGCACAGCATGCTTACATGACAATTTCTTAGAGCAGCAAAGCACCGGCAGCCGAGGAGACCAAGAACTCGGCAATTGAAATTGACAACGTAAAATCGTTCATTGCAGGAGGTTTGGGAGGATTTTCGGCTATCCTTGTGGGTGAGAAGGCTTGACTTGCGCATCCTGACTCACATTGACCCGTTTTTGGGGCATCCTTTTGACCTGGCCAAGACGCGGCTACAGGCTGCGGCTCTTGGCGCATATACTGGTGCAATTGATGTTGTCAGGAAAACGTTATCTCGAGATGGTGTCACTGGGTGAGTGGCTGCGTCCATGCTCGGGCCTGCTCTCAATCGTCAATCAATAGTGTGTATCGTGGAATGGTACCTCCACTCCTGGGTGTCACTCCAATCTTCGCAGTGTCCTTCTGGGTAACAGTGCACATATCCAAATTACCTGCTGTGACTGCTACCTTCAGGCGTGTGATGCATCCAAGAGTTTGATACTCGCACTCGCACCCAAGCGTACATCCGAAAAACTTTCTACGGCAGAACTTGCCGCTGCCGGTTTCATGTCTGCCGTACCAATGGCACTCATCACTGCACCTGTTGAGCGAGCGAAGGTTCTGCTGCAGTTGCAAGGTCGAGGAGGTTCAGAACCCCAATACAAAGGTGTCTTTGATGTTATGAAGCACCTTTACAGGGAGGGTGGTATACGGAGCATCTTCCGAGAACTGGTACAACTATCGCTCGTGACGGACCAGGTAGTGCCGTGTAAGTTTACATTTGACATTCGAGAACACTGAACAGAACTGGTGCCCTTCAGTCACTTTGCGGCGTATGAAGTTACCAAGAAGGCCCTGATGCCGCTGGATCATCAGCAGGAGACCTCAACCTAGGCGCCATCATGTTTGCAGTCGGAACTGCAGGTGTCGCAATGTGGTCAATAGCTATACCCCCAGATGTGAGGCCTCATGAACCGTAACCTTCCCAGCATTGTATTCACGTTGCTTCGACAGGTTTTGAAATCTCGCATGCAATCTGCACCTTCTGGCACATATTCGCAACTGCCGGTGTTGCAGGAGGCGCCGGCTCCTCCTCGACCAACGGGCCGGCGTCTGGAGCCGGATCTTCTAGACTGGGAGTTAGTATGTCTTCAACGCTGTAGACATCATCTCACCTTGAATTGGTGAAGGGTGGTGCTGCATATGCATCTCGAATATGTACGCTGTGCATAGCACGTAGCAGCACTCCCAAGCAAAGTACCACCAGTAGTGACCAGTGATGCCTGATTGCATGACCGACGGGAACATATATATACAGAAGCCCCAATTGACGTTGGCTGCGCAACATTGCTGGGGTGTAGATAGGGCCCAAACCAAAGTTCTCTCGTCTCAGTAAGCAGAGAGTTACATCAAAGCCAAAGCCATGTTCAGAACTTCAGATAAATAACGATGAACTTCACCAGCTTTCCCTCATATTGCAGCCAACAACTATGACCTTGATTCGCCGATCAGAGGAACCCTGATGTAGGCTACGCGGTATCAACCTGAATGCTCTCACCTGTCTGCGTGACCTGCTGCACGACTTCACCCACAGCCGAACCACTACCGCATTTTTTTTCACTAGTGAGAACCTCCAGCACGCTCGCTAGGCCCGCCTTCCACGTGATAAGACACCTCCCATTGCTCTCGCTTAAACATGCATGCTGACGAACGGCAAACATGTAGAGATTGGGTGGTCTGCGAGAGCTTTGCTGAAAGCAGACTGGTACGAATCCCTATTCAAAGATTATTATAAATGACAGCATGCCAAGAGGACGTACCATCGATCGCCCACTTCTCTACTTCACTCAATTCAATCTGCAGGATCTACACGACCTCTGAATATGGCAGGTCATGCCCGACGTGTGCAAAATCCAGCAACGCAGATTACAGAGGACGGATCTTCCGCTCAAGCTGTGCTCGGTCGAGTTCTGCAGGTCCGTGAATGGTTAAAATATGTGGCATCAATCATAATGAACCGACTTACCATATTTTTCGAGAACAGCGGCCATGAATGTAATTCTGGTAGACCACTGTTCAAAAACACCTGCAAAAGCGAGAAAGGCTCATGATCTTTTGCTGATACAACAGCGTCCAACTTGAACAATGGATCAAAGTCGAATAAGCTGGGCAAGCGCAATGCTAAGGCTATGGCATCGACCGCCTCGGATTGACTTTCAGGCGAAGAGGATGGCAATGAGGAAATGGAAGAAAGCGTGTGATGATAAGCAATTTCCCTGTATAAGTCAAATGTCAACTACAACCGTCATCAGTCAAATGGAATAATCCGTACGGCTGGCTAAATTGCCTGAATGCATCAACAACGGACTTGAGGGATTGACTGCACTCTTCCACAGAGATATTCCATTCTTTCAACCACTGCTCGACATCTCTTCTGGATAGACGCAAAGTCTCGAGCTCTCCATTGTTGGCGGCGACTTTTGATAGCGTGGTGTGAATAGGTAGGCAGAGGGCTGAAAGACGAGGAGTAGCATTGAGATACTGTTTAAGAACGGATCACACAGCCTGCATAAATGTGCTCAAAATGTAGTACTCACACGTGGCACTTCACTGATGGATGCTCGGAAGATGATGAAGTGAGAATATCCAGTAGCGAAGAGACGTGATGTTGAATTTCCGGTGAATTGGTCGGCCATGCCATAGTGTTAGAAGGTGAGACGAGTCGGAGAAGAGAGGGTTGAAGTCACCCTCGGTTTCTGTACTTCAAAATCAGATCTAATTCGCTGAAGAAAATGCTGAGGATCCCCGGACGCATCTTGTTCTCAACCATTGCCCAAGCTAATATTCTAAGCCGGGGTGGACGGGTCATGCTAGGATGGCACGCGGGTGTGCGCCACGGCGGCAGAGTGTGCCCCATCGGCACCTTCGTCATAGCAAGCCTTGGATAGAACGTCCCCTTACCCCGGGCCTGACCAAGACGCATAGTAGCAAGTTTACATAATAAGGTTTCCGAAGTAACTTTCAAACTAGAATCAATTGCGAGATGACTGATGCTGATCAGCCTGGTCACATTTTCAGATACATCCAAGGCATTTACAGCTTACCGGTCTACAGTAGTCGACGTTGATAATCAGTCGGCATCTCATCCACGCAAAACCCCACGTTTGGACGCCGACTCTGACTCTGACTCTGGTTCTGCATCCAGGTCGCGCGATAGTGTCAAAGGCGAGAATGTCGACAGAGGTGGCCCAGTAAGGATTCAAGTCCATGGTTTTGCAGGTTTGCATTCCATTTTGTTCTTGAGGTGTGGTGCTCATGTTAGGATGGTGGGCATTGTAGGCGGTGTCGTCGGATCTGCGTTGAACAAGGTTTCTGATAACTTGTTTGTGCGATTATTTCGCAGCATCAGGGCATTCTTGGAGAAAGGATCCAATGAGTTGAGAGTACAACGTATGAGGGTGTCTACACCGCATGCCGGGGCGTTATGTGTGTTGCTGGGGGGGGGGGGGGGGGGGCGAGGGCTTGTATGAGATGTTGAAAGCCGAAATCCATAGATGCGTCAATCGGCTGGCTGAAGAGCTTGAGAAAGGAGGGTGTAGAGCGGATCGGACATTTCGTCGAGACGTGTGCATGGTTCGAGGGACAAGTGGTGAGTGACATACAATCAGTTTTGGGATTCGCCAAGTTATTGATTCACGGATTCATGTCAAGGCACTGCTGGAATAACTCCTTACCCACCTCGATCGTGATTATGTGCTCAAGAATCCTAGTCTTCCTTCTATTCAGTGAGTTTTCCTTCATGAGAACTCTTTGCACGTGCTGACGCTCAGAACTTCAGCGACCTCGCATTCACTCGTTTCAGAGAGCGCATAGTTAGCTATTTTATCGTGGAAAAGCTTCAGAAAGGCATCTCCACATGGGGTCACATGGGAAAGGAACGAAGAGTACGTTCTTCGATGTTCATTCCATTCGTCTGCCTATACACAACATTCACCCATCAACCAGGCAGGTACACATCCACCGCCCCTTCCTTAAAGAGCTCGTTTCCCACCTCATCACACACCACGTTTACGATGCCATCTTCGAGCGACACTTCGTCGAGCAGACTCGGGAGTACTTCTCAAAAGAATCGTATCAGATGGTCGAGGTTGAGAAAGCCAAGGCGAAGGTATTCCTTGCGCACTGCAACCAGCGGACGAATGAGGAGCAGGGTAGAGCAAGGGATGTGATGCTTGATGGTACGAGCGCGCTTGTAAAGGATGCTGCTATTCGGGCGCTGTTTGAGGTGAGGCTAGAGTGGATGGCTAAAGAAGGTTAGTGTGACTGGGTTCATGGAGTCGTCGTGCTGACATTGTGCAGTCTTCATGGAGTGCAAGGGCACTGCTGACCTGAAGAAAGCGTATGCGCTGTTTTCATCGGTAGACCGTGCTTTTCCGGAAGTTCAAGGCTTATGTCCAGGCGGGTGTCTCATCATCTCTTTCCCCAAACCTGCGCTGATATATTCATGCTCTAGAAAACAGTTCAAGATCTCGTGAAAATCATCGGGCGCTAGCGAAGAGATTGTTGCTGGAACGCAGTGCATCTGATGATTTTGAGAAGGCCATGCTCAAGAAACTCAAAGAGAGTATGTGATAGGGTACTTTTTGTTTTTGAAGTCGCATGCTGATCATTGGTGGGCAGAATATGATCCAGAGTTTGGAATGGGAGATCATATGTTTAACGACCTTGCGCTTTCACAAGATATCATGCGGGAGTATCACGCTCGTATCAGGGATGACAGCTCCGCAAAGCAACTCTCTGTCATGGTTTTGCAACGCAGCGTCTGGCCGTTCCTTGCACGAACAAAACACGTGGACTTGCCTTCTTCAGTGAGCGGTACGGTTTCCGGTGTCCGCGTGGGCTCATGACAATGACTAAATGCAAGCAGATCTGAATCATTACACAACTTTTTACAAGATCAAATACCAAGGGCATAAGCTCGATTGGGATCACTCGCTTGGGACAGCTACGGTAAAGGCGCGGTTTGCGGCTGGTCCTAAAGACCTCACAGTCAGCTTATACCAAGATGTCGTGCTGCTTCTCTTGAACAAGGAGACAGATCGGTATAGATACATCCTAGAAGAGACGCGTATGTGCAATTATCGTTTTTCACGATTGTTATGAGATACTGATGTGAGTTCCAAAATAGACGACGGGGAGCTGAAGAGGACGTTGCAGAGTCTGGCATGGGCGAACAAGAAGGTGTTGAAGAAGCGTCCAGTAGGGAAGGACGTGAACGATCACGCCGTCTTTTACTTTAATCCGGAGTTCACCGATCCGTGGGCGAAGGTGCACATCAACTCTATTTAGGCGAAGGAGACGCTAGGTTTCTCTTCTTGCGATGAAGCGCATCTACACCTCTTATTCGGTTGGTTGTCTTGTAGGCCGAGGAAAACCAACGGACTCAATCGCACATCGAGGGAGACCGGAAGCACTATTTGGATGCAGCGATTGTGCGGATTATGAAAGCGAAGGAGCTTTCACATGAGCAATTGAAGAATGAGACGATTGATGCTGTGAAGAGTCACTTTGTGCCGGACGTGAGCATTATTAAGCAATGGATTGACGGGCTTGTCGAGCAGGAGCATCTGACACGGATGAGGAGGACCGCAATTTGTAATATTTACGTAGTGTAGGGACGTATGATGTGTACTGACGACGTGATATAGGTGCATCGTTTGTTGACCACCATGGCTCAACGTTCAACGTTCAACGCTCATGTCTGTCTTTTGAGGGTCATTTAACATCTGCGAGTCACAAGGAAAAACACTTTCCTTTGTTGACAGCGTAGCTCGACATCATACACCAGTGGTTTTCACGGCTGTCACTACCTTCCTTTTTGGATGACGATGAGATGGAACTATTGGCCGAAACGGTATTCAAATATTTCTGGGCGCTATCATATCATGCAATTGGTCCACTGAGACAGGTCTAAATCAGCGGACGGATTCGACCGGACCATCAGCGTTGTCCAACATGGTCCTCAGCAATTCGGATATTTTTCGATGGAGGTTCTCTAGGTAGCAGTAAACTGTTTGCAGACCAGCGAGAAAATGATGGCTTACTGGGTGACGGTCGACCGTTTGGATATCTTCTTCATTTGCGTCTTGCGTTTGTTGTCCCAGTGCTTGAAGTCGGTTTGCCTGTTCCACAGTTACATCAAAACCTACGTGCGCCTGACCTGCTGCTGTTCTGATTCAACGTTAACGTTTAGGGACCGAATGAGATATTCAATTTGTTTTGCCTTAACAATAAGATCATCCTGAACGAGCTTGTTCATGTTTGCTAAAACATTGTTTAATCACCACGACTGCACGCATGCCTATCTTTCTGTTCGGGCGTTTGTAGGCATGCAGACATCCATGATGCTTAGAGGCCTGTATACCGGCAAGATATATAATATAGTTGTCAAGACATGCGTGAATCTATGCCTTAGATCCAGCCATTTCGAAAACATCGACAGAACTGGGGATATAGCATTGAATGCTGGGTGCATAGTATGGGCGAGATCAAAATCCTCACGGTGGCCTATATCATAGTATATGACAATATCGTTAATAAATAAGGCGAGACAACTGTTGTATCCGTAGGATATAATAGCCTTCTGTGAGTACTGAGTATTAGTAGACAGTGACTTCGTTGCAGCCTCTGAAAAAGAAGAAATTGTGAGTGCTGAATTGAAATGGAGGTAAGCACCATGCCTGGATGGTCATTTGGTAGATATCGATGAGTCGGATGTTAACGTTGATCCTGGACAGGAATAAAACACCGAATACACCACAATGATGTTCCTCTGCCGATTAGCTATAGGCTGCATCACCAATTACTATGACCACGGACACTATAATATTTTCGAGATATGGTGTTTGTGCTGAGACTTTACACAATTAACCGCTTGCATGCAGAAGAAGCTTCAATCCAGAAAGTCGGGGATTTAGACACTCAGAGCTCTTGATACTATTGAGATCTGTACGTTTGTTTGTTGTTATTTAATTCTGAAGGCTTTGCACAAACCTGGAAAGTTGAAACCTTTACAAGAAAGAACGACCATGTACAATTGCTACTGCCTCAATGCGCAATTCAAAATTCTGTGGCCCACTCGGTTTTTACGACCAAGCTTGGAAAAATCATGATACACACTGGTCTCATCCAGTGCGCGCACGATGATTTTTTGATAGATGCTAGTAGCTTATCATTTTTACAAGCTCCACTTAGCTACTTGCCGTCCCGATGAGAGGTACGTTACTCCCTTGCTACATGTATTTCTACAAGTTGAATTACGCTGATGTCAAATAATCAGTTTAGCAAGTAGATGAGAGTAATGCAAATTAGAACATCGAGGATGACTGGAATGCGAGCATGTTGGAAGACGCGTATTTGCGCTTATCAACCAATTAGTATTGAGCTCACGATACTACTGCCTCCAAATGAAGCTGGGCTCACACTATGGTCAAGATTTGGGAGCAAACTAGCTTTGCATCAACAGCTGATTCCTAAACGAATGGTGCTGGTTCCGAGTCGCCTCAGTTTACTTCATGTGGTTCTTCAAGATGGGTGGAAAGGGCTGTATTGGTCGATGCAAGGGGCACTGTCCGTGCAGTAGAATTCACTCCTCATCATTTTGGGTTGAAGTTGGTATGTGAATCGTTCGTCTCTGTTGGAGGTTTATGAGAGCTTCTGCATTAAGGTAACTGTCTCTTCTGATAATCATGCTCGCATCCACAAGTGCTTGGGACAATCATTGCTAGCCACATGTCAGTTTCCGAAAAGTTGATGTCTTAATGCTCCATCTGTATTGCTGTGCTAATCGTACTTTGCGACACCAACAAAAACATGTGCAACTCTTAAGCACTCTGGTCGCTCAAGCCCTGCAGCAGTCGCAAAACCCCACCACTCAGGGACGGTCCGGAATAAGGAATCGAGAAGCAGATGGAGGTGGTGTGCATCATGGTGTAAAGATAGATATTAGGGGGAGACCATCACGGCTGGCTTTGGAATATCAGGCGCCATCAAGGTATTGTCACACTGTGCTTTTATGTGTCGCTCACTACACACAGATTGTACAATTCTCTCCCTCTAATCGACCTACGACTTCTTATTTTAGACTCATTTCTTTCGCTTGCAAGCGACGGAGATGCTCCAACACCATTTGCGACCACATCGGTAGCATGGGCGCCTTCGTATGGGCTATAGTATAGCTACTGGAGGTCGCGATGGACATGTCAGGATATGGCGAATTAAGCCTGCGGAGAACCTTATGTCGGAGGACAAGACAGCGATCCTAAATGGTCTGCAGATGCAGTAGCAGATTTCGATCACCACAAGTACGTGCGATACACACTTCTCCATGACTTTCTCACTGATTGGATGCGTGCAGATCGGCGGTTGGCCATGTCGAGTGGAATATCAGGCAATACCATGTACTGCACACTAAATTGGATGAGTGTCGTCACAAATGTCATACTAGGCGGTGAGCTACTCGGCTACAATGCTTCAGTAATATTGTCTTGAGTACATGCCAATTGTGTTATTTAGTGTCCGTAGTGCATGACCTGGGACTCCCTTGAGCTCATGCCTTCCTTCGGCCCCTCACCGGACCCGGATGCTTCATTCATATTTTCAAGGCGATGTACTCACTGTCACATCAGTATGCTCTATAATCATACTCTTTTATCCGCGGTAACCTTATGTTTCGTTCCCAGGTCTGTTTTCCAATGCACTGCACACGAGCTTTCCTCTGCCTCAAATCACCCCATGCCCATGACTTGACAGGTTCATGTTCAGGCGTCATGGTTTGAATGTAGTGCATGAAGAGTCGGAAGATGATTATAGCTTGTCACGGACGCTCACCGTGGAAACGTTGGAGAATTGCAGTACCTGTGAGTCTTTTATCTCCTTTTTATTTCAGAGGTTGTTATGCCTTGTTTTAGGACATTTTGCGTTAGTGTTTCGATTGTCTTCAGAATTATCACTCGACTCAATCGTTTGATGGCTGCTGTCAAAGAGCTTGGTCGGTGAGCAATATCGTATTGATGGTATGAGGATGTCTTTGAAAGCGACAGAAGCTTGAACCGTTGACCGTTCGCATTCTGGAGATTCAGGTTCGCATACACAAGTGTACCGGCCTCTTTGATTTGTCATTTATACACAATAACCATGAAGGCAAAACCATACTCCACAATATTTATGTAGTCCATGTCTTCCAGGGCCGTTAGGTATCCTATACTACAAGAAAGAAAGAGACTGATTTGGGATGAAAATAAAGAATACAGGGCTGCCTGGGTGTATTGTCTGCTACGACGGATATTGCAGACAGCCAAGGAAAGATCATACCAGATCACCGTGATATCCTTCGCACGACAATAAACCCAACAACCTCAACATTACTTGTGCAAATCTCCATCCTATCGAGCACTGGCCACGATGCATGCTTCAAACTTCAGATTCTAAGCCGAAACGCCCAGGAATCCATGGTTCCTACCGATCTGCTTCATCTGAGCAGCGTCCTGAGCATATTCTTCATCGGTCGTAGGGTACGAAGGCCAACTCTGGGGTGTCAGGATGAGTCTTGTCGAACATAGCTTTATTTGTATTTCGTGCAACACGCGATGCGTCTTATCCGATTGCGACTCAGTTGTAGTATACTGTGTTGTGTCGATTAACCAACAAAATTCTCCTCCGACTCCACTTCGGGAGTCGAGGATCGCAACAACCGATGAAGTGGAAGCGTGAGAATGGCCAACAAAAGTTCCTTGTAAAACTACAAGGTTACAAAAGATGGAAACAGATCGATCATCGTTTATCATGCACAGGAATATGCATGCGATCATACAGTCATGATCCAAGTTGTATCGAATTATCATGCATCTTGTAATTCCCACTAGCAGTACTTCCAAATTTGACCAGGGCTTCGAGAGTGGTTTGGGATGGTACTTCCTTCTGCCGAGAGACAAGCCCACGCAGCTGGCTCGCAACTTATGGATGTTGGCTCAAGAATGGAAATGTGGTTTTGTTTATTCCAACAGGGTAGATCCGCAGACATCGGTCTGTTTTGGCGTGATTTGGCTCCTTCTCCGCGAACGTGACGTTAAGCTTTGGTTTCACATTCAGGTCAAGAAGAAGAGCGATGTAGGGGAGATTCGATAGACACTGGATCGAATCATGCGTGCGAGTTACCAACTTTAAGTCTTGCTCATGGTAATTCTTCCCCGCTTTCTCGGAAATAAACATCTGTGAGATGCGGTTTAGATCGCCGGAGCCAAGGGCAGGATCGTCAAAATAGATGGGAATCATCTTGTTGACGAGCGGCTGCAGATGACAGCATTGGACCGCGCTTGTGCGATACCAGTGTCGCAAAGTCCACTCTTTGGCGCTGCATCTAAGACTATGCGTAGAGGAAGTCTGACCGGTCCTCATTTAGAATACAACTGACCTGAGATGCGACTGTAAGATGCTACAAATCTCTCACCTTGAGACGACCGCACGGGATCACTAGGTTGGGGTATTTAGAATAGTTCTGCGTTTCTAGCAACTGTCAGCAGAGGCATCTATGTCGCTGATACGAACACTCACTGAGATCAGCTATGCGAGTGAACGAACGCGTCTGACAGGCGTGGCGGATTATTTCCCGTAGTTGAGGGTGTTTATGTAGTGTTTTCTTCGTCGATGCCACTTCCGTGTCAAGACTACCTTTCAGGTGTTCTCGTTTGAGCAATCTACTGGTCGCCAAAATAATTTGTAACATGATCCAGACAAGCCTTGGATCCGTGATGGTAGCATTAGCCCTTTCATCTTCAAGGTCAGTTTTTTCAAGTACGATCCGATCGATCTCATCACAGTGTTGCGATGTGAGCGGCAGGGAAGATCCTGAGATGTCGATGAACCTGACATAGCGCCAAGCGTGTCTATATATAAGTGATTGAAATTCTGACCTTGTCCTATTCGAAGGGGTTGAAAGATGATTCAAGCGGCACATCTGAAGCCACAGCTGCCTTAATATCAATAGTCCGCGTTTCTGTGCCAGCATCCCAGGAGGAGTAAGTATCATTCGAAAGGGAGAAACTTGAAATACTATGTTACGTAATACGCGGGCTCAGGTATTTTGCCACATCACTGCCGCATCTACACAAAAACATGTACTATATATGGTATTTCTTCATCATAACTCATATCTAAGACCTTGATAGACGACGTAGACATATTGTATACACATATTAGACACTTGTTGTGTAGGGTGCGGCACGGATGCGGTACGATGCGGCAAAATCCTAACTTAGTAGGCCCGTAATACGCGATTGCCAGGCATAGCATTGGCAATTATGTGGGCGTGCACCACATCGAGCGCGCCTGGTGCCCCACCTCGAACCTAGTGTTTCACCACCTAACTTTTTTTATGAGTTCTCGGATGAAACCTCATGCAATTTCAATAAAAAACCTGAGTGCCGTCATGACCTCCCAGGGGACTCATGCACAACATATCAACAAGATCTCCTTGGTTACATCGAATATCGATCAAACCAAACCCGATATCAAAACTTACGAAAAATGATCCATTACCAATATCGACACCGTCATCAAACCAATAGAAACTATCATCAAAGCGAGCCTTGATTTGGCTATTGAACTAGGACGGCGCCGATGAAAAGTATTTATACTCAGGTGAGTACCCCTTCGTCAAGCTGACCTTCATTCCTATCATGACATTTCATAGCAAGGCTTATTTCAACGCACGATCGAGGCTGCTGCAGCAGAAGTGACAGGATAAAAACTAGCGAATTCAACGTTTACGGGCATATCAAGTCACCTTTGCCAGGCGTCGCTGAACTCAGTCTTGCAGATGATGTCTGCATTCCTTTAGGAAGGGAGACTCACGCTCATGTTACGGTCACCACCTTCCGTATTTCATTCTCAATGATGCTGCTGGTGTTCCGAATGATCCCGTCCCCCATCGTCTCGCGCTGAAAACTGTGGGACGCTCCTTTGTGGGATGCTCACACAACAAAAGACTTCATCTTAGGGTCTCTCGCTGCACTTGAAAGATTCGGCATCATTCATTTAGCGCGCTGATCACCTTCCTGAATCGTTTTCAGGACATCAAGGACTTGTGGAGCAAGGCATCTTCATTGAGACACGAGTCGTCCAGGCAATGTCTTTGTCGGTGTTCCGGATTGTGCTGAAGGCTAGGAGGGGCTTGTCGTAGATATCAAACTTTCCTCGGTGGCACAGCCATAGACTGAAACCATAGTCTCATTGCATCTGCTCTCCCTCGCTATCGACCAGTTGAACACTAGAAGTATCTTTCTAGAGGAGACCGTTCTGTCGAGCTCAAAGGCTCCTGGCTCAGAGATCACAGTACATCTACTTTGCAACTTGCCTGCTTCTACTAAACATCATTTCCAGGGTACTGCTTTGTTTGTGGCCGAAGGACTTCTACTCATGAGGACAAGAAGAAAATTAGACCGGCGCAAAATACGGCTGTTCGCAAAAACGGAGCAAAGTACTGTCATATTTTTGTAAACAGCTGTAAACGCGAGGTGCACCATGACCTGGAGCCATCTGCTCTTGTTCTTTTCTATTCGGTCATGAAAACATGAAACGTGATCTGGAGCACCGACTCTGGCATTCTTAGATCCAAGAATTTTACGGTGCTTTGTTCGGCTGCCATACTATTCGGCTCATCCGACAAGGACGGTTTTGCTCTCTCGATGAGAGCGACCCCTTTGTGTATCTTTTAGGTGTCTTGGACTTGCCAACGGCACAACTACTTTATGGCTGTCAGAGGCTTTTGAAAATCCAGCAGTTCTCCAACTTTTCTACAATGAAAGTATAACGGAAATTGATCAGAAGATAAAATGGCAGAGCGGCTCGGAGGAACTGAAGGTAAGCAATCACAGTTGTTTGTCGTCAAAGAAGAGAAGGTTAGGCATAGGCGTAGTTAAGCGGCTACTGAAGTTTGCAACGATTTATTTTTAGAATGGTGACCCACTTTAGCTAGATCAGGCCGCAAGGCGGTTGCACTTACCGCCTGGACATTGGCTATTAGGAAATACAATGCCGAAGTCACAGTAAGTCTTTGTCAAGGGACATCAGCATGATCTCTATCTAACACCTCACGCAGTGCACCGTTTCAATTTGTGAGATGGACAGAACAATACGGACCTGTGTTCTCGCTCAAACAAGGCCATAGGATTTTCGTGATTATAGGGCGTCATCAGGTGAGTATAAAGCAATTCATCGTTTAGCCAGGCATGAAGTGAGTCTCGTCATAGGCTGCGATAGATATCATGGAAAAAGAGGGGGCAAATCTTGCCGACCGCCCGCGTTCTATTGCAGCGCAAGAGACATTATCTGATGGGTTGAGAGTGGTCCTTGCGGGCAGTCCCCCGCTATCGGCTGTAGTGGAGCCTAGTCGTGATCAGCTGCGCACGCCGCAATATACTACCAGAAGAGCCAAAATATTGATATATCCCCAATGACTTTATTACAGCAGAAGGGGGCGGGAATGAAAGCTCCGGAAGTATTTTGGGATGTGTATCGGGTCTGGAACTGCGACGAGCACTTGAGTGTTGTGATCGATTACTATAGGCGATAGCACGTACCTCCTGAGCCAATTTTTCGAGGACATCCTAGTAAAAACGCAGTATGATTAAAGTGTCTGGGATGCTCTGATACATCTTGTTGATCCCAGTAACGTACGTCAAGATAACAATTATGCGCAGAAGCAAATGATAGGCCTTGGATCTCTAAGTTTGACGCTATTAGGAGGGCGTGAGGCAGTGCTTGCGGCAGAGTTCGCAAGTTTCAATGGAATTATTTTCGTCTGTCTTTCTCTTGCTGATGCATTCTTCTACGTGTATATGAGATGGGGTGAATATTCGAGGACGACAAAGATGACATACATGTTTGCCCTTGGCATACGGAACATCGACGACTGCGGTGTGATGCGTGTGGAGCTTGATATTTTCACTGCCTTGTCTTCTACAAAGTCAATTTCGGACCCAGTAAAAAGGGCAGGGTCGGGACTCGGGACTCGGGACAACGTATCGGGGCGGAATAAAGAGGAAAACTGAACACTAAGGGTATTTACATGTGATGCTCATGATCGAGGGTGGATGCACTGTCGTGCAGAGACCTGAGAATATCAAAGTCAAGAAAGAAGCACTGGATGAGACATTAGCGACGTACATGAATGCGATCCGGTAGGTCGTCGAAAAAACCTTGGGGTACCTGGCGCTGGGGACAGTCATAATCAATGCATGAGATGACGAGCTGTAGAAGTGACTCGTGGCATGGGCGGTTAGAATCCGAATCAAGGCTGAGATGTATTCATAGTATCGCTGACATTTCGTGATGTGCATAGCATAAAATTATCATGATTCTAGTGGTCATAACATAATGATATGTGTAAGACGTACTAGTGTAGAAACATGAGGTATGAAGGAAGGGGAGTCACAAAGGTGGTGGTGGTGCTAGTGGCTCAAGGTCTCTCTTATGACGGAGTTCCTCCCAGATCGTGGGGTGTTCTTACGTACTAACACATCTGGTTGTTCGGGTATCATATATCCAACTTCGACTGTTGTACTGACGAAAACGATCTAACGCGAAGGCTCTTGTGAGGTTGGGCTGAGTCCGAGCGTTAGCTCGGGCTGGACGCTGAAGGATTGAGCCGCCGGGTGGGCGGGCAAACGAACAGCGATTTGTGTGGAGCCTTGCGGAAGAACATGATAGATAGACGAAGAAGATAAATCGATGGATCGAGGAGAATTAAAGGATGTAGCAGTGGGTGGGATGGGACGAACTAACGTATGGTATGGTATCATGAATGTGAGGGGGCGAGTAAACGAGAGGATGGTGATAGATATTCTGATACGCAGATACTACGATTCGAATAGTAATGAGAAGGTAAAAACTAAGCGTCACGCTCAGTTGGACGCGTGGTGCTGACTCTCCGGCAAGGTCCGAATCTGCACCTTGTCATGTTCTCATAGCAATCACTGGGAGAGACAATGAGGACAGTGGACATGCAGAACAAGGGTTGACTTACAGGCATCTGCCACAGAAATATCCATCGACTACTTCAGTATCGGGCTCATAGATCATGTAGACACATGCTTCAACGGGTCACAAATTATCCCCGCTTGGTGGGCCAGCTGTCTGTTTTTGAGCAGGCGACGGTGTGACGGAGCTTGGTGAAGTTGGATTGGAACCAACTGCAGTATCTGAAGGCACGAGTGGAATCGAAACCTCGTCGCTTGCAATGCCCACTTGACCTGTTGAGGCCACATCCATCTTTTCTTGGAGTGGTGCAGAAAGCGAGGGTGAGACTGGTGAGGTTGGCTTTGAACCGACTACAGTGTCTGGAGAGGATGGTTTGGGCTCAGTATTCATGTGAATGATCATATCTTCGGGCGAGTGAGTGGGCTCTGTGGTCCTTTGTCTCTTGATTGACTCGATACCCTGCATTGTTGAACATTTTGGACCGCTTGGCTGATCAGCCAGCCTACCTCCAGCTTGTTCTGTCACCCTTTCATCTTCCTCGGTCATATCTACAGATAGAGTAGGACATGACATCACGGTGTGCAACTTAGGGTGTGAATTGAAAGGCACGAGTGGCGCCAATGCAGTTCGATAGACAGTTTGCAATGTAAGCGTATGCGGAATCTCGTCCAGCTCGGATGGAGGGTAATATATTGAGGGCAACAGTGTTACAGAACCGACAGCAGACACAAGTCACGTGGTGTGATGTAATGTAGCTCGTTTGGACCCCCAGCTTTCAAAAGCTGGGGGTCCAAACGAGCTACATTACATCACACCACGTGACTTGTGTCTGCTTGATCAGCTAGAAAGTTAGAAAAATGCGCCAAACACATGTAGAACTGCGTCGCTGACTACCCAGGGAGTGCCAATGACACTCTTGAACCACGAAGGCTGTAGACCCGCTGTGAGACTAATCACCTCGTCAGGGGTCTGCTTGTTGCCGTGACACCTAAACGCTTCGTCCACGCAGCAGCGAAACTGTGCGAACGAACAACTACCCAACTTCCTCAACTCCCAACCCAACACCCACTGGTTTCTGGTCATTGCGCACTGGGATCATCTGAAAGGTACTTCCTGTGAGTACCCTAAGTTCTTCTGCCAGTTAAAGTTGACGACTCGCTTACCAGCGACTTCAGATAACCAGGAAGATTCGTTGCATCTTATCGAATTTAGCAGGACTTGAATTCGTCGTCCAAAGCTGTTTTGTGGGCGAGGATTGGACATTGAATTTTGTAAGTAGACTATCTTGTGTGTAATGGTTTGTGTGGTTCTTACGAGCATTAAATTGAAGGAGATAGGCCCCCTGGGCTCACCAACAATCGTTGCCATTGTCAGATAACCTGGTCTGATTCCAAGATCCCTGCAGACCTCTCTCGCTTACACGATTTGCCTTATTCGATCACCCAAGCGCCGACCATGTCTTCACCCACCAGCAAGACGGCAGTGGTCATACTACGCCACACGATGCAAGGTCATGCAGGACAGGTCAACAGTGCTGTGCACTTGCCTGACGGACGACACATCATCATATGTTCGTCGGCCGGCTCACTCCGACAATGAGACCTAGAGAGCAGTGCACAAATAGGCGAGGACTGGCGAGATGAGGATAACGTAGTATTTCGATCCATGTCATTGTCTCCAAACGGCGCCTATCCTTGTGAGTCTCTTTCTGCCTGTTTTGGATTTGGATTTATGGACCCAAACATGTGTCAGTGGGTATTGCCCCTATGCCTTGTTCTTTTTTTTTTTTTTTGGGGGGGGGGGCACGTTGGTTTAGAAATTGCGTTCATATACGCGACCGTGTATGTATGCTCCCCCTATACTTTGTGCCTGGTTGTCGTGTCTTATTCGGTTCCATTTTTTTACCCGGTCAAGCCGGTTCTTTTTTTCAGATACCGTTGGACGGCATAGGCATATGCGCCAATGTATGGGTACTATACCTTGTGCCTCGTTACCTTCTTCTGTTTCTGAGTTCAACAGCATACGTGGACATGCATATATGCGTCCATATCCACTTTATGCCTCTCTGATTTTCATCTTTTTGTCTTGATTCGCGCTGACGATCAATCGTTCCATGCCATCCTCCCATTGTTCTACTCCGCGGCACCATCTGACACGGGACATTCTTACCTCCTTGATCATGCCACGACTTGCTATCAACGTTTGAATCGCTGACTGATTGACAGCACTCGCACACGCAGAGTACTGCCAGTCTTGTGGGTGTCTTTAATGCTTCGTATTTATGCGCCCGTGCAGGGATGTTTTTTCTTTCACTGTGTTGCACGCTTTTTCTTATACTTCGTGCCTCGTTTTACTTCTTTTCTGTACTTCTATATTGTCACATCTTTTTGCTACCATCTGTTGCGGGGTTCCGTGTCTTCTAGCCTGCATCATACTGACATTTATGTTTTCTTGTCTATCTCCGACACAAACAGGCCCCATGCTTGGACTCCCGCGCTCACACGACTCTGTCTCTCCAGCCTCGTACGCAAGCCACCCTACGTCCTCATTCGACGATTCGTCTTCGGGGCATCCAGCCTCGTCTGTGAGCTCGGGTAACGTACACATGAGGGCATGGGCCATGCTGCAACTTCTTCGATTTCGACTGTCACCCCTGGGTCGCCGCCAATGGTCGCAGCCCCACAGCAACAGCAGCACCGTGAGCAGATACGTCAGCGCCCAATTATGCCTATCACGGCGGCAGCGACAGCGCCTCAGGCAGGTCCTGCACGGCCTCCAATCGTACCGAAGCCGCCCGCTCCTCGTCCTGCAACAAATCGAAGGGCTCGTGCTCCAAAGCGACCAAGGCCATCAACATCCCAGGGCGGTGAGGGTAGGGGTGGGGACAGTGATGATGATGATGATGTGGTAGAATGGGTTGGATCATCTGTGCCTCCACAAGGCGCGGCTACGGGGGTGGTGGGTCAAAGCAAGTGAGTGACCTCCTACGCTTGTGGAATCGGGAATAGTGTGCTGATCGGGCTGTGTTTTTTTACACGTTTTTCTGTTTCCTCGCTTACTTTCCGGAATCGTGTTTCTGCAAATGGTTTGGTTTGCTGAACCTCTAAACTCATCTGTGTTAGTGCAATGGCCCTGTCCTGATATCGTGCATGCTCGATACTGCTGGCTTCATTGGCGAATACTCTGGTTGTGTCAATTGCTGGACTTGTCGAGCATATGAACGACTGTTGATTTCGTTTAGGTTGTGGAGAGTCAAGACTGCCATTTAGTCGGTGTATCATATATTATATTGTACAGCGTGTATTTCCGTAAATCAATGTGCGCGAGAGAGAACAAACGTTAACGGAACTAGACAACAAACGAGTTTTCGTCATGAGGAATGCATTTGCAGAGGAATATGGGTGTGCACCATTCATTATGAAGGACCGAGGGGCTTCCATGCCGTGAAAAAAACATTGGCGGGAGTTCATCTATATTGTCAAATTGGCCAGCACATCGCGAAGCATCAAGCTAGAATATTACTGTTGTAATGAGTGAGAAAGATAGCAAACTCGGCACGTACTTCCAAAAATGACCTGGGAAGCATACACTTACATTGATTTGCTTCCAGAATCTGTGTTGACGGACATGCGTCAAACGCTGCAGACGATCAAGCCAATCAACAACATTCATGTTGTCACTGTCAGATGGTGATGTAGCTGCTTTGTAGGATGCAACCGAAAGTGGTGTCGCAAGGTAAGGGTTGTGCAACTGCCCGACAAAGGTTGTCAGTGAATGAACGTATCGAAACACCATGACGAACGACCCACCTGCTTCAACAGAGACTCTATGATCTGATCCTTGTGACGGATCTGAGCCAGGAGGTACTCTCGTTTGCTAACGCGGGGACAATTGTATGAGTATTGTGACATCATGGACGAGACAGTATCACAAGATGAAGATGACGACGATGACGAATCAATAGATGAAGATCGCGAACGGGGCATATGAAGAACAGGCGACAGAGAGAAAACAGTGGGAATGACTGATGACCAAAAAGCAACCAGGAATGCGATGAAACACAACCCAGATGCAAGACTGGCACGATTTGTGCTTAGTTCGCAGCATGAACGACGAATAGAGGATAGCGGAAACGGAAAGTGTGAAGAGAATGGCGATATGAAATGTCCGAAAATGAAGAAGATTTCTCCAAGTCGGCCCAGATCTCCATGCAAGCACCGGTTCCAAATAGAGAACGAGGAGGACATAAAAAGGATGATCGTCGCTTTGGAATCAGATGAACGAGTTAGGGACTTACTTTGGCGCTGTCCTAGGTTTACGACCTTCTACGATGCAAGGGTGTCCTCCGGTTGCACAACGTTTACAAGTACTAGCTCCATCCGGAAAGTCACATTTCATCTGTAAGGTCAACCGGAGACCAGCGCAAACAGATCGAACGAATATGTGCGGATCATTCAATCGAAGTCAGTGGCAATCACATGACATCCATGCCAGGCCAGGAGTACGGTCATTTCCAGAGGTCAAATTCCGACAATCAAAGTGATCGGGAGCAACACGGCGCACATAAATGTGCGGGGTACGTTCACATTCGAGTAGTGCCGAATGGAGGATAGGGACCGAGCAGCGAATATAACGTTTGTAATATCAGAAGATGTGGATAAAAGTCCGCAGGTGTGAAGAATTACGAGCCATCGCCGGAGGTTAACATATTTCAGTTGCAACAGCAATAATGATGCCGTGCGACCCGTAACAGCCCCAGAAAGGAGAAGCGGTGGTCCAAAAGAGGGTCCGAAAGTGAGGGCACGAGTTTTCGTCAAGGCAAATGAGACACCAATGCATGTTCGGTAGACTGTGCGATCACTGCGTACGATGAAAGGAGATGAGGGATCTCCGTGGTCTTCTCGTATACGAGCTGTCGGACTATATAGATTCGGGTACGCTGGTTCGTCGTTTCGTGGACAAGATGCACCGAGTTTCCCACTCCTTTATTATTGTCGAAAGCCGGGGGAGCTCACAGGTAAGCGTCTAAGAGTGGCACCCATCGTGGCAAGGGTGTCATGTAACTCACATCCGGGAAATGAAAGCGTTGCGGAGAATGGACGTAAATCTCGTACTACAGTTCAGCCAGAGGAAATCTGCCTAATTGAAGTCTCAGATCTTCGAAAAGTTGAGAGACTCACCCATGCCGGCTTCTACTTTCGACCATCCTACTAATCCAGAAGCTTGCCCATCAAAAACTGCTTAGTTTCTTTCTCCGTGGTGAATTTGTGGGGGAACAGTAGCCAGCTACATGGAAGGACGATGTCATGAAGGTGAAACCTGTTAAAGTAAAGTCATGAGGGTCCATTCGGTGCTTGATTACAAAAGCGCTGCCACAGTGGTTCCTGTGCTGTCAGTTCTGTTGCCGTTCTGTCTCCATCAGTATCTGTTGTCAGTTCAGTTCCTCTGTTGCCCGTCTACGGTTGCCCTCAACATTATCTCATATCTTGTGGTCAGTTCTGTTGTTTCCCTGTTGTCCTTCTGTTGCCCTCAACATTTTCTCCTATCTGTTGCCAGTTCTGTTGCCCCTCTGTTGCCCTAAACATTTTCTCATATTCAGTGGCACCAAACCCAAAGTATGCTTTTTTCTCTCTGCTTGTTAAATACTGATCATTTATGACTACAGTGACACACATCTCCTCTGAGAACAAGCGGAAGTACAACCGCACATATGAAGCTAAATTCACTCCTGAGCAGAAAGAGAGGCGGCGTGCTGCTCAAGCAGCTTGCAAACGAAAATTGCGGGCAGCTAGAAAGATTCAAGCACATTCACAAAATATTGACAGTGCTCCCCCCCCAAATGATCCCCCTACACCAGAACTACCACCATCAGGCCACCACTTCCAGCTGGATGCATTACAAATGCGAGGTACTCAAGTTCCAGAGGATGCTGAACTGATCACCTGGTCAGATGGAAACGTTACTATACTACCTACTGTAATGCGAGAAGGACGCAATGTGTTGGCTGATGATGCAGAGCTCACCAAGAAGTTGGCTGAGGTTCCAACATCAAAACCAGGATCTCAATTTGTTGCACACTTCAATTTCAAGGACACATCCAGGGACGACCTGATTACAGGAATTCGGGCTAGTCTTGGAGAGGGAAAATGTGTTGTCATTAGGGGGATAGCAAAGCCTGGGCCTCCTGAGTTGAGTGTGGAGTATCTGGAGAAAAGGTATCGCATCCAGTCCACAATGCGTGTGGACATGCATGGTCTAGTGTTCCTTATCTCTGTTATGTAACTTGCTAAACATCTATTCAGATATGGAGCTTCGTGCAAAAGAACCCAGCAAACCCCATGTTACTGGGACTGTGGGAGATTTAATTGCTGGTATATTCAATCCAAATGAACAGCGGTGTATCTTGGACTGTCTAATACATACTGGTTTACCTGAGGAGTTAAGGTGTGTACAATTGCATTTATATCTATTCTGTCATTAATCTAGAGCAAGTGTGCTGGATGATGGCCTCATGGCTTGGCATCGATCTATCCGAGATTGTCCTTTGGAAGGAAAGTTTGTTCATCCAGACAACTTTCTTGTGAATGGTTGGGGGTTAATTCACCAAGGAGGTGTGGTAACTACACCACACCATGACTCAGAGGGGCAAAACACTTTTGTCATTGGAGATATTGGTTTGAAATTTTGGGTTTGGTTTTTTTATAAGGGTCCCAAGGATCGCCAGGCTTTACTTCATGCATCAACATCTCTTTGTGACGAATATGACTTCAGTCAATTTGCTACAGAGAGTATCACAGTACACCCAGGAGATCTAATGTAAGCTGAACATCTTGTTATGAAGAGGATGACATCATATTAAATACATGCATTTTTAGAATCCAACCACCTGGTCAACTACATTCTGTTTATACACCAATTCCCAGTTTCACACGTGGAGGCCACTTTTATGCCTATGATACCCTTTCATTTACTGAACTGTCTCGATGGCTGGATCGCCAGGCAGGCTTGCTTCTCACCAACCAGGTTCATGAACATACTGAAGAAACTCTATGGCGGATGACTGCTATCATTCCACGGTTGCCACCAAGTGAAGGTAAGAACACTATATCCGATGAGGAGTAACATTGATTCAGTATTGTTTTCCTGAAAAGTACCTCACAGAAAACCTTTATTGGCTCTGTGCCATATGGTTTTGTCTGCTGCACAATATGTTGCACAAGGCACCAGATCAACCATTCTCAAGAGAAATGCTCCAAAAGTTATCCAATCCTCCAGCAAGGATAGAGCCAATGCAATCGTGCAGAAGATCCTTCATCACATGAATATTGCTGCAATGGACTTGCCTGAAATCCTGCAAAACACTGCCAGTGAGGACCCAGATGCAATAATAGATCTAGGAAATTGTCTTTCAGAATTCCAGAGTATGTGAGGTCTTATCAAGTTTACTAGCAATGATACTTTTAACTGTTCATGCACCTCTATTACTTATCTTGCAACCTGTTCCTCTGCATCCAACTTTCCCATCCTCATGTCTTGCACCAAACAGACCTTGTGACCAAATAGAATCTAACAGTAAATATTTGTTTTGTCTGCCATAGAGCACCACCCCAATGACAATAACCTCTGATCAAAAAAAAGTCTAATAAGCTTGCTTCAGCTGCAACCCATGAGTCCAATGCCGGTGTTCATCAGGAAAATAACGGAGTCCTTATTTGCACTTTTGCAACTTGATCCATCGTTCTCATACAATTAATTTGGCTAAGTGGATTCAGACCAAACTAAGTCAAGGCTGGTAAAGTTGACCGTCTGATCACAAGTGCCATAAAGGCACAAAAGTAAATTCAGGTGTAGAAAGGTCAGAAAAGCTATACAATACTCGAAAGTCTTTTTGTAGCATTGTGCGTGAAGTGTGAATTGGTAACTGAAGTCAATTAAAAGATGAGTGGCTAAAAAGCAATCTCGAATGCATGATGGTCAGCATATTTGTTTACATAGTAAAACCAGAAAGAATCATAGGAATAATGAAACTTAAGGTCCCAAGAAACAAAAAAATGTGTACCATAGACAGGGATTAAATGAGCTGCACGATAAATAGAACAAAAGTGAATCAGAGCCTGCATAACATATAGAATCAAACTTGTCATACCCCCAAGGTGCAACTCATGCTTGAGGCACTATTGTAGACTATTTGGAGACCTGGGAACTTCTGCCATCGAGAAAGTTGCAGTATAGTATCCTCTTGATCTGCCTCACACATTTTGTTCTACACAAAAATCATGTTCAGCAAATTGCCAAAATAAAGAACAATACACTTACATTAAAGATACTGTTGTGGTGCTGCCAGTCACATAGATGAACAGGACGATTCTTGTTCTCTACGTGCTCAGCAACAGCGGCAAACAAATCAGAGTGATTTCTATGGGAATAACTGTGCGAGAAGCGGCACAGTGTTGTGGTGCCTAGGTCACCTCCAGCCCACCCTCAGCCCCGGCAAGCTCTGAGCCAGTAGCATCCACAAGCCTTCCAATGAACGCCCCCTTGATGTGAGCAAGGGTCTGGTCGAATGAAGATTCTCCACCTTTGTTTGATTTGATAATGCTCTCGATCAATTCGGGAGGAATTGGAATCATCCCAAGAACTATGGATCCCGCCTCACGACGCACAGTACACACTTTACAAGGAGAATGGTCTGGTCATGCAAAAACGGAAATGATACCTACGAGCTGCGGACTCGAATGAAAATTCCTTCTATGGTAAAGTTGAAATGAATAGGAATGGTTGTATGCATGCTCCAGAAGTTTCACATGTACAGCAAATGTGCAGTAGTGAGAAATAATGGTATGATCGCTTGGCGCGGCAGGATCTTCCTTGTTTGGAACAGGTAGGTGCTCCCAAGCGTGCAAGCCTACCTGTTTCACGTTGGTTTGCGGATAAAAATCATAGTAGGCTTGCACCCTTTTGCACGCCGAGGCACGCTCTTGAAATGACGTGGCAACTTGGATCGACCTTAATTCCCTTAAACTCGGGAAACGAATAATCTATTCGAATTAAATTTATGTCATCCAATACATAAGATTGCTACGTACACTTGGGGTAGCTTTGCTCATGCAGAAATTGGACCTGAGAAGAGGTCCAGTAGTTTCCTTGCTCCGTTCGGAATGGTAGTAGCGGCCCGTCTGAAAGGAGTTGTTCGTTGTAACCAACTTGGGGGATTCAATAACAGAACAATACCCTTAAAATGAAATCACACATACATAGTCTGTCCACATTCGAATGGTGAACTGAAGGAAACCACATCAGTAATGCAGGTGGGTAATTTGCACCTGTTCACTCACAGAATAAGATAGTATCGAAACCGGCCTATGTAAAGATGAAGACCAAGATCACTGCAGATGCTCAGAAGGAATTGCTCACATAGTCTGAGAAACTCTGCAAATCTGGACGATATAGATCAACAAGTTTCACTCGCACGCAAGTAACTAACCATTTGTCCATTCCCACCCCAACTCATCGCTGGAGTAAGCATATGTCAAAGTGGAAACAAATGTATTCCACCCACGAGCGATAAATGAACAGTGTCGTGCATACCTCAAAGCGACCCACAGTTGAATCTCTTTTCGATTCCACGGTATGATTAGAAAACTCGTCCCAGCTGTCAGCATATTTATAAATATATATAATACTGACAGAAACCAGGATGTACGCTATCGCAGAATTGTCGTCATCACTGAACGTAAAAAGTTGGGCGACTCCGCGTCTTAGATCATTTGCTCTGGCTTTGAACATCCTTACAAATGCAAAATCAGCATCAGCCTCACGCAAGATGTCTCCCTAAATACTCACTTTTGCAACAAGTCTATGCGGCTACCTTCAGGATCTGGTGTACTAGAAGCGTGGCAGTATGTCCTCTGCCACCTGGAGAAATACGCCACTTGTCCTGTCTACAGACCACATTTTAGCAAGATCAGTGGTCCGGAGAGGAAAAGGGAACGTTACTGAGTCATCCTTCTCGTCGCTAAAGTCGAATGGGACTCCGCTGACATAGGAGAAAAATGAGAGTGGATGATCAACAATTTGCTTTTTACCTCTAGCAGCCATGATTTTGACTTTTTCTTCGTACAGAACAGGAGGAAGGCCATTCTCAGGTACATCCTAGTTAGATGAGGTGGCACTTACAGGGATGCGCCCGACGCACCAATAAGAGATAGGGGACTTGGAGATTCTTTCCACTGATGACTGTAGATAGAGTGTGAGGATCATGAAACAGATCCAAAGACAATATGGAGGGACTCGCCTTCAAGTCTGATACACCGGCTTTCTGAGCTACCGGGCATGATGTTGCGATGGAGCAAAATGATGAGGATCAAGGATGGGTAAAGTAGTGGATGGGATGGATGGGAAGGGAAGATGGGTGTAAGGATATGGGAAGTGTGGATAGAGTTCGGCTAAGCGGGAGATTGAGGCCTAGAGTTCTGGTCACGCTGCACATGTATTTCCACATTGTCGGTGGATGTTCGGCACAAATTGTATAAGCGCTGGGAATGGAGATCACCGACCAGGATTAGCAGAAGAATCTGAAACTGCTAAAGTAGATAATGGCATGAACAGTTTGCGGCGAAAGCGGTCTGCCAACATTGAAAGGGGCATGCAAGTATCAGAGTGCTTGCTGCTCCTGGACTGGTATCGTACTCAGTTAGCATGCAAAGGCAAAATGTAGAATTGAGTATATTCTGTGAGGTAATGACAAAGGCAAAAAAAAATGTCTATATCGCTGAAAACGGCACGCAAAGAAAAGACGAATGATGACACACAACTGGTCCAATTGGGCTGACAGTGCCATGGGGGAAGGATGATCTTGCCTGCAGCGACTCGCGAGGAATAAGAAAGAATAAGGCGAGAATGCAACCAATTGTATTCTCGTTCAGCGAAGCATCATTAAATTCACGAACGAAGCATTGAGGAAGCTGTTACCGCTACCGTATTCACTTGCCGCCGAGAGATTACAAACTGAACTCTGCGGAAGAGGAATATACATTATAGGTAGCACTGCATAGATAGGCCAGCAGGTCCATAGTGTAGGGAAGCCTTGAAGGTGATGGGACCATACTTTGGCCAAGGACATGGTTATTGACATTAGTGCGGCTTGAGGCTGCAAAATGGCAGAGGTTACAGGAGCGGACCATTGCGGTAAACATCTGAATGTGGAGCTTCGACGAGAGGGAGGGGTTGCATTCGAAGTAAGGGTGATGTCAATGGATCAAAGTGCAGAGTAACTGTCGAGTCAATGGTGAAAGAAAGAGGGTGAAGAGGGAATCACCAGATATGAGGTGTATCTCGTAGGAGATGGATGTGGACTCCAATCATGTAAATGAGGGAGGTGGTGCGGACAGCTGATTTACCAAGCATAGATCGTGGTGCACTGCGTCCCCCTTGAACTGCGTCAAGTACGAAGAGATGAAGAATGATCTATATTCGGACTCCATAGAGAGAACCGTAAGATGGACATGCAGAGGCACCTTAAGGAATTCGAACTTGGGTGTGGAGACTCGAGACCGTGGTCCATCGAATTACAACTTGAACATGCCGGCATATCGATTTATCTGCGGCATCCCGCTCTCACGGTGTTTCTTAGCAATTTTCCAGTTCACTTGCATATATGATCTTTCAGAATTTCAGACCTGGTTAATGGCAATCATTCTATAAACGATAGCATCACGAGGGTACGATACCATTACAGTCTCCAGGTATGTATATGAAATTGTAACATTTGATTTCGACTTACTGTACTTGCAGTGTGCACTGGTTATTGAGTCTCGACTGGGTCGCTACCTCCCAACTAGCCCGACAATATGCCAGTGGCTGCTCCAGTCGTTCCAAGTAGCTTTCAGATTTACAAGTACGTCTGACAACTCTAATCTTGCATACTGAGACACATGCGTGAATTGCTGCAGCTCGTCGTCGAAGATCCAAAATGGCAAATCAAATTCACCATGATTTGGTGCTCTAACTTGGCACTGACTGTGGTTGTCTCCATTCCGAGTTTAATTCTTGGTCTGAGACATGGGCGTTCTCTCAAGGGAATCACTGGAATCTCAGAGACCAATGGATATCAGCCCGCCCGTTCCGATGGCAAGGAGCCACCGCCTATCTGTCGAAGACATCGTAGGTTGGTTGGAGCCTGGAATGCTCTTATCTCACCGACGTATTGGTCTCCTCCGAAGCTCGGGCTCAATCTTGGACAAAGTGCGTATCGAAGGTGTTATGTTATTACTTCAATAGGAAATACTAACACATTGTGATATTCAGTCATAGTCTTATTGGCGTACCTCGCAGCTGTACCCGTCTGCATCATAAGGGATGCACCTTTTATTTCTAATCCGAACAGAGCTGGTGAGTCAGTCAATCCATAATGTTAACGCACGAGAGCAACTTCTTACCCGAATCCGTGCCCACCCTAGGGGGGGGGTAGTTCATAGGTTTCATCTGGGTTTCATGAGGATTTTGTGTATGCCAGTGACTTTTTTCATGTCATATGACTGAGTTTCATATGGGTTTCATATAGGTTTCATATGAGTTTCACTATAGCAGTGATGTTCATATACTTTTCATATGGGTTTCATATAGGTTTCATATAGGTTTCATATGAGTTTCACTATAGCAGTGATGTTCATGTCATATACTTTTCCATTTTTCATATGACTGATTTTCATATGAGTTTCATATGAGTTTCTTATAGGCTTCACATATGTTTCACTGTAGCAGTGACATTCATGTCATATACTTTTGATATCATATGACTGAGTCATATGACTGAGTCATCTGACTCATATAGGTTTCACATAGGTTTTATCAGGGGGTTCTATAGAATTTTATATGGATATTACACATCGGTAATAAGATACAATGTGTGCTACGATTATCATCCTGAATCACTGAATATAAATCATCTATTTTCTCAATTTCCAAGTGAAACTATATGAGTTTCACCACATTTCTTAATGTTGCCCTATGGATTTCTCTGGTGTTTGGTTGGAAAATTACCCCCCATCTGCGAGTATCACGGAGTACCTCCTAAGGAGGAGATAGTCAAGCTCAACAGGGTAGTCACTAGTCTTATATCTTACTATATTCATATGACCATATATGATCAAGTACAAGTGGCCTTGCATATACTTATACTTAACTTGTACTTAGAGTTGTTATGCATGATATGAATCAGACACTAAAAGGATTTGTGTGGGTATTCTCTCATAATGCCTGGTTTGCAATGTATCAATCTTGATCTCTGTTCCAAAGTGAGGCAGATATATGACCACCTTGCTATCTATATGTCCCAAACACCTAGGGTAGGGATAAGTAAGAGATACCTAAAGGAACCTTTACAATGCTTTTTAGGATGCAGCTGATTCCAGGAAGCTAAAAAGAAGTAACCATATGACTCAGTCATGTGATGTTGTAAAACTCATGTATAACTCATATTAACTCCACTCAATTACATTTTATCACATTGTGTTAGGAAGGTTTGCCTGTCTCCTTGCCTGTCAGGTGTGGCCCTCTCTAGCATATTTCATGTATTTCGCTTATTTCGCTTAAACCTGTTTTTGGGAATCTCACATGGTTTTCTCATATAGCTCTCAAGTGCTGACTCAATCCCCTTTGCACATCAGAACAACACCACATTTATTCATAGAATTTGAGTGTTTTCTAGCAAGTGTTGTAGCAACTGTATATACACAAAGTAAGTAGTCAAAACAAAATAGTGAATGACAAAAGGTAGTGACAAAAATGAACAAATACAAGAGGAAAAAGAAGGACAAAGACAACACAGAGACAAAACCTGGAGAAGGAAGGAATTGAGAGATGAAAGATATAAGAAAATTGGAAAATTGCTGGGAGAATGAGAGAACAGTGAGAATGTCATTAGGAGCCTTCAGAATGATTGGGATAAAGCTGAGGCTAGGAATCTAAAACAAAGAGTGTGAACAGTGTCTTTAGCCAAACAAAGCTTTGAATTGTCTTTTGATAGATTATTCAAGCAGAATTTTGAAGAAATGCTTGGATTTTGGCTGGTTCAATTATCTATGTATGTCTTATTTCTTATTGAGCAGACACAGGACATGGGAGACCATATAAAACTTAGTCATATGACATGAAAGGTATCACTGCTATAATGAAACCCATATGAAACTCAATCATATGATATGAAAAGCATCATTGCTATGAAATTTATATAAGACTCAGTCATATGATGTGAAATGTATCACTGCTATAGTGAAACTCACATGAAACCCATATGAAACTTATATAAGACTCAGTCATATGACATTAAAAACATCATTACCATAGTGAAACTCATATGAAACCCACATGAAACTCAATCATATGACATAAAAACTATCATTGCTGATGTGAAAGGTATTACTGCTATAGTAAAAATCACATGAAACCCATATGAAACTTATATAAGACTCAGTCATATGACATTAAAAGCATCATCACCATAGTGAAACTCATATGAAACCCACATGAAACTCAATCATATGACATAAAAACTATCATTGCTGATGTGAAAGGTATTACTGCTATAGTAAAAATCACATGAAACCCATATGAAACTTATATAAGACTCAGTCATATGACATTAAGAGCATCATCACCATAGTGAAACTCATATGAAACCCACATGAAACCCATATGAAACTCAATCATATGACATAAAAACTATCATTGCTGATGTGAAAGATATTACTGCTATAGTAAAAATCACATGAAACCCATGTGAAACTTATATAAGACTCAGTCATATGACATTAAGAGCATCATCACCATAGTGAAACTCATATGAAACCCACATGAAACCCATATGAAACTCAATCATATGACATAAAAACTATCATTGCTGATGTGAAAGATATTACTGCTATAGTAAAAATCACATGAAACCCATGTGAAACTTATATAAGACTCAGTCATATGACTTAAAAACTATCATTGCTATAGTGAAACTTCTATGAAGCCCATATAAAATCTGTAAAAGGTTGACAGCTGAATATCGGCTAATTTACGGACTTGTATCTTCATAATCTGTAAACCGTAACCATTGAATGCAACATTTACAGATTATTATTTTCCCTATAACCAAACATGAATATCGAAGATCTTGTAAACTATGTGCTTGCTGATGATGACGAGATTCTGGAACTACAAGCTATAGTTGTTTGCCTTCTGTTTCTCAGTGCGGAACAGGCACGTCTCTCAAAAATCCGCATTCGCAATCCATCCCGGCTGTATCTGTGTCGCCCCCAGCTGCTCCTGAATCCTCACATCTTTTAATCCGTGCACATCATTCCAAACTTGGGCGGCTTTGGAAGCATCAACGGGCTGAGTCTGCCATGTCAAGCAGCTAGTGATCCTGAAGTTGAGAATGCTACGTATAATGGGTGGAAAAGTTCGCATTTCATATCTAATGTGCTAGCATTTTCACCACGAGGTGGGTTCAGCTTAATCTTTCAATATCTCATTCTCATACTCATGTTTTCAGGTGTCATTATATCTGCAGTACTCAATGCCCCCGGAAGCTGGCATGACTCTCACACATCTCGCCCAATCTACAATCAGCTTCGACACAAGACTCCTGATGGTTACTACCTCATTGCAGATTCTGCATTTCCTCGTGGAACTGCAGCTATCTCTGGCAAGATTCAATCCCCACTCAAAAGCCGTGCGGTCCTTCCTGAAAATGCACATGAGCAAGATGAACTCTTTGTTACGACACACGGTCATGTGCGACTAGGGTGATCTAAACAGCGACAACCACGACAGTGGTACCGAGTGCTGAGAGTTGTCGGCCTTTACAGACAAGCAAAGGTTGCGTACTCGAACGTAGCTCGTGGTGGTTAACGAGGGGTTACTGCTGAGATGATAGCGGGTTTACAGACAGTGAGAGGCATCACTGAAGGTACAAGTCGATGTCGAGCAGGTAGCTTTAGCGGGACAAGGAGTTCAAGGGTAAACCTAGTAAGATTAAAGTAAGGAACGTCTACTGTTAATCTTCGACCTTATATAAGGCTACTCTATTGTATCTAAGCTCAGCTCGAAGCTGGGTTCTAATCTGCTTATCTACATGAGTCAGAGATAGCGTCCATGAGGCGGGCTTCTATCGTAGATAGGGTCCATGCGGCACCCTTCTATCAGTACATGAGGCAACACGAGGCTTGCCTTCTATCTTGATAACATAAATAGGTCTTCTAGATCTATGTCGTCATGTGTCGTCATATGCGGTCCAGACCGCTTATCTAAGCCGGCAGTTGCCGCTTATCATCTATCATCATCTGTCGTCATCTATCGTCATAGAGCTGGTGAGACTCCGGTATCGTCTATAGCCGTGCGGTGGCAGAGGGCTGTCTGCTGGCAGGGGACTCATGCCATGTTACTGTAACACTCTTGGCATTCAACCGCCAGCTACTCTCATACCGTCAGACAGCCGAATGGGGCATGCGGATAATTCAAGGCTCGTTTGGCCGACTTCGTGTCCCACTTGATGTTAATAATCAGGCAGAGCGGCAGAGGCTTCTGGAGATATGTGTCAGATTGAGTAATGTGAGAGCTATTTGTGTTGGTATTAACCAGATTCATAGCATGTACATGCCAATCTGGAAGGCATCTGAGGACGAACAGTTGTGGATGGACTTAGGCAATCTTCTTTTTAGTGATATCTGTCAGCGGGATCGTGTAGCTCGTTATCACCTATTAGTACAGACTGAATAGCCGCATTACAGACAAATCAATTCTTTTGTGTTGAACAGACAGGCTAAACGACTGACTACAGTCATGGTGCACTACTATTCTTACCATTCTCTTTTGCAATGTCGGATGCGAGCAGCACTAGTGTGTCGAGGCCATTACTATGATTTGCTGAGGTTCCCAAAGGCTCTGCAATAGGTGAGAGAGGAGGAAGAACCTGGGGTTCGACATGGTGCTTTTTTTTTTTTTTAAATCCAATTTTTGTCCTTTGGGGTCATTGACCCTATGTCGGACATAGCCCTATACACGGGGGACTTACTCCCATTTTAACTATTGTATTGTATGTATGTTCTAATCGTGTATTTTTGTTGAACACGTACTTGACATGGTGCTTGAGTGTTGGAGATGTGGGTGTCCATTGAGGGGAACAACGAGAAGGAGAAGAGTGATGGTGATGGTAAGGACGCCGTCGAGGTGGAGAATAGTGAGACCGTGAAGGGGTAGGGGTACGAAAAGGCCGTGAATCATCAGTATGGGCCTGCTGTCGAGGTGGAGAATAGTGAGACCGTGAAGGAGAATGATAAGGCTGTGAATCATCGCATGATGACAGCATATACTTGAGCATTTCGACCTGGCTCTCAGCACGGTCAGCATGGCGAGCCTCTTGTAACAGGCGGTTATTGAGACCTTCAATTCGCAGATGAGCCTCGGGAAGTTCAGTCTGCAAGGTGTTGATCTGGTTAAATTGAACCATCTGTGACAGTTGGCTCTCGTCGCAGTCCTTCATGACTGTAGGGTTAAAGACTGATGTGAGTGAAGAGAGTGCCTCTGAGGCAGCAGTAGTGCGTGGACGTCGAAGGCCAGGTTCAAGCAAAGGATTTGCATGAAAGGCCTTGACAACAGATTTCTTTGGGCCAGCGTGCTTGGATTTGACACTTTTCGGTTCTTCGTCATCATCGGTGGAGATTTCAACAACATCTTTCACCTCCATATCACTTTTGCCATCACTGGCCCCATCGTCCCACTCTGAGTCATCCAAGGCAATAGTGCCTGCCTTGAGAGAAATGGTGGCTTTGATTTAACAAGCAAGCTCAACATAAGCAGGCAATTCACCATCACCAGTTGGGTTTTCAATACGAGTGATCTATTAGGCCATCAATAGTTGAACTTGTGAGAAGAAAAAAAACATACCGCATCATACTTTGCTCGAATAGCTTTAGTCGAGTGCTCAGAAACACAATTACGTTGAGCCCATACATTATAACTGACAGTAACAGCATCCCATGCTTTACCACTAAGCGGGATACACCTATTGATCTCCTTGAGAAGATGCTCAACTTCTTGAATGGAGTAGCCTGTGGCACCAGCTTTGCATCCCTTTTTTCGGGCCTCGCTGCCGTCAGGCTCCAGCTTGGGCTTAGCCATCCCCTTGCCCTTGCCAACTTTCGACTGCACCTCGGTTTTCTCCTTCTTGGCAAGAGGCTTTGACACTTGTCCTGATGGTGCTGATGCACATTTTTTGCCTTTAGCTGGAGGCGGGAGTAATGGTTGTTCCAACTCATCATCAGATGGGGCTGGTTTTTCGTCAAGTCGAGGTGTAGAGTGAGGACCAACACGAGTCGAGGTAGAATGAAGCATGGGGGCAGGGTGACTCAAGTACATAGATCCAGGTGTGTACATGTGGAGAGGTGGAAGGCTGAAACCATGGTGTGTGGGGTGGGAGTGGGACAGTTGAGGCAGCGGACCCTGCCTACACAAATGTGAAGCTTTGAACTACACAAAGGTTGTCAGCACAAGAAGCAAACATGTAAAATCTCACTTACCTCTGTAGTATGGTTAAATGCCTGAGGGTGGCCATAATGCGCGAGTTCTGCATGGTTATGTTCTCGAGTGGTTGAAACGAATCCTGATGGGGTGGACTGTGCATTATTCACATCGGAGATGTCGGAAACAGTCGAGGGGGTGCTTAAATGGGCAGAAGATGACATTTTGAATAAGGAAAGCAAGTAACGAAAGGACGGTAGATGACGAGCTCAACAGAAAAGCTAAGTACAGAAAGGAATCCAGGAGACGTTGTTTCAGGACAGGGCTACCTAAATAGGAATGAAAATCACCCAAATCAGGTGTTTAGTGCGCTGAAACCGCAGTTCAGACATCTGTGGAGGGGTAGCTACCCTTCCACAGATGTCAGATTTACAGAATGATGGAGCAACGAGCGTTTGACAGGTCGAAGGCACTACCTACCAAATTTGGCTCGGCTATTCGGCTAACTTGCATTTTGGACGTGGCATTATCAGGAATTTTCCTGTAAAACCTTATGGGAAGTCCACCAGTGAAACTCATATGAAACCCACATGAAACCCATATGAAACTTATATAAGACTCAGTCATATGACATTAAAAGCATCATCACCATAGTGAAACTCATATGAAACCCACATGAAACCCATATGAAACTCAATCATATGACATAAAAACTATCATTGCTGATGTGAAAGGTATTACTGCTATAGTAAAAATTACATGAAACCCATGTGAAACTTATATAAGACTCAGTCATATGACATTAAGAGCATCATCACCATAGTGAAACTCATATAATAGTATAATCCCCCATAGGGGGGGGGGGTATGAATAGTGAATAGTGAATAGTGAATAGTGAAAGTGAATAGTGAAAGTGAAAGTGAAAGTGAATAGTGAATAGTGAATAGTCAAAGTCAATAGTGAATAGTGAATAGTCAAAGTGAATAGTGAATAGTGAATAGTGAATAGTGAAAGTGAATAGTGAAAGTGAAAGTGAAAGTGAAAGTGAATAGTGAATAGTGAATAGTGAAAGTGAATAGTGAAAGTGAAAGTGAAAGTGAATAGTGAATAGTGAATAGTGAAAGTGAATAGTGAAAGTGAAAGTGAAAGTGAATAGTGAATAGTGAATAGTCAAAGTCAATAGTGAATAGTGAATAGTCAAAGTGAATAGTGAATAGTGAATAGTGAATAGTGAATAGTGAATAGTGAAAGTGAATAGTGAATAGTGAATAGTGAATAGTCATAGTGAATACTGGATACTGAATAGTCATAGTGAATAGTGAATGTAAATAGTGAATAGTGAATAGTGAATAGTGAAAGTGAATAGTGAATAGTGAAAGTGAATACTGAATAGTGAAAGTGAATACTGAATACTGAATACTGAATAGTCATAGTGAATAGTGAATAGTGAATAGTGAATAGTGAAAGTGGATAGTGAAAGTCAAAGTGAATAGTGAATAGTGAATAGTGAAAGTGAATAGTGAAAGTGAAAGTGAAAGTGAATAGTGAATAGTGAATAGTCAAAGTGAATAGTGAATAGTGAATAGTGAATAGTGAAAGTGGATAGTGAAAGTCAAAGTGAATAGTGAATAGTGAATAGTGAATAGTGAATAGTGAATAGTCATAGTGAATAGTGAATAGTGAATAGTGAATAGTGAATAGTGAATAGTGAAAGTGAATAGTGAATAGTGAATAGTGAATAGTGAATAGTGAATAGTGAATAGTCATAGTGAATACTGGATACTGAATAGTCATAGTGAATAGTGAATGTAAATAGTGAATAGTGAATAGTGAAAGTGAATAGTCATAGTGAAAGTGAATACTGAATAGTGAAAGTGAATACTGAATACTGAATACTGAATAGTCATAGTGAATAGTGAATAGTGAAAGTGGATAGTGAAAGTCAAAGTGAATAGTGAATAGTGAATAGTGAATAGTGAATAGTGAATAGTGAATAGTGAATAGTCATAGTGAATAGTGAATAGTGAATAGTGAATAGTGAATAGTGAATAGTGAATAGTGAATAGTCATAGTGAATAGTGAATGTAAATAGTGAATAGTGAATAGTGAAAGTGAATAGTGAATAGTGAAAGTGAATACTGAATAGTGAAAGTGAATACTGAATACTGAATACTGAATAGTCATAGTGAATAGTGAATAGTCATAGTGAATACTGAATACTGAATAGTCATAGTGAATAGTGAATAGTGAATAGTGAAAGTGAATAGTCATAGTGAATAGTGAATAGTGAATAGTGAAAGTGAATAGTCATAGTGAATACTGGATACTGAATAGTCATAGTGAATAGTGAATGTAAATAGTGAATAGTGAATAGTGAATAGTGAATAGTGAATAGTGAATAGTAAATACTGAAAGTGAATACTGAATACTGAATACTGAATACTGAATACTGAATAGTCATAGTGAATACTGAATACTGAATACTGAATAGTCATAGTGAATAGTGAATAGTGAATAGTGAATAGTTATAGTGAATACTGAATACTGAATAGTCATAGTGAATAGTGAATAGTGAATAGTGAAAGTGAAAGTGAATCCTGAATACTGAATACTGAATAGTCAAACTGTATTCCCTTAGAACCCAAATCTTGTGTTCACCATACTGCTCCCTTTTTCTTTCCAGCCAAGTGTTCCCACGCTCTGGCCAACACTTTCTTTGGACTTATTGTTTCTACCCTGTGGTTACTATCACATTACTTTAGATTCATTTTTCTCATTTCTACTAACACTTTCCTAGTCTCAGATCTCATTAGAGTTGAACATTCTTGTCTCCACAAGTGAAGCAGCTAGGCAGATACAGACCTGTATAGAGTAGAGTTGTTTTTACACTTCACTCATTGTATGATCACTACACTAGGTGATGAGTAGGGCACCTTGGCAGAAGGTCAAATCAAAGGAAATTGTAGGTGATGATAAGAACAATGTCCCAGCTGATAAGATCATTCACATCAAGGTGAGTTCAGTTGTTTTGTTGCATGTTTGCATTATTGACTAGGATGTGGCAGAGGAAGCAGCCCGAAGCTGGGTGCAGCAAACCAGCTACTGGTCAGCCGGTAGAGACAGAGGTATATTTTGCCCTATTATTTGAAGTCACTCACCCTAATCTTCAAACAGCTCATTAGTTCTACAGTTGAGGATAATGACTCAGCTGCACAGCAGTCCACTGTATAGCTTTTTGGTGTATGGTGTAAGCGCTGCATCAAGAACAATGTCACTTGTATCATTGTCTTCAATAAGAAGAAAGGTGATGTCTGGCCCTCTACCAAGCATGAGGAAGAGCTTTATGCTACAGTCGCTCTGAAGAAGAGCAAGGCATTAGGGGCAGCTGAGAAGAAGACCTGGGCAATGCAACAGTAGAATAAGGCACCAGCTCCTCCACAATCTGGGGCGAATGCATGTTGCGGTACATGCTCAGTGTTGAGGAAGCATGCACTATTACTGCCTGCCAAAGCATCTGATGAAGATGCAGAGAGTGAGAAAGACTCAGTGAATGGTATATTCTGCATCAATGGTGATGGAGAGGTTGCCATCTAACTTGAGGAACCACAAAAAGGTGAGTTGTTCCCTAATGGGTCTTCATAATACTAACATCCAGTAGAAGTACCAGTATGCCATCATTGATAATGACGTCAACATGGACTTCAATATCCCTACCCCAGTTGCAGAGCCACATGCTTCACTAAGCCCATTCAGTCATTTTTCCTGTGTTACATGGACACCCAAAGTTGAGATTCTTCCGAGTGAGACAGGCCATCAAAACAGGCCCAGATCCAACTGTAGGCTAAAAAACACGGATGAGACCATGATGTTTGTGATGCCTCGGCATTGATAGCTGGACCCATGGGTGACAACTGACAATGAAATGATCACATGGTTGGGCTAAAAGGGGGTGTTAGAAATTGATGTCTAGGCCCAGTGTAATGAGGTAGAATCTCTCAGATGGGCCAAAAAGTGATGGTCTCAAATATTACATCCAGGCCCAGGGTCCTGGTGTAGGAATGTGATATTTGGGCCTAGGTTGATGGTTTCAAATTTCATGGTTGGGCCCAAGGGTTTGATGGTTGAAATATACTACCAAAATGATGAACCAAACCGGATGTGGATGAAATAGTTCAGATGTCATCAATAAATCATCCCTGGTCTAGTAGAATGACCTCCAGAAAAAGTTGCATTTCCATATTTTCTAGGATTCATCCACTGCCAGATGGTATGACCAAAATATGAAACCTTGTACTGAGAGTGATGATCTGAACCAGAAGTGTGTTGAATAGTTCACATAACAATGGAAATGGAAGAGTTGTAGTGTATGTACTTCTCGATGAGTCGCCCATTTCAGAATTATCATTTGTGCAAAATTGAAGGAGGAGATGGCAACATAAGCAAGATGCAAGGTATATATTCCCGGTGTCAAATGCAGTGATTTCAAGTGAAGTCACAACAAGTCACATTTTGCTTGTGTTGCCATCTCCTCCTTCAATTTTGCACAAATGATAATTCAGAAACGGGCGACTCATCGAGAAGTACATACACTATAACTCTTCTGTTTCCATTTTTTTATATTTTGTTGCTATGAACATCCTATATACATTCATTGCTTTTGTCACACATAGCACATGATGTTTACCGAAACCACGCAATGTCTACCTTAGTAGAGTCACTTCGGATAGTCATACTTTCATGCAATCGATCTTTCTTGTTCATTTGGAATGATTGTTTGGCCTGACCCCTGTCATTTCACATCTCGCTATCTCTTAGTTTTCCCGATAGACTTTGCTTAGTCATACTTTGCAAGTCTTATACTTCGACATACACACCATACTTCTATCTCAGAACCTTCGTTGTTCATCGGAAGCTCTTTGGACGCTTTGCACAACCTCAGACCTTTGTTTCTTGACATTGGACCACCTTCAGACACATCTTTGGAACACCAAATGCACTCTTGGTAACATTTGGTGGGTTGGCCCTACTCTTAGGGAGCATTGTCAATATTTAAGTAGGGAGATATGTCACTGCATTATGTGCATTCAGGAGGTCATTCTACCAGACCTGTGATGATTCATTGATGTTATGTGAACTATTCAACACACTTCTAGTTCAGATCATCACTCTTGGTATATTTTGGACATACAATGGGACAGTGTATGAATATTAGCATGTATTGAATATTCACTATTCACTATTCACTATTCACTATTCACTTTTCACTTTCACTTTCACTTTCACTTTCACTTTCACTTTGACTTTGACTTTCTACTTTGACTTTTGACTTTTGACTTTTGACTATTGACTATTGACTTTTCACTTTTCACTGAAATATAAATTTAGCAATCAACAGACACAAAGTAAAGAACTAAATGGACTTAGCAAAGTCATTGCAATCTCATGTGTCAAGCCCCTCCAAGTCATTCTCATCCATTTTCTGAGCTCTGATGGTGAGGCAGCCAATCTTCTCAGTTACAAGTGACAGAGTGTCATTAGCTTATTGTGTGGTTCACATTATTAAAAAATGTGATAGAGATTGAGTGCAGGTATTAACTTAGGATGCAAAGTTCAGGGGGAAAAGTCAGAGGGAGTTTGACCTCTTTGTCAGCTTTACTCCACCAACTGTAAAACTAAAATACGACATCCTGGCAGTTCTGCTAGTAGTCATACCAGAAATATAAAAGCTCTGTGGCCTCATGTTGCTTCATCTAGGATAGCTTGCAGATTTTCTTTCCATCAGGAAGATACTGTGGAGGAATAAGCTGGTCATGCCTTGGAATGACTTTCTTCCAAGATACTGGGTCCTTGTGCTTTTCACTGCAATACTCTGGCATTGCAGTCAGCTCATCCAACCACTCAGATTTCATGAACTTCATAGACTTACGATAATGTCAATTCAATGATGCCTGGACAACAGCTTTCTAAGTGTCTGAATCTATTTGAGCATGATTATGAAAAGTGAAAAGTAGTGAATAGTGAATAGTGGATGAATAGTGGAAGTGAATCTTAAGAAGTAAGGGAGAACAGTTTTGTCTCATCACTCATCAGCTTACGTGGTTTTCATATATTTTGTGTATTTTACGTGTTTTGCCAAAGGCCATGTGGTTTCACTAAGCTTGCCAAAACCTCACATGGCTGTCATGTGTTTTCAAGCAGTGACTCAAATATCATCATTCTTTCTTAGTAGTGGGTTTTTATGCTGAATAACTATATGTAAATAATAACAACAGATTAAATTAAATTGGAACAACAAATATGCAAAGAAAAATTGGACTGTAGGAAGACTTGAAACTGGGGAACAGAGGATAGACAATGGGAGATGAGATACATGTCCTTACATATTCACTACAATTCCTATCTCTTCCCACTCCAAGTGGGAGTCTAGACAATATAAGTTACTTATTCCTTAGGGACTATTTCATTACTTCCCTCATACTGAATACCTCTCCCTATAGGTTTACATTCGAAGTAGTCCCTTGTAGTATGCACTTTTTAGCCCCTATTAGGTCCCTTATACCTCACTATACCTAGACATTCCTTACCTTGCAATATACCTTTGCCCTCACTTTTTAAACCTCGTTCCTTGACTTCCTTATACCTTGTCTGCACTTTCCCGTGCTTTCCACATCTTTGGCCGTGCATTCCCACACTTTGAATAGCTTCGGATACATTCCCACATCTCACACATATCTTGTCCACTATTTTCTGGCACTTAGTGCACCCTCAGGTCGCACATATCCATTATCATTCTAGTAGCAATTCCCTTTAGGGTTGAACATGTCTGTTGAGACATAGCAGCTAGGCATTCACTTGACCAACCTTTTCTTGCCACCCAGCAAGATTGTTGTTTTCACAATGGGAGACAGGAGATGGGGGAACTGGAGAATAGAAAATGGATATAATGTTTTCTATCTTTTAATTTATCATATCAAAACACACAAAATACAGTACTTCTATATTGTAAAATTCTACTCAAACATATATATATTATTTTAAGATCTGATTATGAGGATGCAGCCAAGACCAGGAAACCACTAAGGCACATAAAGCACTCCTTTTGGCTTCCTGTGCCGAAGGTACAATGGGTGTTGGACTTATAGTGAATAGTGAAAGCGAAGGGAAGGGAATAGTGAGATATGACAAGTGAAAGTGAAAGCAAAAAGCAAAAAGTGGTGAGTTAGTGAGACAACCCCCCTCCTGCTCCCAGAGATTATATATAAGAGAAGGAGAGTTATAATTGTTGAGCTTATGTAATGTTATGGTTGATGTTGACAATGTTTGTTCCTACAAGTAAACACTGTCTCACCTTATGTAATTTCTTCTTCTCTCTTCTATACTACCATGTTTCCCTATTTGCGATTTCACTGATGGCAAGTGCAGCTGCTCGATGTCAATTGCCCTTGTTGTTGATGACCACAAACACTCATGTCAGCCTCTTTTTCTTTTCAACAAGTGCAAACACTCATTAATCTTTCCACTTGGCCTAAGCACAAACACTTTAGTCATCCTCCTTTTTTTGTTTACAAGTGCCAACACTCATTGATCTTTCTCCTTCCTGCATGCTCCCATCCTCCCTTTGATTTTTTCTTGATGATTGCAGGTACTCATTCATCAGATTCTCAACTTCAGGTGCATTCACTTTTTGCTATCTTATCACTCATTGTCACACCTGCCACCCGGACTTTATCTATCTTCGCAACATTGCATTCACTTACTGTTAGTTAATCTTGCCCTTACAGTTCTCTGAGGCCTGCTTACCTTTGGTACATGCATTTCTATAGTGGTAATAATCCTCCTATTTACATGTTATTCACTTAGAACCAACCACACATACCTTAAATAGAGTTTGGAAGGCGAAAAATGACTTTTAGCCTTCCAACTTTCATACCTGCAAATGTATTGGTCAGTAAAGCTTAACTTGATAGGAAGTATAGGTAGCGCACCATGAAGTCCAGTGGACTCAGCTTCATCTGACTGAGCAACAACTACAACATCAAATCTCCCATCTCCCACATCCTCAGCTCTGCCTTTCCCTGGCTTAGCCCTAACTGAATCTATCTCCTCCTGGCCATCTACATCATTACCAAGAGTGTCCAATGAAAATTTAAAGGTATGCCAGACATCCAGTTGATGGAAGGGTAAGCATGCATGAGAGAGCTGAATGCGTGATATGGCTTCCCCTCTGGGAAGAAAGCGATTAAGATACACCCTCAAATGGTGCAAAAAAGAAGGACATCTGTGTTTTGATATGATGCTGGAGAGTGGCTGAGAAGGTGATGCCGGCTTCTTGGATATTGCTAGCCCTACTCCTGGACACGTTTCAGACTCTAATGCATCCTGTTCCTTCTGCTCCCTCTTTACTTCAGTCGGATGATAGTCCTTCAAGTAGGTTTCAAACATTGCAACCTTTTCCTGACGACTCAATCACTAAGTCATCTGTGGTAGTTCATCCCTGAAATTGGTAGCCCTCCACCCCTCCTTTGCGTAGTCAATGTGGAAATGCTCAAACATTTCTGTGTTATAATTATCAGTAGTATCAAAATTTCTAATACACTCAGCATAATGCTGCGTGGAGTGCAGCTTAGGGATGTTGAAGTGATCGCGGATGCCTAGATCAATCAAGATGCACTTGTTGGAATGGTGATGCTCTAAGGCCACTTGAAGATATCCCAGAGAGTCCTTGTTGTGTGAAGGATATTGAGATATATATATGAAATCCAGTAGCGCTCAATAATAGGCTACTATTCATAATTTTTAAAGGTGAGTAAGTAACTGGTTGATCCACCATGATTTGTCTAACAATGAACTCACTTGAGATGGAGCTTTTCCTATTATGTACCCCAGAAGTATCCTTCCTGTTACAGTAACATGGCACGAGTCCCCCGCCGGCAGACAGCCCTCTGCCAACCGCACGGCTATAGACGATACCGGAGTCTCACCAGCTCTATGATGATAGATGACGATAGATGATAGACGATAAGCAGCAACTGCCGGCTTAGATAAGCGGTCTGGACCGCACGTGACATGACATGATGACATAGGTCTAGAAGACCTATTTATGTTATCAAGATAGAAGGCAAGCCTCGTGTTGCCTCATGTACTGATAGAAGGGTGCCGCATGGACCCTATCTACGATAGAAGCCCGCCTCATGGACGCTATCTCTGACTCATGTAGATAAGCAGATTAGAACCCAGCTTTAGGCTGAGCTTAGATACGAAGAGTAGCCTTATATAAGGTCGAAGATTAACAGTAGACGTTCCTTACTTTAATCTTACTAGGTTTACCCTTGAACTCCTTGTCCCGCAAAAGCTACCTGCTCGACATCGACTCGTACCTTCAATGACGCCTCTCACTGTCTGTAAACCCTGCTATCATCTCAGCGTAACCCCTTGTTAACCACCATGAGCTACGTTCGAGTACGCAACCTTTGCTTGTCTGTAAAGGCCGATGACTCTCAGCACTCGGTACCACTGTTGTGGTTGTCGCTGTTAGATCATCCTAGTCGCACACAACTGTTTGTCGTAACACTTCCCATGTCTTTCCTCTCCTTCCCTGATATCTGAGCCAGGCAAGACCATCTGTTCTTGAAATGTCGCATCCCAAAACAAGGCAGAAGTGATCTAATCCTAGCATTCAACTCAGTGTCAGTCATCACGCTGCTGCACCAGTAGACGAGGTGCTTTACCACCCCCTGGTACAACTGGTGCAGTACGTCAGGAGTGATAGACATGTGTATGTCACAATGTGGGAACCCCTCCCAGAATGAGCACCTCACTCCTCCTGATACATTGTCCTGCTTGCAGCGCTTCTGAAAGTTGCTGATAGATGTAGAGTTGGCCCTGGCAGCTTCTATTATTTTGGAGGTTTTGCATTGGTTCCTCCATAGACCTGGTTCTCCATCTCCCATCTGGCTATCATCTACCTTGCACTTGGGATAGGTCCCATACTTAGCACAAGTTACCAGGCACTTCTCCGGGTAATCTGCCACATAGCATGCCAGTATCGGGTGCACCATATACACTTTACCATCTCCTCTAGTCACCTTAACATCGCTTTTTCCTGCTTCTATTAGTGGCTCCAAAACTATCCACATAGAGTCATGGAAGAGCTGTTGAATGTGGGTAGATTTTTGTTTCTTGCTAAGCTCAGTGCCAAACATCTTGCTGACAGAAAGGTATGCGACAAGGATACAGGCATGCTGGGATGGTTTCCATCTAATGGCTCTGGAAAGGTTCCCCAAGGTAAGGTAGACAGGGTAGGTAGTCTTGTCACTAGCAAACTAGGTGAGCTGGGTCTTGTCAGTGGTGATGTTGACTGGAGCCACACAAGACCCTGCTGGAAGTCTGTCCTAAGTCAATGAAAAGTGAAGAGTCAGTAAACTAGTACTACCAGGGGTAGAAGTCATTGGACACTCACTTGGATAGTATTCCACCAGTCCCCAGTCCACATCTCATTGTAGATCCTACTATCCCTAGAAGCATTGGTGAAAACTCTCTTGGGTCTATAGACAATATTGTTTGTGTATGCTGGATTTCTAAGTAATATCTTGACAGCATCAATCAGATTCTGATGATAGATGATATGTTTGTACTCTGGGTCATTCTTGAGTCAAAGTTCATGAGTCTTCCAGCAAGCATGTGGAGGTACACTGTCGACAATCTTGTGCCATCCTCTAATATTATGGTATGAGAGACCTAGTCTTTCAGAGACCTGTTGTTGGAATGTGTTAAGCAGAAAGACAATTGTGAGATAAAATAGAACCAATGCTCACCCCAGGTATCACCATGAGTCGATCAAATGATTTGTGACCTATGCCGTCCTGAATGGCCCAGCAGGCAACTCTCCACTCTAGCTCAGACTCAAACAGCGCAAACATGTTAGTCTTTATGAATGTCCCCTCTCCCAAATCTTCCATCACCACGTCTCCATTGGTATCAGATCCTCCAAATTCTCTCCTCCATCTCTAATGCACTGTTTCATCTATACATATCACCTTGACTGCAGTGGGATGCACATCTTCAACTCACATGTCTAAAGCAGAGGATGGGTCGGGTGTTCTTGGGTGTTCAGGTGGGTTTCCGATAGAAATGAGATTGAAGAGTCTATCATGGAAGTCTTCCATAACTTGACCTGGTTCCTCCTCCATTTGTCCTTCCAGTCCATCAGGAAGAGGCTCATTTACTTCTTGCATGAGTACATCTTCATCAACTGCAAACTCTCCTGGAAGGATTAAAGCCCTCAGCTTCCCTTTCTTGTACCATCTATAAGACTTGGTGGTACTAAGATGAGTAGCCAGTCCTTAGGTTGTCCTCAGGTGCTTGTAACAAACAGGACATACTGTAGGGTCATTGTCCTTAGCTTAAGTGTGTTGAACATTCACATTTAAAGCCTGCGGGGCAGAACGAAAGCCTATCATCTGGAAAAAGGTAAGATGGTAAGACAAAGGTGATGGTCTATAAATGTTGAGCTTACAATCAAAGGATCTAGATAAGAAGCGGCTATAGGGTTATCCTAAAGAGAAGGCATCGGGCATTGTGTCCCATGCCATCACTGCAATAATTTTCACTGACAACGCGCTCATCATCCCACCTCACTTGGGAATGTTCACAAACCAATTATTGCAAATCCATATTTGAAAGCTACAAAATGTACAAAACCACTTGGGCAAATGTTTGTCGAAGTACATGAATGAAGGTTTAAAAAAACATGGTCCTTAGTCTAGCCATTGAATACATGCAAGCGACCTCACCACTAAGTATCTTATCCTCTGGATTTCCTCTGATACTTCCCTTTCCCAGAGAGATTGGATGAATTGACAGACATGCCGGCTGTACCAGACAATGGGAAGACTGATGAAGTAGTCGCACTAGTGGAACTGTCGCTGTCCTGCAATAAAAGTGCCTTGCGCTTTCTCAATCCCAAGGTGCTCTCTGAGGTCTGCAAGCTCTGGCGCATCTCATTGGGAGTGTAGATTTCGAATCTGGCAAACCTAGAAGATGCAGAGATATGGGTACCTGAAGGTGGTAGGGATGTGGGTAGGTATTCTGTTTGGCTAACCATGACTGCCTGCTTGGAGGTCAGGTTAGTCAAAACGAGTTATGGTATCTCTCACTCGCTGTCATGATCAACAACTTGTCTGGTGCACCATCCTTGTCCACCAGTACTGCATTGATCATCTCTCGCAGGACATTGATCAGCTTGGTATGAGTGAGCCCCTAGCACTTTTCTGCAGGAAAAGGCCACAGCAAGTCATAGATCTTCTTCCATATTGCCATCATGTTGCCGACCTTCCAGTATGGATTAAGGGAATGCTCAAATCCATCCCACATCAGGTTCTCCTTTTGCATTATCACTTCATCATCTTGGAAGTTGGAAACGCCAAACTTTGCCCATTGAGGCACCAAACAAGAACACACAAGAAGTTCTGAAGAAGCAGTTGTGGCTGCAGTGGTTCTGGTATGACTGCGGCATATCGATGTGAGGGGAGGGGGTGTTATTCTCACCCCAACCTGCATTAGAATGTTTGAACTTCTTTACGGTGAGGTTGGCTGAATCAACTGTGGTGGAAATCCCTGTCTCTATGGCATTGGTATTATGAACAGGGACAGGCCAATCTTGAAGTTGATGGTAAGGACCCATAACATTCACCCCGAGCATGAATGCGAGAAAAATAAATGACTCCAAATCATGGCAGATATTGGGGGGATGTTCTCGGTCGACACTACTGTAAGGGAAAGTTCCCTACTTTTATATGAGCACTCGAGCAAAAAGCAAGCAAAAAGGATGAGCTTACTGTTGTAGTCCACTTCTTTTTCTCTTCCAAAGCTTTCTCCGAGTTATCCAAGAAGTCCAGTGCTAAGCCAAAGTCCCCGATCATTCCAGGACACATGGGAAACCACTCAGATTCTACTATGTCTCCACAGAATTTGGGTACTCCTTCATCAATACACCAATTAGGCACAGTGTGATCTTGATCTGCTATGGGCACCCGAAACCATGTATGCCGTCACTGGTATCACAGTGGATCAACCCGCGTAACCAAGCATTGAGATGACCTAGGTTGTGGACTCTAAGCATTCTGAAATTTGGGACTGAGACGTGCACTCACCCTTCAAAGCACCTATCAACCCTGAAAAGAATTCCCAGTGACAGGAGAACCAGGTACACCTGACTGTGTTGGTCTTGAAGACGGTTTGATAGTGCACAAGGGGATAGATTTCCATGGACAAGGGCTTCATGATGTTCGCAACACTGTCTGGTACTTGCGCCCCATCACAGTCGATCATCATAACAGGGTGTGTGGACATGTGTTGATCACGAATAGGGAGGTGTCTGGGGTAGGAACCTTCGTTGTCCTCATCATCCCACATAGGTTTGGGCCATCGCTTGAATAAGACTGACTGTGACTTCTTCTCAGCCTCAGTGTCATGAATAACGTCAGGATAGGGAATCTTTTCTTGCTCTATTAAATGAAAATGAGATGCAGACCAATGAGGCACGGATAGTTCAGAATGCACCTAGTTTTATGCAAGCCTTTTGAAGGCGCTCCTTGTCCTCCAAAAGTTGATGAATCTCTCCATCTGGTAAGAAACAGTCAACCTACCAAACCTCCTTTACAATCAAAATCTCTTGATCAACCCCCAGTTGCTGTCTCAGGCCTCTGACTGCCATCACCCAAGTGGTGCGGCCAAATCCAGCGATACCACTATAGATGATTGAAAGCACCATACTTGGCACCATGTCTTGTTCTGTGGTACTGTTTGCCTTCATCGACCATAATGACAGATTGTCCGTGGAAATGGGAGCTTGGTAGTAGGGATCATATCCAAGATACCAAAGTTCGGTATGCATGAACCAAGATAAGACTTGCATATATTTGACGAGATTGGCATAGATATTGATGGGTTCAGAAAAGGCCTCACAACCGCGAGTGAAAAGAGCAATCCTCATTTCTGGTCCAGTCAAGAGAGCTCCTACAAAGAAGCGACAATGCACTTGGTTGGTGAAGACCAGCCAGGAAACTTCTACCATGTACTCCTTGGAGGCCTTGAGAAGAGCCTCAGTGTGGTGATACTTGACATCAATAACAGATTTAACATCTGACCACTCATGTGAGTCATTGGTCACAAGGGTGACATCCAGCTTGCGAGTGCCAATCTCGCTTGTCTTGGATGATGCCGCCACCCCTAATCTGGCTTGAAAGAATGTGGTACTGGTGCTTATCCAACGGCGATGAGGATCGTCGGAATTGTGTGGCTATATGACTCCCAGCTCTGTGAGGTACTGATCCACCCACAAGCACGTCTTCGTGCCAGGAATGAGTCACAAAATCCACATGCAATGGATGCCAACTCACCTTGTTCAAAAACTCAACCAGGTGCACTTCATCAGAAGGACTGTACAGCCAAGGATGCACATCCTTCGACCAATGACTCACGACGAATTCTTCAGCTTGGTTTCATGCCTGCAATGAGAAATTGTGAGGGTATGTCACCTGAAAACAAAATGCATGTACCTCTGTGGCAAGTGTCTTAGTCACAGTCATTGGGATCGCAGCATTTGTGTCAAGGTCAGCAACATCCGCAACTTCCATCAAAGCACTGAGAAGCACAGTATTCACTCTCTGGGTTTCTATCTGGGACTGTACTAGGATATTGGTTGATGACGGCGTCTTCTTGCTAGGCACTTTATTTGACATCACTTTGCAGCCTACTTCATGTATCTTCTGTGCCATGTCTTGAAGTGTGTCATCTGTGAGATTTACAGAATGCAGAAGAAACAGTGTCTGGAGTCATGTGAACAGATCATAATATCGGCTGTCATTGATGCAAGCTTGCTTGACAGCCTGCAAATTGGCCTCATTGCGGAAGGATGGCATGGATACGCTGCCATTCAGAAGAGGAAATGTATTCAAGGAGCAACATCTGTTATTGTGGAAGGCACGGTGTTTTAGGGTCTTCACAGCCCAATATTTGGTATCTGCCCGGAGCAGTCCCTTTGCATCCAGGTTATGGACACAAGAACCCATCTGGTGGCTGATATCAATAAAGTGAACTAGGCATGATTGTCTAACTGACATGATAGTGAACTCTTTTGAACTCTTCTTTGGCGTTTGGAAGAGTAGTGTCAGTTTGGGGGAGAAGTGCAACATTTTATGTTCCAGTCTAGTGGAGTGTCCACCAAACAAGCAACCCAAATCCCACATAAAAAAGGTTAGTACTAATCAATTTTGTGTCAACAGATTCTCATACATCCATATCAACAAGAGCAACAAAGAAAGTAAATCTTCTATACAACAGCAATGTTCGAGGTGATCAAGATGAGTTGCTTTCACAGATTTACCAGACTCCATCGATAACTATTAGTGAGTTAACCTGGCCTTAATGGTAAGGTGCTTCTGTGTGGGAATTTCCCGCCTGTCATTTTAGCATGCATCACTGCAAAATGTTTCACTACCATATAAGGAACTGCCCGCACATCATCCAGAACAACGAGTTTGAAGAGGCAAGGCCCATGTCTATTCAAGTTTCCTTAGACAACACAGAATTTTCTCTGGTTTTGGATGCCCTGCAACTCATGCAAAGTGAGCTAGCTATGGCTCTTGCTAATTGATTACTCAGCCATAATCCACCTTTGCCACATTCAACCAAACACAATCTAGTGGGAGGCAGACAATACACAGGTGGACGTGCTTTTTCGGGTGGCAAGCGATCTCACCAGATGCAACCTTACTGTCTTTGCCCTAGGAACTCCAGGAATTTGGCTATGGGAGGAAGGTGGACCATCGGAGAAAAAACGACCTGTTCTTCCAATGTCTCAGCAGAAGCCTTCATTGGGGTAATTGCAGCCATGGACACTGGTCTTCAGTCAGATCTGGCCCAGTGGATGGAGAGTATTTACTCTGTGGTATCTGTTACAGGGATCTGTAACACCTACTAGAGCCCCAGCTCTCCCTACGCCTGCCCCCGCTCTGCTAGACTCCCCGCGCGGCGGTGCGCCGCCTGCGCCTAGAAAGACAGCGGTCTGGACCGCTACGACCCCGCCCCTGGCGCTATGACCCCGCCCCTGGCCTAGACGGCCTTGTACCTGTTCCATGGAGGCTGTACGCCTCATGGACACCCTAGATCAGCGCATGTATACCACATGTCGCCTCATGAAGATCCGGAGCGTGCTTGGCGCTTCCTGTACCTATGCGCAGCTGCCCTTGGCGCAGCATGCTTGATCAGAGGTTAAGCCTCATGTATCTTATCTGAACCTCATGTCTGGCTATCATAGATTTACGATATACTATTGATTACAGACTGAGCTAGAATACTTGTAGTACTTCCCTATAAGTAGACACAGATTATTGTACTTAGACTTTACTTTAATCTACTAGGTTCATCCCCAGAACTTGCTCATCTAAGCCTACCAGCTTCCTTGTGTGAGACCGCACTTCTAAGTCGCCCCCATACGACTTAGCATGTATCCGCTAGCCCTGCATCTCGACGAGCGCCGTCTTACCGAGATCGCCGGAGGAACCCTTGACATTCCGTCAAGGTTAGACCACGCTCAGCTTCAGTAGACTCACTCGAGTCGTCGCTGAGAAGACCTATCCTAGTTCGCACACGCCGACTGACGGTCAGCGTAACAGTATCTGAGATTCAGTTGTCAGGTGCTACTGTGATGTCTTTGACTTACTGGTGTAAGGTTTGGGGCAGAAAGGGTGTTGGGTGGTGTTTTATTTCCATGGTGAACTACATGCAGCTAGCAATGAAATGCCAGAGGTGCATTTCAAACATTCATTTGACTTTCATAATTGTTAATCAAATGGGCATTAGTATGATAGATTCATCCACTAATTATAGTGATTTATATGGAACCCTACCGGTGGACAGACCTACCATTCACACCTTTCTGTTCTGGATTGCCATGGGTTTCAAGTTCATGCACTTGGCAGCAGGGAGGTCATTCTATTTACTAATTCTCATAGCCACCAAAGACCTGCAATGGACTGTAACTAGGATGCAAGCCAACGTGCCCTGGAAAATCACCAAGATGTTGAGAAGGCCGAATGCCTGTGGCAAGTCCCACTCATATCAGCAGTTAGTTCCTGTACCTGAAAAACTGGAACAGAAAATGATTTACAGATTCTCATAGAAAGGAAAATTATACCAATAATATCTTGTCTGCATAAAGCCCTACCTTTGAGCATACCTGGTGCATTTGTAGCCCTGGACAGAGAGGTGGATTGGACGTGCATTGGGGACACTGACCGCCTTTTTGATGGGGTGAATACTAAGTAAGGATGATATTATCGCTGTTCACACAGGTATCTAATTATATCTGTTTCAGTAACTACCAGCTCCCTTCTCGGTGCAAATCGGCTTGGAGAAGTTGTCTAGACCCTTGCTGGGATGAGACACTGAGCCTGGGGTGCATCACCAGGTCATTTGGAGATGTTGGTGCAGCAACAGCACTTACGGTTTCACCTGCTGTAAGACTACTGCACTTACCCAAATTCTTTGACGACTCTACCTCTATCAAGATGCTTCCAAAGTTGATTTTCATAGAGACAGCCTTTGACTGTGAGGCTCCTGAGAACCTACGCAACCCGGTTAATGGCAACAAAGTGCAGAACTTGCTGTGGACTATTGAGCAGTGAAAGATTGTTGAGGAGAGTGTAGTAACAATCATAGACACGGAAGATTTAAAGGTGAAGGTGAGCTTTCATGGTCTGGGAATTGTATGCAACTGACAGGTCTTGTATGGGGCAGCTATCCACGTTCTACCCCTCCAGAATTAAACAACCAGACACCTATATCAAGATTCCAATGTCTATCCTGCCAGGAGCATTGCAAATTCGCAACTTGGATGGGAGCCTCATGGTGTTCATCTGCAATTTCATGCCTCCTTCAATGTGAGATACCCTTTTCCTGTTACTGAAATCTGCTTTTGATTGCCTAGAGGTGTTCAAGAATCACACTGTGTTATCCATCTCTCAAGAGACCCAGGATCCTGAGGCCGTATTACAATCCGAAGCAAATGAACCATTTTGCTGCATTCACTTTAGCCATTGGAATAGATATGGTCTTTCAGTGAGTACATGCTTATGACCGTTGATATGTATACACTGATGTCCAGTAGGGCAACATGGTACCTGCTGACACGCACCCTCATGATTTGGTGGCTACATCAGGCAGAACTAACCTCATACAAATGCTGCCTTACATGTCACGCAAAACTTTTGAATATGAGCAACTGTATCTCAACATCCAGAATAACCTAAGGGAGGTTTTTGAGTGGATAGAGCAGACAGTGAGTAATTTTTGAGTATTGTAGAACGTTCTCTGACACATAATGTATTTAGGTAGCTCATTATCTTCCAGATGACTATACTGTTCTTGCTGAGCTTGTTGATATTCTTCCCAATGCTAGTGGATCACTGGTAAAACCTTTTTTGTCTCTGGTGGTGAACATCAACATCTGCACAATAGGTCATCAGGACGGAAAGGACTATTGACTATGTTTAGTGCTGCCCATCGGTAGCTTTGTAGGGGGTGGACTGGTGATGAGGGAGCACACTAAATTTTCTGGTGAAGAGGTAAGTGCTCATTGTAATTTGATATAGATAGCTAACAGACTACTACCACCAGGTGGAAGTAAGCGCGGAGCCTTGCATTATGACCAGTGTTCTCAGATCAGAGGTATCAAAGTTAGCTACGCTCAGTCATATGGAAAGCCCTCGCACCAAACACATTGCCATGTCTGGCCACAAGGCCCTACATTTGCATGTCGCCACAGTAGAAGGCTTTCCCTCCTCCTCTGATAGAGACCAGCTGTATTGGGACCTCATCCTGGAATCGTCCAAGCAAGACAAGTTGTTGTGGGAGAAGATGAAGGAGATACAGGGTGATGACACCCTCAAGGCTCAGCTCATTGACTATGCAAGTGACTTTTTCTTTCTAATATCTATAAGCTGATTAGTACTCTTACAGACATGGAAAGGCACCACTCAGATAAGAGGTGAGCTTGTCACCAAAGCCAGAATTAGTATTCCCGCCTGTTTTGGAGTTGGTGCAGGCTCCGACTGGACTGATGATGACCTCCAGGAAGCTTTGAAGTGGTTGCTGGATGATATGAGGTTTATGCATGGTGGCATGGATGTAAGAGTGAGTCTTCAACTTGGATCAAAGCAGAGCAGGACTAATACTGATCATTCATATACCCAGAATCTCACCTGTGATGCACAGGCACCACTCAAAAACCCAGCATTCAGAGTACTACTGGAGGCTCAGTGGTGGGGTCCCAAAGGTGAAGGTAGGAGGTGTGGTAGGAAGGGAAATGCCTACACAGATAATCTTCCTATCCTAGCTCTTATCACTTGTGCAGTAAGTGACTATCCTTCATGCTTGAGTGTGTGACTGATGATAATTGTAGGTGGAGTGTGTCCTTCTTGGAGTGAAAAGAGGATCACTGGTAGACTTCTCAGAAAGTTACTTCAAATCTCGGTTTGAATTTTTTTTCTTTTTTTTTGCGTATCTAATGTATTATCATAGGTGGGAGAGCTTTATGGAGTTGCTCACTGAATTTTCCAACAAATGTCCAACTTATTTGGAGACTGTCTGGGATGAGCTGAAGGAGGGGCTCTGGTGCGTCCATGATTATCATATTTATAGACTCTGCTAACAGTGCCAATACAAAAAAGGCCACACTGCTCTATCAACTGACGCTTGTTACAGTCAACTGCAACAT